ACCCGCCCCCGCCCCCCCCCCCCCCGGCCCCCCCCCCCCGCCCCCCCCCCCCCCCGCCCCGCCCGCGCGCCCGCCCCCGCCCCCGCGGGGCGGGGGTCCGGATGACTTACTGCGCGCGACAGATCATCAATCAAATCATTCACATCCTCGATGCCGACGCACAGGCGGATGATGTCCTCGGGCATCTGCCTCTCCTGCCTCGTCTTCGCGTCGATGCTGGCGTGGCTCATGCGGCACGGCATGCTGATGAGGCTGTTGACGCAGCCGAAGCTGACGCTGATGCCCCACAGGCGGGCGGCCTCGACGATGCGCTCCGACAGCGCCGTGTCGCCCGTCTCGAAGGAGAGCACGGCGCCGGCGCCGCGGGCCATGGACCAGTGGAGGTCGTACTGCGGGTGCGACTTGAGGCCCGGGTACCGGACCCGGAAGCCGTGCGACTCGAGGAACTCGGCGATGCGCTGCGCGTTGGCCTGCTGCTTCTCCATGCGGATGGCCAGCGTCTTGACCCCGCGCAGGAGGAGGAAGGAGTCGTTGGGCGACAGGCCGCAGCCCGTGCTGTTGATGGTGAAGTACATCTTGTCCCCGAGCTGGGCGTCGTTGCATGCGATCACGCCGGCCATGATGTCGTGGTGGCCGGAGAGGTACTTGGTCCCGGACTCGTAGACGATGTCGGCGCCGAGGTCCAGCGGGTTGGACAGCATGGGCGAGAGCATGGTGTTGTCCACGACGACCAGGGCCTTCTCGTTCGCCTCGTGGGACGCCCTCGCGATGGTCGGGATGTCCACAATCTTGATCAGCGGGTTGGTCGGCGTCTCCAGGAGGACCATGGCCGTCTTGTCCGTCAAGACCTCCTTGACGCGATCGATGTTCGTCGTGTCGACATGGCGCACGATGACGCCCTGGTTGGTGGCGAGGTACGTGAGCAGCCGGTTGGTGCCCCCGTATAGGTCGTCGCCCGTGACGACCTCATCGCCGGGCCTCAGGAGGCGGGTGATGACATCCAGCGCCCCCATTCCGGAGCCGACGGCGAGGGACCGGCCGGCGTTCATGATCTTCGCGAGGTGCCGCTCGAGGTGCGTCCGGGTCGGGTTCCCGGACCGGGTGTAGTCGTACTCGTTCCCGCCATTGGACGACGTCTGCTTGAACGTCGCAGACTGGTAGATGGGCACGCTCGAGGCGCCGTACTGGTCCTTGCTCTCGGTGTAGACGAGCTCGGTGGCGAGCGCATATCGCCGCCGCCCGTTGCGGGGGCTGGATGGCGCCGGCGACGGCGGCAGATCGTGGCCGTCGGCATCGACCCGGGATAGGGCTTTGTTAGTAGACTTGGCCGCTGCGACGCCGCCAACACCGCCTGCGCTGCCGTTTGGGGCGGCCATCGCGGTTCGCTGTGACTCAACACCACTGTTGAAGCGCACAGAACTGAGGGGCCGGGTGGGGCGGATGAAGGTCCGCCACCGAAAGACGGAACCTCGCAAGAGTTTGACTGACGAGGGAATCAATACTTGGCTTATGGGTTAGGACTCAATTGAATCTTTGAGTATAGAATAGTAGTGTCAATGGCGGAAAGAAGCAGGGAAATGTGGAGGTGAAGGTTTAGAGAAGGGTTGTCATGAGGATGGTTATCTATGGCTGGTCCCTTGCAGCAGCCAGCATGAGCAGAAGACCGAAGTCTTCTTTGATCCGATTGACGGAGGCTACTAGTACGATAGCATTTGTGGGGTATGGAAAAAAAATGACGTGCTAAGTGTGGCCAGTCGGAGCGCGGCTGACCGTAAAAGACACTCACCGCCCAATGCTTACCTGGGGGCGCTCGATACGATTGCGAGGTATGTATGGAGGGAATGCCGTGTTGCGCAAAGGCAACTTGATATGGTACAATTGCCGATGATGAGTGCGGGTAGTAAAGCACGACGACAAATCTATGTGCATAGGATGATCCCGCGGCTAAAGCCCCAGCGCCTCTCTGCTGCGTGTATCCGAAGTGAACACGCGACCAAATATCTACACTAACATGGAAGCCATCCCGGTAACCCCAGTTCCCCCAGTTTAAGCGGCGGTACCATGGGGACCATATCTTAAACGCCAGTTCCTCGACCCACCCCTTTATGCAGATTAGGTACCTAACCAGGCACATTCTTAGATGAACGAAGCAACCCTCGAACCACCGGAAGAAGCCGTACGCCTAGTCAAGGGACTCCGTGACAACCTGCTCCTCTTCCACATCCTCGTAGCCACCGGTGGATCGCTTCGATCTCGCGGGCCGGTCTTGTGAAAGTGTCTGAGCACCACCCTTGCGGGAGAAGAAGTCTTCTGTCCGTAAGCCCCGGACCTCTTCGGGGTTGACACTCGACATGGCGGCGCCTGACGCACGGTGACTCCGGATGTACTCTCTCATAGGAAGCATGGCAGCATCTCGGCAAGCCTCCTTGATATCGCTTCCCGACATTCCGGCCGTGATCTTGGCCACATAGTCCAAGTTGAAGTGCTCCGGGTCGGACTTTGTGTCTCCAAGGACAAGTTGCAGGATCCGCCGGCGTTGCTCCTTTCCAGGTAACGGCACCGGAAACTTCTTCGGCATCCTCCTCAATATCGCTTCGTCGATATCGTTGATCCTATTCGTGGCACCGAGCACGACTATCCTTGCCGGGATGCCTGACGCATTCGTGGATGTCAGCCCGTCCCAGAGGGTCATGAACCTATGAGAATTAGAAATCGGCTTGTTGCCACAGATTAGCAGCGCAGGAGAGAACTCACTCCGCTTTAACCATCCCGCTCGCTTCATGCTCCCCGCTTCGCCGAGTGCCTAGTACTGCGTCGATTTCGTCGATGAAGATAATAGCTGGCTGGAGTTTGAAAGCCAGGGAGAATACTGCGCGGACGAGCTTGTTCGAGTCTCCGTACCACTTCTCGGTAAGGGTTGAAATATGGAGGTTGATAAAGGAGGCGCCACTCTCGTGAGCAACGGCTTTGGCAAGCATCGTCTTTCCGCACCCTGGTGGTCCGTAGAGCAATACCCCCGACGGCGCCGCTAAGAGTCCCGCAGCATGGGAATAGAGATGTGGCATCGTCAGGGGGTAGATGACAGACTCCTTGAGCTCTTCGATGATGTCTTCCAAGCCACCAATGTCGTCGAACCCGACCGGAATATCTTCCGGCGCGACAACCTCGAGGGCAACAAGATTCTCATATTCATTCAGAACCAAGTCCTCGACCCGTGGCCCGTGTCGCGAACTATCCGTATGATCTTCGCCTTCTCCGCCCTCAAGCTCTTTCGTATTTGGCGTCCTCCGTAGCCGCTGAAGATTCGCCCGAGCTTTTATCCTTGCCTGCTCGTGCTTCTCTCTGTCCGGGTCGACAAGCGTGTTGATATAGGGGGTAAGGTAGTTTCGGACAAACATGTAGGTTGTTGCGGCCTAGACAACGATGTTAGCAGTTGGGAGGGCAGGCTGCAGGTGGGAAAGGATAGACTGACGACGCCAGCCAACATGACTAGGTCCATGGCATAGTCAAACACACGCTTCCGTTCAACCATCTTTAGTCGACTTCCAGGTCAGTCAAGACCTTGATAGTAGTGGTTGAAGCTGGTTTTCGAGTCTGGTTGTGGGTTGCGAATTTGGCGGTTGCATGTGCTGGAGACGGTGAAGAGAGCATTGACTTTAGAGGGAGCACAGTTGGGCAATTACCTCTCTGCCCATGGCGCTGGCCAATCACAAAGGCACGGTGGCGGAATTTACGTAGGGGTTCCAATTTGTTTGTATGTACGGATACTCGTTTCTCTGTGCTACTGTATTCAATAACAGGCCTCGAACTGGCTCACTCGAATTGCTCAAACATTTGAACATGCAACACATGCCACCATGCACTCCCTCAGGTATCGGATATTACTGCATGTTTCGTGGTTCAGAGTTTCGTAGTTCATGGATCTTCGGCACGGTGTCGAAAAGCAAGGTACACAAGTCACGTGTTTCGCACCTGAGGCAGAACCGCGACCAACCCGCGTCCCCCCGTTTGTTTACATTGTTTCCATAAACGGGAATTCGTCCACACCCCACCTCCAACCTTCGTTGCGCCCGATCGGAATTGCAGCCCGGCGCAACGACGCAATATTCGCATCGCGCATTATATCAGCAAAGGCAGACCTATTCTGTCTCAACCATTAACCTCAATTGAGCAGCCACACAAACTACAACTAGCGCTTCCCCCCGTTCTTCCGATGCCAAAGATACAATCGAACTTGCTGGGGTTGGTGGATTCAGAGTCCGAAGACGGGTTGGACGTCCTATTGGGACCCAAGCATACCTCGCGACAACCAAGCGACGCAATGCCCGCCACCAAAAAGGCGCGTGGTCGCCCTGCTGCGGCGAACAAGGTGACCAAGCCCGCCCAGAAGACATCGGCACGTCGCACAAGCGGACGTCTCGCAGCTGCCATCGAACAGTCCGAAGACCGGGCTGCGCTCACCGAGAAGTCGAGCAACCGGCAACCCAAGGCTCCAGCAAAAGGGCGCAATGGCGCCGCCGCTAGCAAAGACGCCGCTCCCGAGGACGACGCTGCTCGAGAAACCCCACCGGCTGGCGAGGCCGTCAGAGCGAAGGCAGCACGCGGCCGGCCGAAGAAGGCGGCCCAGGAGGAATTGGCCGAGGAGGACGCCGAGCCCGCGAGGCCGGTTGCCAAAAGAGGGCGGAAAAAGGCAGCGCCGGAGAGGGAGGAGGTCGAGATCCCTGAGACCCAGCAACCGGACCCGGAAGCAGAGCTTTCATCCATGGATCTGGATCTCGAGGAGAGCGAGCAAGTCGAGGACCTACCCATGCACGATTCTCCGGATGTTCCCCTTAGCTCTCGCCCGTCCAGCCACGTGCCCTTCAGCGCGACGCGCCGGCCTGCCTCTGGGTTGCCCTCGTTCGACGCCGGCGACCCGACGCTGAGGCGTCGCCTGGGCGAGCTGACCAAGAAGTACGAGACCTTGGAGGCGAGGTACCGGGATCTGAGAGACGTGGCCGTCAGGGAGGCGGAGCGCAACTTCGACAGGCTCAAGAAGCAGTCGGAGGAGAGGGCTTCCACGGCGAACCAGCTCATCGCCAGCCTGAAGGCCGAGCTCGCGGCCCAGAAGGAACTGGCGAAGGAGGGCCAAAAGTTCAAGAGCCAGCTGGAGACGAGCGAGTCGCGAGTCGACAGCCTGCAGACGAAAGTCACGGAGCTCACGGGTTCCCTCTCGGAATCCAAGACCGAGATCAAGTCACTCTCCATGAAGCTGGCTGCGTCGAGGACGGCGGAAGCAACTGCCGCCGCCAGGACCCCGGGCAGCGCCATCAAGGCCGGAAATGGCGTCCGGCCCAACGAGGCGATCCATCAGGCCACCCAGATGCAGATGAAGGGGGATCTGTATGGCGACCTCACCGGCCTGATCGTGAGGGCCGTCAAGAAGGAGGGCGGCGAGGACGTGTTTGATTGCATCCAGACGGGACGTAACGGGAGTGAGTACATCTGACCTTCTATTTTCTTTTATCTTATCCCCTGATTCAAGAGTATTCAAACGGAGTATATTCAAGATTTGACTTGAGAGGCCTGCTGACCCCGGCCTCCCACAGCACTGCACTTCAAGCTCGCCGTCGGTAGCGACGCGGCGGCGGAGAACTACGACGAGGCCCAGTACCTGTATATGCCGCAGCTCGACCCCGGCAGGGACAGAGAGCTCGTCCAGCTGCTGCCCAACTACCTGGTAGAGGAGATCACCTTCCCCCGCGCGCACGCGGCAAAGTTCTACGCCCGCGTCATCAAGTCGCTTTCTGAGCGTCCTGACGAGTGAGGGAAGGGAAGGGAAGGGATGAGATGAGGCGGGGTTTAGGTTTTCAGGTTTTCATGGCGTGGGGGTTCTGTTGCATTGCAACCATGGTCTTCTAGTGGCTGGGAAACGATGCCTAGGGTTGTTGGTTGACGATATATGGGAGCGTTGTTTTCTAGCTTTGGAGTCTGCGTTGTGCAAGTTTTGTTATCCGCGTGATGATGGGCTAGACGAGGAGCTCTGAAGGCATATGGTCTTTTTTCTAACGTAAACCTTGGTATTCGTGATCTGTTAGCCTTATCTCTGCCTCGTTTGCACCAGCCCTGCTGCTCCAGTTCTCTGATTTTGAACGAGGTAAAGCAGTTTCTGTATTATATGAGGACACAAGTCCTCTTCAGCTTTATCTACACGATGCCCTCCACCCCTACACCTTATACAGAGCTTTAGCCATAACGGCAATATTCTCTCATCCCCCGCCACTGCCCAAGTAGCCCTCCCTTCCTAAGCAACGATCTAGTGTATAGCTGAGAGCGACGTGATCAAGCCAAACTTCATGTGACAAAGAGGAGTTCTACCAATTAGATAGAATACAAGGTGGAACCAGCTATCCTATCGGTACGAAGCCGTGGACTCTCAGGAGCTGGCCTTAAATATTTGCCAGTGTTGTAGGTTAAGATATAGACATTATGTCGTGAACAGGCCAATTCGAGCCCGCAAAATGGAAGGGATAAGTAAAACCTCCCACGACATCCCAAGAAAAGTTATAGCGACGTCTTGCAACAAGAACAAGAGCTGCAAGGCGGACAACTATCCAAGCCACAGGATGCCCCCCACCCCTCCTCCCCCTGAGCAATGCCTTGCCGAGCTCTATGTTTGCCCATTGTACAAAGTAGAACGGTTTAAGAATGAAATGAAATGAATAACGCGAGCCGAAGCCCGCGTATGTACAAGTCGACTACTGCCAACGACACCGCGCAGTTGGGAACAGCCGAAAAAAAGAAACACCACTCCGGGAATGCAATGCAATATACCGATGATGAGAATAGAAGATGCCGGCGACAAAGGTGGGTGGGGGCAAATAGCCGGCTCCGTCTAGTTTCTCGTGGGTTCCACGGCGATTACGGGCCCTGGTGGCCAGCCATCGCCCAAAATGAGACCATCTAAAGGGGAATTATGTCAGAGGGCCAGGTTTGTCCGCAGGGCAGTGACGAACGAAACCAGTCTAACGAGGCCAATATGTACAATATAAGAATGCCAAAGAGGGGGCCAAAGGGAACCGCGTGGCTACGGAAAGAAAAAGGGTATCAAAAAGGTATGGTTCGGTATTTGGCTCGGCCGTGATGTCGAGTATTTTCAAACCGCGGCTGCCGGGGGGAATAGGTGGGCGGGCGGTGACATCCTCCTCGTTGCGCGTTTCCAAAGGGGCCAAGGTTGCGACAAGAATCAGGGCTCCTTCCCTCGTTTGCGGTCGTCAGCGTTCCCCTCGTATAATGCTGTCAGTCCCGACAGAGACCAAGAGTCCAAGGTCGAATGAACGATCACGAGCCATGCCGCCGCCAGGTTAACGAGGTAGTGCAGCATGTACGCATACGAAACGCCGTAGATCGAGGCATACAGAGCGATGCCAAAGAATAGGACATTCGTCAGGTGCCTCAGTCGACTTGTGACCCTCGGCACCATCTTTCCGGTGGTCAGAGTCTCCACCAAGACAATGAACGGCATGATGGAGAGAACGTTGTGGTGGGACGAGAAGGGAGTGAGCCAGTGTACGGCGAGGTTGTGAATCCAGACCACCAATATGGGGAGGTTTATCGGCAAGACCCAGAGCATGAGGATCAGGATCGAGTGGCAATAATTATAGAAGTTGTAGTTCGCATTCGACCGCAGTTCCGAAGCAATTCGCTGGGCGCGGATCGTTGTCGCGAGTTGGACCAGGCACGCCACCAAGTACGCAAATTGGTACGGGATAAAGGTCGAGACGAGGAACAGCAGAACGGCTGTAGTAAACATCCGACGGCGGGGGGACGATGACATGAACCCCGGAGACGGCCCTCTACGCTTGTCGTCATGGCGGACCCATCCCGGCCGGAAGCTTAGCAGGTTGAGGCCGATTCCGAGGACGTGGGTGAGTGCCAGTGCGACATAGTTGAGGACTGTGCATGTTCCGACACAAACGAGACCAATCAGCGGGACCATGAAAAAAAAGAACGGATCCTGGGTCCCGACGAGAAGGTCGTTCTGGTGGAAGTCGACTGCCGGCGCGGTGCTGTTTCTCCAGTGCCAGAAACTGGCCCCTGGCGCAGACGCAGAGCTGCCTGTTGACAAAGACAATACGGTCAAGGATAGCAACATTAGGGGGATAGATTGCCGCAGGCAGGAATCCAGCCCCTCCGAGAAAGATATGAATATCCCGGTGCTGTCGTAGACGCGGAATTGCTTGCGCAACACGAGAGCCACGACAAAGAGGGGGAAGGCGGCAAAGACGGTCCGATAGCGCATGTAGAGCTTTCCCAGGCTTCCCAGAATGTCGACCGAGAGCTGCACCTGGATGCTGGAGTTGCAGGTGGGGTCCGTCCAAAACTGAAAGCTCAGTCCTCCCTCATCCGCCCTCCTCTTCAGCGGAGGGGGTACGTACGGTGCCACTCCGTGGAGGCTGACGGCTGCTTGCCTCGCATTGACGAAGAACTTGGATTCGTATGGCTCAGAAAGGAACTGCCTAACCAACGGTGTAAAGAGCTCCGTGCCATCGCCACATGCCTGGTTACTGATCTCCAAGTTATACGCCAGCAGGCTCGACTGGAGGGAAGGCACCTTAACCTCGGTGACCATGGGGCGCTTTGCAGGCAATCGAAGCTTCATGCCGAATGCAAAAAGTCGACCAAGGCTGATCTGGCGGGTTCGATGAGACTGGGAGTGGTCGCTGAACTCGGCAATCACGAATCCGGGCATAACTGATCCCGCCTTGTCAATGACAGCAACAAATTGGTGGTCAGAGATGTCTTCGATGTCATACTGCAGGTATGAAAATGGCGGCAGTTGTCGTTCGTCGTCAAGGAAAAAGGGATGACGCGTGGACCGAGTCGACGCGGGAAGCGTGACGACATCTGAGGCTGCATTTTTACATGCGAGGCGCGTTGACCCAGTGCTCTCCCCTGACAGATCCATGTTCATGGAGAAGAGGACTGAAGTTTGACCCGGCTGAAGAGGAAACACGCTGCAAAATAGTACTTCCAGCTTTCCGTTGTCGCCAGGGCTGTCCAATTGCTGGTCCGTCAGCAGGGTGAAGCGCTTGCCCTCCGGCGAGCCCGGTGGGGGAATGGGAAGGAGGTGGGCACGCGGTTTCCCCGCGGTGCCTAGCTTCCTCAGCACGAGTCGCTCCCCCTGGGCAATGATCGAGTCCGAATTGTCCTCTAGAGTGAGAAGGGTAGTCGGTTCTGTGAGGGGCAGAGTCTTCTCTGCAATACTCTCCATTCCGGTGAGGAACCACTTTTTGAAGACCCTCATCCGCTCGGCTCGCGGTTTTGTCTGCGTGGCTCTGTTGACGTCTACAACGTCATACAGAGCACGCGCGATGACCTTGCGGAACTGATCACACCACAGGATAGCCTGGTGATCCATGCTTGTCCAGACGGTGGGGATGGTGGAAGTGAAGACGGTAAAGCCATGCGTATCTGGAACCAGGGACTCGAGGCTTGCGTAATCCGATGGAACCACGGTGTCCAGCCCGCCGCCGGCGATGGAGACCAGCGTGACGTGCCAAAGGGGGTTATTGTTGGCCCATTGCTGTGAGTACGCATGCCTCCAGTACTCGTTGATATCGCTGTATATCTTGACAATCTGGCCATCGAAAGAGACAGGCGGCCGTGCATGGGGGGCCGACATGGTGACAATTGTATTTATCGAGTTGGACTGGTAATTGGGCATGATGAGCATGGTTCGCGCAACTATGCCGCCCATCGAATGTCCAACTATAATGACAGACGTCGGGTCGGGAAGATCGGGACTTCGCTCGGACATGCGAGGATCCAGATATAGAGAGAGTATGTATCGTATCGCCTCGTTCAGATACTCGGCTTGGTCTAACATGGTCTGGCCATGAAATGCCGTGATGTCCTCGTTGAAGTCAACAGTAAAGAAATCCAAACCGCGAACACCCGACGTGATGGTATGCTGGTTGTGTCGCAAGACATCGTGGAAGTAGTTTGCAGCTTCCGAGGCAATTGGCCGAACCTGCTTGTAGCTTCCCGCGTTTCCGGGAACGAAAAGGACCGGTATTCCTCGGAGCTGAAGAAGGGAACGTAGGTCAGCAGGGAGGAGGGGTGTGGTTGGGAGGAAGTAGGAGGAATACACACTTTAGTATCGTCGTCCACGCCCTGTTCGCGATACAGATAAAGAGAGTATTTGCTCGCAAATCGGGTGTGCTCGGTGTCAAACTCGTCGAGTCGGGCGTATGAAGGGCGCATGTAAGACATGCGGCACCCTTTCGGGTCGACCTGTCGCGTGACGAGAGAGTGCAAAATAACCACCAGGACCGCAATCCCCGCAGCGGAGCCAAGCAGGGTCAGTATTGAGATGGCCCAGGGATTGCGCGAGGCCGGGCGACGGGCCGGAAATCTCGAGTCGGACATCTTCTCCATGTTGTCGGATTGCTCGCCCGCCGGAGCGGCTCCGGTATCAAGGAGCGATGATGACGAGGGCTGCGTGCTGGATGGCAGGGGCAGCTTGTCTATCGATCCATTCCGAGCTTGCGCGGGCTTCCAATTGAAGTTGCCGGACCGGCGACTCCTCGCAGATGATGGCCTGGAGTTGTCGGGACTTGCGCGATGGTCTAGCTTCTTGGGGCTCTGGCTAGGCGCCACCGAGCTCTCTTCTGGGTGGTTCGGAGTGACATGAGGAGCCTCGACAGGAGAATGATCACCGTCTTCTGAGGATCCCGACGAGCGCCTCCTCATTCCAGGGACCGTCTGCCGTGGATGTGGCACGATGCTCGTTCCGAAATCGTTCAAGCGAGTGAAATGGGCGAATGGGGCGCCGGTAAAAACATCAATGGCTGATGTGCGATGGGATCTTGGGGGAGGGGGGGGGTCAAGCAAAGGATCTGGGCGTGGCCAAGCTTTCTCCTCCCCAGAAACGATGGGATGCAATGTTTTGTAAATCTTGCTGCTTGGCTGGGAATGGCACTCCACGAAGGTTAGAGAAATTGGCGAGGTTCGGTCAAATAAGAACCGCTAGTCCTGCACCTCTGGGAACAAGCACATCTGGTAGCACTCCCCAAGCAGGCCTAGTTGCAAGTTTGATTTGGCAAATGGCGTTTAGTGATCGGAGTGGGCCGGTGAAAACGCCAGCATGTTAGTGGGTCAAATCCAACCAAATCCAGCCTTCCGGTGGTGCATTTGTTTCCACCAGAGCACAACCCACGTTTGCTATCTGTGCACAACAGATCTTAGGTTCTTATCAACGAATGCCAAAGCGGATCTGTCAGCGCCTATTAAGATCGACCACCGGATTTTTATTTTGCTTTATCGTAGGTGTTGAAGAACGAGAAACACTGGGAGAATCGGATTCTGAAGAGCATACGCATAAGATTGATGGCTAGGTCGAGGTCGAGGTACTGTGAAGAGTAAAAATTAAAAAAGGGCCTAGTCCTGGCCATTTCCAACCTCGACTGATGCTAACCTGGAAGAGTGTAGTACTTGGGCGGCATGCACACTACCCACTGCTCTGCTGCCCAGTAAGTACCTGGTAATTTAGTTATCTGGCACAACCTACTTTGAAAAGACGGCACATACAATCGTTGGCGGCAACCTACATCTAGAAAAATATATGACATAGGAGGAGCTTCAAGTATCTTTCTCACATGCAGCGCTCGAGATTGACGTCGGCCAACCTTCTCTTTTGTAGACTGGGGTCTTGTCCAAAGTTTGTCGTTCCCAAGGGCAACGATAAAATTCTATGTTATTCACTTGATTTAAAGAGGTATGTCCTGCAGGTGCAGAGAAAAGTGGATAATCTTCAGCAGGTTAGGTAAGTAAGCACGGTAAGGTATGTAGGTACTCTATACTCTGAGCACCGTCAGTGGGCTCTGTTATCATCTCTCAAGCAACCACATTTTCCGGTTCCTTCGGCTGTTTTCCAGCTTCGAATCGAGAGCGCCTAACTTGAATTGATGCACCTACTGAATATGCGGCACTTATTGGCTCTGCTGGTTAGGGTCAATGGTGGCATGGATGGCACCTCGTGAGAAAACTTCGAAAGCTTCTACTAAATTTCTCCTGTTTGTAGGTACAATACCTACCAATGTATCCTAGATCGCAGGTGGTTCAACGCGCCATATATCTGTGTTCTGATTGGCTGACAACTTGGTACCTTTTATCGCTCATGGTTCGTGCGTCCGCCATTTTGCAGGGACGGGGATAATAACGTCATCACTCATGCCGCTGTTTCAACTTTCATCCATCCGAACAGCGGCTGCTGTGTTGGCGGCAGAAGGGGTTTCCCGTCTTCTTGTCGAACACCTTTCCGGGAAATCCGAACTCAAGAGATAAGCTGCAGTATCCGACCCCGAATACTTCCAGGTGCTCGATTACAAGCAATCCCGAGCATTTACTTCTCCTGCCATGACCTAAGCAAAGTAACTCTCTCACATCATTGATACGCACTAGATTGGAGGGCTGGTCCCCACCTCTCTGCAAGGTGTGGGCAAGGTGGGCTTGGGCTGCAGGATTTGGCATTTGGCAAGTATATATGTCTGCCTGTCAGCTGTCCGTGGGGGTTTGCGCTTAACCCGTCAGTTATTGGCCGCATTATCACTAGGTTGGCTCGTATTTGCGGATGTAATCCGTACCGTATGACTTCCGCAGTAAAAGTAGTCTGCGGCTCTGCCAATCTACCCGCAAACGGGCAGCCCGAAGCCCGTGCTGTTTCGTTTTAGCTTACAAGCTGTTCGTGCATAACAGGTACCTCGCGCAATGCGGAGGCGCGTCGCACAACAGATCGCATCAGGGAAGATCCGATGCAAAGCTGAGAGAGGGGACCTACCTGCTATGTAGGTAGATGTAGTCAGCACCTATCAGACTGAAACTGACTGAGACAAACGGGGTCCGGGACGGAACTTGGCTGAACGGCCGGGTAACGGAAAAAGTGCCAAAAGAGAAAGATGGAAGAAAAGAGAGAAGCCGGCCGGCCAACGCCACCGAATCTGTAGATCATAATATCGTCATGCTCTTCGAAACGGCCCAAGCAGGGTTAGAGCTTGTTTAGTCCGCATGACCTGCCAGTAGGTTTAATTCTTGGAGAGAAATTGTTGGTCATGCTCGGCATCCGCACGCTGATCATATTTGCACCAGGTATTTACCTTCAGATCAGAGGTAGAGGTGGTAAGGCAAGTGGTGGAAACAGAAACCTCACAAAAGTTACCCAGCTTACTAACTTCTCTAGGTCGCCCCTTAATAACTCTCTGGGGAGAAACCCACTAGAAATAGTTCGTATATACTTTTAACATATTAGTAAACAGGGTAACTCGTGCACGACTTTTTCTTCCACCACTTGTAAGGTTAGCACTTGGTTAGCTAGTTAGATACAGTAGGTTCGGATAGTAATGATAAGAGATGGGCCCGGTGGATGGCGGGGTGGATGGCGGGAACCTGATCCGTCGTCGGCCGTACGGATTAACTAGGTACCTTAGCTAAGGCGGGTCCACCATACTAAGCATGTGCGGATTTTGGAGTACAGATCGAAACGGCCCAGAAGGGCGCGGGGCAGGCGAGTGCCAGCTGCCAACCTGGCACGACGCGTCGGCTCATCGCGTCTCCTACGTAGAGGTAGGTAATTACCTATCGCAAGGCTACTAGTCAGCCTTGCACCCAAGAATATACATTGGTTTCGACCGTGATTTAGTGTAAATCACGTAGGAACAAGTGGATAACACGGTATACAAACAAGCCTAGTTTTCTCCAGCTCGAACGGTTACACCTGCGGGGGCACAAGATAGCCTGATGCAAGGCGCCCCCGACCATGGCAGCAAATGTCACGATAAAGGCCATAGAAGCCGCTACAGTAGGTCTCCAATCAATACAAATCAAATGGTCAGAGGCTCTGACAATCCCGATAGATTCACCAAATCCAGTCGGGCCAAGTCATCGTCGACTTGTGCTCCGTTGCCAAAGAATTGGTCGAAAACAGCATTGATGCTGGCGCGACAAGTATTGGTATGACGGATACTCGTATTCAACCACAGAGCCGGAACCACCGAACGCTAACAAGATTCGTCTGAAAAGAAGTGCGTTTCAAAAATCAGGGCCTGGACTCGATCGAAGTCCAGGACAATGGCTCAGGCATCTCTCAGCAGAATTACGAGACCCTGGCCCTCAAGCATTACACCTCCAAGCTGTCGACGTATGCCGATCTCACGACCTTGCAGACTTTCGGTTTCCGCGGTGAAGCCCTTTCCTCTCTTTGCGCTCTGTCGAATTTCTCGGTCGTGACATGCACGCAGGAGGAAGCCCCTAAAGCAAATAAACTTCAGTTTGAGTCCTTTGGCAAACTCACGAGCACAAGTGTTGTCTCGGGCCAGAGGGGCACCACCGTCTTCGTCGAGAACTTGTTCCATAACCTCCCCGTCCGGCGTCGCGAGCTCGAGCGGAACATCAAACGAGAATGGGGCAAGGTTGTCAACTTGCTAAACCAGTACGCCTGTGTTCTGACCGGCGTCAAATTCTCCGTCTCCCAGCAGCCTACCAAGGGCAAACGCATGGTGTTGTTCTCGACCAAGGGCAACCTTACCACCCGGGATAACATCATCAACGTCTTTGGAGTCAAGACGATGAATGCTTTGATTACCCTGGAGTTGAAACTGGACTTGACCCCTACCACTACCCTACTTCAAAAACAGAGCCTGCAGGACGATGAAAACACAAAGGAGATACTCGTCCGAGGCCATGTTTCCCGTCCGGCCCACGGAGAAGGGAGGCAGACGCCGGATCGTCAGATGTTTTATGTCAATGGCCGGCCATGCGGACTCCCGCAGTTTGCAAAGGTCTTCAATGAGGTTTACAGGTCATACAACGTATCACAATCACCCTTCATTTTCGCCGACATCCAGCTTGACACACATCTCTACGATGTCAATGTCAGCCCTGACAAGCGGACCATCTTATTGCACGACCAAGGGCAGATGCTGGATAATTTAAAGGAGTCGTTGATCGAGTTGTTTGAAAAGCAGGATGTCACCGTTCCTGTGGGCCAGCTGTCTACAAATAAGCAAACGCCCTTCAAGAAGCTGGCTGTCCCCCGCTCGGAGACACCAGTTTCTCGCAAAGAAAGTATAAAGCGCGGGAGCACTGCATACTCCTCCCCTTCTATACCAAATGATGCGAACTCGGGAGCAGATCGTCCTGACAATAGCGAAGACGATGGTGACGAGGAAGAGGAGGGGGCCCGAGGGGAGGAGAGGGAGGAAGAAGGTGAAGACGGCGAAGAGGATGAAGAGGAGGGTATAGATTCGGACGACGAGAACGGCGGTGGGAGACAGTTCAAGGCAAAAGGGCGGAAGGGGACGTCCGACTCCCCCAGGTCGATATCTCGGGCCACTAGGGGGTCCAGTCTCATTACTCGCTGGGTCGAGAGGAAGACAAATGTGCGGGAGGTCACAAGGCCTGCAGGCCGAACCCTAGATGGTGTTATGGATAGCGATGGGGCCAAGGGAAAGGAGCGAGTCATTTCCCAGTTAGACAAGGACGACGACTCGACTGCAAGTGGCCCGGAAGACAGTGGCGTCGGCGAGGAGGATGAAACGGACATACCTAAGAGGAACGCGGCGATCCTCGGGAGCTATAGCGCGCAGCCCGGCTCGCAGTGCGGCTTAGCTGGCAAGCCCACAATCGATGGCCCCGATACGACTAGAGAAAGCCCTGATGACGAGCGCCATGAGTCTCCTATACCTGCAATCCCTCCCCCAACGCAATCGCGGCCCAATCCCACGCCAGCAACAAGGTCGCCGAGACGTCCGGTGCCGCAGGTTGCAACTATAAGGATCGGGGACGATACAGTTACTAGCGTCCTTGGCCCGCCAGCGGCCAAGCGGTTGAGGACCTCTGCAGCACCGGAGGCATCTACGCCAAAGCCTAAGAAAGCAGAAGTCAAACCTTCGGCTCCTTTACCGTCATTTGGAGGTCGCCTGACTCAAATGTTTGCGGCTCAAGGCTCGTCCCAGAGCCCCGATGTCGATCATTTCGAGCCAGTGACTGGGAAGGAAAGCGACCAAGAAGAATCTCTTTTTGTCTCCCAGAGCGAGGATCAGCACGGCAATGACGGAGAAGCGACGGCAGACAACCATGAAATCGATCGGCCAGGCTCTGATGAGGAGGCCGACTCTGATGTCGAGCATGAACAAGAACGAAGTGAAGATATAGACGGCGAGTCGATAGAAGAGACCGCGGGCCACGTCGATATGCCATCGGCAGCGAGTGGCGATGACAACGAGGAATACGTGGAGGAAGAGCAGGGGTCACAGGAAGCTCAAGAATCTCAAGAAGCTCAGGGAGGCTTGAGTGTTCAAGAGTTACTAGCGGCGGCCGAAGGGGCGGGAAATACTAAAGAAGATATGCAGAAACGCTCGCAGATACTCCTCAAGGGAGGCTCGAGGAGGAAAGACTCGACACTGCAGCTTATGCAACGCTTGAAGGTCGACGAGAGTAGGATACGAGGACAGATGCAGGAGTGGAATAGTCGCCGCCTAGCAGGCTTCTCGTCCAAGGTGGCGGGAGAAGACGAGTCAGACGACCTGGAAGCCGATGACGCCGAAGAGAAGCTGTCACTGAAAATCTCAAAATCCGATTTTGGCAAGATGAAGATCCTAGGACAGTTCAACTTGGGATTCATCCTCGCTGTCCGCGAGGCCGAAGAACCTGCCGACGGCGGAGAAGGTGGAGAGAGTGAATCCCCCCAGGACGACGAACTGTTCATCATCGATCAGCATGCCTCTGACGAAAAGTACAATTTCGAAAGGCTCCAGGCGAGCACGGTCGTCCAGTCACAAAGACTCGTCCAGCCAAAAACACTCGAGTTGACTGCCATAGAAGAAGAGGTCATAATGGAGAATATCTCCTCGCTCGAGACCAACGGTTTTGACGTGAAGGTTGACGACAGCGGCGATACACCAGTGGGCTCTCGCGTCCAACTTCTCAGCCTTCCCCTCAGCCGAGAGACGACCTTCTCTCTCGCCGACCTTGAGGAGCTGATTTTCCTGCTCGCCGACAACCCAACATCGAGCGCTACGACGGTGCCGCGGCCGTCCAAGGTGCGAAAGATGTTCGCAATGAGGGCATGCAGGAGCAGCATCATGGTCGGCAAGGCGCTCTCGCACAGGCAGATGGAGAAGGTCGTCCGGCACATGGGCGAGATGGAGAAGCCATGGAATTGTCCTCACGGGCGCCCGACCATGCGCCACCTCTGTGGACTGGGCGCGTGGGAGGGGAGGGCATGGTCAGAGGGCGACGATATTGACGGGAGGGGCCTCCAAACGGACTGGGCAGGATGGGTCAAGGGGAAATCTAAGTCGTCGTGAGGATTCAAATCAATCTAGGTAGCCTTTCGCGGGGGGTTACTCCGTATCTCTCTCTTGGAAAGCTTTAGGTACACTCACTCGGTTGTCTTCATAGAGCATCATCATCACCGCTTTGAAACTAAGTGAGCTTCAAGTTGCCCTATCATCTCTGCTTGTCCTGACTCCCATCCCATAATATCCGTTCCCTAGCCTGTCATTACAAACTCCGCAAATTCCATACATACAGACAAACAATCGAGCAGAAACACCAAGCTATCCCCGTTCCATCGACCCAACATGACATCGTCCAAGCCAACCTACCTTTAAGCACACTCATACGGATCTTCTCGCCCACCACATCCCCCCTTACTCGTCAAGCCCACCATACCTCGAATACCTCCTCTCCTCTCCAACTCTCCCCTCCTCCGCAATCTTCCCACTGACCCCCCGCTTACCAAAGGTAGACGAGAAGCCCGCCTCGGCCCCCACCCCAGCCCCGACACCATAGTCGTTACCCGACGAGACCTGCCTCCCGCTGCCGACCATGACGGGCGGCGTCGCGGGCTTGAGCTCGCCATACGGCTTCGAGTAGAAGAACTCGCTCTCGGGCTGGATCGAGCTGTTGCGGTTGCGCGGCACCATCTGCGGGTTCTTCTTCAACAGCAGGTTCTGCTGCTGCTGCTGGTACCGCGTCGACGCCAGCGCCGCCGCGGCAGGCTTCTCGTCCACAATGTCCCGACTGCCGCTGACGCGGCGGTCGTTGAGGGCGATGTCGGCCAGCGCGGGGCCCCTGGACGCCGGCGGCGGCGCGAGCGGGTTGCAGCGCAGCGGGTTTGGGTGCCCGGCGGCGGAGCCGAGATCGCTCTCGTTCTCGTCGGGGCGGATCCCGGCGTCCGAGTCCGAGTCCGAGTCGTTGTCATCGTACGGCTGGGCGATAGCCTCGTAGGCGCGCCGGCTGCTCGGGGCGACGGCGGCGCCGGGGCGGCCCATTTCGCGGGCGCGCTGCTGCGTGCGGCTGATGAGCGAGTCGGACGCGTACCAGGCCTCGGTGAACCTTGCGGCGCGGGCCGGCTGCGCGGTCTGGTGCTTGGGCACCGTCGGCGTCGCGCGGTGCGAGGCCACGGTGCCGGTGCTGAGGCGGGAGGAGCTGTTCGGGCGGGACGATGACGACGACGACGCCACCTGCGTCGGGGAGGAAGGGGATGCGTACGCTTGCGCGTAGCCGTACGCGGACGAGCCGCGGCTGCTGGTCCCGGCGAGCGGGATCTCGGCGTAGGAGCCGCGGTGTGAGGAGCGCGGGGGCGGGGGCGCGGACATGCGCTTCAGATCGGCCGAGGTGGCCGAGTTGCGAGGGGAGTTGCCGGGCGTGATCTGGTACTGGCGGCTGGGGAGGTCGACGCGGGAGTCGCGCGTGCGCAGGGAGGTGTCGGAGCCCTGGCGGGTATGCATGAAGGGGACCCTTGGGCCCCGCGATATGTCCTCGTAGGGTGTGCCGGAGCGGCGGCGCTCTTCCAGCGGGGTCGACAGGCGCTTTTCGCTCTCCGTGTAGGTGGACGTGGTGGCGATGGAGGACTTGTTGCGCTTGTGCGGTCGGGCTGTCAGGTGGCTCTCTAGCGGGTTCATGTCCGGTGGCATGTTTTGGATCCGTCGGAACATAACGCCCAGCCACAGCGAGATAGCCAGGGACAGAAGATGCAGTGCGCCGTCTGCGATCAGGAGGTAGTATACAGCCGGGATGATGACGTCCATCGCGCCCTGGTTCGGCAATATGGTGGCCCACTTGGATCCATTGTCCCGGATGGCCAGAATTCCGTAGGCGAAGATGGGCGCGACACAGAGATCAGAGATGCCCGCAAATGTGTGATAGGCCGCCGAAGAGCCTGGAGTCCGTCCGCCAGCGGCTCGGGAGAGGTGGTAAATGCCATAAATGCAGTGGATCATGGCGACTCCAGGCTAGTCAGATAACATGATCAGTCTCTGCATTCCTCAGCCTGACACATGCATCCACTTACCGTGATTCTCATTACCCACGCCGTCAAGTCCGGCATCTTCTTGATGAGGATGATCATGACCAATACGCCAATTGCCCCGATCAGCTCGACTATTCGCAGCACCATCTGTACCAATCTCATGGTCTTAATCCACCATTTTTTACTGTCCATGGGCTTCCAGTACACAGACCGTTGCCCCAGGACCTCATGAGAGCTGCTGGCATTAGTGAAGAGCGACAACGGGGCGGGCCCGCGCTGGGAAGTACTCACTCGGGATGTTGGTTGAACGAGATGAGCGGGCCATTGGGCCTAGGTTTGGACCGCTTGGGCTCAAGGCTGGCACGAGTTACAGCCTTGGGATCAAATGGAGTGGAAGGGAAACGACTGTCGTCATACTTGTCTGCCTCGTAGAGAAAGGGCTGGTGAGCGCTGACCATGTCTGCAATGGGGCGTCGACCTCGAAGGAATGGAAATGTTCGGTGGGGGGGAGGGCTATACCGACTGGAATGTGGTATAATAGAATTATGGTGGTGGTAAGAACGAAGGGTGCATTCCACAGACGGGATGGATGGTCCCCCTCTATTCGTTTGTTCCTGGTGTGGTTGTTCCCAGGGTTACCACAGCAACAGTTACTTTTGCATGTCCGTGCATCCATCTATGTCTCAGCCCCAAAGACTCATTTGGGTGCCTACGTAATTACCAATTACTTCGCGAGCAGTTTTGGCTCAGCGCTTCGAATCTATATGTAGGAATAGCAGAGAGGCATCCCGTCATGGGTGTAGCATACTATTGTTTCGTAGAGAACTCCGCCTTTACTCCACGTTAAACCACAGCCCGTCCTGGACTTGCTTATCGGGTGCCAGTTCGGCCGACTAGTAGCGGGAACGGAGGCCCCACTGGGGCAATGGGTCTCGGAGCCAGGTCAACACCGCCGACGAAATTCGACTCACCTCCGAGAGCACCTACCCGCCATTCACAGGAACACGAGATGTCCTGGAGAAACAGCAGGATATTTGTTTCATATTGTCCATTGTCTTGATTCCGTTCGGAGGATACGGCCATGTCGTTATTTCAACCGAGCCGGGGAGTTTGCGCAGCTTGTGCTCGCTCTCTGCTTCGTTCATCTTCAAGTTCTGCCGTCCGTTGGTATTCATCAGATACGCCTGCGCGGAATGGCCGTCCATTGCGCATGGCCGTCATCGGCTCTGGCCCGGCAGGGTTTTACACCGCGTATAGGGTCATGAGCAGAGTCCAGGGTGCCAAAGTGGATATGTATGAAGCGCTGCCAGTCCCCTTTGGCTTGGTGCGATTTGGAGTTGCCCCGGACCATCCCGAGGTGAAAGTAAGTCCAGATTCCTTACTCGCCATCAACCAGCCGAGAACTTTCCCTCTGAGCAATATGATAGAACTGTCAAGACAAGTTTGAGGAGGTTGCTAGTTCTGCGGACTTCACTTTCGTTGGGAATGCCTCAATCGGGAATTCCAGCAACCATAGTGATGGTAACAACATCCCCTTGCCCGCTCTCCTCCGTAACTACGACGCCATTGTCTTTGCCTACGGCGCATCCAAGGACAAGAAACTCGGCGTCCCCGGGGAGTCGAGTTTGCAGGGGATCTACTCGGCTCGAGAGTTCGTCGGATGGTACAATGGCCTCCCAGAATACGCCGGCCTTGCGCCGGACCTGACTCGGGGCGAAGACGCTGTAATCGTCGGCCAGGGGAATGTCGCCCTTGATGTGGCCCGGATGCTCCTCGAGAATGTCGATGTCCTGAAGAAAACGGACATCACTGCGCATGCTCTTGAGACTCTGTCCACCAGCCGTATCAAGAGGGTCCATATCGTCGGACGCCGAGGCCCAATGCAAGTATGTATTTCTCGTCCGATTTAGCTTGGTATCGGGCTGGATCACTTACACAGGCAGGCTGCATTCACCATCAAGGAAATCAGAGAGCTTATGAAGCTCCCCAAGGTCGCCTTCCATCCCGTGGATCCGTCCTTGATTCCCGAGGACACTAAGAAGTTGCCTCGGGCAGCCAGGAGGCTGATGGATATTATTCTCAAGGGCTCTACGGAGTCGCTTGATAGCTGCTCGAAATCCTGGTCTCTAGACTTCTGTCTGAGCCCTAAGAGTTTCGAGGGTGGTCCCGGCGCATCATCTTCAAGAGTCAACGCGACCTCCTTCGAAAGAACGACGTTGTCGTCTCCATTTGACCACAGCGCTTATGCATCGGGTACTGGCGAGGTTATTCAGCTTCCATCATCAGTTGTTTTCCGTTCGATAGGCTACAAGTCTGTAGCCCTAGACGGGTTTTCCGAGATGGGAGTTCCGTTTGACGAACGGAGGGGCATTATCCAGAACAACGACGGTCGTGTTCGGCGGGAAGTCAGGACGATAGACGGCGCGATGACGACTAGTAACTCCCCCGGTCTGTACTGCGCCGGATGGGTGAAACGTGGCCCGACCGGAGTCATCGCCTCTACGATGATAGACGCGTTTGCTACCGCGGATGCCATTGCCCAGGACTGGGAATCTCGAGCACCGTTCTTGCACCAGGCCACAGAGGAACTCATGCCTCGGGGCTGGGAAGGCGTCAGGAGCGAGATCAGGCCAGACAATGCCAGAATTGTGCAGTGGGCTGAGTGGCAGAAGATTGACAAGACAGAAAGAGAGCGGGGCCTAGCCGCCGGCAAGGAACGGGAGAAGTTCACCAGTACAGCGGAAATGTTGGCAGTAGCTGGCTGAAGACAGCCTCGAAACAGACGTCGACCAGACATGTAATATCATCATAAAATCTACAACCATAAACAACTCTATTTTCTCATGAGCTTTTCAGCTTCTCCGTCAGCTCGGGAACCTTCTCAAAGAGGTCTCCCACCAAGCCCACATCTGCAACCTGGAAGATTGGCGCATCCCCGTCCTTGTTAATAGCCGCAATAACTTTGCTGTCCTTCATTCCCGCGAGATGCTGGATTGCCCCAGAGATTCCGACCGCCATGTATAGCTGCGGGGCGACCACTTTCCCGGTCTGCCCAACCTGCAGACTGTTATCTGCGAAACCGTCGTCTACAGCTGCCCGGGAGGCGCCGACGGCAGCGCCAATAGAATCCGCAAGGGGCAACATAACCCGGTCGAATTCCGCCTTGGACTTCAGGCCCCTGCCGCCCGAAACCACCCTGCCCGCCGTGGCCAGATCAGGACGGTCCGACTTGGTAAGATCTTCGGAAACCCACTCGGTAGGGCTCTCCGCCTTGGGATCTGCGCCGTCTTCCACGGCAGCAGAGCCTCCCGCAACCTCCGCCGCCGGGAAAGCAGTTCCGCGGATGGTAATGATCTTGATCGGATCGGACGATTCGACAGTAGCGATCGCATTTCCGGCATATATCGGTCTAACGAACGTGTTCTCGCCCTCGATCGCTATGACGTCCGATATTTGCTGCGAGTCCAGCATTGCAGCCAACCTAGGCAGGATGTTCTTGCCAAAGGCAGTGTGGCCAGCAATGATATGAGTATACCCTCCTTTCTTAATGTTCTCCGCTAGTAATGGAGCGAAATTCTCGGCGAGTCCCTATGTGTGAGCGGCCTGTTAGTCATGATATGACCCAAGCTGCATAGGGATCCAATGGCCATGCCAACCTTCTCATACGCGGCATTTTGCACCACAACGATCTTCTCGACTCCCTCGACCTTGGCAGCCTCTTCAGCAACCGACTTTGCGTTGCTTCCGGCAACGAAGGCATGAACCGGGCCCCCCAGCTTCTTTGCCGCCGTAATTGTGCTTAGAGACCCAAGGTTGAGCTTCCCTTCTCTCTGTTCCAAGATCGCAAGCGACGACAACAGGCGCTGAAGGGCAGAGGGGCTTGCAAACCCTCGACGGGTATGTCCGAAGACTACCCGGCGTGCAGTGGCTAGCATTTTGAGGGTGCGATTGACTTGTTTGCTGTTCACGCAGCCCGGCCAAAGCGAAAGGAATTGAAAAACGAAGAAATGTTGTCAACTGCTGCTACGAGTAATCGTCACGACGGTTTGCTGCGGCCCGAGGTTAACCAGCAGTGGAGGGCTCATGGAAGGCTCTCAGTCTCCGGAGGACTACAGGGGTGAAAAGCACAGACCACCTCTAATTGACGCACGCCGCCTTTTGGCCTTGATTCTCAGGCATTTAAATTCGTCCGTGGTTGTCTACTCGCCTGACTGGCGCGCCGAAATTATTTCAAACGCGATACTCTCACGAACATCGACAGCCATCCGAGGAAAGCCGTTTTGCGCCGACTTCCATCCCCATTGCATCGCGCCAAGTACTATTCTGATAGTTACATTCTGATTGATTGAGATTGGCGACACGCCGTCGCGTTGCCTATATTCAGCCTTACGGGCTGTAATTCGCTGCTGTCCTCGTTCCGATACCTGTCCAAGCTCGCTCTATCAACTTCAAGATGGAGGAGGGATCCGTCAGCTACGGCACGCCTACGAATGGCCCTTCACCAGGCAGTAATCCAATTCTGGCTCAGCCCCCTCTCGAGCCAGATACATCTACCCCTGGCAATCAAGGTGAAGGTATGCCACAAGCCAAGCCTCAGCCTCCTCCCTTGGACATCTTGGTGCTAACAAAGCTTGTTAATCAGATATCAATATGACGGAAGGTCATGAGCCCGCGATCAAGCAAGATAGTACCACTCCTGCTCCTGCAGCTGTGTCGGACAATCCCTTGGATGCGCCTGAAGGCCCTCCGCCAGAGTCAACTAGAGGCGCGGAAGATCAAGAGATGGGAGATGCGCCGAAGGACGAGGCTGCCCAGGGCGAGAATAACGATGCCGTCGGTGAACAGGAAACCGCTACCGATGCCAAAACGAAAGAGTCGATTGAGAATGCTGCCCGGGAGCATCTCATTTCGCAGAGGCACGCCATTGTGCTCCCAAGCTACAGTACTTGGTTCGACATGAACAAAATCCACAACATCGAGAAGAAGGCGTTACCTGAGTTCTTCAACAGCCGGAATCGCAGCAAGACGCCGGCTGTCTACAAGGATTACCGGGATTTTATGATCAACACTTACCGTCTGAATCCCGTTGAATACCTGACGGTTACCGCCTGCCGCCGAAATCTTGCCGGAGATGTTTGCGCAATCATGCGCGTCCATGCCTTCCTCGAGCAGTGGGGCTTGGTCAATTATCAGGTAGGTAACAAGGGGGACCATGTCATGGGTGGACCACTTTGCTAACAACCGTAGGTGGATGCTGAACAACGGCCCTCGCATGTTGGACCCCCATTTACGGGCCACTTCAAGGTCATCTGTGACACTCCTCGGGGCTTGCAGCCATGGCAGCCTGCTGCAGACCCTGTCGTCGTGGATGGAAAACAGAGCAAGGACACGGATGCAAAGGCAAATGCTGTCCCCGGCTCTAGAAGCGAGCTCAACTTGGAAGTGGGCCGGAACATCTACGAGGCGAACGCAAAGGGCGCCAAGCTCAACAAGTCTGAAAAGAAGACCAACGGCGATACCCCCACCACCAATGGTGTTACCTCCGCTGATGACCTGACCAAGATGCCAATCAACAAGGTTAACTGCCACAATTGTGGTGTCGACTGCACGCGCGTCTATTATCACAGCTCACAAGCAGACCAAAACTCCAAAGCCAAGTATGACCTGTGCCCCAGCTGTTTCCTAGAGGGACGACTCCCTGGGAACCAGACGAGCTCGCACTATACCCGGATGGAAAACCCAACCTACACATCGATCTTGGACCGAGACGCACCTTGGAGTGATGCTGAGATTCTCCGGCTCTTGGAGGGATTGGAGCGCTATGACGAAGATTGGGGCGAGATTGCGGATCATGTTGGCACTCGCACCCGCGAGGAGTGTGCTCTCCAGTTCTTGCAGTTGGACATTGAGGAGAAGTACCTCGAATCCGAGCCGCCTCTAAACGCCCCTACGGGCCTCCAGATGCTGGGTTCTGCCGGTGGGCAGCTGCCCTTCAGCCAGGCTGATAACCCTGTCATGTCTGTGGTGGGCTTCCTTGCGAGTCTGGCGGACCCAGCTAGCACGGCGGCAGCCGCAAACAAGTCTGCCGAACTGCTCAAGCAGAGCCTGCGGAACAAGCTTGAGGCGGGCGAGCAGGGCGAGGCGGCACAAACAAACGGCAAGGGTAAAGAGAAGGAGGGCAGCGACTCGATGGACGTAGACATCCGGCAGGAAGTCACCACAACGACCACCACTACTACAACCAAGACGTCGACAAGCGCCCTGGCAAACATTCCACTGGCCTCGATTGGCGGTCGCGCCGCAGGGCTTGCTTCTCACGAGGAACGAGAGATGACGCGTCTCGTGTCGGCAGCGGTGAATGTCACACTCCAGAAGATGGAGCTGAAGCTGAAGTACTTCAACGAGATGGAGGCCATCCTGCAGGCAGAGAGGCGGGAGCTTGAGCGGGCGCGGCAGCAGCTCTTCCTCGACCGCCTCTCCTTCAAGCGGCGCGTCCGGGACGTGCAGGAGAAGCTGAAGACGGCCGCTGAAGCTGGCGGCGACCAAGGGTATCATCTGGCCATGGACGCCATGACTGACGGCGAGAGGATGAGTTTCCAAGCCTCGCCAGCAGTCGGTTCCGTCCAGCCGTTGAGCGCCGACGGCCAGATCAAGAGCTACGAGGCTTGAGGTTTTTTTTGATGCCGCGGAGGAATGTGACACGGTTGAACGGGTTTCCTGGTAATGGCGTTTTCGGTCTCGGACGAGGACAGCTTGGTGGTCCTGTGTGAGAGTATGTTATCTGTTGGCGCGTGAAAATGGCTCTTTTTTCTCTTTGGGTGTATCAACCATGTCCGACAACTAAAGGGCGGCATTATGGAAGAGCCTTGGGTGGTCAGTCCACGGTATTATTATCATCACTCCTGGCACTTGACTTGGCCCTTGGCAGGGGTGGTTTGTTACTGGGCTTGGATGGTCGGTCAGGCAATATACGCATATTAGTGTAGCTTGTATGAATCGACAGGCCACTTTGCATTTGCATGTGAAAGCTGTCGGCAAGTCATGCTCTGTGGGTCAATTCTGTGGGCCTTCCATTCGGGGGTACCTATCTCTGGGCAACGGGCAAGCGGGCGGCCAAGTGGAAGGGCAAAGCGGGGCCAATGGCGGCTGTCGTCAGATGCGTAGTGGGGGTGTGGCCGGTTGGCGGCTATTAACCTCGGCTTAGTGAGGTCACTTGGGACACTTTTACCATGGCTCGTGTCGGAATCGGTCCAGTAACCCGCTGCCGAAGCTAATGTGACTGGAGCTGTCTAGAAAATAACCTAGGTTCGCCAGACCCAGCCTAGTTTGCGCGCCGTTGCTGCCCATATCTCTCTCTCTGCCTCGCTACCTGTGATTCTGTCCAGCACACGGAAAGGACGTTGGGGATGTTGGCATCGATCGTCAGAACTGAGGCTCGGTCTGCCGTTCTCAGAAGTAGTATTAGACAGTTTAGAGCACCTCTCGTTCGTTGCCCCTCCCTACTATCTTGACCCATCCATTGGGAAAGTTACTGGGCAGTTGCGCTGACCTTTGCTTAGAAACTCACAGCTATGGCGCCCGCAAGCAGACGGAGCAATAGCTCCTCCCTCCCTGCCGGTATGTTCTGTTTCTTTCCAGCCGATCGAGCTCGTGATTCTAATACGCACCGCACAGGTTATGTCGAGGACAAGTCCAAAGGCCCGATGCTCCGGTTCCAGGACTCGCTGCCACAGCTGCCTGTCCCTACCCTCGAAGAGACGGCAGCACGCTACCTGAAGACCCTCAAGCCCCTCCTCTCCCCGGCAGAGCTCGCCACGAGCAAGAAGGCTGTGGAGGAGTTCATCGCCCCCGGTGGACCCGGCCGCAAGCTACAGGAGAAGCTGATTGCGCGGAGGGAGGACCCGAACTGCAGGAACTGGCTGTACGAGTGGTGGAACGACGCAGCGTACCTGTCGTATAGAGACCCCGTGGTCCCGTACGTCAGCTACTTTTATTCGCATCGCGACGACCGGAGGCGGCGCGACCCCGCGAAGCGCGCGGCCGCCATCACGACCTCTGTGCTCGAGTTCAAGAAGCAGGTCGACGCCGGCACCCTGGAGCCCGAGTACATGAAGAAGCTGCCCATCTGCATGGACAGCTACAAGTGGATGTTCAACGCCAGCCGCGTGGCGGCCAAGCCGGCGGACTTCCCGGTCAAGTTCAACCCGAGCGAGCACAAGCACATCGTGGTCGTGCGCAAGAACCAGTTCTTCAAGGTCGCGCACGAGGTCGACGGCAAGCAGCTCAACACGTCCGAGCTCGAGGCCCAGTTCAGGCGCGTGTACGAGCTGGCGCATCGGGCGCCCGCCGTCGGCGCCCTGACCACGGAGAATCGCGACGTCTGGGCCGACGCGCGGGAGATCCTCTTGGGCGCGGGCCCCGGCAACGCCAAGGCGCTGGAGGCGATCGAGTCGGCGGCGTTCCTCGTCTGCCTCGACGACGCCTCGCCCGTGACGCTGGAGGAGCGCTCCCACCAGTACTGGCACGGGGACGGCCAGAACCGCTGGTTCGACAAGCCCCTGCAGTTCATCGTCAACAACAACGGCACGTCGGGCTTCATGGGCGAGCACAGCATGATGGACGGCACGCCGACCCACCGGCTGAACGACTACGTCAACGACGTCATCTTCAACAACAAGCTCGACTTCTCCGACCCGACGGTGCGCTCCAACCTGCCGGAGCCGCAGGCGATCAACTTCACCATCACCAAGGAGGTGCAGGCCGAGATCGACCGGGCGGTCAAGGACTTTGACAACGTCATCGGCCAGCACGAGCTGGCGGTGCAGGCGTACCAGGGCTACGGCAAGGGCCTGATCAAGAAGTTCCGCTGCTCGCCCGACGCCTACGTGCAGATGGTCATCCAGCTGGCCTACCACAAGATGTACGGCAAGAACCGGCCGACGTACGAGAGCGCCGCGACCCGGCGCTTCCAGCTGGGCCGCACCGAGACGTGCCGCTCCGTCAGCGAGGCGAGCGTCGCCTTCTGCAGCGCCATGGCCGACCCGGCGGCTGACGACCAGTCCCGCGCGGCCCTCTTCCGCAAGGCCGTCGACAGCCACATCGAGTACATCACGGCCGCGTCGGACGGCAAGGGCGTCGACCGCCACCTCTTCGGGCTCAAGAGGCTCCTGGCCGCCGGCGAGGACGTGCCCGCCATCTACACCGACCCGGCCTTTGGCTACTCCAGCTCCTGGTTCCTGTCCACCTCCCAGCTCAGCTCCGAGTTCTTCAACGGCTACGGCTGGAGCCAGGTTATCGACGCCGGCTTCGGCATCGCGTACATGATCAACGAGAATAGGTTAGTCTCCTCCTCTTGGTTTCCTCTTCTCACTCTCCTTGAAAAAAATCACGTGCTAACCACCGGGATACAGCATCAACTTCAACATCGTCTCCAAGGGCCTGGGAAGCAACAGGATGAGCTACTACCTCAACGAGGCGGCCGGCGACATCCGTGACCTCCTCGTGCCCACTCTCGAGCCGCCGAAGGCGAAGCTGTAAAATGTTAGTTTTTGGCTTTTGGGCTATCTTGGTTTTCGCAGGAATAGAGACTAGGGTAATTTCTTGGGCCTTGTTTGGACATCAAGGGGATTTGTCATTTTCTGTTCCTCTTTTTTTTTTAGAGAAAAGCTCGCATTTCTTGAATCATGAAGGCGCATCGGGAAGACATTATGTGCAAGCGTGATTTGGTATCTGATCTGAAATTTGACTATTTGCAGTCCTCCAACGAGGCTTGGAAGCAACGGCTATAAATGTTCTTTACACAAACCCGCACTACTGCACTGCTGCAGTCTCCAAGTACTCTCCCTGCTCGCCTTACTCATACAACCGATGGAAAAAAAGGGTTTCTGCTCAACCGGCGTGCGACACTATCTCGTTCACCAGGTCCCCCTTACTCTCATCGTAGTAGGTGCAGATCTGCGAAGGGAGAGGGAGCTCTACGTAGTCATCATCCGGGCCGGAGATGATGTTGAGGTTGATGCCGGCAGACTTGCTCGAGAAGATCCTGGTGGCTATGCTCTCCTTGCTGAAGTAGATCTGTGCGCCGTCGATCTGGTCCATCAGGACCGTGGGTATGGTGCCCATGACCTGCAGCGCAAAGTTCTGCGACTTGACAATGTCGACGGTCGAGACGAGGGAGTCCACGATGAGCGAGAGCCTGTTCGTGTTCTCAATGGTTATGGCGTTGGCCTTGCCTTTGACGATGACCGTTGCGTGGTTGCACTTGCTGATGAGGATCGAGTGGGAGATCTCCGCATCGATCGTGATCGGCGTAGAGTCCTTCTCGAAGTTCTCCTGTGCGGTTATTAGCAACGTGCTGTTTGCTGGAGTGGAGCGGAACAAGGCGAAAAAATGATACTCACAATCATCCACTTATTACCGTCGAGCTCCTTCTTCGGCGGCTTCTTAACCCGCATGCTCTCAGGTTTGGGCTTCTTCCCTGGGACAGGGGGGCTCTTGCCGGGGACTGACCCGTCACGGTCGGAAACGGTGGATGCGGCTCTTAGAGAAGGGTTCTTGTGTGTCATCTCCGATTTATCAACCTTTCTAAGGCCCTTGGTGACAGACTCGCCCTTGTTGAGCTCCGAGAATACAGCGCCGAGACCCCCTGCTGGTGCCGGCGCTGCCTTCTGGTCCTTGATCTGAAGCACTGGTGGAGGACCTGGCGGAGGCGGTGGTGGAGGACCGCCAGCACCACCGGGCGGAGGCGGAGGAGGCGCTGAAGGCGTAGAAGCCAGGGCCTTCACCACTTCTTGTACCGGCTGGCCCTTTGCATTCCAGGGAATGCCGTTGGGGAAGTATTGCTTGACGTACTGGGCGAGGTCCCGGAATATCTGGTAAAAGGCTTGCACCCAGTCGACTTGTTTCTGGTCCCTACTCTGGTATTAGCAGACTCGCTAGATAAACGTTGCGTGCCTTCGGGGATACAGACTTGTCCTTAAACTCCTTGAGCACTCGGTTTCCAAAGAACTGGGCCGATCCCAGACACTCCTCCACGTGTTTGTATGGCTTGTTCTCGACCGTGACCCAAGCAAGAACCATTATGCCTTCCGATACGGCGCTCAACTGACCGAACACCTGAGAGCCGCGATTCGCCTCTTTCATGTTGGTCACGGCAATGAGGGCGTCGTTGATCGGCTTCAGGAGGTCCTGGTATATAGACATTTCCGCCCCGGACATGTCGGGCTTCTTCGACTTCGTCGTGATGAGCAGGAACTTGCGCTGCTCCCGAAACCCCAGGGCAACTTTGGCAGCCTTGAATGAGATTAAATATCAGCCTCTACCCCGGGGTACAACGAAAAGGGGTCCCCATCTCACCTGGTCCGCTATCAGTCCACCCAAGCCCTTGCTAATTGTGAGGTATTTATCCACGGATTGGTTTATAAGCGAGTCGAATTCCTCTATGGACTCGGGCACTGGTTCTGGAGAAAGGACTGGCGCAGGAGCTGGTGCTGCTCGCTGTACCGGTGGAAGAGGGGCTGGCTCGATGCCATTCGCTGCGATACCGCTCTGTAGGGTAGGGACGGCTTGTGGCAGCTCGATGGTGGACGAAGCGATGTCTTCGAGACGGGCCGTAGCAGCCTCGAGTCTGTCTATCATCTCAGTACCTATGTCTCGGTGCGCTCCCTACCTGCGGATGCAGAATTGGATGGCGTTCACCAGCTTCGGGGCAGGAGCAAAAGGGCAAAACGGGTGCACGAGAGCGGGTAGACATACCGCTTGATCAGCGTGGTAAGGTTGTGCATGTTGTTGGTTGCCGCCATTTTGGCAAGTGTTACTGAGCTCGCCTATAGAAAGACTGCGAGCGGTGGTGTTGAAGGCGTTGAGAGGAAAGGCGCAGGCCGCGCAGGGAGCTGACGGATTGGCAAGCTTCACGGGGAGCTTGGGCCCGAACTGAGAGCAAGGGGGTTGGTTGGTGAACCCCAAGGGTACCTAGTACGGAATATACTTGGCTAATAGTCGAATGAACTAGAATTAAAACCCAACAGGACTCATAGCAAAACCGCTAAACAGGGACTCGATAATACAGAGTCAAAGAAGACATACGGAGACTTGTGTCTCTAAATACTCGCACAGATGCAGATCGCAGGCAGCATTGAAAAGATGTCGTGGTTCCGGCAACACACCCAAAACATGGAACTCGACCCCTGTCGGTCAATAACGGATTCCTGGAACCACTCCGTATTCGTACCTCCGTGCGCCGTACTTTGTAGCTCTTTTTTTCCGAACAAGCTTTAATAGGTGGGGCAGGGTCCGCCTGCAAGCAGCCTGTCTGACATTCTCAGCCCTCGAAACGGCCTTATCCGCGTCTTGAGAGAGCACAGCAGGCGCGGTTACCTGTTACCATTGGCTGAACTGCAGAGCTCAAATCTTGACATTGGACACTGCAAGGCTGGCTGCAGAGAGTAACACTTGACCAAACTTGGACATTGGCCCAACGTGCAGCATCAGCGATATCTTCTTTCCTCGACCTTGGTGATGTCGGCGATCTCTCTCCTTTTCCACCCAGCAAGTACTTCAGCAGAGAGCCATATACTTGACCTGACTCTGTTGCCTTGTCTTAGCGGATATAAAGTCAGTATGGGTTCCGAAAACGTGACTGAGACGGCGGAGGATGGGGATCAAGTTGTAGACTTTGTCACTCTGGGCATGTTTATAATTGGTATGCCTCCGAGTTTTCAAAGTGTCTCCTATTTCTATCTAGAGGGTGACTCGCTTGTGCTCAAGTTTCAACGGGTGCTGATTGCGTCTTAAGTTTGCAACCCAAAGCAGTTGGCTCACTTCACAACCACCCTGCAGATGAGATAGAGTTCCTCCCGCCGAAACCCCCCGTCCGCGATGTTCTCGGCGGCGCAGGGTCGTGGTCCGCACTCGGGGCAAGGCTGTTCTCCCCGCCGCCACTCAGCCGGTCGGTGGGGTGGATCATCGACCAGGGGTCCGACTTCCCGGCGACCCTCACACGGCTGATCGACAGCTGGGCCACCGGCGCCGTCTTCCGGCCGAACCCGGACCGGCTCACCACGCGCGGCTGGAACGGCTACGCCGACAGCTCGGAGCGCCGCGCCTTCCGGTACACGACGCCCAAGCGGCGCCTCGCCGCCGACGACCTGTCGGGCCCCCTGCTGCGGGCCCGGGCCTTCCACGTCATCTGCTCGCCCTCGCGCTGCCGCGACCTGGTCGCCGACATCCTGGCCAGGCGCAGGGCCGAGGCCGCCGACTGCGCGAGGCCGCTGTTCGTCTGGGAGCCCGTGCCCGACCGCTGCGTGCCCGACGAGCTGCTCAACTGCACCAACGCCCTGCCGCTGGTCGACGTCTGCAGCCCCAATCACACCGAGCTGGCCGGGTTCATGGGCTCCGACGGCCTGGACCCCGAGACGGGCGAGATCAGTACTGCGGCCGTGGAGCAGAACTGCGAGCAGCTGTTGGCGAGCATGCCGCTGCAGAGTTGTACGTCCCTCCCCTCCCTCATCCCCCTTAGATAAGTTGGTAGCAAGGGGCTAAAGTAACCCCAACCCCCTCGTCCTGTAGACACCCTCGTCATCCGCGCCGGCGAGAAGGGTTGCTACATCGCCAGGAACGGTGGTCGCAAGCGACCGCCGGCAGGGTCCAGCTCGCGGGGCGGCAAGAAGCCCAAGAAGAAGGAGTACGTCCGCGGCGGCCTGCAGCCGGACACGGACATGGAGGCCCTCTTCGCGGGCCTACTCCAGGACGACGAAGGCGCCGTGGTGCGCGAGGAGCTGGAGGCCGACCCCGGAACCGAGATGTGGATCCCCGCGTACCACAACCACAACCACGACGACGACGACGACGGGGCATCCGGACAGACGAAAGTCGTGGACCCGACCGGCGGCGGCAACACCTTCCTCGGGGCGCTGGCGGTCGCGCTGGCGAGGGGCAAGCCCGTCGAGGAGGCGTGCGTCTGGGGCAGCGTCGCCGCGAGCTTCGCCATCGAGCAGGTCGGCGTGCCGCGCATCGGCGCCGACGACGCCGGCCGCGAGACGTGGAACTGCGTCCGCGTCGAGGACCGGCTGAGGGAGTTCCGGGACCGCGTCGGTGTGGACGAACCGCCGCGCGATGGGGAGCAGGTCTAGGCTAGGGGGCTGCATTTTATATCATCTATCTTCTGCTGTGTTGCCTTCTCAGAGTCGTGGGGTGGTTGGGCTAGGGGGGTGGGGCAGCACAGGGGTGAGGGGGGAGTGAAGTGAGGTGAGATGACCGTGATTCACTTTGACTTTGTCAGAAGGGAAAGGACATATAGGTGCGAATACGGGAGTAAGTTTCCATCGGGCACCCCCCCTCAACCCTTTTCGGGAGGTTGGCGTAGTGGGATAGTGACCCGGTCAACCGCAGGTCTGGGATGCCTAACCTCGTGAAGGACTAATTGTGGATTCCTTCACTTCCCCTCCCATCATGACTGAAAGGTTGTGAGTTCGAGACTCCGGTCTCGATTTGGGGGTGTTCGATTTTTTCAATCTTTTTTTTTTTTTTGCTTTTTTTATTTTTATTCTGGTGCCGGACAGAGTTAGACATTAGCGAATATGTTGCTACTTCATGCTGTCGACCTACCTTGCCTCCTACACGGCGTTCTTGCGGCTCCTGTACCTGACAGGCCGCGTGTTGGTCGCGATGTTCTCACTCACCATATTCTTGCTCGCGCCTGTGCCAGGCAGCCTGAAGTTTGGGAACTTGGTTCATTGTAGCTACTCAACCGCCGATACGTAAAATCATTACTCAGGTACATTATCCGTATACCTGTCCCCCATCCCTCTCACATACGTCTCTTGGATAGGTAGGTAGGTAGTTCAATATTCTACAAAAGCCCGAAACGCCATACCCCTTATTGATATCCACTGCCAACCACGTTACAACCACCGCCATCCATTCCTCAAATCTTGTACACGAGCTCTCCATCCGTATACCTAGAATACGTGTCAGCACTGTCGTCGCCAAAGCAGGTGGGGGAGGTGAAAACTTGCATGATCTGATTATCACGATCCATCTGCTCCAACGCCTTGACGGCCTCTTCCCTAGCGAAGGGCCCGCTCCGGCCAACCTTCGCGTTGACGGCGTCGATGAGCGCGTCCACGCTCGCCGAGTCGTCCTCGAACAGGTCCGTGTTCATCAGCGGCCCCAGCGCCCTCCGGAACACGCCCAGGCGCTCGGGGGTAATCTCCGCCTCGAGAGTCAGTGCTGCGGCGCCGCTGGCCAGCTCGGCGTCTTCTTGCGTCTCCTCCTCCTCCTCCTCCTCCCCTTCTTCCTCTTCTTCCTCCTGGGACTGCGACTCGAGCTGCGAGGCCGGCAGGGACGAGGCGAAGGACAGCTGAGACTGCGAGGGCTCGCCGGCCGGCGCGCCGTTCCTGCGGCCAGATCTCCGAGGCGTGGCGTTGTAGATGTCGTCTTCGCCGTCGTCGTCGCCATCCGCGGCCGGGGGCGAGCTCCGGGCGGCGCGGCCGGCCGCGCCGTTTCGCCGACTGCCCGACGCGTTCGGCGTCCGAGCGGCACGGGCGGCAGTGCGCGCAGTGCCGGTGCGGGCGGAGGAGGTACCGCGGTGGTTGTCTTCATCGTCCGAGTCGTCCGAGTCCTCGCTCGACAGCTCGGGCTCAGCGGTCCGGGTCTTTCTGCGCTTCTTCCTCGACTCGTCCTCGAGGACTTCTTTGAACAGGGCGAAACGGAGGATGGCCTCGGCGGCGATGGCGTCGCGCTCATCCACCCTGTTGGAGAGGCGCGACTTTGCGTGTGCCGTGGCCAGGCGGATGAGCGTCTCCAGGGTACGTACCGTCATGGGGCTGGTCTTGCGCTGGTTCCCCTCCATCTCGTCGTTCCGCAGGCCCACGTAGATGTCCGCAATTCGATCCGAGGCTTCCTGGGTGAGGACGGGCTTTATTCTGGTCTTGGCGTACTGGATGTACTTCTTCATGAAAGGAATGCTGAGGACCTCGTGCTTCTTATTCGCACCTCGACCCGAGGTGGTCGTGACGCCGGAGTGGAGCATCGCATCGTACTTTTCGTACACCTCGGTAGGTCGCTGCGATTCAGCCTGGCTATTCAGCGCGACATTAAGAGACTGCTGCGCATTTTCCCTGACCGGTGCGCCTTCCTCCGTCCCGGGCCGCCGGTATCTATGCATGCGGAGAACATGCTCAGATATCTTGCGATCCCGAGTGTCCTCGATGTCATCGGTGACGACGAACAAGAGATCGAAACGCGAGAGCAACGAGTCCGGGAGGGCAATGTTCTTATGGGGATCCTTGTGGGTGTCGTATTGGCCAAAGATGGGGTTTGCGGCCGCAATGACGCTGCACCGCGCATTCAACGACGTGTGGATGCCGGCCTTGGCGATGGTGACCGTCTGTTGTTCCATGACTTCGTGGATAGCAACCCTGTCGATATCGGACATCTTGTCGAACTCGTCAATGCAAACAACTCCGCGATCGGCCATGACCATGGCACCCGCTTCCAGGCGTCGCTCGCCCGTCTCCTTGTCCGATGTGACAGCAGCTGTCAGACCGACACCGGAAGAACCACGACCAGTGGTCGCAATGGCGAGAGGGGCCGTGTTGAGGACGAAACGTAGGAGCTGAGACTTGGCCGTTGACGGATCGCCGACCATGAGAATGTTGATGTCTCCTCTCAGGTGGGTTCCGTTCTCCAGGTTCTTCTCCATGCCTCCAAGCAACATCAGCAGAATCGCCTTCTTGATGTGGTCATGCCCGAATATGCTCGGTGCCAGTGATTGGGACAACAGTTGAAAGACGTTGCGCTTTTTGGCGATCTTGTTGATGTTCCGAATGTCGGTATCGGTGATTGTTGCTGTTGCCACGCCCGCGCCAGACTTGGATGACAGGAGGACGATGTTATTGGCTAGGATCAAAGTCTTGAAAAGAGCACTGTTGTGGTTCGTGTTTCGGTTGCCGAGTGTTCTGTAGATGCCAACTAGTTGGACTCGGTCGCCAGGCTTGACCTTGTCAACCAGGTCGTCGTCAAGGACCACATCCACGCCACGGGGGAGCTGCCCTGCAGGCGCTCTCTCTGGCATCTCCTGAATGGAAACGGTCTGATGGTCTCGGTAGGTGCAGAGGCCGTACTCTGTGAGAAGTGGGTTGCCCTCATCATCCTCCTGGGGGTATACGCTCGACGTTGTCGCACCATTCGTCATAGTCTGGTCGAGGTACTCTCTGTAGTGGAAGATGTTTTTGGTCTCGTTGTAATGCACGCTCTTGACGACCTTGGGGCGGATCAGAGAGCACCTTGTGACAATACCTTCGATCGATACCATATTATTGAGGTGCTGCGACGATATGGTTCTGGGATTGCAGGCATGCAGCCCAAAGCTGCCGGCCCAAGCGCAGTAGTACATGACTTCGGCGTCAATCTGGTCAGGTCTCGCCTGAGGAATCGTCTTGACGATCTCCTTGAGAGCATGATTGAAGGCCATGGAGTATTCAAATGGCGCTGTGAGCAGTCCCTCGGCGATTTCGGCATTGTGATCGCGGACATGGTCGATATTAACAACTAGTCTCTGCTGGTTCTTCTGGAGCATCAAGATGATGTCCGGCCTGTAGCTTCGCGCATGTTGATCATCTATGGAAAGGTGGTTAGTGGCAAACCGCTGGGCGAGGGGTTAAGAATGAAGGCGTGGACGTACGAGGATCTAGGAATTCTTCAGCCTGGCGGATACGGTTTCGCGCCGCCTCGTCCCGAAGCCAGAGAGCGTCCATGATGTTTTCGATTACAGAAACCTAAAAACGCAAGGCGATCGAATAAGGAACGGGATCGCAATCGACTTCTGGCTGTGGTGGTGGAACAAAATAGAATGCCATGCGTTTGAATGTGCGAAAGGTGGGCGCAAAAGGGAGACGCGACGCGCAAAGCTGGAGCGCGTAAAGTGGTTTCGCGTCAAGCCAATCAGCGTAGCGTATTCAAGTATTCATTCTCCCTAGCCCCTGGTGCCCCTGAATGCGGGGCACGTGAACAAGGAAAAGCACAAATCATTATGGCCCGACGAGTTCCAATAGCCATGAATTTGCTCAAGAAAATCTAAGGTTGTTCTAGGCTCTCAACTGAGGCGATCAACGTTATTCCAAACATTAATACTTCGTGGGTCTCCAATCTCGGATTTGTGAAGCCCGGAACTTGGGAACTTGGAAGAATTGGGATACAATTCCATTTCGCTGCCGCCTCATCCGCCTATCCAAGAGAGACACGACGAAGGGTCGAAGATTCGAGGTCAATTTAAGGCTGGCCTCCTGAGGATGTTATTGAACTGATCTATATCTCGTCTAATGGCGAAAATCTACTGCCGCCTTATTCCAATTCAAAAACTCGAAACCTCCACTCGTCAAATGCTTGTCACGTCACACGTTGTGTTGCGGTTATTTTCAGTCGAGGGTTGAGCATTCTCGACTTGCTCCACCTGTTCGCTGTCCTGAAGTCACTCGTGTTCGCAATGACCTTGCAACCTTGGGTTGTCCCTTCGGGCTAACACGACGGAACGACGCAAGCAACATCCCGAGACATTGTCGCACGTAGACTCGCTCCGTCCTCCGTCCTGCTTTCTGTGCTCTGTCATTTGACTGTAGCCCAAGAGACCTGACGGTTGAGTAGAGTCGGGTCGGGCTGAACTTGCCGGTATGCCCTGATCAGTCTACTTCCGCACCACCGCCCCATGAATGAGCGCCTGCCATAGAGGAATCGGATTCTGGCTCTATCTTTTATCGTTGTCTAGCCGACTCACGCCCGGTGCTCTTTCGACTGATGGTCTGCAAGATGATAACCCAATCCAGCAACTTGCTTAGGCTGAGTAACCAACCCACCGGCTGGCCATCGCACCAGTCCTCGCTGGCCTTCGGGTACTCCGTAGGCAATGTGTCGTGGATACCGGAGCCGTGCCTGCCGCTACCCTTCCCGGCTGCGAAGTCGACCTGGCGGGTTCGACCGATTTCGACGCGCGGCCGTTGTCCGTGAGACAAGCAGAGCAATTCGGAGTACGTGGCGCGCGCATGTCAGTCGTGTAATGGTCATCTCCCCCTGTGGCCTCGGGAACTCCGCTGCCCACTAATACTGCTGGCATATCGTGGCTTCCCGTGGTTTGGTACCAAATGATATAGGACTGCCAGGCCGGACGAAAAAGAACGGATCGGCGTGGCAGCTAACGTAATGCTGATGTACTCATGCGCCTTCCCATCGGAATTGGAGCATCCAAGTCACGGGAGCGCGTTTCTTGCTTGGGGTCAATGGCCTCCGGAAAGCCGTTCAGACATTTGCGGTAGCGGTTGCGAGCATCGAGGTCGGGGGGACGAGGGGGGACGTAGAAGTCGCCTGTATCTGCACAATCGAATATCAAATGGCAGTCGCTGTACTCCAGAGTGGCCTAACAGATTCCTCTTCGTCCCTTGCCAATGACAGAATCATCGGGTTTGATAGCCTTCAAATGCTCGGTACGGATAACTAATACAACCCGTCACTTGACTAGAATGACTAAGGTGATGCGATGCTTGTTTACAGCAAGATGCAGCGGAAAGGACTGGAAGAAATATTGGGCCGGAATTGAGCTGCTTGAGTTGGGAATGACTAGACTTCGTGGGAGAGATCTATGCATTTCCCAACATGCTTAGGGGGTACAAGAAAATTCAGGGTCGCATAGCCATATTAGGGGAACAATGCGCATATGTAACTGAAGGGAAATTGGAAATCGTATGCATACTTACTCGCTGCATATGCAGAGCGAAGATGATGCACCCCTTAGTCGGACAGCCTGCCCATACTATGGGAGCTGCCAACCGTGCAGGGGAGTCATGCCCGTATTGAACTTCCCAGCATGTTGAGGTGAATGTACCTCGAATCATTGCTTCTTCCTAGATGCCCAATGGTATTAACAGGGAAGCAAGGTTGTTGACATCCCGGCTGTGGCGCTCGTGCTCTATGACGGACAGGTGCAGCAATGCACAGTCTGACGGGATCTGCACCGGCAACCGTTCTGCTGTTCGGAGAGTAACCGATAGGGAGAAGCAGATTAATATTGCAAACCTAGAAGATCACCGAGGATCACGAATAATGGATATATCATATATCCATGTCAAGATCATTTGCTCGTCGCCTGACAATGCCACAAGTCCTGGTGCCGAATATACGTGGGCTCGGTAACCTCACAATTTCGGAACCAGGCAATTGAGGGGAAACGTCTCTGCAACGGAGCGCATCGCGAGGTGGTACGAAGCGGCAACGACCGAGAAGGCAGCTTTGGGGCAGACCTCTCAAGGCCTGAGTTCGCAAGTATCCTGCCGGGGCGGGGTGGGGGATTGCTTCTCGTGATAATACCACGGGATGCCCACAACCGTGTTCGGACAAAGACTGAAGGTGTCATTGGCCGGCTCGTAGTGACAGGCGGTAAAGCAGGATTGGAAGCAGGATGATTCTACCCGCAGGGCCGACGGCGCTTTATGGGATTGGGCAGAATCCACAGTGGTTCGATAAGGTAGTCACGTGGTAGCCTCGGTGCTTGAAGGGGCAAGTGACACTCGCTCTGCTGACAGACCCAACATGCCAAGTTCGGGATGAGCACTGCAGTTCTGGCCCGAGATCGGGATGCCGAACTGTGGAATTTGGACAACCACCCCCGCACACCACCAAATCTCCCTGGTTGCTTGCCGAATGGGTGTTTTAGCATGGCCGTTGTCGCACAGCAGCCGGGAATCATCGAGTTGCTTGCAGACCGATTGTGGCACGTGAAACAAACGCCCGACGCTGTGTCATGATCCGTTTTGTTGTCGGTTGCAGCTTGTCATGGTTCCCTTCGAGTGTTTGCCGCAGTGCTGAATTATCTTGGTATCGTGGTGTCCCGGGTACGCTGCCAACTGTGTCCAAGTTCTGAGTGCTTTCGAGGGACACGTGAGTGTGAGCAAGGAGTCTAGCCAGTGAAAGCATGCATTCTCTCAGTATCAGGGATCCGGCTAGGCGAATCATACCGTCACCCGATGATCCACAACCCGGGAGACTAAACAAACTTCGGGCCACCGATGAGTCCATCGATGGCGGGGACCTCCACCAGGGATCCAGACCTTGCTTGTCGTGAGCCAAACTAACCCTTGTCGCCACTCTGCAGGTTGGCTTGCCGGTTGACATCGACCTGCCTAGCTTCTAAATAGGTAGCGCGAACCTTTATATATGCAGGTGATATGGCCGCCATTGGGGTGATAGTCGTTATCTCTTCTTTCCCATCGTGCTACCCGACTCAACTCATCATTCCTGCGGGGCTCTGCATTTAAGAAGTGTAAATAATCTTTTTTTTCTTCTGGCCCTTGCTCCTTCAGCACCTCCTCTTTCTCTCTCTCGAGATGGTGCTCAGAACTCTCGATACCGGCATCCATGGTACAACGGCACTCAACGCCGGCAAAGGCGCCAAAGAAAAGGCAAAGTCGGCCGTCCTGCACCGGCACCTGAACCATGAATTCCTGACGCTGGTCAGAGGGGAGGGGAACTACCTCGTCATGGAGGATGGCCAGAAGATTCTCGATGCCTCGGGGGGTGCTGCCGTCGGTTGTATCGGATGGGGCAACAAGAGGGTCGCTGAGGCTATCATGGAGCAAGTGCTCAAAGCCCCTTATTGTTCCACGATATTCTACACCACTAGCGTATGCGAAGAGCTATGCCGCATGCTGGTCGAATCGACCGACGGACATATGGCGCGCGCCTATATTGTGAACTCGGGTTGGTGCTAGCGCCACTGACACAGTACCGGGGCTGCAAGCTGACATGTGGTAGGATCTGAGGCGATGGAGGCGGCTATGAAGCTTGCACGCCAGTTCTTCCTGGAGAAGGACCCGCCCGAGCCGCAACGGGCTCGTTATATCTCGCGACGCCAATCATACCACGGCATCACGCTGGGAGCGTTGTCGATGGGTGGGCATGAATATCGGCGTAGAAAGTTCGAGCCTCTGTTGATGGACAACATCACTCGAGTGTCCCCCTGCTATCCATACAGGGGACAAGATGAACGGGAAACGGACGAACAGTATGTTTCCAGGCTGGCCCAGGAGCTCGATGATGAATTCCAGAGAGTTGGGCCGGATACAGTCTGCGCGTTCGTCGCCGAACCCGTCGTGGGCGCCGTAAGTCGTGCGCCTGAACTGGCCATAGCTGTGCATTGCAAACTGACGCTCGCTGACAGGCACTGGGCTGCGTTCCTCCAGTTCCTGGGTACTTCAAAGCCGTCCAGGCCGTGTGCCAGAAGTACGGTGCCCTTCTGATATTTGATGAAGTAATGTGCGGCATGGGCCGGACGGGAACACTCCATGCGTGGCAGCAAGAGGGGGTGGCTCCGGACATCCAAACCATCGGGAAGTGTCTTGGTGGTGGATATCAGCCGGTTGCTGGAGTTCTTGCTAATGGGCGGGTCATTGATGCGATATCGAATGGTACTTCGTGAGTGTTTTCCACACCATGGTGAGCGCTCAGGTGGCACTAACCTTCGTCCGCCAGGGTATTCGTCCACGGGCACACCTATCAGGGGCATCCGGCAGCTTGTGCGGCGGCCTTGGAGGTTCAGTGCATCATCCACGATGAGGGACTTGTGGCGAACGTGAGGAGAATGGGATCTCTCCTGTCGAAGCGGCTATCCGAGACGCTGGCAGACCATCCTAACGTCGGGAACATCCGGGGGCGAGGTCTCTTCTGGGGAATCGAATTTGTGGCCGACAAGCAAACCAGGGCACCTTTCCCGAGCGAGGCGCATGTGGCCATGGAAATCAGCGAGCTGGGGCTGACCAAGAACTACTCGATCAGCGTGTACCCCGGCACAGGCACTGCCGAGGACGGGATTGGGGGAGATCACATTATCATTGCGCCGCCATACAATGTGACAGCAGAAGATATCGAACTGGTCGTTTGCACAGTTGGGAGGCTAGTGGAGGACTACTTCGCCTGAAAAGAGAATTTGAAGATTGGAGGAGGGCCATTTCTCTTGGGATTGGTTACTGTCCAGGATGAGCAGGGAGGTTCCATGCCAGATTTGATTGGTCTGTGGATGGTTTGGTAGAGGGTTTGTATGTACCTATGTACAGTACCTATCTACCTATCAACCTTGGGAATTGCCACAGAACCGGGCTGGCACTCTTTAGGCTAGAGACGAAAGTTGAGAGCCAGCATACAACCTTGAAGTAGACCTAGTTCATCAATATCTTCCTCATCTTGCCAAAGCACTCAGGAGTCAGGACTAGAGAATTTGTACTTGCTCTGGTTAGCAGGTGGCGCCCAGCCGTCAGTAACCGTGCCCGGCTTCTGTGGAGTCCGGGGTCGTCCCTAGCGCAGGGTCACCGCGCCGCGCCTTGCGGGGACCAAGACAATGCCTGCATATTTGGCCAGTGGATATGCCACCTCCCTCTCCACCACTTCGCTACTGTCACCAGCACGCCAACAGTTCCTCCTTTCGCAGTTTTCAACCAGGGCCATGGCGGTTGGCTTCGCAGGTGGGCGCCACGCGGCTGACGAAGAGGCCCGCGCAGAGGTCGATGTTCTCAACTCCCGCCTGGAAAAGACGACCCAATTGACCAAAAAAATCCAAGCCAGCTTGGGCAGGCTCGAAGCTACGGGCAAGAGTGTGCGCGAAGTTGTTGGACCCCTCAACGGAGAGACTAAGAGACTCCAGACCCTCACACACAGTCAGTCCCTTCCCTTGCGTTGCGCCTTGTGCTTCGTGCCATGCGCTTTGCAAGTAATCCCACTGCAGCTCTCCCCAGCTAACGCCCTGCCACAGACATCGATTCGGTCATCACAGCCATCGAGAGGCTTCGCCAGCCGGCCGACAGCAAGAATGACGAGGAACAAATCATCCGCATGGGTCCCGATAAAGCGGGCCTCTCGAAATACCTGGCATCCATCAAGCGCCTGGACAAGGCCTTGTCCGAAATGAAGGCCTCCAACCTCCGGTCGACACAGCAGACAATGATAGATCTACAGCGGCTAGTCAAGTCCGGAAACTCTCAGCTCGAGAACCACTTTGAGAGGCTACTGCGCGGAGAAACCCCACGGTCGATCGAGCCGCTACACTTCATCACTAAAGACAAGCCGTTTCCTGTACTATCACAGGACCAGATCGCACGGCTTGGTTTGGTAAACTCATATGTCGCAGGCATCCACCGGCAGAGTGCTGGTGGTGCTGCATCCCAGGAGGTCCCGGTTGCTAAGATCTACGCCGAGATCCGAGGCCCATACCTGTCAGCCACTCTTGTCAATCTCGCAGCAGCGAGCGTGAGCACTGCTAAAAAGAACCATCTCGATGCGATATACCGGCCTGGCACCAACGGAATTGGCACATATGCACAGGCGATGGAGGGCATGTTCCTTGCCGAGTACGACAACATCTGCAGCATCTTCATGAGGGAGGATTGGGGCCCCGTCTTCCAGGCTACGTGTCAAACCTCGCTTATGGAGCTGGGGCGTACCCTGCGAGAACTCAACAACCATGTCAAGGGCCACATGAATACGGACTGCTATCTCGCATACGAGATTGTAGAGATCATCTCTGCCCTGTCGAACAATCTGGAGACCCGTACGGGAGAGCTGAAGGCATCACTTGCCGCGTCCTTGAAACCCGTCCGAGAGACGGCCAAGGCTTCCCTGGCGGAGCTCTTGGACGACACCAAGCGGCGAGTGTCCGCCCTCCAAACCCTGCCGGCCGACGGTGCACCAGTACCTATTGTGTCAGAGACAGTACAGCGGCTGCAGAGCATGGTCAACTTCCTGCGGCCGATATCGAGCATCATGGTGTCTCTCGGCGACGGGGGTTGGAAGTCCGCCACGGCGTCAAGGGGAGGCGTGGGGGACGCGATCCCCAGCCTTTCGTCGTTCGACATCGGCGCGGACGGCCAAGACATCTTCGCCCACTACTGCACCGACACCATTGAGGCGCTCATGGTGGCGCTGGACGCGCGGGCGCGGGTGATCCTGCAGAAGAAGGCGGTCATCGGAGTGTTCCTCGCCAACAGCATCGCCATTGTCGAGCGCATGATCCAGGACTCGGAGCTCGCGCCGCTGCTGGACCAGCGGCTCGGGGTGCTCGACCAGTGGCGGAAGAAGGCGACGAGCTTCTACACGGACACGTGCAAAGACGTCAGCGTGCACCTGTTCGACGTGATCCACACGAGCCGGACGGCGCGGCCGGCGAGCGGGCAGGGGGCGGTGGACAGCGCGTCCATCATGAAGGGCCTCAGCTCCAAGGACAAGGAGAACATCAAGGCCAAGTTCCAAGCCTTCAACACGTCCTTCGACGACATGGTCGCCCGCCACAAGCAGTTCAGCATGGAGCGCGAGGTGCGGCAGATGTTCGCCAGGGACATCCAGCACATGATCGAGCCACTCTACAACCGCTTCTGGGACCGCTACCACGAGATCGACAAGGGCAAGGGAAAGTACGTCAAGTATGACAAGTCGTCCATCTCGGCCGTGTTCCTCAGCATGTATTAGTCCCGAAGCTCGGCTGCTTGTTGCGTGATCCTCTCCGGTCGGGCACAAACCACTATGGCTGACGTCCGCTTACGACCGCGCGTCCTGGTGGCATATAACACACTTCCTGCATTGTATCACATATGATACATCAGCTTTGGAAGCCCGGCCAACGAACATGCCGGACGAGACAACGTGGGTCGACCACAGAACCGCATGATGCCGGGACGGCCCATAGTTGCTATCATAATATTGGGACCATGGGTTTATCTTTTGGGGCCTCCAGTCGTTTGTGAGATGAGATACCTATGCGCTGGTCGACACTTCCGGCGGGGCAAGCACAAACCCGGAGGCCCCACCTCAAATCACCTCCGAGGTTGGGCTGAAGAAGTGGACGGCGGGGTGCTCTCGTGACGAAATGCAATGCAACCAATCTATCGGGCATGACAAGGTCTGAGTCTGTCGGTCGGTGCTTGAGGAGGGAGGAAGGATAAGGAAGGGGAAACCGGGGGGGTTAAGAAGAGGGGGAGGAGAGGGGTTGGTTCCATGGTGATGAGGGGCAAGCACAGCAGCTCATAGGTGGTGGTGGTGAGCTGGTGGCTTGCGATGCGATGCGTTTTTGATTGCGTTATCTCCTTTTCCACTCCGAGGTCTTCACGTTTTTGGAAAGCCGGTGGGGTTCCATCGTCGATGTGCTTCCAGGTTTCTGGTGTATTGCAAGATACCATTTTCGTCGATTTGGGAAGGCTCGGCGTTGGAGGGGTATCTGGATTTGGCAGGGTGCTGCCCCTCTTTCTCTTAAGCTGGGTAGGGTTCTCCTCCCCCCTTTTTTGCGATATATGATGGTCCAACTGGAGGAGAGAATGGGCACGACGCCCGAGGAGAAATGCGGAGACGCCTATATGCAGCATCCTAACATAGATATCCCATGTGTGCAGCATTGCAGATCAGCACCCTGCCGATTTGGACCTGCAGGCCAATCCCCTTTGAGCGTCGTTCACCGGGGCCCATGAAGTCGGTGTGCTCACCGGTTTTCAATATCAATTATCAGTTTTTGTGTTTTTTTTTTTTGGTTTTCTAGGGGGGCCTGCGAGTGAGGCAACCAAGAGGTGCAGGACCCAAAAAGCAGGCTGGGAGTGTAGGGTGTGACTGTATAGGTATCTGTGGCGATGAGAAAGAACCACCTGTACCTAGTAATGTAGGTATGTACGTTTGAACCGCCTACCGGCTTATTCGGCGATTCCATGATGTCTTCGTCTCTTCCATCGCCTCGTCCGTCTTAAAACCCGCGCCGTCGTGTCAGCTCTTTGGCCAGGCAGCGCCCCTTCCCCATTCCGTACGACAACGGCCCATTCCTCGCCCGCCCCTCCTCGACAACACAGAGAAAGGCGGCATTTCCTGCAACCGCCTCTCTTTCGAGGGCTTCGCCGCCCGTCTTTCTTCGTGTATGCATACGGGATACCACGCACGCCGGTCGACCCGGGTAGGGTTGAGCATGACGAGGAAACGAAATGAGACCAGGGTGGTGGCCACCCCCGCCACTTGGATGGGCGTTGCTACTCTCACCGAGAAAGAAGCACTGACATGGGGAGGCCAGATACCAGCTTCGATACGCCTAGTCGGGCTGAGAAGGGGGGCTGTATGGGAACCCGAGTATATGGTACCTCGTTGCTTTTACGGTCTAATTGTATTGTACATGCGTGACGTGTCGAGCAGCAGTGGGAGTGAGGCAAAGCAGGACGAGGCAGGGCAGGACTGCATCAACAACGACATGGGGGGGTAGAAAATAGCACACAGCATACACAGAATACACAGGGTGGAAATTCAAAATGCACAGGGGTGTTGATGTGGAAAAATGCGTGAGGTCCCAAAAAGAATTCCCTGCTATCTGTTCAGATTCTCGCCTCGTCCGATGTGTGGGTATCTCCCAGATCATGATATGGATCGTCCAGTAGTACTGTAGCCAACGCCATTTCCCTAATATCCCGTCCTTGCGTTTCTCCCAGAGTCCTTCCGTGCAGAAACGAGATAACATCCCATGTATTCCCACCCAAGAAAATATTAAAGGAAACGCCACCACAATGCCTTGCCTGAACCGAAACACCGTCAAGCATCCCTCAAAAGTCCGTGCCCTGAAAAAGTATGCAATGTAGGAAAGATCCAAAGAGCAAGGGAGAAGAAAAAAAAGAGGGAAAAAGGATAAAACCCCCCTGGCAGAGCGAGTGAGCAAGGATGGTTAATACAGTCCCGAATCGTGTTCCGTGGCGCCGGCCGTGGCCATGGCCCAGCCCAGACCCATGCACGCAAACCCCAGGCTGCATGGATCGTGATGCATGATGCCAGCCGTGACTCAGGATAACGAAGCGGGCCACGACAGCACTAGCCTTGGGAGGCGTGGCCGGCCACCCCTTCCAAAGTTGCCGCGGGTGGAGAGAGAAAGCAGAGAGCGAATCAAGGCGGATCGGCCCTCCCGTGGTCGTGGGGGAGGCGAGGGGACATGCAGCTCCTTTGGATTTGCCCGTTGAATCGCTGGCCGGGTATCCGTAGAATTGTGGGCGGGTAGAAACAGACGCATGTTGTCGACGATGGGGAGGAGCAGAGTCGTCGTGAAGAGAAGGGGGAAAATGAGGCCATGCGGCGAGGGAATTCTCGGCATGCAGTCTGCAGGAAGACTGCATATGTTGCCCGGGCCACATGCAGCCAGCCCAATTGGGTGGAACTGGCCTGCCTACGAGGGGCAGCGGGCACAGTGAGAGCTGCCAGGGCAGTAGTCGTGAGTGCCGAAGTCGACGGCCTTGCAGCAGAAGGAGCAGCAGTGGTTGACGAGCGGTTGGGCTTCCTTGACGGCCATTGTGTAGATTTGGCGGTTTTTGTGTTGGTGTTGGTGTTGGTGTTGGTATTGATAGAGGTAACCTTCTTCAGGGTTGGGAGGTTGAAGATTTTCAAGTGAGAAAGATAGAGCTTGGGTGTTGGTGTTCTTATGTTCTGATGCTGCAGATGGCTGTTGCAGATTGTGGGTGCTTGGAAGGGAATGAGGCTTTATATACCACTTGAGCAAGTTCGGGAGGTGACGGGTCGCTCAGGCTTTAAATAATTCTAGGGAGGCGGCAGCTGAGGGAGTTGAGGATCGAGTTGGTAAAGAAAGCAGTGTGCGGGATACAAGCGGAGGCTTAGTATGTTGAGGATGCAACTATGTCACAGCTTCAGGGGTCCGGATTGTAGGCTGCAAAGAGTAGAGAGTACCTAGGCACAAACCCCACCCCGCCTTGCTGATGGAAGGCAACTTTAATTGCCTAGGTTGCCTTGCTGTGTTGTCCAACCTGTTGGGCCAACAGAGATACAGTTGGTCGTCTAAGGTCCAAGGGGGCTATGATAGAAACAGACGCAGCGGTGTGGCACGAGGCGGTCACGGGGGGGTGGGTAAAAAAAGAACCCACCTTACGTCTTCCTTACGTCGATAGGCGGGAAAGTCTTGGTGACGGGAAGCTCCGACCCCGCCAAGGTCCCGCACACCCGTGCCGTTACCTTTAATTCGATTATACCAGCAACATGGAACGATACATACGATTAGATAGGCACATCTATGCCTATATACGGCGTAGGATTTCATTTTTGGGACCCCTCTCTGAATATCCCCCTTTGGGCTCTTCCCCAGGCTCCCGAGTGCCAGGAAAGGAAGGGCCGAGCAAGCGCAGCAGGTGCAGGGGTGGTCCTAAAGTGATGAGGGGGAAATGGAAGAGGGGAATAGGGGAGAAGGAGAGAGGGGGAAGGAGAGGCTGCAAGTCGTCATTCTCCAGGATACAAAGTGAGGCTGGTGGTGATGATACGAGATTTTAGTGTCACTATTATTATTATTTATTATTAGGCTCCTGCAGATGCAGGCAGGGAGTGTCAAGCAAAGCTACCCCAAGTCAGTTTCATGCCTATCTAGGCATATCTTTCATTGCGAGGTTCTGTTGACGTACCTAACCTGGATCAGCAGAAGGACGTGGCCGCTGACGTCGCCCCAGCCCTCAATGCTCCCATTGAAACAAGACATTTCAATGTTCAACCATGGAAGCCAATGCTGAAGCCGATAGTGGACAGCACAGGCCAACATTAGTCCTGCCACTCTCTCTGGCTCTCCATGCCAGGTGTTGCGGAGAGAATTAGCCGCCAATCTGCATTGGGGGAGCACGTGGGCGGTTAGACGTCGCAGGTTGCGCTGCACAATGATCGCACACAAACCCCCTAATCGCACTTTGATACTTTTATTGGAAAGCTTCTATGAGTGGCCGTCTCGAGTCCCTCTAGATGGATTCTTGGCCTCGGTTCCGTCGGCATTCGTCATTCGCAAATTGAGAACCTTAACAACGATATTTAAGTCATTATTCGATTCGGCCCAAAGTCACGGCCTGCAACCAACCTGCATGGGACTAGCACTGACGGGACTTAGGGATACCCTACTGAAAGTGGGAAATCCCTTCTCCGAGCCATCTTCCTCGGTCAATTCTGAACGGCTCCAATGCAGAAGACGATGATGAGCAATGGATGCCAGCGCCGGGATCTTGAAGCTTCCGTGGAGAGGAGGAAAAGGGGCGGCACAGCCACCCTTGGTTGGAGCCACCGGCCAACTGGCCAACTGGACATGAGAATTGCTGTCTTGCGGTCCCAAACAACCCCTACTAATCACAAAACATTTGAAACCAGGCACGTCTGTCACCATCAACGGCCCTATCCGTGACCAAGACAGGGACCAAGATGCTGGGGAGGGCCGGCATCCTCAGATCTGGGAAGTGACGTCTGCTTCTCTTCCTTCGTGGTGACAACACAGTCGTCAAAGCTCGTCCAATGGCAGCCCGTGTGCCAAGCTTTTCGATCATGGGGCTCGGGCCTTCTTCTAGTTGGTTGGCTGTCACACCACCCGCTGCTCTTGAGCTTTCCACCTCTCAACTTACCTTAGTCTGTTTCCCTTCCAACCTCGCGCGCGGTTGCGCTCGCCGTCGGGTGGCATTAGACCGCGACTCTCAGTTCCCGACCTGTGCAATAGCTTCCATCCTAGCCAACTATCGGCCGTCCCATCGTCTCATGGCGGTGAAGGAATGCTACCGTGATAGCAACACTACTAGTGTGATCACAAGCGAGTCACTCAATCATCGCCGGCAAGTAGGGGAGTGGGCCAAACGGCAAATCTGGACTCTCTGGACTGCTACGTTGTACAGTACCTTTCCCGGGCATGGCATCGTCTATCTTGACCTGATCACTCCAATGCCTAACCGGCCGATATCACTCACGTGGGGGTTGACTTTGCTGTGTGTTGTCGTCCGCCTCTCCTCGTTGCAGGCTTGCACGGCGAAAAACTCTGCAATGGAACAGTCGCTGCGATAACAGGCCGCCCTAAATACCGCGGCTAATGGGGAAATGAGGCAATTGGCCACCGTTTCCCGAGCTATGACCCTGATTGCAGCGTACATATGTGACCTGTGAGTAACGGCATAGAACGTGCCCTCTTGCACATGGGGATCGACTAGAAAGCACGCAAGAATACGGACGTGGTCCCGTGGACGGGCTAAGGGTGTTCGGACACTCTGCTCTGGGCTTCTAAGAGGCCCGCTTCCGGCGCTAGAAGCACATCGAGAATGTTTCGATGCACCCCCAAGACCACGTTTTCCGGCGAGTGGGTTGCCCCCATCCTCTGGGTCCCTCCTCGAAATGATATGCGAAGTGGGGGCTGGCTGGGCACCACTAAGTATTCACCGTTCTGGCGGTTTTCGGCCTGACGAAAGCACCAGAGCAGTCCTCCTTTGAGTCGGTCATAGAACTGCGTACCATCCGCAAGATTTGAGGTTTTGACCGACTTGACATTGACACCAGCCCTCGAGTAGGATTCGCTGCGCGAGTCCTTGGCGAATTTGGTTGGCGTGGTTGGTCTACCTAACTGCCAATCTCTCCCCCCCCGTGACCACCATCGATCCGGCTGCGTGGCTCCAACGTCCTCGGCAGCTAATTATCCCACCACTCCACTACAAACACCCTGTGGCCTTGTTTCAAGTCCAGCGTGGGGCAGAGCTACGAAAGCCACTTGCTCGTACTCTGTACCGATACGGGTGCACTACTGCTGGATCACCGCCAGTCTGTCGTCATTCTTCAAACCTGAGCAGGCTTCGATGCACTCCCGCCCGTGCGGCCTGTGTGAACTTCGTCTTATGGTGGAGACGCGGCAAAGGGGTTAGCTCACCTGCTCACCTCTTGTTGCGCAAAGTCCGGCAGTGCTGTTCTTCAGGCGTAAACAAATCCCTATCTCATGGCGGGAGGAACTCATGCTTAGACGAGGTCCTTACCCTCTTGGCTAGAATGCCCACCGTTTTTATGGGATGATATTGCCCAGTCCTCCTGTGCCACATCCCTTGATCTGGAGGGTTTGGCACAGCATTCCACGTCCTCCGCAGACATTGCGCAGACGGTGATCTACTCATTGGCTGTAGCAAAGATAGATCACCGTCATTCGGTCCATACTGAAGGAGTCATCTCCGCCCTGTTGGCTTTCCTTCCATCCATGTGATAGTACTCCATATGGAAGTGGTATCCCAGCTGCAGCTACCATGCTTCGGCTTGGGGTCCCTCCGCTGTCATCTAGCCCGGTTGCAACGACCATTCGGGGCGCGCAAGGCAGGTTTCGCACACGAAACCCCAAAGCGGAAGTGAACCTGCCCGCCTGGGATGCCTGGCTTTTTCTGCTCGTGTTGTTCGAGAAATGCCGCAAGCTGTGGCTACTGAGCAGCAGTGGATGGGTTGAAGGAAGGAACCAAAGGAAAACAAGGCGCTGGCGCTTCGTTGTGGTGCCTGCGCCGTGTAGCAGAGCCAACAGTCCTGAGTGAAAGTCATGCATGCCACATTTAGGCCCTGATTTTTCTGTAAAAAACAATCGATCATTGTGGCTGCTTGTCCCAGGGGACTGGTCATGAGGCGACGCAGGGCTGCAGCCAGCCGAAATGTCGGTGAAGCCAGGATCCTTCCGTCACCCCCACCCGGTCAGGAGCTCAGAGCCGAAGCCGAGGGGAACCGCCCGGTGGACACACATACCAACGATTCACTGCCCATGCAGCCAGCCGCAGCGGAGCAGAGCAGGACGGGGCGGCTGAAAAAGAGGGAGGAAGAACACCCTAGGATAGTCGACCTCTACCGCATAGTACGCCTCATTCTTCCTTGTTTGTCAGTGCTGGCGCGGGTAGGTTGTCTTCCCTCGGCTCTCTTTCCCTTCCCTTCCCTTCTCCTTTTCCCGTGTCTGCGTGGTGTCTGTGTGTTCGGGATGACTCTAAACGGGACTGCAACGCAACACGGGCCTGATCTCGGTCAGTTTCCTGTGGTCCGCTTCTCACCCAGCCCCTTTCTTCCGTCTTTCCCCTCTCCCTTTTCCTCTCCTATCTCTCGCCTTGGGGGAAGGACAAGTGTCACTTGGTTTAAGTCTCCCATCCTAGGGATGGACCACGTTCTATGGAATCGGGGTATCTGCTGGCAGACTATTCGGCCTATTCGCCCCCCAGCCTAGCCAGGTAGTGCCACTAGGCAGTGAAAGGGCTCCCACTCACTCTGGCCAAAATCAAGACCGGGTTCGTGCCATGCAGGAGCTTGTCCACCTGGAAGTGACGGAAGCCCTGACCTTGCCCTTCTCCTTTCGCGCCGTGAGAGGTAATTACGTTGGATGTGGTCGCCCGGTGCCTATAGGCCTTGCCGTGGGTCGATCGAGAAGGCTGTGGGGGCTGTATTGACTGCCTAAAACACCATCCCTGCGGTTTTGGGTAAGGTAGATAGGGCCTTGTGCGCCAATAACAATTGAACACACAAGTTCTAGGCTCCCTCTGATCGAGTCTCCAGGACGGGTGCGTGGATCAAGGACAATGAGCCTCCAAGGTTTTCGTCTTCGCCTCTCGCATAAAGCTATGTGCTGGATATGGTATGTCCAAGCTCGAGAACCATGACCAAGACCACCTCTGCTGACTTGAGGTATCGGTTGCACTGCCTTCCAACTGACTATCCATCACTCTTACATCTTCTTCAAGGGCAGTGCCACGGCCTTGGCAAGGAAGAACTCGGGCAAATCTGCGGATATAGAGTGAAAATCTAGCAGTCGTTGGCTACATCTGCGAACTGGTCTCGTAACATGAACAGAAAGTATACTTAAATAATAGCAAGCTCCAGAGACATATCTCATATAATTACCCCTTTATCGCGCTTTGAGAAGAAGCAGCTTCTCTAGATGCCAACCACTTGGTCGCACATCAGACTCCTGCCCTTCCAGGACTCTTCCGGACCCTTGCAATTAGAGCCAACCCACCCGGTCGCGGAGATTGTTTGAGAGGACGTTGTAAGTACTCTTGGGGCAATGGGGGATGACATCGAGACTCCACACTCAGCCTCAAACGGAAAGGTGCCCGAAGTACAAGGTTGGGCCGCATATCAGGCCGCCTAAGGGGAAGGTTGACTTCTCCCCAAGATCATGTCGGGAGCCGGGGCGTGGCGGCGGCAGTCATTCAGCCCCTCGTCCACTCGTCCACTCGGCGACAAATGGAAGTCGTGCGGTGAGGTGAACTTGCGGCTTTGGAAAGATAGCGGGCCGCATCAGGGCCAGGGTGCTAGCCAATCAACGACCTTATCTGGCCTCTCGCTGGCCATCACCTGCATGAAGCCCCCTGTTCAATCTGTCGAAGTGGCATTTTATCCACTTACCTCTGTACCAGTTCTAAATCGCGCCGTCTTTCGTCGCCTGACCGCCAGGATCCCCGAGATGGAATCGGCGGGCAGGGAGGCGGGAAGGAGCGAGAAGAACAAATCGATGTGATTTGGCCGAAGTGGCCCAGAGAGTCGGATCAGCGTTGAGTTGTGAGTGGCTTCGCAGCAGCAGGAGTGCCTGGGCGAGTGCCCATGTGTGACAATATCAGATGCTGCCCAATGGCGCTGAGCTTTCACCGGAGCACGATGAATGAATTGGCCTGGGCGGCTAATAGGTTCCTAAGCACTTTCGTGCTACCAAAAGTAAGACTTATTTGTTGCGCAGACAGGCAGCCCAGGGTAGGTAGCAGGTTGCGAAACCTTGTATTGTACTGTACTCCGTACCCTGTTCCTTTTTGCATGAAAGCTAGAGCTCTCAACCCCACATCAGCAATCGCACCTACCTACCCACCTTTCTACGGTGTAGGCTGGCGGCTAACTTGCACTTGTTGGGCCTCGCTGTCTGTCTACGTAGACACTCGTTTTTGGTCTCCGCGCTTGATTACGCGTCTAGCCATTCATTCCAAGTGCCGCCTACATTGCTTGGAATACTGCTCATCCATAGCCTGGCCGCCGTGCTCGATCCGCATCTGCCACCTCAGCCATCTTACTCAAGAGCTGACCCGACATTATGACCTCGCATAAGCGGAGAAAGACGACCTGAATTACCCCCAGTAACTCTCGAACAGAGCCAACAAAGCCTCCCGAAATACCGACAAGAGTTCGGCGAGCCCTCTCGCTCGACCTAGCCTGGGTTACCTCAAAAAGATATATCTCAAATTTCCCGTGTTACAGTTAGCCATCGATCCCGCTGCTCGTCCCGCCTTGACCGATTAATTGCCCACCAACACCGCGCGCCGCACGAGCTCGTCCCAAACACAGCTTGGACATTGCTGAGTCGGCAAGCTATCAGCCTAGCTCCCTTCTCTCCTCTGAACTGTCTCCTCCCGAGTACCGAGCCGCCAACATGACGCAGTCACCCATGATCTCGGTGCCCCTCAAGGCAACCAACGAGATTGACTGGGTTACCCCGCTGAAGTCGTACATCCGGAACACATACGGGGATGACCCCGAACGCTATGCCGAAGAATGCGCCACACTGAGTCGGCTACGCCAGGATATGAGAGGCGCCGGCAAGGACAGCACTGCGGGGAGGGATCTTCTATACCGCTATTACGGCCAGCTCGAGCTGCTTGACTTGCGCTTTCCCGTCGACGAACAGCACATCAAGATCTCCTTCACATGGTACGTATGACCAGCCACGTGAGCTCGACTTCCTGAACCTTGTCTTTTGCTTGATACTAACTGTGCGTCCCGTCGCCCAGGTTCGATGCTTTTACCCACAAATCCACCGCCCAGTACTCCCTTGCCTTCGAGAAGGCATCTATAATATTTAACATTGCCGCTGTTCTGTCCTGCCATGCCGCTCACCAGACACGCTCCGAGGAGTCCGGCCTCAAGACGGCGTACCACTCGTTCCAGGCCTCGGCTGGCATGTTCACCTATATCAACGAGAACTTCCTCCATGCGCCCTCTGTGGACCTTAGCAGAGATACTGTCAAGACCTTGATCCACATCATGCTTGCACAAGCCCAAGAAGTATTCCTCGAGAAGCAGATAGCCGACCAGAAAAAGGTCGGCCTGCTGGCGAAGCTAGCCAGTCAAGCCGCCTCTCTATATGGGCAGGCCATTGAAGGAGTTCAGGACAATGTCAACAAGGCCATCTTCGAGAAAGTCTGGCTCATGATGGTTCAGGTACGCAGGCACCTTTGCTTCCGCTGGGCACTCTGAGAATACTGCCTGTCCCAACACTGACTTGAAATACCTAGGCAAAATTCAATTTGACGAGTTCCATGGCACAATACTATCAAGCTCTCGCCGACGACGATGCGAATTCGTACGGGATGGCCGTTGCTCGACTCCAACTGGCGGAAAGTCAGGCAAAGGAGGCGAACAGGGTAGCCAACAATTTTCCTAGCTCTATTCCTCCGAGCTCAAACCTGACTGCGGACTGTGCTGCTATACTGGCGGAAAACACAAAGAGACACTTGTCGACCGTTCAAGGAAAACTCGTGGAGCTGGCCAAGGATAACGACTACATCTATCACCAACCAGTACCTCCCGAGGCAAGCGTAGCACCAGTGGCTAAACTCCCAGCGGCGAAACCGATCCCCGTAAGCGAGCTGTACGCAGGGCAGGATATTCAGCGCATTACCGGTCCGGACCTGTTCGCGAAGATTGTGCCCCTGGCTGTGACCGAGTCGGCCAGTCTCTACGACGAGGAAAAAGCGAAGCTGGTCAGGGCCGAGGCCGAGCGGGTTGACATGGCGAACAGTGAAATGGCCGCAAGCCTGGATTATCTCCGCCTGCCCGGGGCTCTGCAAGTGTTGAAGGGGGGCTCCGACCAGGACATCCAGCCCGACGAGGATTTCAGGACATGGTGTGTTGACGTTGCCGACCACGATAACCCTGCCGGCATTTTCGACTTTCTGAAGTCTGAGAAAGACTCGATAGTTGTGATCCTGGATAAGAGCACGAAGCAGCTGGATATGGAGGAGAGCGTCTGCGAAAAGATGCGGTCGAAATACGAGAGCGAATGGGCGCAGCAGCCGAGTTCGAGACTAACCACGACCCTGCGGAGCGATATCCGGAATTACAGGGAAGCGCTAGATGAGGCCGCGAGGAGTGACGGTCAACTAGCCGCGAAATTGCGACAAAACGACAACGAATTCGACGAGATGCGCTCTGCGGCGCAGCGTGGCGAGATCGATGAATTATTCCAGGGGGCCGTCAGCCGCGTCCGAGGGAAATCGAGCAGCGTAAACAGCCCTGACGGAGAGCCACATCTTCTGGACGCCGATTTCGACGATGGGCAGCCCAGCGTGGTCGATCAGATAGCCAAAGTGGAAGATATCCTCAAGAAGCTGAATCTAATCAAGAGGGAGAGAGTGCAAGTGCTCAAGGATCTGAAAGACAAGGTTTGTCAGGAGAACCTCTACCTCTCCCTAGCTGGTGAGGCATAACGCTGACGTGAACCAGGCGCACGAGGACGACATATCTCAAATTCTGATACTAAACAAGAAGTCGATCGCAAATTACGAACAGCAACTCTTCCAGTCGGAGCTTGAGAAATATCGCCCGTATCAAAACCGCCTAGTCCAGGCAACCCACAAACAAGCAGCTCTATTGAAAGAGTTGAGAGCGAAGCTCAACAACTTACTGCAGGACAAGCGGGTCCGCTCGGAACAGAGCAAATACGAATCCATCCAGCGGCAGCGAGCCTCGGCAATCAATAAATATAAGCGGGCATATCAAGAGTTCCTGGACTTGCAAGCGGGCCTCCAGAGCGCGAAGCGGTGGTATAGCGAGATGAAGCAGACAGTGGAGAGCCTGGAGAAGAACGTCGAGACGTTTGTGAACAACAGGCGGTCCGAGGGTGCCCAGCTGCTGACCCAGATCGAGCAAGAGAGAGCCGCTAACAAGAGCGCCCACGCGGCCTTGGAGCAAGAGCGGCTAAGGGGGCTGATGGAGAGGATGTCCATGGAACCGCCCTCTGCTTCGCCAAAACCATCCGGGTCCTCACACCCGACACCAACACCCCTGTCTTTTAACAGTCCTTCAACGACGTATCCGAAGATGAACTTTGCCGGCCAATACCAAGTACCCAGCTCACCGCCGCCAAACCAGCCTAGCAACCCTCAGCCGTTCATGCAAACGACGACCCAGGGGTACAACCAGCCTTCGTATAACCCGAGCTCTCTCGGCCGTATTCCCGGCCCAGCATCTCCGCCGCCCACGCAGTCAACCTTTGGTATCGGCACAATGCGGCCCGGCCCTGCGTCACCCCCTCCGACGCAGACGTCCTTCTCGCATAATGCCCGACCCTTCAGCACGTACGGAAACCCGGCGGCCGCTCCAATGCAGCAACAGCAGTCGCCGCCGCCGCAGCAGCAGCAGCAGCAGAATTATGTCCCTCCCGGATTTGTGCCCCCTCCGCCTCCCCCTGGACCGCCCCCGCTCGGCCCACAGCAGACATTCCATTACAAATCAAGCGACTACTACAACATGAATCCGCATGAGAGGCCGACCTCGAGCCAGCAGCAGCATCAGCAGCAGTCGCAGCAGCAACAGCAACAACATGCCCAAAGTTCGGCAGACCCGTGGGCCGGACTCAATGCATGGAGATGAAGGTGATACAGAACGATTTGATGTGTCCGTTGCTGAGGAGTCGTGTTGCTTTGCATGGAAAGGAGTCTGGGGCTTGAATCTTGCAGTGGCAGAGCATGCAATTACAGGAGGTGATGTCACGAATTCGGCAGATGGGCATCCTGATGAAGCCGTTTCCCCTGAATACTGTGCGACGCTCGCAAATATAGCAGAATTTCTTCGCTCATGAATCAAGGAAACTTCCAAGCTGCAAGTCCCCGGTTCGACGTAAGCAGAGAGAACCCGGAAGGGTGGACATGTATGTACAGAGGGGTAAGGTACCCAAACACTTCTGTAACCTTGATTGCCCTTGGCCGGTTAAATATGGGGCAGGCCCAAAAGTGGCGTGCGGTACCCCTGGCAGGCCGCTAAGGATCCCTGTCCCATCGCGCGTACGAATTTGGAAAAGGATGAACGGCGAGGACCTAAAGATCGCGTTGGCAAGATAGAAAAATCGACCAGCAGTCCTCCTCATCTCCCAATAGGGCAAACGGTCCCTTGGACGTATCCATTCCTTCCAGAGGGCCATTACTTTCAGCGATCGATAATACGTTTGATATTCCTTCCTGATTATCTCGGAACTTCCTTCCATCCCACTCGTTTCCACAGCATCATCCAACTCCCACGGCCGCAAATACCTCGATTTGCCTTACCAACGAGAGAAGGGGCTCTCCTGCCCACCTCGTCTTAAGCACCATGGCGATCTCCCCTCGCTTGCGGTTCTTGGCCATCGCCGTGGTCTTCCACTTGGTGTACCTATTCTCCATCTTCGACATATACTTTGTCAGCCCCATCGTGTCCGGGATGCAGCTCTTCGGAGTAGAGCGGCCGGCAGAGAGCAAGGCCCCGGCAGACCGCCTTGTGCTGTTCGTAGGTGAGTGCGCCGAATCCGGGATTATTCGGGAGCGATTGGGATGAACAAGGACTGATCCAATCCGAACTCGACCAACAGGTGACGGTTTGCGCGCCGACAAAGCCTTCCAGTCACACCCCGAGCCCTACCCAGAGTCGGACGAGGACCTGGTCCCCCGACCCCTGGCGCCCTTCCTCCGATCGCGAGTGCTGGAGCACGGGACCTTCGGGGTGTCGCACACGCGGGTGCCGACCGAGTCGCGGCCGGGCCACGTGGCGCTGATCGCGGGCCTCTACGAGGACGTGTCGGCGGTGACGACGGGCTGGAAACTGAACCCGGTCAACTTCGACAGCGTCTTCAACCGCAGCCGCCACACGTGGAGCTGGGGCAGCCCGGACATCCTGGACATGTTCGAGCATGGCTCTGTGCCCGGCCGTGTCGACGCCTACACCTACGACGCAGACTTTGAGGACTTCTCCCAGGACGCCACGGCGCTAGACTTCTGGGTCTTCGAGAGGGTCAAGGGCCTGTTCGAGGAGGCGCGGGGGGACGAGGCACTCGACGCGGCCCTGAGGCAGGACAAGCTCGTCTTCTTCCTGCACCTCCTCGGGCTGGACACTACGGGGCACGCGTATCGGCCATACTCGAAAGAATACCTGTACAACCTGAAGATCGTGGATCAGGGCGTGAGGGAGATCACCGAGATGATTGACGAGTTCTACGGGGACGGCAGGACGGCATACGTCTTCACCGCGGACCACGGGATGAGCGATTGGGGCAGCCACGGCGACGGCCATCCGGACAACACGAGGACGCCCCTGATCGCGTGGGGATCGGGGGTCGCGAAGCCGGAGACCTCGCCGGAAGGGAAGGTCGCTCCCGGCCACGACGAAACCTCGTCCGATTGGAACCTGGACAGCGTTAGGAGACACGACGTCGACCAGGCCGATGTCGCCGCCCTCATGGCGTACCTGGCCGGTCTCGAGTTTCCGGCGAACTCGGTCGGTGAGCTACCGCTCTCGTTCCTCGCCGCCGACATCAAGGAGAAGGCCGAGGGCGCCGTGGTAAACGCCCAGGGGATCCTGGAGCAGTACCGGGTGAAGGAGGAGAAGAAGCAGGCCTCGCTCCTGAGGTATCAACCCTACCGTCCGCTGAGCGACAATGGACTCACCGCCGAGCGGCGCGTCGCCGATATCAAGAAGCTCATTGAAGGCGGCCACTACGAGGAGGCCATCGAGGAATCAGCCGCTCTCATCAAGGTCGGGCTGGAAGGCCTCAGATACCTCCAGACGTACGATTGGCTCTTCCTGAGGGCCCTCGTCACCGTTGGGTATCTGGGATGGATTGCTTATGCGCTTACAACGGTCCTCGACCTCCATGTCCTCAATGGCCGGAGGGAGCCGTTGCGGACCACGGCGGGGACGGCCGTGTTTTCCTCGGTCCTGGTTGCTCTTTACGCCTCTTTCATCATGTCCAAGTCGCCGGCTAGTTATTACGCATATGCCTTCTTCCCGGTGTTCTTCTGGGAGGAGGTGTATGCCCGCAGGGGCAGTCTGCTGGAGGGCCGAAAAGAACTATTCGGCCACGTACAGACCGGCGGGAGTCTTGCGTCACTGATCTTCAACTCGGCGGTCTACGTGGGTGTAATTGTGTCCTTGGTGAGCTCTCCCCTTGTCCGTGGAATCGAGATGGACCGCTCGCTAACTGGCAAATACAGGCTCTGGGGTACATCCATCGGGAGGTGCTCACTGTTATGTTCGTCATCGGCGCATTCTGGCCCGCAGCTTATGGCATTTCCTTCCTCGAAGGGCGTGTCGCTCTCGTTGCGACTTGGTTTATTTCTTGCCTGGCAATGAGCACCTTCACTCTCCTCCCGGCGATGAAGACTGAGAGCGTGAGCCTCATGTACGTCGCTAAATACGATCTTTAGCAAGAGCTTGGCTGACACGCGCTTGACAGACTGCTGGGCGGCGCCTTAATGGTCGCTGTCGGCGTCATGTATCTCCTGTTCGAGGACTTCGTCCTCTCTGACTTCGGATCAGCGCCGAAGCCATCCTCCTCGCCCAGAAACCATACCACAAGAGGGCTTGTTGGGGTACAGATCGGGCTGACGGTCCTCGCCATGATCGTCACACGCTCAAGTGCCCTGTCTCTACAGGCCAAGGCGGGCTTGCCGCCAGGTAACCAGATATTGGGATGGCTTGTGCTCGGTAAGTGCCCAGAAAAAAACAACCCCCTGAGGAAATAGGAACATTCCCCGCTGATGCAGCTTGGCAGTGGTCTCTCTCCTCATGCCTCTGGCGTATCGCGTACAACAAAACAACCACTACCTGCATAGGTTATTGGTCATCTTCCTCACTTGCGCGCCCACGTTCGTGATCCTCACCATCTCCTACGAAGGGCTTTTCTACCTGACCTTCTCAACCACACTGGTCTGCTGGGTCAGGCTCGAGCACGAGATCTTCGTGCTCTCATCTAGCAAGAGCGCCGCCACAAAGCCGGCGGCCAACGGATCCGCCGCCAAGACGACGGCTACCGAGACAGAGACAGAGACAGAGTCAGAGACGGATGCAGACGTAAAAACATCCCCGCCACCAGCATTCCGACCACTCACACTACCCGACGCGCGGGTCGCGCTCTTCTTCTTCGTGCTGCTCCAGGCGGCATTCTTCAGCACGGGCAACGTAGCGTCAGTATCGTCGTTCAGCCTGGAGAGCGTGTACCGGCTGATACCCGTGTTCGACCCCTTCTCGCAGGCGGCGATGCTGGTGCTCAAGCTGATGATCCCCTTCGCCGTCGTGTCGGCCAACCTCGGGGTGCTCAACCGGCGGCTCGGCGTCGCGCCGTCGGCCCTCTTCATGCTCGTCATGGCCGTCGGCGACGTCCTCACCCTCTACTTCTTCTGGGTCGTCCGCGACGAGGGGTCGTGGCTCGAGATCGGCTCAACCATCAGCCACTTTGTCATTGCGAGCCTGCTCTGCGTCTTCGTCGCCGCCCTCGAGGGCGTCAGCGGGCTGTTCGTCGCGGGCGTCGAGGTCGCGGCGGTCGGGGGGGAGGAGAAGGAAAATGGAAGGCCGACGAACGGCGTGGCGGCTGGTAGAACAGCTGGCGATTAGGGATGGTAAAATTGTATATGTACCTGATATGTGATCCATACTACGCAGTAGATAATGCTCCCGGATGGGGATGTTGATATGCTTGAGTTTACCACCCTTGCAATGTGATGTGTCTACCTATCCAACAGCGGGTGGCTGTGTCGGAACCCTGGTACGCTTCGAAGACTAGGTACCTTATGGGCTGGATCGCAAGGCTGACTGCACCGCGTCCCTTGCTGTAGGTCCACAGTGTTAACCTCTGCAATATGCACGGAGCATTTTCTACGAGGCTGTGGTGGCTGTGGAGGGTGTGCCTTGCTGGTTAGAAGTTGGCGTTTCTATACGCTCTCCAAATGGACAGGAGATAATGGTCGCAAGAAGGCATGCAGTGCAGCAGGTTGCTTCTCAAAGGACCTCGATCCTTGGGTGCCTTGGCAGGTGTTCCAGTGGTCATGCCTGGCGCTGTTGGACGCCCCTTTCACCTCCCAACAGCATCTAAGCGCTGTGGCCAGCCTCCAGCATCCACAGCGGTAGATCGGCATTATGTGATTGGAAGCACCCCAAGATACGAACGGGTGATAGGCATAGAGGCAGTCGGCCTCCAACATGGCCTTTGGCGACTCTGAACAACCCGGTCGGGGCCACTAGGTATAAGATCCCCGTACTCTGGCTCCAGCTTGGTGAACTGTATTCACCTCAACAGAGTTTTTTTCTTACCCCGTCACTTTTGTTTGTTTGGATTTCTTTCAACACCTTAGACTACCTCTCCCGTCGATCGCGTCCCCGTTTGCCGTTTGCCGTTTGCAGTGGGTTTCAGTTCGGAGCAAAAGGAGAGCAACAGCAGCAGCATACTCCGTCCAATATGGGGTCCATCGTCACCGATAGTGTCGGAAGCTCTGGCGTGGCTGGAGAATCTCACGGCGGTCTGGGCAACCAGTCTCTGCTTGACAAGATTGACAAACTCCGAGAGCTGAACCTTGGCAACATTGTGCCTCTTCCTCAGGTAACGAGACACAGAATCCCCAAATCACCAAGCCCGAGCCTTCACTGACCAGGATGCTTCACCCCACCCAATAGCTTGTTGTCGTCGGTGACCAGTCCTCCGGAAAGTCATCTGTCCTCGAGAGCTTGACGGGCTTCTCGTTCCCTCGTGCTTCTGGTCTCTGCACTCGCTATGCCACCCAAATCACCTGTCGTCGGGAATCGCAGAAGGGCGTGGCCATCTCCATCATCCCGCGATCCTCCGCCACTCCCGCCGAGAAAGAGCGCATGAAAAAGTTTCACACGTTTGTGACCGACCTCTCCGCGGGTGAGCTTGCCGATGTGTTTGAGGATGTGGGTGCCTATCCAACATTACTGTGTCGTCGCCATGCGCAAGTACCCGTTGACTAACCCACCCCCGGTTTAGGCCAACCGGGCAATGGGCATTCGTCCCATTGACGACGATGGATATGGTCTGGAGCCGCTGAGTACATTTAGTGAAGACATCCTCAAGATTGAAATCAGCGGTCCCGAGGTAAGGAGATCGAACAGGCATCCCGTTGAGCTTCGCTAACTAGAACCAAAGCAAAACCACCTCACTGTCATCGACGTGCCTGGCATTTTCAGGACCGCAACACCCGGTATGCTAGGTGCAGATGCGTCCGTCTCGTATTTTCTCTGACCGTTTCTAGGCCTTACTACCGAGTCCGACATCCCTCTCGTTCGTGACATGGTCAAGCGCTACATGAAGGACTCGAGAACAATGTATGTTGCTTTCATCATCAAGCCGTAAATGACTAAGTGAAAAGGGGACTGACTGTGACCACCAGTATTCTTGCCGTCGTTCCATGCAATGTCGATATCGCAACCCAAGAGGTCCTCGAGCTCGCGAGGGAGGCGGACCCTTCCGGCATCCGTACCATGGGTGTTCTGACCAAGCCGGATCTCGCCATTGAACGAGTGATGCAGCAAGCTGTGCTGGACCTTGTCATCGGGAAGCGCAATGACCTCCGCTTGGGGTATTGCGTCGTGAAAAACCGCCGCGGAGACGATACGAAGTCATCCCTGAGGGAGTGCCATGCCCAGGAGAAGAGCTTCTTCAGGAACGAGCCGTGGACCAGTATTGCCTCGATGGATCGGACTGGTGTGGAATCACTCAAGCAGCGCCTTAGCGAGCTCCTGATGGATATCTCGCGGAGAGAATTCCCGCAGGTCAAGGCCGATATAAACAAGAAACTGGCCCAGTACCGCGAGAAGCTTCACGTCATGGGACCCTCGAGAAGCGACTCCAATGCTCAACGGCTGTATCTGGGAAAGATAGCCACCCAATTCCAAAGGATTGCAAACTACGCACTCAATGCGTACTATACTGACGATCCCATATTCTCAGAGCAGCCAGACTTGAGGCTGATCACCAGGGTTATCGAACTGAATGAAGTCTTCTCCAACGTCTTCTGGGAGAAGGCCCACACCAGAGTTTTCCACTCAGACAGCGGGAAAGATAGTGATGAGAATCAATTCGGCGCGGACAAGGTGGGGTTCCGTATTCCCATCGACGAATACCCAGAACTTCACGATATCATCCTCACGGATGAATTTGAGTGTCCCGACCCGGACGACTCCTCCCTCATGGACCGCATCGAGGAAGTCTTCAACAGTAGCCGCGGGCCGGAACTTGGAACAGTGAGTGCCGAATCCCCTTCCCACCAGCCGGGGAGCAACGTGGCGTGTCGGGTTGATTGCTAACCAGAGGCTTTTAAGTTTGGCGGTTCCATTCTCGCGACCATATTCAAAGAGCAGTCGGAGAAGTGGGAGCAACTGGTACTTTCGCACGTCAGCAACGCCATCGTGCTGGTCCACCACTTCATCACCAAGCTCCTCGAGGCGACGTTCCCGGAGAAGCAGGTGCGCGAGGAGTTCTGGGACAACATCCTCCTCGACAAGCTCTGCGACGCCTACACGGCCGCCATGAAGCACGCCCGCTTCCTCCTGGCCATCGAGCGGGAGGGCAAGCCCACGACGTACAACCACTACTTCAACTCCAACCTGCAGAGCGGCCGCATCAAGCGCCTGCAAGACAACCTCAAGAACATGGCCGCGGGCGAGGAGGTCAAGCTCTCGACCATGGACCTCCTGCGGCGCTTGACGATCGACAAGAGCAACGCCACGCAGGTGCGCGAGGACATCCACGACATCCTGGCGAGCTACTACCGCGTGGCCCGCAAGCGCTTCGTCGACGTCGTCTGCCAGCAGGTTGTCGACCACTTCCTCCTCACGGGGCCCGACAGCCCGCTCCGCGCCCTAGGCCCGGACCTCGTCATGGCCCTCGGCGACGCCCAGCTCGAGAACATCGCCGGCGAGGACGCGGGCTCCAGGCGCCAGCGTCAGATCCTCGGCTCCGAGATCCAGAGCCTCGTGGAGGCGGTTAGGGTTCTGAAGGGTTAAGGAGGGAGTAAGTGGGACTTTGGTGTTTTGCCTCTTTTGTGCTTCTTTTTTGCCGCGTTTGGGGTTCGTTTGGTTCTCTTCGCCGTTTTCGTTTCTAGAGAAACCCAAATGCCCGGTAGATCGTTTCCTCTCTCCTTAAGATAGTCAAATACTCATGCTTAGCAATACCTGCTCCCTCCTCGACGCTACATAAATCCGGAGAGTGCTGGTATGTTACTGCACTTCGTTCTCAGAGTATCAACCTTGAATAGTCAGGGGCTATTGCGCGAGTTTATCATGAAGTGACTTTGTGGGTTTCGAGATTGTGCTGTACTAATCATACAAGCTGATTGATCTATCCAAAATATGTGTTGTAAAAAGAAACACCCATGTCTCTCTCCCAATCGCCGAGACTCTGGTTTTCCCAGCTGACGACGGACACTCCATTCCCGTCCCGTCTTGAATCGAGGAACCACGTCGTATGGGGATTTCGATTCATCGGCATCAAGCGCGGAGAGCCGTCTCTAGTCCCCGAAAACCGCGAGCACCAGGACATCGAATCCCCCCTTTCCCCATGGCGACCGGTTACCAGTAATTCGCAGGCCTCAACCAGGTGCTGACGAGAACGTTGATTGGCCTAAGCCATGGAAGGAACTAACCCTGGGAGGCAAACGGTAACGGGGCAAATACGCAGGGTTGCCACCCATCGATCGATCTAGCCGTCTCCGCCCCCACCCCCAAATGCGCAGAGTTACTGGCGATGGTGTTCATGCTTCGAAACGTCCGCTAGTTTCGGGCAGAGTCTACCACCTAGCGGTTCCTACCACGCGGTGATGTCTTCCACCTCGGCCTCGCCAAAGGTGCTGCTCTTAGTCAGCTCGCCGACGGCGCTTGCGGCGGCGTCCTCGTTCCCTCCCCTGTTCATGATGTCCGGCAGGATCTCGCGCAGGAACTCCATAATGTAGTTATTGACTTGTTCGAATTGGAGGAGGAAGGCGTCGTGGCCCTCGGGGCTGTCGATCCGCTCCAGCCGCGCATTCGGGATGTGCTCGGCCAGCTCCTCCTGCTCGGCGAACGTGAAGAGCCCGTCGCTCTCGATCCCGAGCACGAGGGTCGGCTGCTCGATCAGGCGCAGGGCCTCCGCTATGGTCGGCGCACGCCCGCGGCTGATGTCGTGCGTGTCGAGCTTCCGGGTCATGGCGATGTAGCAGTTGCCGTCGAATCGCTTGACAAACTTGGCCCCCTGGTAGCGCAGGTACGACTGGGCGGAGAAATACGTGGACCCTATGGGCATCGTCTCGGTGTCCGTCGGGTTTTCCCTGCTCGGTCCGTGGAACTGGGGATCCGCCAGGGCGACGGAAGAGCCGTTGTCTAAGCCGTTTCCATGGGCGACATTACTGGCATTGCTATTGGTGCGCGATGGGGTGTTTCGCCTTGTTTTGTGCCCGTCGTTGTGGATGTGGAAGTGCGCCTCGGACGGCGTGGCAGGTGCTGGTCTCTCTCGAATGGTCTGGCGCCTTGACGGGTCGGGAATGTTCCGCCCGAAGCGAGACTCGAAAGAGTTCCGGCTGCGGTAGGTTAAGAGCGCAGACATGCGTGCGGCACCCAGGCCTGTCGTCGGCGAATCAGAGAAGGAATAATAGCCATCATCGTACTTGGGATCCGCATAGATGCTCTGCCGTTGAGCCTCGCCCCAGCTGATGCCCCATGCACTGTGTCGGCTGGAGGTGGCGATGGGTACGATGCATCGAACGTAGTCCTTGCCGAGATACCCCCATTCAAGCACGCACATGCCACCCAGTGACCCCCCAATCACAGCCGCCACCTGGCGGACCCCCAAGTCGTCGAGGAGAAGCTTTTGAAGACTGTAATACAGTCAGAGGGCTCGGTCTCTATCACACCTTTCAAGTGGCTGATAAATACTCACTTTACATCGTCTCTGATTGTAGTCAGGGGGAACTCCGGTCCATATCTCTCCTTGCTGAGATCACCGTCCTTGGCGGTAACCGGACTGGCCGTGCCGTAAGGACTGCCCAAGCAGTTCACACAGACGACGAAGAAGCGTGAAATGTCCAGTGTCCGGCCAGGACCACCGAGCAGGGGTCCCCACCAGTCACTGACGTCTGCGCTCCCGGTCAAGGCATGGCAAACTACCATAGCATTGTCTCCTTTGGGCGATAGCTTGCCCCGGACGGTGTACGCAACAGGAACATTGTAGAGCGTTACACCTGACTCAAGCGTAAAGGACGGGATGATAGCAATCTCCTGGTCAGGAATGAGAGCCGCGAATGGGTTCTCAGGTTGTTGTTGAGTTCTTTCTTGGAAGTATTCAGTCACTATTCTTCATGATTCTTGCATAATTCCCGCATAAAACTGCATTGGGAACGATGACGGGGAGATGATATACTGACCATATTTCGGCTTCTCACCGGCAGTTAGGTGGTCTGAAGTCATGGTGTACCCTTACGGTGAAGAGTGGTAAAGAGCTCGCCGGATGGAGGGCCAAACTGTGAGGTTTTTGGGTTTCTCCTGGCGTTGTTGGGCTTGAATGAGTGTCTAGCATACTAAGAAAATCCTGAAGAGGCTTCCGACTCCATCTGAGTCATCATCCGTGTTGGCCAACAAGCGATTGAAGTTTGAATTGCGCAATCGCAAAAACGAGCCGGTCGGAGGTACAAAGGTACTTGACACAAATATGGAGCCGTTTGGAGGCTAAATGGTCCGTGCTCAATCTCCGCCTCATCTTCCCACGGCTCTGGGAGGACAATGTGTCATCAATACCTCGCTTGTTGCTTCAGATCATTAGAGTTTTTAGGTACTATCTACTTTATACCCTCTGGTTCCGGTGGCATTGAGCAGCCTTGCCGCTAAGGCTGCATTGAGCGCCCAAGCACCCACTCACCTCTCAGACAATTTCAATAGGTAATCAGGGCATTTCAACGAATCCAACCTGGCAATTGACATCCGGCCACAGCTCAATTGAGCGCACAACCACGCCTACAAGATGCTCTTACGAAACGCAGCGCCTTCGAGGGCGTCTTCGAAGACATTTTCGCGGGCTGTCGTCTCCTCTACCCAGGCCCAGCAGTCCCGGACCTTCGCAACCGTCCAGGATGGCGCCCCGAAACAGCGCACCTACGGGGGGTTGAAGGACCAGGACCGCATCTTCCAGAACCTCTACGGCCGGTACCCTCCCGATCTCAAGCATGCGAAGAAGATGGGCGATTGGCACAAGACCAAGGAGATAATCCTGAAGGGCCATGACTGGATCATCAGCGAGGTCAAGGCGTCTGGGCTGCGGGGGCGAGGAGGAGCTGGATTTCCCTCGGGTCTGAAATGGGTATGGTTTGCCATTCTATACTGCTTTTTTCTTTTCTTTTCTACACGATCCGAGAAATTGTTGCTGACCGTGTCTTTCAATGGCAGTCCTTCATGAACTTCAAGGACTGGGATAAGGACAGCAAGCCACGGTACCTAGTCGTCAACGCCGACGAGGGAGAGCCAGGAACCTGCAAGGACAGGGAGATCATGCGCAAAGACCCGCACAAGCTGATCGAGGGCTGCCTCGTAGCCGGGCGTGCCATGAACGCCACGGCTGCCTACATCTACATCCGCGGCGAATTCTACCACGAGGCGGCGGTCCTGCAGAACGCCATCAACGAGGCCTACAAGGATGGCCTGATCGGCAAGAACGCGTGCGATTCAGGCTACGACTTTGACGTCTACCTCCACCGCGGCGCTGGTGCCTACGTCTGCGGCGAGGAGACGTCGCTGATCGAGTCGCTCGAGGGGAAGCCCGGCAAGCCCAGGCTCAAGCCGCCTTTCCCGGCCGCGGTGGGCCTATTCGGTTGCCCGTCGACGGTGGCTAACGTCGAGACGATAGCCGTGGCGCCTACCATCTGCCGCCGTGGTGGGAGCTGGTTCGCCGGGTTCGGTCGCGAGCGGAACCAGGGTACCAAGCTGTTCTGCATCAGCGGGCACGTCAACAACCCGTGCACCGTCGAGGAGGAGATGAGCATCTCGATGCGCGACCTTATCGAGAGGCACTGCGGTGGCGTGCGTGGTGGCTGGGACAATCTCCTGGCCGTCATCCCCGGCGGCTCGTCGACCCCCATCCTGCCCAAGCACGTGTGCGACGACCAGCTGATGGACTTTGACGGCCTCAAGGACAGCCAGTCTGGTCTCGGTACCGCCGCCGTCATCGTCATGGACAAGAGCGCCGACGTCGTCCGGGCCATCTCGCGCCTGTCCCACTTCTACCGCCACGAAAGCTGCGGGCAGTGCACGCCCTGCAGAGAGGGCAGCAAGTGGACCGAGCAGATCATGGGCCGGTTCGAGAAGGGCATGGGCCGCGAGAGGGAGATCGACATGCTCCAGGAACTGACCAAGCAGGTCGAGGGCCACACTATCTGCGGTAAGACTCCCCCGATGCGTCTCTTCATGTTCCTTTTCTCAACTTCCGCTATCTGTCTACCCTTGGGCAATCCGGTGGTGCTGACTAGGTTTGGTGTTACAGCTCTTGGAGAGGCGTTCGCCTGGCCCATCCAGGGTCTCATCCGCCACTTCCGCCCCGAATTAGAAGCACGCATGGAGAAGTTTGCAAAGGAGAACGGCGGCTCAGCATTGGCCGGTGGGTGGCGGCACGACACGCGGCAACAGGGTAAGCTGGTGTCGCCGGGGATGTAAAAGGGATGAAGCAGCCCTGGATCGCGCCGCAGCAATAACCAAGGTCAAATGAGAGGCGGGGGCAGTGGCGTCTCTCAATCCTCAGAAAATGGAAAAGAAAAAGAAACAAAAAAGAGAAGGGACTACGATCCTGTAATCTGTGCATACGTAGACTAGGCCCTGCAAGGCTGTATTGTATCTATTCTGACTGTTTGACCTTCGACGCTGACACCTACCGAGTGAATGACTGGTTAAGCGGTGGTTGATGCGATGTGGTTTAAGTTGCCGAACCAACCCCCAACCTTTCCGATTTGCACAGTGTAGAACGTAGATCGTTGATTGCACGGTTTCGATTAACGCCAAGCACATCTCAACTTCTGAGCCAGTCAAGTCGTCAACTGAAAACTTGCCCACTCAATCCCGGTTCTCTCAGCCACAGAGGGCAGGCACATGGATCAGCAGGAGGACCCTGGGCAAATGAGCAAAGAGGGTTTCGTGTTAGCGGCGTGTGACTTCTCTTTCTCATAGCTCTATAAAAGACCTCGATTTGTCGAGTTTTTCAGTTGTTTTTGGGAGGTCGAATGCAGCAGCATTATTTGAGGTGCTAGAGAGGCAAAAGAGACAATGGCTTCAGGTCTCGAACAATTCATTCGGTTTGGCACCGACGCGGGTGAGTGACGGCGAACACTTTCTCAACATACTCGGGGCCTTTTCTCCCACAGCGGGAGGCTAACCGTCCCAACAGCCGGACTCGAGCGCTTCCTCCGCCTCATCCAGGCCATCCTCCAGGTGACGCTATTCTACCGGCTTCCCTTCAACGCCCTGGTCAGCGCCATCCACCTCTGGCAGGCGCCGCAGTCCGCCGTCGCCGTCGCCGATACCGCCTTCATCGCGACGGTCCTGACCGGGCTCCGGTCGCGCGTCGCCCTGGGCCGGCGCTTCTTCCGCATGTTCCGCTTCGTCGAGTCGTTCCACGCCGCACACAGGCTGTGGGGCTCGCTCTCCCCGTCCCCCTCCTCCTCCTCCAAGGCGTCGTCATCGTCGTGGTCACCCGGCCGCGCCGAGACGTACCTGGACGTGGCCGGCCGCACCTTCAACGGCATGTACCTCCTCCTCGAGACGGCCCTGCTGCCCGATGCGCTCGGCGTCGAGGGCCTGCGGCCGTGGGGCGCGCGCGGGCCGATGCTGGCCGTCGAGGCTCAGCGCTTCTGGTTCCTGTCGCTGGCGTGCGGCGCTCTGGCGGGGGCGCTGCGGCTCCTGGAGCTGTGGGCTCTCGCGCCTGTGCCGGAGACGGGTGGTGGGTACGGCGATGGGAGCGGCGATGGGAGCGGTGGGGGTACCGGGGAGGAGGAGGAGGAGAAGGCGGTGGCGGCGGAGAAGCGGACAGAGGAGAAAGGGGTGGAGACTAGCGTGTTGCGGCAGCAACAGGCGCGAGAACGCGAGCGTCGGAACGAGCAGCGCGAGGGCCGTCGGCGAGAAACCGTGGCTCGTTCTCGGGCTCTAGTACGGCGGCTTGTGGCCGATGTATTAGACCTTGCCTTACCGGGCAGCGTGGTTGGCTATGTCAAAGTAGACGAGGGGTCTGTGGGGTTGGCGATGCTGGGCAGTACCGTTCTTACAGGTCTAGAGGTATGGGAGAGATGCGGACGCGAAGCAGATGCCATGTCAGGTTAGCTAGCTAGGTACGTAGGAAGGTAGGTAGTTTCCTTGTCACGCGCCTGAGCAAGCAAGAAGGCATAGAACCGACTGGCATAATCATTCTTGTACAGGTAGGTAAGTCAAGCACCTAACTCCTTGGCTGGTATTTGTGGTTTCGCCATGCTCTCATTCTCGAGGGCGACGCCACCTCTTTGAAGGCGTGATTATGTTGGTTTCTATACATCCGTAAGGGATGCCTTACTCGCCATCCGCTATTAAGTTGCTTGCTTGCTATCACTATATTGGGATTTTTTCACCTTGAAGTCTACCAATGCCATAAGGATAGATGGGTTATGGACATATCTCAAACAGTTCATCAGCTCAGGGCCATCACCCACCCTCAACATCTTGCATCCCAGGAGCCCGGTTCATGAATGCTAGGATCAGGTACCTCAAATTTAGGATTGGGGTTGGGTGCCACGGCCTACGCTACTTTCCATGTTAGTGAACCCCCCACCTGGGCCATTATCCCTGCAGGGCGGTGAGGACCGGAGAAAGAAAAAAAAAGTGCAAGGGCAAGTCGGGTCGACACCTAACCTCTCGCCGTGAAAAATTAGAAGTCGCTGCCTTCTGAAGTACTTTCTACTCCCTCTCTCCTCTGAGGCGTATAAACTCTGCGTTGGTCGCTGCTAATGTCCGCGCTTCCTTCTTGGCTCTTCAACAACAATTTCTCTTCTGCGTGCGAAACGAATATCGAGCCATCTTCGGCGATAAACACTCCAACAATGGCCAAATCCAAGAAGAGCGCAGCCCAGGGCTCGGAGAAGGGGTCCAAGAAAGTATCCTGGGCTTCCAACTCTACCATCTCTGGTGCTGGGACCCCTCCCGGCCAGTTGATGGATCTCGTGGAGAACTTCCTCTTTGAGAACGATTTTTCCGGCGCCCACCGCGAGTTCACGAAGCAACGGGCTGAGAAGGGATGGCATAAGTCGAAGGCTCGGAGTGGGAAGGGCGACGGTGACAAGCACCCTTCCCTGGTGTCTGTCTTCCAGACCTGGGAGACATCGATGAACAATGGCGGAGGCCCTACCGCGGCTCTCAAGGTGGAGAAGGTCACGAAGGTCAGCAGTAGTGAGAGTGACGATGAGAGCTCTAGCAGTAGCAGCAGTGGCTCTAGTTCTTCCGACAGCGACAGCGACAGCGAAAACGATGGTGATGTCGACATGAAAGATGTGGCGCCCGAGGACGAATCTTCAAGCTCCGAATCCAGCAGCAGTAGCGAGAGCTCCAGTGAGAGTGAGGCAGAGACCAAGAAGACTAAGAAGACCTCGGCGGTCAAGGCCAAACCCAACCCACTGAAGCGAAAGGCCAAGTCCGATACCGAATCATCTTCTGAATCTGAATCCCAGTCGGACTCTTCTGATTCGGACTCTGATTCGAGTTCGGATGATGAAAAGCCTCAAACCAAGAAGCAGAAAGTCGCCGAAGTGTCTCCCGACTCGGACTCGAGCTCCGACTCTAGCTCAGAATCGGAATCCTCTTCGGAGTCTTCAGACTCGGATTCGGATTCGGACTCGGACTCTGAGGTTGAGGAGGCCGCCAAGGTTCCCCTACCAGACGATAGCTCTTCAGATTCCTCAAGTGACGACAGCGATTCTGAGTCTGACAGCAAAGCCAAACCGTCGATTATCAAGGCAGAGTCTCCAGACCATAATGGGTCTGACACGTCTGTGACGGTTGGGAAGACCTCCCCCGAGATCTTCCCTGTTTCCGAGTTCGCCCCTCTGCCCCCGGAACCCAAGTTGAACAACCGCGGCAAGGGCTTGAACCAGAAGAGACAGATCAACGAACCCTTCTCCCGCATCTCCAAGGACATCCAGGTCGACCCTCGATTTTCATCGAACGCCTTCCGAGGGCACGACTGGGGCCAGAAAGCCCACGAAGATTTGATTGTGACGAGGGGCAAGGGATTTACCAAGGAGAAGAACAAGAAGAAGAAGGGCAGTTACCGAGGAGGCCGCATTGATACCGACGCCAGGGGCGGTATCAAATTTGACTAGATGGGTAGACGTGCGCTATAGAACGGACGGTGTAGATATACCATTGTGTTTCCCTTGGGCGATGGATTTCTTTTCAAGCCTTCCATGCTTTGCTATGCTGAGGATTATTCTAGAGATGACGGGAGTATGCGATCGAGCCGGGAGCTTGGCGCTCATTGATGGCGCGACGCGCTTATGTCTTCTTGATTCAGTTTAGAGATAACATGGTTCTTTGCCTCCTGTCAATAGGGGTATCAACTTCTTGCAGTCGGTCGTCTTGTGTGCTAGTATAGCAGACATGTAAAGCCCCGTCGCTTAGAACCGTGAGGGAGGATGAGAACGCAGTTACCGAAAACATAGTTGGTTGTCCCCCGTCCTGCAGCCAGTGAATATCGGCGGCCTCCAGGTGCTTTCGACCAACGCCAACTGCTCCCTTACGGGCTCAATCACCTTCGGGGCAATCGTATTGACCCCGTTCGGCTTCGTAAGTTCCGTGTAGTCGTCGGGCGAATACCCTGCCACCCGGGGCTGTACGTCTTGGGGATCGTGCCTCAAGTACGTGGACCAAATCACTAACAAGGACGAACACACCACATCGACGGTGCATTCCGTGAAAACCATCCACGCTCGAATTCAAGCCCCATTCGTGTCAGCAGGAGTAACCATTGCGCCGAAGCTTGGTAATATATTCGGCCTAACGAACCCTTCAGGAGTGTGCCAACTGAGGCGCAATATATTGGGGGCCAAACCCAGTAATGGGGAGACAGTATGGGAAGGTTTGGCCATAGCCACGCCACGCCGTTTTGTATTCTCGTTTGCGGGCAGCCCAGGAGAGTACCCTTCCAACCGGGCGGGCAACCACCCGTTCAAAGAGGCCAACTCTGAATGTCGATATTTCCGCAGGCTTGCCTCGTGGAAGGTGCCTACACTTACCCCGTAGGTTGTATTAACTTGTTAAGGGCAGAATCTGGGACTACTGGACGAAACCGTCAACTTGCATGGATTGACAAAGAGGAGAAAACAGAAAACGTTGTATGCTGCTTAGGTTTCAAAGAAAAGCGAGCGGCGTCCACACCTACCTATCCGTAACTAGATATTGATTCAAAGAGCAGCTGTTGTTGATGACCTAGGTATCATTCCTACATTCCAATCTGTACCGTTGTGTGCAGCCTCGCGGAACACCCTGGTGTCAACCTCGAGCGATGCCTGAAGCTAACGGCCAATCACAGCGCGGGCGGGCCTCAGCCACTTTCTCGAAGGATTACCTACTATTACTCCCACTTACAGTACATGCGCATTTTCGCCAAAGTGCTACTCAGGATCACAACCGCTCCTTCCCAAGCCCATGAATGAGCTAAATTACCGTTTTCGCACGCCTCACCCCCACCTAGGTGGGTATTGCTTCGCGAAGAAGGCAGAGCTTGCAGATAAACCCATGCGCAGGCTCAGGCCGTCCCTTGTCGCATTTAAAACCCCCTCAACACCACCCCTGCCCTTGGCGCGTAGGAGTCGCTCATTCACTCATCCGCCATAAAGGCGACGGCATCCTTGCCTCCTTAGCCGGTTGACTCCCCGCCACGTATTCACGTGTTCCTGCCTGGATGTGAACCGCCAGGCTTGCTCCATGGGGGGAAATTGCAGCTCCGAAACCGACGACACCAGTCTTCAGGGTGAACAGGATGCCCCGGACCTCGCGCACAATACGACCAAGCTGAATCAGGATCCTTCCAACCCTCCCCGGCTCCACCCGCCAATGGCTGACGGCCGCGACAACAGCCGCAGTATGGGTGGTGGCCAGTATAACCTTGTCTCTGCTCTTGACGATGCTGTCGAAGCCCGCTCACAGAAGAGGGAGCAACGGTGCGACATTGTCCTAGACAACCTGAACTCCCGCATATTTCAGGATGCAAGTGACTATGGTCGGGAACGGGAAGAGGTTGTTACTCGCGAGAGGGTGTTGGCATTCGACTACCTTTGCCAGGTCAAGGCATCGCAACTTGAAATCCAGGCAAACCAAGTACTCCAAGCAGTGAGGAAACACGACCAGGCAAATGTCTACGAGAATGCCCCGACACGGAGGGGTTACGGAGGACAGGAGCATCCACGCTTCATGGGCGACCATTTCCTCTCTAATGTCGACTTGATCGAGCAGACAAAGCTATACCGAGTTGCCCAAGAGATGCCCAAAGGTGCTCATCTGCACATCCACTTTAACGCAAACCTTCTCCCGGAGGTCTTGATCAACATTGCCAAGGAGATGGATCGCATGTTCATCACAAGCGATATGCCGCTAGTCCCCGTTGGCGATGATGGAAACTCCCCTGGTTACTACGGCAGATTTGACCAGTGCAGGATCCAGTTTTCGATTTTGTCTCCAGAAAGGGAGAAGCCAGGCAATCTCTTCGACCCCAACTACACAGAAAGGGGAACAATGAGATTCCAAGATTTTTTAAGGGAGTTCGACGCCCACTACAACCAAAAGTCCACCAAATGTTCGGTGGACGAGTGGCTTCGAAACAAGTTGGTCTTCCACGAGGAAGAAGCCCACAACTTGCTCCAAACGCCGGAAGGGTAAGTCAGCCTATGGATCAGAAGACGATCTGCAATGCTGACACCGCAGGCAGTGCTTGGGAGAAGTTCAATGGGCGTACTCAGATGATGAAAGGTCTATTCAATTATGAGAGGGCGTACCGACAGTACATGCGCCTATGTCTGCAAGAGTTCGTGGACGATAATATTCAGTACGCTGAGATCCGGCCCAACTTCATGGAAACGAATCAGCTCTGGACAGACGATGGAGAGAGAAAAACCAGTAATAGTGGCATCATGGAACTTATCATTGAGGAGTACACGGGGTTTCAAACCGACCACCCTGGTGTTTTCGGTGGCCTCAAGGTCATCTATTGTACCCCTCGCTCCTCCTCAAAAGAGGCCGTTCGGTACTCCCTCAACGAATGTTTGGCCTTCAAGAAGCGGTGGCCCGAATGGATTGCCGGTAAGCTTAATTCCAGTACTATTTCTGTGGGTATATGCTTACTTTTTGGGTGTATTGCAGGGTACGACGTAATAGGCGAAGAGAATAAAGGCCACCCCCTGAAAACCTTCGTTCCGGAGTTCCTAGAGTTCAAGAAGAAGTGCGCGGATGAAAATGTCGACATCCCCTTCCTCTTCCACTGCGGAGAGACACTGGATATTGGCTGCGACACCGACGGCAATCTGGTAGACGCCGTGCTTCTGGGCGCAAAGCGCATCGCGCACGGCTTTGCACTACCAAGACATCCATACATCCTGGAGCAGATGAAGAAGCGCAACATGTGCGTCGAGCTCTGCCCAATCTCTAACGAGATCCTCGGCCTTACCCCGAGGGTGGGTGGCCATGCCATGTACAGCATGCTTGCCAACAACCTCCCCTGCACTCTTAGCACGGATAATGGCACGCTTTTCAGGTTCGTCGCGAGAAACCGAAAACAAATCCTTCCCTTCTTACGGTTATCCCTTTCGAGACTAACACCTGCGTTTAGATCCCGCCTCTCGCATGATTTCTATCAGACTTTTGTGGGAAAGGCAGACATGACTCTCCACGGCTGGCGACAGCTTATCGAGTGGAGTATCGAGCATTCTTGCATGGAGGACCAACTACGGAAGGACATCTACGCCGATTGGGAGCGGCGTTGGAATGAGTTCTGCAGATGGGTCGTCAATGAATACGGCCATCTCGTCGTGGAAGGCATGCCGCCGAAACCCTTGGATTGATGGACGCTCGCCATCATCCTGGTTTTGCCTTGCCTTTTTTCTCTTTTCTTTCCCTTTGATACCAAATGTTCACAATTTTGGAAATTCGCTGGGATTCATGTTATGCTAGAACCATTTTTTATGATACCTCTAATTATTTTCTACCAACAACTGAGAACCTACCTACCTAACCTATCTAACGGGTAGGTTTGTTCAGTGTCGATTCAGGGGGTTCTTGGGACCTCGCCTGTGCCAGTTGTAAGGTGGCGCATAAGCCAACTTGACAACTGGCAGGTATGTACATATAAGCCCCACCAAAATGTACTCCTGGAAAGCTAAGACAAACACACTTGAAATGCAAGAAGATTTGAGGGACTAATAAGAGGATATCACAGGCTGTGAGCTGACGTTTCATTTACAATAAATCGGCACTTCAATTGGGTATTGTTTGAACAGTAGACATGAGGGAGGGAGGCAGCCATGCAGCGCCAGCCGCAGCTGAGGCAACACAAGGCTTCAGCCACTTCCCCATCGTAATCTCCCCTCATCCGAGCCTTGCAGCTCCGAAATCCAGCCTTCAGATCTCCGATCTCAGACTGTCAAGACTGGTAGAACAAGCTATAACATGGATTCCGTTTAACTACAACGTAGCTCGTTCGGCCAAGCAGTCGCGTTCGTCCGATTTCCCGGGCCTAACCAACCTAGTTAAACACGTGCAACCCGCCGGAATCCTTTTGGCACTGCCACGGGTTCCCCCCGGCTGCCCATCCCCAGCGGAACCGCGACTTTTGGCCGCGCCATGGCTGGCAACAGCACCGACTCCGGGTCGGAGCCGGGACCGACGGGCATAGCATCATGGTTCCCGCATGGCAAGGGCGGCTGGCAATTCGACGTGGTCACGCTGCTCGCGGTCATCGGCGAGAGCAGCGTGGCCGAGCACTCGCAGGCCATCACGGCGTCCTTCCTCTGCCTCCTGCCGCGCATCATCCCCGCGCCGCAGGCCATGCTGAAGCCGTCGCGGCCGGGCCGCATGCCCGACGTGACGGCTAAGCTGGCCGGCGTCTACAGCGGCGTCGTGCTCGACACGGTCGGCTTCTTCGCAAACATCATCCAGCCCATCGACCAGCTGCCGCCGTACAGCTTCAGGATGCTGGAGATCAGGCACAAGGACCCCAACGAGGCCGCCGGAATCCTCGCGGACCCGACCCCGGCGTCCGCGAGGGGCCCCGTGTCGTCGTTCCGGAACCTGTTTCGCCGGACGGCCAACGAGATCCACCACAGCCCTGCCCAGCGGCACGGCGGCGGCCGGATACCCGGGCCGCCGCCCCTGATGGGCCAGGAGAGCACGGCGATGAACGAGAAGGGGGCGTTGCGGTCAGGCACGCTCGCGACGGGGGCGAGCGTGGGGATCCAGCTGGACCCGGAGCGCGGGGGCGAGCCGGCACCGCCGCAGCCGGGAATCGTCCGGCGCAGGACGGTGCACGAGAAGATGACCGACTACCTGGCGAACCCGACGCTGGCCAACAACGCGGCGCGGCCGGCGGTGCCGGCGACGCTGTACTCGCCGGTGCACGTACTGTCGCTGCTGTCGTTCCTGCTGACGGTCGGGCTCATCGTGTGCGCGGCGGTCGTGCACGACGGGACGGCCATCGTGGCCATCGCGCTCGTCAGCCTGGCGGGGTCGGTGGTCGGCTACGCCAGCTGGTGGAGGCCGATCCTGATGAGGCGGTCGCACACCAACAAAGTGCCCAAGGGCGACGTGGTCATCCGCACGCGGGAGGGCGCCTTCGTGCTGGTGCGCTGCACCGAGGAGGTCGCGAGGGAGCTCTACCTGGGCACCGAGGAGTGCGAGTACTACGTCAAGGAGCCGCGCTACAAGGCGCTGATGGGCCTGGGCACGGTGCTCCTGATGGTGGCGGTCGTGCTGCTGGGCAACTGCGACTTCTTCATGCAAGTCGCCGTCAGCGCCAGCTACGTCGCCCTCAACGGCTTCTACTGGGCCATGGGCCTGCTGCCCAAGGAGTACTTCTGGGACCTCAGCCGCTACTGCTGGCAGGACACGACGCCCGACGACGCGAGCAACGCCCACGGAACCACCGACGAGGACGACCCGCGCGAGGGTGCAAAGAGCTTCACCCGCACGCTGTGGTACGTCATTCGCGAGACCAAGCGGACCGGCTGGGTCGAGCGCAGCGGCGCCGCCCCCGGGACCCCGCAGTGGAGGGAGTGGCTGCGCGAGGCCGAGGCCGCCGCCCGACGCGGGGACCGCCGCTGGGCCGCCGTCGCGCAGAAAGACGAGATCATGAAGGCCGACGAGCCCCCCGACACGTCCGACGAGTTGCAGGGTAGCAGTCGCGGCCGGCGGCGGGGCGACGATCGGGACTCGGACGGGGGGGGGCCTGCGACGGACGAGGCGGCACAGCATGCCCCCGTACAGGAGGTGCAGGGTAAGGCCGGTCGGGCCAACCAGGGGAGCTTTTGAGGGCATGCTTGCTGCCTTTGATTTAATACGATACCCAGGTCCTCACATCACATTTGGAGAATCGGCTCTAGAGGGTGTATATATACTTGTGTATATGCTGGTAATTTGAAGCGTACATGTTTAGCATACTTGGATCACTCATTTTCTTTACTATGTCAAGGGGTCGTTACAACAACAAGACTTCAGCTATAGGATACATCAGGCGTTTTCAAGTTGGGTCACGATCACATCTCGGGAAGGGAAGGCGTTTAGAAAAGGCCGAGGGAATGGGATATACAGGCCATGTGTTAGTGCTCGTTTCAGTCACCTTCCACGGTGAATTCTTCCTCTTTCCAGGCATGTGCATATATGTTCGCAGCTTCGGTGAATACCATCAGACGAATTCAAAGAGGGTTTCGGATACCCTCCCGACTGTAAAACTATGGCAACGAGACAAAAAAGTCGTCTGGTCCCGCCTGTCCCTGGCCTGGCTCCCAAGGCGAGAGCCAACATGGCATTTACTTCCCCCTGGGAGAATCAACACAGACAAAGAACATCACCCCCAGGGCTTGGCCGTCTTAACGTCAGCACCACTCTCCAGGTGAAGAAGGTCGTCGTCTGGTTTCACAAGCACTACAATTCGACCAAGCCGTTATCCTCGGCATCGGAGCATGTCGGCCAGCTTGGCCCTCGGCCGGAACAAGCTTTGCTGATCCTGGGTGACGATCCCGGTTGGCCCCCCTCTTAGTGCGGCCAAGTCTGATCTCCGCTTGATAATTACATCTCGAGTGGGGCTTCGCCGCATCTCAAGAGGACATGGCGTCTGGTGATGAAACATGTCAACGAGACATTGCTTGGAGGGATCAAGGTAACAAGGGCCTGATACTATCCTCGAATTCTGGGCTCGAGCCAGTCCTCAGTAAGCGGTTCTCTTATTCCTGAGATGATACTTAAGTCGGGACCAGACACATCAAATATGCCTAGCTCTATCCATCTTTGGTCATGACTGTGTCATGGCCAGCTTGTATCAGTGTGTTGTGCGTGCTGTCAAGATTGAAGTCCTACTAGCCCACTATTGGCGTAGGACGTGAACACGATTCTCTTGCCAATATTCCTTGTTGAACAGCAATCTTGCGTTCTGATGAGGACAAACTGTTCCCTCGCTCCTTCTTCGTAATGCCACTTGGCCTTACCTAACGGTCAGGGAGCTGGTCGTCCAAGTGCTTCTTTCCTCGAGATCGGCTGAATGCTCGCCCGTATTTCACTCGTATTACGGACAGGGTCTAATATGTCGCTCGCATCGATTGGCTACACTACAGGCGGCGGGCGGTCCGGGGGGCTAGGTATTGAATGGTACCGCGTCCCTCGCTCCCGGTTATTGAGAGGTATGTACCTCCGTAGAACGTGGGGAAATATCCATCTGTACCTTGGATGACTCACATTTCGTTGAACCGAAATCAATTGAGTCCTTTGATTCGACGGATCCTGCTGAGCTCTTGTGTATCAATTCCAATCCCGTTGATGATGGTAGCAACGTTGGAGCAGTTCAGTGGTTCTTGCCTACGAATTCGAGATGCTTAAACAGGAAGAGGGTCAGGCGCTGTCCGCATTGCCTTATGAGTCGCCTCGGTTCTTCCAACATACATAGGTACTTTACCATATAGTAAAAGAAGTGAAGGTGCCTGAATGTGTGGACGGGGATTCAGAATACGACTTACATGTACCTACAGTACATACCCGTCTGAGGATTTTGAGGCGTCTCCAGATTACGACCCTTGCTTGCAGGCCTACGTTGTCTTCCATAAGGTTCCTTGCACACTACGCATGTATTGTACTGTATTGTATGTACATACAAAGGTAACTATATTCGACACCATATGCGAGGAAGAATAATTGTATTGTCCTTGAACCAATTCCAGTCCCCAGAAAGTCTAATCTCGAGTCCTGGCTGAAGTCAAAGCAGGACACAGTTTTGACATTATCTTGACCATTTTGACATGTTCCGCGCCCTTGCGCATGTCTCGAACTTCCTTTCTGGGTTCACCGGAATGATCCAATCAGACTCGATCAATTTCTCCACGTCTTGCACCAGTCCCTAACTCCAAGCGACTTAGACTGGCTTGGCTCAAGAAAAAATTAATCCCTCTTAAAATGATTGGCCCGGCCACGATCCAGCTGGGGCCTCTCAGATGGGGCAGTGCGGCAAGGTGCCTCATTTCACGGCAGAATTGAGGCTCGCTCAGCCAGGAACAGCTTAGCGCCAAAAAGTGTGAGTCACACACCTTCATCTTCCAGGGCTGACCTGGTAAAGTTGTCTCGGCCTACCAATATTTCGATCGTGGCGGCGAAGCTACGCAGCAGGCCTGAATTGTTAGTGGTTAGCGGAGATACTTCCCCTGGGCGTCGTCTCTGGTGCACGGCCCCATTCCGCCTTGTGTTTGGCCTTTTGCTGCCTGAAAAATACAAAAACTTGGCTCGCCCACTCCTCTGTTCTCTTACTTTTTCCCACCCACCAACACCAACTGAACCACAATTATATGAACATGACCAAGGCAGCTACCATCATGATGCGTTAAAACCGTCCACCGTCTCTCAAGACTTGCGTCCCGCAACCTCAGCCAAAATTCAGTCCCCAAGTTCTTTACAACTCCCCACTCAACTCCCTTCAGCTCTTCCTGAAAAGGTCGATCTGAACTTTGACTTCACGCTTTCGAGCTCAAGCTCAAGTTCTCGCAACACCGTCGCCATTTCCGCCCAAGACTTGCCAGTCTTCAACACGGATCCCAATCAGTCAACATGGCTTCCCTCCAGTTCCTCGAGCCTGCCGGCACAACCTGCGCCACAACAGCATTTGCAACCGTTCCAACAGGACTTCGTTCTGTTCGATCAGCCGATCAAGCAAACCCGTCAACCTAACCGCTCTGTCTCTCAACCTTCCGCCATCGGAGGTGTAATATCTCAAGAACAGCAACAACATCGTCATCAGCAGCAGTATCGACAACAGCCTTCTCCGGCGTCTCTGCAAAACCACCGAGTTGCTAGCATCATCCAGGCTACAGGGCACACACCGTCTTCTTCGGCCTTCACCAATCGGTTTAGCTCTCCTGTGCAGAACCCTCACCAGTTCTACGCTTCGTCCGCGCCATCATCTTCCGTTGCTTTGAACAGGCAAAACCGTCCCGCTCGGCCGCCAGTTCCACTTTTTTCACATAGCACCGGTAGCATACCGCAAGGCAATATGAACCTCCAAGGTTGGTTACCGATCCATCATCTCCAGTCTGCAACTGGAAGCTCACAAAGCCCATCAGACCTAGACTTGGAAGATTTCACTGCCTTTGAGGGTGGCGCTTCCACGGCGTATTCATCGCCCGCCATTTCAACTGCTTTCGACTTCAGCGCCAGTGGTTCCAGCTCGGCCTCCAACATGGGCACCGTCTCTCCGCAGGATCTTTTGATCCAGGAGCCGTTCATGTCGGCGCCAAACTCCTCTGCCCTCACTGCTCTGACTTCGCCGTCAATCTACAACGAGTCACCCGAATTTCATGACAGCTATGACGTCTCGCCCAATTTCAGTAACAGCGATTTTGATGCATCTGCTGCTGATGTTTGGTACCCGCTTTTCCCTCCGGAGAACAAGGCGACTCAGCAGCGGACGGCTGCCAGTGAGAGCTCTCCTGCTGAGAAGTCGGAGGATCTCGAGTCCTCGGAATCTGGGACCTCTCATCGCCGCCGGAAGTCGGGCCACAATTCCCCCGGCAACTCTGGCCGTCACTCGTCCGTGTCCGGTGTCAACTCGCGAAAGCGTGACAAGCCCTTGCCTCCTATCATCATCGAGGATCCCAATGACACCGTTGCCATGAAGCGTGCCCGCAACACCCTTGCAGCTCGCAAGTCTCGTGAGCGAAAGGCCCAGCGATTCGAGGAACTGGAGGAGAAGATTGCCAAGCTGGAAGCAGAGCGTGACCATTGGAGGAAGATCGCAATGGCCCAGTCTAATGGTGGACAATAAAAATGGGTGTGGGTATGGTTTCGTTAGGAATGACCCATTCACCCTCGATCCAATGGAGGATCGAGGAGGGGATCTCTTTATTCACGGATTGGTATTACTAGTATTTTCTCAAGCGTGTATTCTTCTCGGGTTTTTTTCATTTGGACTTTCCTTGGTGGATTGTCTTGGACTGTTGCCCTCGTCGTCCTCGCTGAGGATTTGTACGGGTAGTGCCATTTCCTAGGATCGCAACACACAAGAAACGGATTTGAGTGAGCATTAAATCCAATATGCTTCCATCGTGACCTTTGAGGACCTTCCCCCTCTTTGTCACCCATCCTGGACTCCATGCTCTCTGGATCGACTGATGGTAGTGCTCAAAGGCGAACAAAGGCGTAGAACTCTCGGTCCCCTGCCCCATTCTTATCTGCCCTCCACGGACCGGTCTTCTCATACCCTCTGCTCCTCCCAGGCTGGGGCCTTCCGGGGCTTTGCCCTCACTCTGTATGTTGCCCCCCACCACACCAGGCAAACAGCAAGACCTCCCACTCACTTGGTAGGTGGCGCTCCCGGCATGCGCATGACTGGCCTACATACTTCTGCGGTCTTGTTTGGGGGACTGTTGGGGGAGGCATTGCTCCGCCTAGCTGCTTCTCTTGGATGACTTGTTTCCCGTTCCTTCAAACTTTTTCCCTCGTGTATTCCCAACCCCCCTGACTTGTGTTTGCTTGATCAGGAGGCCGACAACTAGGTTTGCCAAAAACCCAAACTCAAAAGTAGCCTGGTGTGAGTGGACGGGTCCCCCGGGCCGTCGTCTATCGGCCTAGCATTGGGTCGGAAGAGAGCGTTGCTAGGTTACCCTTTGAGGCCCCGGCGATAATGGTAGTGATTCCAGGCTAGAGAGTGTGATGTTGTCTACAGGCATGGCTATATCCTGACGTCGGGGAAGGTTGGAAAGAGTGGCAGGGATGTGTTTAGCGCCAGCGTCTTCTCCTCCCAGTTGAAGAAGGTTCGGGGACCATGGTTTCCGTAACGGTGATGTTTAGGATCAGCCACAAGACGTTCGAATAGAAGCTCTAGGTAGGTATGTAGACTAGGTATGGGTAAAGATAGGACCATCCCATCCCATAGTAGGGACTGGGAAATGGACCCCCTTCTTATCATTAGGCATGTTCATCAAATCTCTATATAACACTTGAGAAGTAATGCCGTTATGCATACAAAAAAACAAACAAAGTGAAACTCCATTACGATCCATCCGAAAGGCCTCTTTGGTTGGGCCTTGTCCATTCCAAACCCCCTTTTTTTAGCCTTTCCCTCCCTTTCCCTTTCGTAGTTAGCAACCGTGACGTACATCTCTCTCTTTCCCCCTCTGCCGGCCGAGCCTGAGCCCCGGGTTCTCTCTCTCTCTCTTCCCCCTCCCCCCCATCTTCGTCTCTCGTATGTCTTGCAATTGCAGTCATGCGAAACAATGAGGAAAAAAGACATGAAAGGAAATGCCGAACCCCTTTGCAAATGACAGAGAAAAAAAAAGGAGATGAAAGATGAATGCATTTTTTGTAACCCCTAAAGCGCCCCTTTGCTGGCGAGAAGAGACAAAAAAAGGTGGAATCGTTCGTTCATGGCATTTCCACCCAAGCGGGAACGTAGAAAGACATTAGCGAGTCTCATAACCTGAGCTGTCATCTCATGGATCCCTTTCGCCCTTGTCGTTCCTCAAATGAGGTCGATTCAGAAAATGCCATCCATGAGCTGCTCAAGATAGTAATCGTGTTTATGTGTACAGGGGGGCCGTGGAAGAGTATGATTGGGCTCTTTTTTTCTGTTGGGTGGAAACTGCCCCGTTTGCGGGAGAACCCCCAAGGCCATGTGATGTGGCACCCGGGCTTCCGTTTTAGTTAACCGTCATCATCTGCAACCTCGGCGACTCGACCGACGTTCTGCTGAGGACGGAATTGGTGCTGTGGCTCTTCGGCAAGCGCTTTGGGGGACTCGATGCCGGATCGGTGAAAACCCGGGTGAAGGCCGGACTGCCATCTCCAAGCCGAGGCACCCGTTCCCTACGCGGCGTGCCCGCGGGGCTCTGAGTGAGGAGCTCAGCACGTCGGACCACGTCGGAGAGCGAATCCCGAAGCTGGCCAGCCTTTTTGACCAGCTCCTGCAGGCTATTCGTATCGAAGAAGAGCTTCGACTGCGAGGGCTTGACTGGAGATCGACGCTTGACTAGATCAGAGGTCGAGCGCTGCTGTTGCTGCATGGCTTCCATCACGGTTGAGATCATTGCTGATTTGCGGCTCGAATTGGTAGACTGGTCAGGAGTACGAGGCGGTGCGGCCAAGGGCTTCTCATCGTTCAAGGGCCAGTTTCCGCCGAAGATGTCGTCCTCTGGTGAGAATACTGATCGCCGTCGTGTCGTCTGTCTCTCGCGCACCACAGCATTCTTTGCCATCTCGGGTTCCGCGATGGACTCCGGGATTAAAAAGGGATCTTCGGTGCGATCGAGCGAGCCAGCATCAAATCCTTCTTCGAGAAATCGTTCGTCGATAGTCGCGCAGTCCGAATCCTTTGCGTGTCCATCTGCATCCGCACCTTCGTCCTCATCCTCGTCAGGAGACGCAAGCTCAATAATATTCTGAGCCTCCATCCACTTCGATGAACAAGGTCCATCGAGGATGTCCAGATCCTTTCCGTGTCGGCACAATCGCTTGAGGTCGTTGACAAGCAGCGATAGCTCCCGAATCTGACCCGAATGTGCCTTGACCGTAGGCTGGGTCGCCTGGATTGATGCTGGGACAATCATTGAGAAGCTCGTTGCCGAGTCCTTGCCACCAACCGGGCTGACGGCATCCTCGTCGAAGTCGAAGTCGTCGTCCCAGTCTTCGCTGACTGGCTTGGTGCCCAGACCCCATGTTCCGAACTTCGGTACCGCCTTAGAGGAGCCTTCAGTGGGCTCCGGAACCACTGGGACACTCTGGCTTCGAACATGACCGGCGCCAGGGCCCTTACGATTAGCCGGGCGACCTCCTCTCAAGTCCATCTCCTGCTTCCCGTGCACCGTCTTTGGTCGGGGCGAATGACCGTCGACGTCGAACTTTTCGTGCAATGGTGGCTCGGTCCAATCGAAGATATTGCTTCGGGGCCGCTCGTTGACGGTGATGTGGTGGCGGCTATCGAGACTGCTGTTCCCGGTGATGCTCACCAGTGCGTGTCGGAGGCGGGGACTTGCCTTCCTCGAGTTGAGAGGGCTGGATGGTGGGAAAAGGTGGTTGCTGAGGCCGTTTTCCTCGTCCCGTGCCCAATCATCGTCATCGTCGTCGTCTAGTGATAGGCGGCTAAAGTCCCTGTTTGAGAGGGAAAGTCTTGCCAAGGCACGTCCAGGGCGGAAGAGCCCCTCCAAATTATCAGTCCCGTCGTTCAGCCCCATTCTTGTCTCGGAATGGATGGCTCGAATGGGTGTTGGGGCACTCTCATCCTCTTCCATTATCCTGGTATCACTATCCCAAGACTGCCCGAGAATTTCCTGGATTGATAGTCTTTTTGTCTTGCTGTTGCCAGCAGTGCTTGGGGGTGACTCGTCAAACATGGACTCCAAAGGTGTGTCGACGTTCCTTAATCGATTGGAGCCGGCAGTGCGGAATGAATCGAATACCACGTCGCTCTTGAAGTCGGTATCATCATCATCCCCGGACGTGCAATCACGAGTCTCCACGTCAGAGCTGGCCATGGTGGAGGTACACTCACCCGAAACACCTCGACTTTGAGCTGGGCTCGGGTTGGTTTGGGGGGTTGAGAAAAAAGTGATTGACACCTGATTTGCTCTCGAATGACCCGATGCAGGAGCCACCGAGGTGCCTAGATGTGAGACGTCAATATTAAAGCTCGAAAGTCGAGATATTTGTGGCAGTGGAGACGAAGAGTTCCGCTTTCGGGCTTTTGGGTGGTAATTGGACGCACCCTCGGGGCCTAGTTGCAGGCGGGGCTCGTGAGAAATGAAGATTTCGTCAACTGTCGGTTTCAACAACTCTGGCTGGACTAGGTTCTGCGCCGTGGTTGTAGGAGCAGATACGTGACGCTTGCCTTCGCTCTTGGCTTCCGTTGATCCGCGCTTGGGGCGTCGTATGCTCCCAGTTTTTGAGATCCAGTTGCTCGGCGAGCTAAATTGCATCGAAATTGAGCGCCTAGCCCGTTTCGACGGTGTATCCTCTGCAGAATCCGGCGAGTCGTGCGTGGTCCGACGACCGTCATGGTTCTCTGCTTGGCTCTCGGCACCCGAACTCTGCTCCTGTGGGATTGCAGCGCCGGCAATCATGGCGGCCTTGACTAGACATGCGCGAGGCATATCTCGCTGCGATGACTGTATCCGCTTATTCGGCAGTGACACGCCACCCGGGCTGCCAGAGCTTCCTCGACTGGCCCTGGTAACACGGAAATGGAAGAAAGAAGCCCATCTACTGCCGTCTGACTGTGAATCGGTACGCTCCACCTCTGCCTTGGTCGTGAATGCCCTCGGCCGTGATCTATGGTCCAGCGAGTACTTTGGGCCGGCAGGTGGCCCAGAGAAACCATCCTGTTGCTGGAACTGCTGCAGTGTTGCTGACCGCTGATGGCTGGTGGCGGGTCTTCGAAAACTAGGCACCTGCGACCTGGAACCTCTTCCGACCACGGCACCTGAATCGTGATTTTGACCAGAGGATGCTCGTTTGATCAACTTATTCGGCGGCATTTGCGGGGGTGCCGATCCGGTAGGGGATAGCACGGGCGCACCAGAGCCGTAAGAGTAGACTAGAGAAGGCGAGTCTGGCCCAATGCTTGACCGTGGGCTTCCATGCTGTGAGAGCGGCCGGATGGATAGACGTCTCATCCAGGACCCGTTGGAGGAGATCGAGTCCCTGGCATTTTCGGCGATTGGCCGTGCCGAGAGATCTGTCTGTCTGATGAACGACTGCCTCCGGCTCGTGCTCTTTGGGGGTGTGATCTGGTTGCTGGAGGACGGGGACGTTCGCGGTGTATTAGTCGGATGTGACGATAGAGGACCAGGAGGAGGCTCGGAGCGTTGCTGAAAAGAAATGCGAGGATGGTAGTCCATAGGTGGCGCATCAGGGGCACCGCTTGTTCCGGGACGTGAAGACGTAGGAAATCGCAGGCTCTCGAAGCCCGCAGTTACGTTTCGCTTGCTTGGGCTCGGCCGGAGGGCGGTTGTTGTTGACTCGGCAGGTTGGCCAAAGACCAGGCCAGTAGCGGCAGCAGCAACTACGGTGCCGGTTCCTACGAGCTGAAGGGGCAATCCAGTTAGTAACGCTCTCTCTTGCTAGGGCCAAATATGGAGACAGTGGAGGCGGCAAAAACCCAATATGGGCAGCGCAGAGCGTGGATGGCCGTCCGTCCATGTCCCCGGTCTCCCCGGTCTTGGGTGCTGAACTTAGAATAGTGGCTGTTGGTCGACTTACACTCGGCACCGACTGCATTATGGCTGCCGGCAACTACTCCAACGAGAAGGTGCCGAAGTCGGGAAGAGGAGTAAAGGGGAAATTCAATATCGTGAGGGTCGTGATTGGCATCGTCAGGGCATTACGGCGGGTTCTAGGCTGGAGGAAATCGGGAGAAGGACGGGGGGAGGGATGACGACCCGAGCTTGAGGACGAGATTCGCGCCAGCAAAGCGATGGGAAGCCTCGTTCTAGCTGCCTGGCCAGGAACCCGAAGGAAATTCGAGTTGATATGGTGCCGTGACACGGTCGTCGATATGTGCACGGCACAGGCAAGCTTTGCCTGGTTCTGGTACTCGCAGTGAGTCTGGAGACGCGGTGGTGGGCTCTGGAATTATTTGCTGGCAGTCTGGAAATTGGCCCTTCCCATGTTAGCGGGGAGATTGGACGGGTGCCGTGGGACAAGACAGGGGAGTCGTACCAAAAATACCAAATGCCAATGCCAATGCCAGCTCCCGACCCAGTTCCAGTTCCAATTTCACTGCAATGCCAATATAGAGTCAATGCTAAAAGGAGTCGAAGGGAAGTGGAAGGGAAAATGGAAGAAAAAGGATACGGGAGAACACAGGGGCCTGCACAGTCCGCTCAGCTCGGGAGGAAACAAGAGTCAGCAAACAACAACGGGCAGACCCGTGAGTTGACGACGGTCCAAGGTAGAAAAGACGAGAGGAAAGTTGTCTGTCAAGGGTGGGATTAGGCTGTGTTGAGTTAGTGAGGTTATGGAGGATTGTTTCCTGTACGCATAGGTAATAACCAAGGACCTACCTAGCCCGAAACCTTGCCTAACTGTAATTAGGTAGGTACCTGGGCAGGTACTGAGCTGAGTAACAGGGGATGTTTACCTGTTTTTCGGGGCGATTTTTCTTTCACTTTTTGTTTTGTTTCCACACTTGTTTCTCCTTCTTCGACTCTTTCCAGCATTATTTCTTTTCCGTTGTTATTTCCCCGTTCCCTGCTCGCTCTGGTATCTCGCAATCCGGGACCTGCTGTCTCAAGATCGACAAGACCTACCTACCTCTTGCGCTCTACTTTTCAGATTACTAGCACCCGGAGTATTACTTAGATAGTAGGTACCTACCGACCTTCCATTCCAAGGAACGTCTGGAAACCGGGGCGCGCTCTCAGAGTATGCCTGGGATCATGATCTATTGGAAGATGATCAACGTGCCGTTTTCCCACAAACACATGCTGCGCTTCCTTGGTTCTTTGTGCCCTCGGCCTTGCTGGGGCAAATCGAGGGGATCGATCTGACTTAGCGCGGATCGGCTGAGACCTATCATTTGCCTCGACCAAGTTAACGCCCACTAACACGAAAACGCAGCGAAGGGGACCCCGGCACTCTGTACGCATATGTACGCGGTATGTACTCTACGAAGAGGTACTAATAAGGAGTCCCAAATGTCCACTGGACCAGGCGGCCTTGATGCCATCATCAACTCCGAATTCGGTTCCCCCACAGATCTTTAAGAGGCCCTCGTCCCCCAGACTTTTGAACATGCTCGAGTTTTACATGCGTAAGTAAAATTCCCCAAAGTCAAGTACCTAGTCTTTTACTTGGAACCGACTGGGTAGCAGCGGCCCAAAGAGGATGCCATAATATCCCTTACCCTTACCCTTTACGAGGCATATAGCGGACCTGGCATATGTATAATACAGTCGCCAGAGACGGGGTGCATATTGCATTCGGTCGGAATGCTTGTATGGAGCCGTGCGATGGAGGAATGATCCGGCCCCTAGGAAGGAAGGAAGGTGCCTTTGCTGCAAGAGACCTGCAAGAGACCAACATGCGTATTTCCGGATTTGAAGCTCGCTGCCAGATCTCCATGCCCGTTTCGTCCATCCAGGCCGAGACCTGGGCCCGGGCGATCCCAATCGCATGGAGGCTGGAAAGTGGAAACAACGAAGATCGCGCTTGGCCGCTGTTCCCGGCCGTTTTTGCCAGCATTGCTTTGCTGACACAACAACAATATTTGTTGTTTGTGTATCACTTTTTGTTTTGGCCATGCCAGCATTCGCTGTTGTGCTATCGTCGTCGTCCTGGTATTTGGTTTCCCCCCCACTCGCTGGAACCTGGGCGTGTGTCACCCTATCAATCCATCAATGCAATGAGACTCGATGCTCGTGTAGCTCTCGAATCATTGCTTCAGAGCTCACCTCGTCCATGCCCGAGACAGACAGCCTACAGCGGGTACCTATTCGTAAGGTATGACACTGCCACACTGTCCCCCTCCTTCCCCGTTCCCACCGCCCTTCCCCTGGACCCCCTGGACGAAGCTGTCCACTTGGGTTCTTAGTACAAATCGAGCCTCCCTTATTGTCCCGCGCCGTCCCTGTGGAGAGTATCTTAATTCTCAGGAGTCCCCGTCAGCTTCATTCTTCCAGCCTATTTTGCCGCCCCCGGAATCCTTTCTAACGTTGTTGTGTGGTTTGCTGGCCTGGAATTCCCGGATCAGCCCAGCAAAGTCCGCATCCAATGATCGTGACTTTCCACGAGAAGCTACCTATGTATATGAGCACTTTGTCGTCACACAAATCTATTGTTCTCCTTGGCAGGGACGTTGTGTTGTCCCGCGAGGATGAGCACCTTTCCGCTGGCGGTCTGCCTTCGCAGCCTGGCAGCCTGGCAATCTTCCTATCTTCTGGCGCTTGCCTTTTCGTCCGGCCAACTGCACCCCGGCGCAGGCTTGCTGCCTCGTCGCCGAAGTTCCACCTGCAGAGCTAAGCATCACCGACTATCGATCGAGAGGAGTAATACCTGACTCAGGTAGCTCTCGGGGGGCAAAGCTGACTAACACCAGCACCTCGGGTGCCGCATGGCTGCGTGCTGCGAAGGTACGGAGTACAGTACATGCCACGCTGTCGATCCCATCGCCATACCTACATCCCGCTTTCCATGTGCTGCCGTGTCAGTGTTTCCACGCAGTCCTTCTAGAACCCGCCCGCCGGGTTCCAGCACACGGACGTGATATATAAACCACGTAACGGACCCTTACCTGTCCTACTATGTCCATACATACCTATAGAGCCTTGAAAATTCTGCCGGGATGCTTTTCATCGGCAAAAGACAAACCACCGATGTAAAACCTCGAAACCCGGCTCTTGAACTAATAGGTGGGGTTTCTAATGGAGGCCCCGCCGAGGCCCCAGTGAAATCCAGTGTATCTACCCGAATCGGATACATTTGCCGGTGCTCTATCTGTCGGGAGTCGGGACATGGTGCCATGTGGCGTGCTTCTCCTCTTGCGCATCACCTCACCGGCTGCTTCAGAGCCAGAAACAAAACAATGCTCTTCGTCAGGAATTAGACCATCACCGGATTGGGGAATGGTTCGATAATCGAATTTTCCCCCTCAGCGATCCATATTGCGGGTTGTGGGCCCGTGTTTGAAGCTGATTACTGCGTATTCGGATGATGTGGAGAATCTGAGTGATATCGCACACCCGATAAGTAGGTAGGTACCTACCTACCTGACATTGGAAACTCGAAGCTTTCGCGATTGGACCTTCGGATAAGCTGCCTATCTACTCTCTCTAGTCGAGCTCTTCCATATCGACCTGGCGGTGCAGTGGCTCTGAGCCTTTCCAACATGCGATATTTCTCCCGCTCTGTGGGCCAGTGGCCATCAACATGGCTAAAGACCGCCCATAACGGGACCGGGCATGCCGTAGGCTACTGTGCCCGGTTCCATGCATTGCATGTTTTGCCCCATGTACGTACATAGTAGCCACAGACCCTCGTGAGGGCGGTACGTTTATTGTGTTTATTGTGTTTTCTGTGTCTCCTGTGTTTATTGCTTATTGTTTGCTTGGTTCATGTTTCGTTTTGACCTTCAATATGCTTTCTTGACATCTCTCCACGTTGCAGAAGTCCCTGGTAGGGGAGGCCTAGACCAGTCTACCGCACTGGCTTATTGAAGTTAGGCTGGCTCAGAGTAACCGTCTTCTGCAGGCCCCAGGTTCCCCGGTATTGGACTATGGACTTCTATTTCCAGACGGACAGACGGACGGTACTGGCGGGGCTGTTTTAACTGAGCATGTTTTATTCTGCATGAGCTTTGACTACTGGGCCTATGGACGCCAGGGATCCGCGAGCGTCCTAAATCTTCATGTTCGCTTACACGAGGCACCCTCGCACTACCAAAAGTGATATTGAACAAGATGGCAGAATCTACAGCAAGATGACGTGGACATACGCACGAAATGCAGATCAATCTACTCCACGTTGTTTCTGGAAGGGATCCTATAAATCTAGTGGTCAAGACAGGACTTGAGGTTTGTTACATGGCCCCCTCTAGCTCTGGTGTCAACCAAATAAGCGTGCCACTGTGGAGTCGAAATCCTCAGCATGATGCGGGGTGCCTCGCCAACAGGCCGCGCGATGGCATGCGGGCTTCTACGGGGCTAGGCTCCGTTGCATTGTTGCATTGGAAGGGGAGAAAAGCGACGCCTTGTCGCGAATTTTCCAGGCGAGAAAGATCACTGGTGCTGTCGTGTGTCATCAAAATTGGGCGGTTGCACGGCAGTTGCCAAGCCCAGCCGGGGTTACCAAGTTGCCCATGTGGTGACACGCAACGATTGGCCCGGCCACGCGACGCGCTTCCGAGGGACAGGGATTAGACGCGTCTTCCGTCGCGTCATTTTAGCTTAAGGCACTTGACGCTAATTGCCCTCGTGCAGCTCCAAGAAAATCTCCGTGCGCTGTGGGGACGTGTCAATACGAACGAATGCTGTCAGTCGTGTGTTTTCCAAACCATGTTTCAGGATTTCTATTCGCCAATTCTATCTCCGATCGAACTATTCCCAGAAGACAATGGCCAGACAAGATGGAAACCGAAATGCAATCAGGCACGGCGATAGATCGCAGTTACTGCCAGCCACTCAGTGAACGATGGCGCAAGATTCCCCCACTAGGATGCGATAGGGCTCAACTACAAGTGTCGCCATCCTCGCATCTCAGCCAATTAGGGTGGACGTAACAACTTAGGCTTGGAGAGATAGTCTGCTGCATGTCAGCGGGGGTTGATCACCAGAGATTCCTGGACCATTAATATTGCTCCCCCTGCTGATCCGGTCAACACTTAACATGGGGTAGGCTCCTTCAACTCCAAAAGCTCAGCCGGTCCTCACCACAGCCACGACTTTATGGAAACGGAATTGAGCAACCCTGAGTCATTACTTCGACCGTGAAGATGGTATTCTCAACAACGACCAACAGTGGCTGACAATGGCATATTGTTGCGGCACCCCAGGCTGCATTGTCATGATCATCGAATCTCGTCTGAACCCCTTTCCCTGGCCAGATTCAAATGGCATGGAAGTGCAGGGGGTGCAACTCAAGGCATCTACGCATGCACAGTCAAAGGCTCTGGTTCCCCCTTACGCCAACACCGCGAGAGGAATGAGGCCTTGAATCTGATGCCGAGGATATAAGCTTCTCGCGATGCTTCTACCATCCACCCAGTTTACCTGGCTTAGGGCCAATTCTTTGCAGGTCAGATCTTGACAATCCTTGGCGGCCCCTTTCATACCAAATACTCCTGGTTGAGAGACAGCCTACCTATCCAGAGCAGGGGCAGGAAAGGACATGTACCACTGAGAGGTATTTCTGCGGCGCTTCTTCATCGCCCTCTTAGGACCTGAGTTTGCGCAGTTCCCAACCCCGAGCTTGAGGCTGGCTCCCAATCTTGGCCATGATTGGGTGGGACTTGACCTGCCTCGAGGGAGTCAAGCCGTTGATGCCAGAGCCATGTTTGGTCGCCATAGCCGATGGCCGATAAGTGAACATGAGAACCAGGTCTGTTCTTCAAACATAATATGCCTAAGGAAGAGTAGCGATGTGATCAATGTAAACAAATCAAGGCCATTCTGCTCCGGGGCAATGTTTGGAATATGAATGCCTCCCCCATTTATCTTTCTCTCCTAATATCCCGTACATGGCCTGCAACCCCAATCTATAAAGAATTATCACTCCAGTATGGATTTCCCAGTCTCAAGCCTTGCTCTCATTAACCGCAAGTCAATTAATGGGTGCTGTTTTCTATAGATCCACAACGCGATAACAATGCGATGAACATTCTGTACCTCGCAGTAACTGAAGGTAGAGACGGAACGTCGGACACAAACCGACACGGTGCATATAACACTGTCGTGGCAGCATCAGCCACATTTGACTTTGGACGTACAGCCACATCAGATTGTCAATTTGGAAATTTATCGCCATTCAATCAGCCTTATCAGACCTCCATTTGATCTGTGTCCTCAGTACTCAACCTAAAGTAACTCGATCAGTGGTGTCACTCATCCGGGTTTGTAATAGAAAATGGAAGCCGAACTCAGGACTGTTCTGCCGAACATCGACCCTGTGGTCTCGGAGTACTCGGCCGGTTACCTAAACCACGCCTCAACGGCCTGGTCCGGAGAAGAGGAGTCCTCCGGTGCTTCCCCGCTCTCGGAAGCTGCTTCTGCCATTACAGAACTGCTGCTCTCGGCTTCTGGCAATCCTGATGCCGGTCTCCAAGAAAAGATTCGGCTACTGGTTGAGAAATGGGTCGGCAAATATACTGCTGCCAACGGGACCAGCGAGAGAAGGGGTCCCACCATCAAGCGGCTTGACCAGACTATTCAAGTCAGCACCCAGAGGAACATGTCCTCGACCCTTGCTGTTGCCACAGGTGGCGTGGACCTGGAGTCTGCCAATGCAAGGAAAGTCGAGTCTAAGGTAGACAAGAAAAAGCTGGAGAAGGCAGAGAGAAAGATTGCCGCCAAACAGAACAAGAAGACCTTCAAGACTGTCGAGTATGAGGCTTCGAGGTTGCTGAACCAGGCCGAAGACGCCCAGTCGTACGAAGAGTTCTACATGGCAGTAAACCCTCTTCAGTTGGGTGCTGGCCAGGGCGGAAAGACGAAGGATATCAAGGTCGATAACGCCGATATTTCTATTGGGGGAACCAGAATCTTGACAGACACCACGGTGACCCTTTCATACGGCCATCGCTATGGCCTTGTCGGTCATAACGGTGTTGGTAAATCGACACTGCTTCGCGCACTCTCCCGAAGAGAGCTGCCAATTCCGACTCACATCTCTATTCTTCACGTCGAGCAAGAAGTGAGCTATAACGACCCATCCCTCCCCTTTTTAAATTAAGTACTCTGCTGACATCCGACTACCCAGATCACTGGCGACGATACCCCCGCTTTGCAGGCTGTTTTGGATGCTGATGTCTGGCGGAAGGTGCTCATGAAAGAGCAAGCTGTATGTCCTCCCGGGCCGCCCGAGTTGTCTGTCTATTAACATCTCTTCTAGCAAATAACGCAAAAACTCGCGGAAATCGAGACGGAGCGCTCTTCCATGGCCGATACCTCGGCGGATGCTGCCAAGCTGGACCGGGATCGTGAGGCGCAAGATCAGAGACTGGGTGACATCCAGGCGAAACTCGCCGAGATGGAATCTGACAAGGCGGAGCCTAGGGCTGCCAGCATCCTGGCTGGTCTCGGCTTCTCGACGGAGTGGCAACAGCGTCCGACCAAGTCCTTCTCCGGAGGTTGGCGAATGCGGCTGGCTCTTGCGCGAGCACTGTTTTGCGAACCGGATCTTTTGCTTCTTGACGAACCTTCAAACATGCTGGACGTTCCCTCAGTCACATTCCTTTCGAACTATCTACAAGGCTACCCCAGCACGGTTCTTGTTGTGTCCCACGACAGAGCCTTCCTAAACGAGGTCGCGACCGATATCATCCATCAGCATTCGCAACGTCTAGACTACTACCGGGGTGCCAACTTCGACACCTTCTACGCCACAAGAGAAGAGCGGAAGAAGACGGCGAAGCGCGAGTATGAAAACCAGATGGTACAGCGTGCGCATCTCCAAGCATTCATCGACAAGTTCCGTTACAATGCTGCCAAGTCATCCGAGGCACAATCTCGAATCAAAAAGTTGGAGAAGATGCCTATACTGGAGCCGCCAGAGACGGAGTACAGCGTCAAATTCAGATTTCCCGATGTTGAGAAGCTGTCGCCACCGATTATCCAGATGACAGAAGTTTCGTTTGGCTACACAAAGGACTCTATCCTTCTGTCGAATGTGGACTTGGACGTACAGCTCGACTCTCGGATCGGCATCGTAGGACCTAACGGTGCTGGTAAGACAACCGTCTTGAAGCTCCTAATTGGTAGGCTCCAGGCCACCAGTGGCCTGATCTCGCAACACCCTCGTCTTCGCGTCGGATTCTTTGCGCAACACCACGTCGATGCCCTTGACCTCAACACGAGCGCAGTCAGCTTCATGGCCAAGAACTATCCCGGAAAGACGGATGAAGAATATAGACGCCAGCTAGGTGCTTTTGGCATTACCGGTACGACCGGTCTGCAAAAGATGGAGGTTCTCTCGGGAGGTCAGAAGTCCCGCGTTGCGTTCGCATGCTTGGCTCTGACCAACCCCCACATCCTCGTGCTTGACGAGCCTTCTAATCATCTGGATATCGAGGCCATGGACGCGCTCTCTGAAGCCCTAAATGAGTTCCAAGGTGGAGTCCTCATGGTTTCTCACGACGTTACAATGCTGCAGACGGTCTGTAAGTCACTCTGGGTCTGTGATAATGGCCAGGTTGAGAAGTTCCCTGGCGATGTCCAGCAGTACAAGAAGAGGATTGCTGCTCAGGCCAATGCTGCCGGTGTGGTCAAGGCACATTAGAAGAGTAGACGTTGGAGCCGAAGGTTAGAAGTATGTATTGGATCTAGAATCCTAGATTTACAATGGGATGCTTCAACTGTGCAGTGAAGTGTGCTTGCAGTGCTTGAAGAGCAGGATACCCCTGGAGACGTCTCTTTGCCCAGATATTGAAGTCCTCAGGAAGAAGGGAAGTTGACGACACTGAGATGTCCATCTATTCGCAAACAAAGTGCGTGATAAGAGCACTGTGTAATTGCGCATCGAAGTAGACTGCCGATCCCCCTGAAAGCTCTGTGCACGTGATTAGCTACCCCGCGCTTGATTGGGGAAAGTGCCCGTGTTCAAAAAGTGGCGGTAGGCAGAGAAGTAAACAACCTAGTCGAAGCGGAGCGCAGGGACCACCCTTCCGCACAAGCGTGGTGCCCGGGCCTCAAGAGTTCCTGGCGGTCAACAAAAATCGCTTTCATTTCTCCCCCAAATCAACAACTCTCCTTCCTCTCCATACACATTCCCGGATTGAGCCTCATCCATCCACAGCACACCACTCTGAACTTTGCCTCCCTCTCTGCTTGTTAATCAAGACTACCTTCTGTGAAGCTTCACCAACCATCAAGATGCGTGAGATTGTGAGTTTACCTCATCTGCTTCTCAACGCGTCCCAATTTGGGTTTCGCCCCTGATTTACCCCACCACCGCCAGACCTGTCCATACCATCAAGATGCCACGATATCTTCCGTTTTGCTGTTGAACAATGATAGCTGATATCTGCTCTTCTCTCTATAGGTCCACCTCCAGACCGGCCAATGCGTAAGTATCCTCCTTGGCTCCCATCCTCCTTTGCTGGAATCCTGAGGCTGACGTGTATCTAGGGTAACCAAATTGGTGCTGCCTTCTGGTGTGTTCTTACCAAGACGAATATTTACCGGTCTCGAGGACACCATAACTGACTGACAATATAGGCAAACTATTTCTGGCGAGCATGGTCTCGACAGCAATGGCGTGTATGTACCTCCTCCGATCGTAACTTTCCCCCGTCTGAAGCTCACCGCCTTGTTAGGTACAACGGTACCTCGGAGCTCCAGCTTGAGCGCATGAACGTCTACTTCAACGAGGTAAGTCTGAATTGAGCCTTCCTCTCTCTACTACTTCCTGTGGCCATCTTGCTGATCTATTTTTTTATTTTTTTTTTCGATTTTATGAAGGCTTCCGGCAACAAGTATGTTCCCCGAGCCGTCCTCGTCGATCTCGAGCCGGGTACCATGGATGCCGTTCGTGCTGGACCGTTCGGCCAGCTCTTCCGCCCCGACAACTTCGTTTTCGGCCAGTCTGGTGCTGGCAACAACTGGGCCAAAGGTCATTACACTGAGGGTGCTGAGCTTGTTGACCAAGTTCTCGATGTTGTCCGCCGTGAGGCTGAGGGATGTGACTGCCTCCAGGGCTTCCAGATCACCCACTCCCTCGGTGGTGGCACTGGTGCCGGTATGGGTACTCTCCTCATCTCCAAGATTCGCGAGGAGTTCCCCGACCGCATCATGGCGACTTTCTCCGTCGTCCCTTCGCCCAAGGTCTCGGATACCGTCGTTGAGCCCTACAACGCCACCCTCTCCGTCCACCAGCTGGTTGAGAACTCTGATGAGACCTTCTGCATTGACAACGAGGCTCTCTACGACATCTGCATGAGGACCCTCAAGCTGTCCAACCCGTCGTACGGCGATCTTAACCACTTGGTTTCTGCCGTCATGTCCGGGGTTACCACCTCCCTCCGTTTCCCCGGCCAGCTGAACTCGGACCTTCGCAAGCTTGCCGTCAACATGGTTCCCTTCCCTCGTCTCCACTTCTTCATGGTCGGCTTCGCCCCTCTGACCAGCCGCGGTGCTTATTCGTTCCGTGCTGTCACCGTTCCCGAGTTGACTCAGCAGATGTTCGACCCCAAGAACATGATGGCTGCCTCTGACTTCCGCAACGGCCGCTACCTGACTTGCTCCGCCATCTTGTACGTCCTCTATTCCATCCGGTTACTTGGGCTTCCTGCTAACCATTCTCTAGCCGTGGCAAGGTCTCCATGAAGGAGGTTGAGGACCAGATGCGCAACGTGCAGAGCAAGAACTCGTCCTACTTCGTTGAGTGGATCCCCAACAACGTCCAGACCGCGCTCTGCTCCATCCCTCCCCGTGGCCTCAAGATGTCGTCGACCTTCGTTGGCAACTCGACTGCCATCCAGGAGCTCTTCAAGCGTGTCGGCGAGCAGTTCACTGCCATGTTCCGTCGCAAGGCTTTCTTGCATTGGTACACTGGCGAGGGTATGGACGAGATGGAGTTCACCGAGGCCGAGTCCAATATGAACGATCTGGTCTCCGAGTACCAGCAGTACCAGGATGCTGGTGTTGACGAGGAGGAGGAAGAGTACGAGGAGGAGGCCCCGCTTGAGGGCGAGGAGTAGGGGCCTTCTAGAAACCTCTAGGGGCTTTCCGACCGACGTCTAGTTCTTGAAGACGCCGCCGGCTTTGGTCCTTCTACTGTTATGGGATTTGCAATTCTTGAAGGCGACTGATGGCGAATACCTTGCACTCACATCCCGGTTTGATAGTTAGCACCTTTCTCCCCGGTTTCAGTAGTTGGTAGGGAAAAGGCAATGCATGTTGCTAGATATACCTGGCAGCTTAATACACTACTCTACCGCGTACCTCCCATGATACCTCAGAAAACCACGTACAATGCATTCGTTTACGTGGACCAACTCACGAGACTGCAGTGATCGGATTCACCCATTTTGGGGTGGTCATCTATTTTATCAACTACTTAATAACCTGGGTACTTGCTCATCACGAATCGAAATCTCTTGAGCCACAAACGTGCCAGCAAAATGCTAAAGCCTTGCTACGATACCTACCCCGAAACACCTAAAGTGCAATAAGACGCCCCCCGACCAACCTCTTCCCCCTCCACGGTTTTGCCTCTGCCGGGGAGGAAAACGAAAGACGGGGGCCGGGAAAAGAGAAAAGTGGCACTCTTCTCAGCTCAAATCAAACCCGGCCCCGCTGGTGACGGCATAGAGCAGCTTGCTCCTGAGCACGGCGGCGGAGCGGTACTGCGGCAGCTTGAGCAGGTTGACGCAGGTGCTGGCGCTGGGCAGCCTCTCCTGGTCGAGGCCGCCGTCGCGGATGCTGAAGCTGGGGCTCAGCTGGCCGAAGCCGAGCAAGGGGGCGCGCGGGGTGCTGGTGACGTACTTGAGCACGTCGCGGCGCTGGGCGTCGTCGAGGCCGCGCATCACGTCCCAGAAGAGCCGGATGGTCGGGTGCTCCTCGCCGTCGTCGCCAAAGGCGTAGACGCCGCTGTAGACGGTGTGCGCGCGCAGGTCCTCGACGTCGATCTCGGACGGGTCGCCCCCGACGAGCCGCTGCAGCTCGCTCTGGTTGAACATGCTGAGCCAGGCCGGGTCGATGATGGCGCCGAGGCCGCGCAGGAAGGCGGTCGTCTGCCGCGACGGCTGCGCCGCGAGCCGGTGGCGCGCCACGTAGCTGATATACAGGGGCCGGTTCTCGTTGGTGACGGGCATGTCCCCCCTGTTGGGCATGAGATCGCGGGTGATGGTGCGCACGGGTTCGCCTGGCAGTGAGGTCTGGTCGTTGATGGTGAAATCGAGGGCCAGCGCGGCGACGTCGCCGGGGTAGTTCTTCAGTCGCAGCATACCCTGATACAGCTCGTCGTCCATCTCGCGCAGGTCGTTGATGCTGGCACGGTAGGGCGCGTCGGAACCCGACGACGACCACTTGAGCAGGAAGAAGCCGGCGAAGGCGATGTCGATCAGGATCCCCTCGTACATGCATTTGCCGATGATGCGGCCCAGAAACTCGTACTGCCGTAGCAGGTCGGCGACGCTATCTCGCCATTCTTCCGAGGCCTCCGGTATTCCCGCTTGACGGAGATACTCCCTCCGTTGGTCAACAGCGCATGGGTTCGGGTAGAAGGCGTTCTTGTTGTTTGCGACGAACAGGGACTGTTCACCTGTGAAGGCCTCCTTTGTCACACTGGTAAGGAACTCCTTGGTCACCCCACCGCCGTCTATGCCGGCCTCGACCGTGTCAAATTGATCAACAAAGGTGATTTGAATCGGTTCCTTCAAGCCATCGCCGAGCTCATAAAACACGTCCAAGGCGTCCTGGAAGACTTGGCCTCTCTTGATCTGAGCATGGTGCCGTCCCAGTACCTCTCTCCCCGGTCCGTTTTGGTCGAAGGCATTGCCATGTTGATCCAGGACCCACATTCTCCATCTGTCGGGATCGATGTTCCCTCCTCTTCTCCGTTCCTTGTCGAGGTGGACAAACTGCCGAAATATTTGTACTCTGGTCTCAAAGGGGATGACGAATGGCATGTTGCGCAAGATCTCCAACTTCGGACCGATTGCCGCCATCGTCCGCTCTCGAGCGGCCTTCTGCTGCTGCTGGCGGAACTTCTCCATCTGAGCGTATCGCGACTGTCTTTGAGATGGACGGTGGAAGACGCGGGTATCATACTCTACATCACCATCCTCGCCGTCTTCGTCATCCTCATTGTCCTCGTCGTCCTCGTCCTCGTCGTACTCGCCGAGCTCGTGCTGTCTTTGCTCCTCCAATACCACGGCAGACAAGAAAGCCTCCATGTCGAACTTGGAGGTCATGAGCCAATGGCCCGGCGGAACGAATGCCTGTCGAGAATCTCGCTCATAAAGCATCCGCATGGCGGTTGTGACTATGCTCTTGAATGCGCCGTAGTCGATTCCAGCAATAACTGGGGATGTGCTGGGTTTTTGAGTTCCTGTGGTTGGCGACGCCAGGAAGCCATTCACGCTTCCCGAGAGGTTATGTTTTCCCGGTCCACCTTGCAAGAGTTCGGCGGCGTTGTAGTAGAGCGTGAATCCGAGGTGCTTCAGGAATGTTGTTAAGCGCTTCAAATCCCCCTGCGCCAAGCCACTCAACCGAACTCGAGATGTCGACTGATCGTGATGGGGAGACGCAGTTAGGACGCCGAAGAAGTCTTCATCATCGGTAAGTCTTAGAAGAAAGACATAGAGTTCCAGGAATAGGAGGATGGTCCGCCATTCTCGGTTCCATTTCGAGTCTTCCCCATGCTCGGGAGAAGTACCCTGGGATTTCCCACGGAGCAGGAGTTCCAAGGCTGAGTCCTGACTGGACACTATGGCAGAGAAGATGGAAGTCTTGCTTATCGCATTCCAAAAGAACTTGACAGCAGGTAGCCTACTCGACGATACCGAGATGTCTGCCCAGTAGAGACGCATACGAATGTCATCCCCATGATCCGGAAAGCATCGTATAAGGGTGAGGGTATAACCGGCTAGAAGACTCGCATCATTGTCCGCCTCCGATGTCCCGCTGTGGTCCCTATCATGATTAGAAGCAAGCCACGGAATCGGTGGGGAAGTTTACATACGATGTGAACCTCTCGAGTAGCCCAGAGATTCCATCTTTGTCGACCAAAGTGCCGAGTTCACCGACGACATAAGGAGATAGAGTCGAATAGGAAGCCCTGCCAGATACCCCCGTGCTGCCTAAACCCCGTAGCTTCTGCGTGCCGAAGGCCGAGCTGATTTGGTTCGACAAGGTAGAAAGCTGCACGGTCAATGCCCTGAGAATGAGCGGGTGGAAAGGCTCTTGGTTTTTTGCCCTCTGCAATGCAACGAAGTGAGCTAGCAGCCACAGTCGGTCTTCCTTACTCTCTGTGACGTTGGGGCTTTGGGAGAGCGCCTCGATTATAGTTGTGGACAGCCGAAGGATATCGATCTGCGCCGATATCAAACCGACGTTCTGCTCAAATACTAAGATGCCTTGCTGGGTCAAGAAGGACTTTACAAACTCCTCGTACGCTAGGCTCCTAACTCCTCCGCCTAGAGACTGATTAGTTGGGCTCCTTGAAGACAGCAGGCAGATTCTACCTAGGCTGTCCTGGGGCATGGGCATATGGCATGGCGTACACTCTGTATGAGCTCCCTGTAGCGGCGAAATCACCGCACTCAGGAGGACATCTCGGAACTGGCTGCCTGCGCCGTCATGGCGGCAATATTTCCCGAGACACTTATAGTATAGAGCCATAATAGTCTCAACCGACTGCGCCCTTCTCCTGACAATCTGATCTAACGTCGTTATGTAGGACTGGCATCGAGCACTCGTGGGTTCCAAATCGTGGCTGCCGAACAGTTAGCAAAGATGGAGTAGCAAGTGATATGGAGCTGGACCAAACATACCTGTCCAAGGCTGTGAGAAGTATTCTGCTCAGCTTATTTAGTCTTGTCGGGTGTATCTGTCCCGAGGAAAACGGGGCGAACGAGGTTTCGAGGAGACCATGGACGACCAGGTCGAGCATGTCGAGATCGTCGGGGCGAGAGGCTTCGAAGGCAGCTAAAAGCAAGGGAATCCCACGGAGCAACCTCTCCTGCGGATCCAGCCCCAAGTCCGAGCTATATAGTCGTCCGAACTCCTGGCGGCGAGACTCTCCCAGGGTTCGGCGTGCCATGTGACCCCTCCATGCCTTCTGTATCTGGCCCGCAGCATGCTTGCGATCTCTCTCTTGCTGTCGCTGCCGACGCTCGGCTTGGGCATCTGCAATGGTCTTGGAAGGGCCGGAAGAAGACCCCGCGGCCCAGGGACTGGCGGCGAAAGGATTGATGTTCTTCTGGCCGCTAAGGTTGACGTTCCGCGGCTTTCGAGAGTTCCCCGAGAAGGTTGGGAACATGTTTGGCGGGGTACTCCTTCGACAATCAGGTCAAGGTGTGACGGCTAGAACGGGGTGGGGAGGATTCGGTCGAGAGATGATGAAGTTGTACTGGGACAAGGCGGCGCGATCCAAGTCAAGGCAGCTGAGAAATGTCAGAAGTTCACAAGAAGTAGAGTCGCCTGCCTTCCAGAACGTTCAGTCTGGCGAGCCCCCAGTTGCCTCTTATGTAGGTACCTTAGCTAGGTACCTTACGTGATGTGGATGACTGACACAGCTCACAGCTCTAAGAGGTACCGGTACGTACCTGCCCCCACATGCAGGGAGGCCCGGGCGGTGTGTCTCTGATAACGATAAGCCCATACACCCCTGCACATGACCCAGCGCATGACATAGCAAGCCTGCCAAGGCTGCTGGTGCTGTCAGTTGCAGTTGCCGTTGCTGTCGAAGTCCCGCGCATTGGGACAAGATTCATGCTGTACGACAAGCACTTCTTGAAGTTGTGACAGCAGCAGCAGCAGCAGCAGCATAATGATCAATACCCTTCAAGTTACCTAGGTAGGGAGGCAGGCATCTCAGGGGTGTCAGACCTGAGTAAATCCCATCATTAGAAGGACAACAGGAGAGACCGGGTATAGCATAAAACACCAAAAGTTTTTTTATTACAGATGAACTCCTTTTCCCCATAGCTGGCTCCTGCCCCCTGTTCCCCAAGTGCCCTGTTTTCCATCGCCTCACTTGTCTCTCGGGGTGTTGCGATCTACTTGCATCTCTTCTCGACGATGCCAGCTCCATTCTCCTCGTACTCCTTCCTAGAGATCCACATCTGGTGGAATGTGCCCAAGCTGGCCAGGATGCTGCCTCCGACCCAGGCGCCAAACCTCCGCTCGCTCGTCCATCCTGAGGCATGAACCCTGACCTTGGCGCCTGGATACATGTGGGCAAGCTCGTTGTTCAGGCGGTCGTTGAAGCCGTTCAGCAGACTCGTGCTTCCCGTCACGACCACGTTCCCCAGAAGGTTAGGCCGCAGGTCGACGTCGACGCTCTCGAGAGCGGCCTTGATCAACGCGGGGATCGTCTGGTTTTTGGCCACGCGCTCCTCGCCCATCGGATATGCCGCGGCCTCGTCCCACATGCCCTCCGACACCTTGTACCTCTGCTCGCGCCACATCTGGTTGAATCCGTCGGGCATCTCGAAGACGCGTCCAGGCTGGTTCTTGGCGTAGTCCTCGTTCTGGGGGATGAGGTACTTGCCGGGACCGCGCCAGACCTCCACCACCGACTCCTTGAACTCGGTGAGCACCCGCTCCTCCTCGAAGAGCCGGAACGAGTCGGTGACCTGGAAGCCAAGGTTACGCAGCTTGAAGTCCGGGGGCGCGCCGGCCTCCACCGGCTTCTTGTTTTCGACCATGAAGGACGGCACGATGTCGACCTTGGGCTCGCTGCTCTCCCACAGGCTGCGAATCTGACCGGACAGGAACAATCCGCCGACGGGTGACTTCTGGATGGACCGCTTGAGTACCATGCCGTCATGCACAGCCGTAACACTCGTGTTCGCTCCGCCAACGTCCAGCACCAACGCCGTGGCCTTACCGGCCGCGAAGGCAGCCAGCACCGGCGTCCGGCTCATCCAGAACGCCGGGCAGCCCCAGTTCTCCATGATGATCTCGATCATCTTCTCTCGCGCCTTAGGCGAGTTCCACGGCGCCTCCGTCACGAGCATCGGGTTCTCCGCAAGGGATTTCTCAGCCTCCGATGCAGCCTCCCCATCCTCCATCGCGACGTCGCCATCGCCGGGCTCGTCGTTCAGGCCGTTCTTGCTAGGGTCGGTCGGTCGCAGGGGCTGGAGGCGGCTGACGAACATGTGCTCCCAGAGCTTTGTCGCGGCATCCCAGTCCTCGACGACCGAGTCTTTGTTCATGTAGTTGCGGACTTCAAAGTCGGAGCGCGGGATGATAACCTCGTCGCCGAACAGATCGCGCCCGCCGGTATGGCCGTAGAAGGAGGGATACACGGCCTTGGGGACATCTTCGCCTGCGAAGCCTGCGCGGGTGTAGCAATAGCCTGGGTCGAGGACGAGGGCGGATACTTCGTCTGCGACGGCGGCGGGTCAGTCAGTCAGTCAATGCGACATGGATAGTAGGGGCTGGGGAAGTAAGTAGAGCTCACCTCCGCCGTAAATGTCGGTCGGTTGAACCGACGAAGATAGAGGTTGTTGTGCCATGATGTAGTGTGCGCGATCGTAGGCCAAGGTCGACGCCGAGAGAATTTCAAGGAAGCGCGACGTACAGACCTAAAGTTTCGCCTCGGAATTGAGTGGTTGGCGAGTCGCGCTCTGGGCAAGGCAAGGGAAGCAGAGATAGTGCAAATTGGCCCATGCACAAGCTAGGTACGCAGGTACGAATTGAGCTAAAATGCACGGGCCACAACCTCTTGCACGGTTCACAGGGTTAGGGTTTTTGCTGGCATCCAGATATCCAACTGCCATGCTGACCTTGGGAATCTAAGTATCAGGCAAGCCATCAAGACAAAGTATTGGTGCCCGCAGACAGTTTACAGACACGGTATATCTGAGAAGGTAGTACACATTAAGGTATATTGAGTAGACAAATAATCAGACCGTAAGGGCGGAATATATATCATCGACCTTGCCTCCAGTCCACGACAGCGGATTTCTCCTCTGGGTGTATGTATGTATATGCCACCTCAGAAGAACGCCGCTCACGACCAAACAAGTCGAATATCCCATCCGCATACCAATCACGACAGATCCCCGTCGCCGTCCTCCCGCATCTCCCTACCATCCCCATACAGCACCTCGCACACCCCAGCCAGCGGCACATCCATGACGGCATCGGTGCCCCTGCTCCAGACATCCCTCCAATTCAGGCCTCCCGCCGGCGTGACCAGGCCCGCGACCTCCCTACCCCCCGGCCCGGCGCCCCTCCCGCCCCTCTCGCCCCTCCTCCTCCTCTCCTCCGCCCTCCTGCCCTCGGTCCTGATCCTCCCCCTCGCGTCCACGGCGGCGACCTGCGCGGCATCGTCGACGATGGTCTCGACGCTCCCCATGGGCAGGGTCATGATCTCGGTATTGTACGCCGCGAGCGCGACGTAGATGTACACGATGGCCATGACGAGGAAGCTCGGGATGGCCAGCGACCACCAGCGGTTCGGGTAGTAGTAGATGCCGAGGGCGTGCAGGAACGGGCTCGGCAGGTAGCTCCACAGCAGGTAGATGAGGAAGCACAGCGAGCTGAACAGGTACAGCACGAAGCCGTAGTACTCGTACGTCGGCACCTTTGGCGCCGCCCGCGGCACCGGCTCGAGGTCGTCGTCCGACGCGTCTGGCGTCGTGGGCCGCGACGGCCGCAGCAGGGACGTCAGAGACGGCGACGGCGGGAGAGGCGTCGGCGGCCGGCCGTAGAAGGGCGGCGCGAAGGTGTGCGTCAGCGGCGGCGGCGGGAGAGCACCGTCATCGTCTTCGTCTTCTGAGGTGGACACGTCCGAGGCCTTGGATTGGGCGTCGGAGAGGAGCGCTGGTTGCGAATCGTCTTCGTCTTCGTCGTCATCGTCGTCGTCATGATCGTCTTCTTCTCCCTCTGCTTCCTCCATCACCGCTACCACCACCACCTCCTCCTCCTCTTCTTCCGAAGTCGCCGACAAGTTGGTGGGAAGCATTGGTGTTTTCTGAGGTTGATCGCAGCGTGGCGTCGCAGAATTGCAAATTAGTGAGCCTGTTGGCTGCCCCCACCTACGCTAAAGCTGCACTCCAAAAGATACCTACAGTGGGAGTGTAGGTACCTAGGTATTGTGCGTTGCAGGGTCTAGTACAGTGATGAACAGGTCGCGTATTCGCCGACACTCAGCAAACCGTCTTCCGTCTTATATTAGATTCCATCGATGCTTGGTGTACACGGTACGTGCCTATTTGAAGTAGAAGGTACAAGAAAAGAATCCTATCCGTCAATCGGACACCTATATTCCCTATCCCTCCCTTCCCGGTGCACCAGCCCTTGGCTTTCCCTGGCCTGCTGTAATGCCTCAAGGCAGTTCTGGTGGTAGATGTGTCTGCAAGCCAACACGACCAACGGCCCCAGGGTCTGGTCTTTCCTGCGCGGACTCGTATCCCCTGCCGCTCCAGATTCGACATCCTGCCCGGCCGTATCTGCATTGGCTCCTTCGCCAGCAGCGTGAATCTCGGGCGCTGGTCTGTTCGGTTCAGGATCCTTGCCCTTCCCCTTCCCCTTCCCCTTACCGTCGTAGTCCTCATCAGAATGCGTTTCCTTCCCCTTCCCGCGATCAGAGGACGTCCCAGCCGGCAAGGCCTTCCTCTCCTTCCGCCGCCTCTCTTCCATCTCCTCCTTCTCCTCCCAGGCCTCGAAGACATTGCCCGCGACGCCCGGACCCCACACGCGGCGCCCACAGGCTTCGCAGGTCGAGCCCTTTGGCCTCCAGCCACGCTGCCTCAGCTCGACGGCTTGGCTGACGCTGACGAATAGAGAGCGCTCGAGAAGCCGGCTCGAGAGTTGCAGGATGGATTCCTCGTAAGCGTAGGCAGAGAAGATGGACGACAGCACAGCTCGGAGGTCGGCAAGACTCGGGGATGCAGCCGCGGCGCGAGACAGGAAAGCCCGCAGGACCCGGAGGAAAGACAGATTATTCCCCATTCCAGGGGCAGCCCTGGTCCCGGATTGTGAGGCCACCGGTGTAGATGTCGACGTGAGAAGTGCCGTGAAAGTGTGTTGGACGAGCGATCGGAGCAGAGTCAGCAGCTTCTCGCTGTCAAAGCCCCTTGTCACGTCGGTATGATTTGTGTCACCGTTTGGTAGAGGAGTAGAAGCCTCCTCTGAGTGGGACTCGAGGGCCGCTGATACACGCCGCGTAATCTGCACTGAAGTATCGACCAGGTCCAACCACAGAGATTCGTCGGGGCTGAGAACATCCTTGTTTGGTGAGTTTTGCCGCCGCCGGGCCATGCTATTGGCCTCCCGGGTGGTCTTTGTCTGGCCTTGACAGAGCCAAATACCAACGTGGATGTACTTTTGCAAGGTCTGCATGAGCTCCTCGGCCGAAGATTGCAAGTCAGCGGCGTCTAGGTCGGATTCCGCACCGGCCAAGAGCCCCTGAAGCGCGGACTCGAGAGTATCAAGGTGCTTAACAAGTCGGCCCATAGCCTCCTGCACCTGTCCCTCGCGAGCCATGAGCACGACGGCAGCGTCGATTACTCCGGTTTTTTCCATGGTAGGGAGTAGCATCTCAAGCCTCAGGCTGGCTGACTGGACCAGGCCAACGTAATCAGAGACGTGGGATGGATCAAATCGACACTTGAGTTGCACGTATTTCTCTACCAACTCGCGGTCGGGTGAGCGTCTCCCGTCCGACACGGTATCCTCCGGCTCCAATATGGCGCAAAGGTACTCATATTGGAGCTTCGGGTCATCTTCGGCGGCAGTCAGAATATGCTGGTGCAGTTCAGGTGCGTGAGCTGCTAGGGTTTCGGCAGCCAGAGCCGGATCAAGTTCGATGAATTCGCGGGCGTGTTCCTTGAGGACCTGGTGCACATCTTGGATCTGGCGCCTCGTGAGGCCTGCCCGTGGCTGAAGACAATCCTCTACGCAGCCAAAAACACCAGAGCGATCATCTGGGTCTTCAAAGTATGTTTGGACGAGCTTCCCATACTGTCTGTCTGCTTTGTATGTTCTCTTCAGAATGCGATAGAATCCGGCTCCCTTAAAAAGCGGCATCAGGGTCGACATGTCAGGGGGGTGGTAAACGGACAGAAGATACTCGGCGCTGAGTTGCGCATCTTCAGCAAGGTCTTCGCCTGGGTAGTTGCAAAGCCCGGTTAGAACCTTGGTAAGTGTCGACCCTGGAACGAGCAGGTATTGGGGGTACTTGGGAAGGTTCCTAGCGATGAACATGTCCAGGTAGATGGTGTCCTCAGGAGCAAAGTCGGCTGGATTCATAATCTCGGTCAGGATAGACACGATGAATTGCCTGTCCACAGTCAAACCGAAAATCTGCTCTTCGGGCAAGTCTCCTGCTGCGCCCCCGTTCAGCTGCTTCTCTGACGACTCGTTCAAGAATGGATCCTCAAATGCTTCGTTCAAGGCACTCAGAAAGCTCGGCGCGTGGAACTTCAAAATCATTCGCAGGTAGGGGAATGACGGTTCCTCGGGTTGTCGAGGCCTCGTTAGAAACCTTTTAGAGCTTCCCTTGGGCCAGTAGATGCTTTTCCCCGAGAAAAGGAACCAGTATAGCTCGGCCTTCGCCTTGAGGGCCACGCTGTCCGGTATCAGCTCTCCTGTGGGGTAGACGCGTCCAGTGAGGATATAAGACAGGTAGGGGAAGATCTTCAGAGCGTCCACCCCATCTGCCTCATCGTCCATGACGTTCCCGGCCCCGGAATACTCTCCGGTCTGCATCAGAGGGACCAGAAGTGACAGAAGGTCGATGAAGGGAGTGATGAAATCGTTCAAGGCCTGATTCCAGACATAGATCAGAGCATCATAGAGGCCGTTCTGCTTGCAGAGCACCGTGATCTGGTCCAGATCCAGAGTTGCCGTGTCCATATGGCAGATCATCTCTTCAAGTCGGCTCTCGAGCCCCTTGCTGACAAAGTGACTGACCATTGCCTTGACAACAGCTGGCGGAACAGCGGTAATAGTCCTGTCCAGAATGTATGGCTCCAGAATTTCCAGGAAGACGCCTTCGGCGTCAGCGTCTTCATACCATTCATAGGCCACGTCAAACAGGAAGTCGATATCACCCACGCTCTGGCATGCCGTGAAGCAGACTTGAGCCAACTCCTGGAGATGATTGTCGTCCACTGCGGCGCCGTCCTTCTGCCTTTGGCCGAAAACATATTTTAGCGATGCGCTCATGATCTCTATGAGCTTGTCCTGGACCATGGCGTGCCTCAGGGACGTGTCCTCGGGCAAGCCAACCGTTAGTTTATCCGAGTCGCCCGTGTAGTACGATTCGGCAAGCTGGATGGCGCCGATATAGTCGCCATTCTCCATCAGTGCAATGAGCCGATCCGCCCAGTTGGATAGTGTTCCTATCGAGACGTCGTTGAATCCGAGGAGGAACAGGCGGCCCTTGTAGGTTTTGAAGCCCATATAGAAGGCGTCAGCAACGACGCCATGCATCGAGGCGTCGTCCTCATCCAGCTGCTCCACCAGGCTGTGGAGCTGCCGAGAAAAGAGGTCGACGTGGTAGATGTGCTTGTGTATTAGGTCAAATGCCTCAGTCATACGCATGCTCCGATCCTCGAGCACGATCAGCCGTTGTGTGATGGTCAGGACCGTCAGCACTGAGCGGCTGAGCCACTGGACGGCAACGATGGCTTCCTCGCACTTCCACCGGCTGCGCGCCCGGAAGCTCAGGGACGGCGGCTTGTCTTTGTTCTCGGTCGGAACTTCGTCGACGTCCAGAACCGTAAGGACGTTGGACCAGCAGTATGCAAGCTTGACCTTGGATATCTGGCTCCCCGTCGTAGGATCGGGGACTTTCAACTTGACAGCGGGGAACCAAGCTAAGCATCCCGTCATGGCACTGTGAGCTGCCACCTCCTTCGGCCTGGCTGATTTATGTTGGGTCTGTGCAACGGGGGTAGTGGACACGATGACAAGAAGATAGGGGGTCAACATCGCTGTCAGGCCAAACGAGTCTGTGGATCTCTCGACGTTGCCGAGGGGCAGAGACGCAAATGCCAGCACGGTGCTCGGCTTCAGGGTTTTGCCAGACGGTGGAGGCTTCGAGTTGGGGTAGCGGCCAAGTATGCGCGTGGTCTTCACCGTGCGACCCAGGGCCCCAGTGCCGCGCGTTGCGAGATGGGAAAAAGCCATGCCCCGGTCGTCTGCCGAGACCAATGCTGTACGCCTGGTGCCAAGGAAGCCCAAGTGGGTGACGGCGACGTTAGGGATGTGGCCATCCGCTGTTAAATTCTGCACCTGCGACGGGTCGAGATGCGAGATAGTGAGGAATGGCCGCGAAGGCCTCGTGGTGTCCCAGGTGAAGATGTTGCCGGTTGCATGACCGCCAGCAATGGTGGTGTGGTCTGCAGAAACAGCAATCGCAGTAACGGGCCCTGATTCGACGGCTACTCCCGGCTGTCAGTTCTGAGTATTAAGACTGGCGGAAACACAAGCAGCTACCAACCTTTGGTCCCAGGCCCAATAATCAACTTCAAGTTCTGATTGTAGTCAAACAGTAAGATTATCCCCTTCGATGTTCCGAGGACGATCGACGCGGAAATGGCCATACAGGTGGGCGACCCGAAGTTCCTCTTGCCAGCCTCGGAGAATACCTGTCCGTTTAGCTTCCTGAGTTTCGTCCATCGCACGACTTCCCATGGTGGAGACGGGGTGTCGATTTCGCCAGCATCTAGCAGTAATTGGCTGCTCAGAGACGCGCTTCTGCTGTGGCCCGGACGGAACGCAGGCGATGAAGGGCGCGGAGAGAGGGTGCTGGGAGAGTAAATTCGTGATTGGAATCTACGGTCGAAGGGTCTAAAGGACGGGGTCGGGCTGTTCAAGCCTGGTCTGGATGCAACGGAAGGGAGGACGCTGCTGCTTGGGGATGATATTACCGAATCCTACATATATAGCAAGTTTAGCATCGTCCCTACGTACAAGCATCACGGAGTCCATAGTCCATACCTGAATAGATGGGGAGTAGCCTGGGACGGAGAGCAGCGAGTCGATTGGACTGCCAGCCCTCCGAGGTATATCATCGATGGAGCCATTCTCAGAGGTGGTGTCGGTACCGGCCTCGGCCTCGATGATGTTGCGATACAGATGCGAAATGGACCCATTGCCTATCCGCTGGACAGGTGTGCCTGCAGCCTGCCTCTCCTCCTCTAATATATCGACAACATGGCCCTCTTCGAGGTCCCCTTTCACAGTCTCGTCGTCGCTTGAGCTCTGGTCTTCCGGGGGAGGCAGTTCTGGATCGTCTGCCATGGTGTCCACTCGGCCATGATATTTCTCCAATGCACTCTGACTCATAGGCTGATTGGCATGGAGTGCATGGCTTCAGCGCGACTCTTGGACCAGGAGGATTGGACAAGCTCAGTGGGCGCTGGCGATTGTGCTATGGAATCAAGCTGTTGGTGCCAGGTGTGAAGAGCTCCCGCCAAAAGTAGCAGCACAAATACAGAGCCCTTGTGTCGTATGAGAACCTGTATGTGGCAATGGGGAAGTACCAGCTATCGTGGTGGATCGAGTGGTAAGGATTGCTGCAGGTTTGGATGTTGTCGGCCTTGGTGCGCCATCGTGCATCTTGCTCAGCCTGGGATCTACACAATGGATGGAGCTTGCAGTGCAGGGGATAGTACCCAGGTACTGTACCTTGGTATGGACCCGCCTACCAGCCACCGCGGTCCAGTATTAGCCCCGCCCAGATAATATCTAGGTACCCAGGTACTCCGTCGCATGGATGGACCTCATGAATAAAATCACTAGAATTTGGGATCTCTCTCAATCCAGACGATTACTTCGTTCAAAATAGATTATCCCCATCCACCATCATTTCTACTCACCGCTTCAGAGAAGAAATGCCGCCGGTTGGCCCACAGCTACCACCCCATCTCCAGAAGCGCAAGCGCACCCCGGAAAGCGATGCAGCTCCAGGATCACCTCCTAGCAAGATGACGCGACGAGGGAACGAAGACGAGATCGCGCTAGATGACGACTCCTCCGACGATGGCTTCGGGCCCAGCATCGGCCCAACCATGCCCACATCTAACCTCGCGAACGGTTTTTCGAGGGCAGCGAAGGAAGGGGCTACAAGGCCAGCAGGACCGAGACCAGCAATAGGCCCGACTCTTCCACCAACACATACAAACAAAGACGAGATCTCTATCCACGACGACGATGACAGCGACCATCGCCCGGCTCCCGGCCCAAAACGCATGATCGGACCAGCCCCTCCCCCCAACGACCTCTCCACACGCCCCACGACAGCCCCAGACTCCGCGTCCGACTCCGACTCCGACTCCGACTCCGACTACGGCCCCGCCCCGCCCCCCACCGGCTCCCCAACCTCCTCCTCCCGCCATCGCGCCGGGCCCGCCTCCCCTCCTCCACCTCTGTTCCCGTCCCTCCCCGAGGCCCCCAAGCGCGACGACTGGATGCTCGCCCCACCCACCTCCTCCGGCGCCCGCGACGCCGCCGCGGCCGTGGGGCCCGACCCGACGAAGCTACGGGCCCGCAAGTTCGCCAGCGGCCGCGCCGCCGCCGCCTCCGAGGCCCACGCCGGCGGCGTCAGCAGCATCTGGACCGAGACCCCCGAGGAGAAGCGGAAGCGGCTCGCCGACGCGGTGCTGGGGCGCGGCGGGGACGGCGACCGCGCCGCCAGGGCAGGCAGGAAGGATGATGGTAGGCGTCTTGCCGCCGGTGGCGGCGGCGGTGGGGATGCTAGCGAGGAGCGTATTCGGTCGTATACGGAGCAGACGAGGGGGAAGAGCCTGTATGAGGAGCATCAGTTGCGGAAGAAGGCTGCGAAGGAGGGTGGTGGTGGGAAGGAAGGCGCCAAGGATGAGGAGGAGGACGACGACGATCCGAGCAAGCGGGCGTTCAACTGGGAGAAGGACATGAAGGCCGGGGCGACGATTAGCCACTCTAAGCGGAGGGAGCTGCTAACCCGGTCTGCAAACTTTGGGGACCGTTTCCAGAAAGGAAATTACTTGTAAGGAAGCTGGGCGTTTGGGTCAGGTTGGATCGAGACCAGGAAGGGTGGGTTTTCAAGACCATCCACTTTCCAGCTTGTCGGTTTATAGCAAAGACACACATGAAATCTTCGATCGAACAGTCCTTGGCAGTCGCAGTCTCGCATTTCTGTCTCATTTCACTATAAGATATAAGATGTCGTGCAGACGCCCGACGGCGTCTTCCTAGGCTTCCAAACTAACTCCATGTGTGTGCCCAAGCCAATTCCTGAGCCTGCCCATCCATCCCCTTTGCTATGCATCATAAGAAATTCCTAACACTCTGACTTTGCTCCCTATCGTCCCCGTTTTCGCTGTTACACGACCCCCTCCACCAATACCATATTTGGGGTTGGAGGGGCCAATAGAGGAATCTCCCACATCTTCCTCGAGCCCATCCCGTTTTTCTGTATCTCTCAGCCCCTGAGGAAACAGCGTTGCGTCTTCCCGCAACCCAAAAGTCCGTCCGTCGCAAGGCTCAGACGAGAAGCCGTGCGAGTGATTGTTGAATAAAATGAGAGAAATGGCGAGCCATGGCTGAACATGGCCAAAACAAATGCAGCGGTATGTTTACACCTTCCAAGGAGAGTTATAGGGAAACGAGGGAAATATCCGCTATGCATGATGGTGGACGACGATCAAGCGGCGAACGCAAAAATACAAAGAGGTAGGGGGGTAAAGGGGTATCTAGACGGTAGGTTTTATGGTAATTGCTACCTATCGACGGTGTCATCGAGACTCCGCGGGGCGAACTCCGGCTTCGAGGTTTGACGGAGTGACGTCGTTGATGGCGCCTGATGCCACGGGGCCAGTGCTGGCTTGCGAGTTCCCCCTCCCAACGGCCCTGAAGGCTGGGAAAGCGGATCGGAAAGCAGCAAATCGACTTTGAGGTTGCGGTTGCGGCTGGTCCGAAGATGTTGGGCTGGTGGTTGTAGCGGTGGGACTGGCGGCGGGACTGACCGTTTCTTGGCCGCTTTCCGGTTGTCGTGATCGATTGAAGAACCTGAACCGCCCCCCGGCATTCCCCGACTGTATGCCCGATTGTGTGCCCGATTGTGTTGATCGAGTCCGATGTACGTGGACATGGTCGCCATGGCTGGTGCTCAAAAAGCGACTCGGGAGCATCATCCTGCTATGTCCTCGGATGCCCATCCATGTCGCTTGAGGGCGCGATGGCATGTTCGCGCGACGGGAGTCCCTCAAAGCGGAGGCGGAACCGATAGCCGTGCCGTCGCCCGGCTCCGCAGCAGCAGGACGCGGCTTTGGGGTATAGTAATCAGCCTTGCAGAGAGGGCAGCATGCTCGCCTGCTTGTCAACCATGGGTCGAGGCAAACTGCATGGAAGGCATGGCCGCAAGAGAGGCCGCGAACGTCGTCGTCATCCTCCAAACTATCGATGCAGATGGCGCAGGTGTCTCCTGATGTGCCCATGCACTCGGGAGGAAGGGCAGCGTTGATGTGCTCGTCATCTTCGTCCTCGTCGTCGTGCGGCGATGAACTGACTTTTGCCAGTGTGGGGTTTTCTGTTACGGTGGGTGGCACTTGTGGTGGTTCGGTTGACGCCGGAGCGACTCCGGCGACAGTACTCGACGTGCTTTCCTTTGCCTGATGCCCGGGCTCCTGGGTTTCCGGGTCTGCATTCGGTGTTGTGCCTGTAACGGGCCGATCTTCAGTAGACTCTCGCTCCTTGGACGGCAGGTCGGGGATGACGCCGTCGGCATCACGGACGCTGTCTGCGAGCCCTTGGGGTGATGAGACGCCGCCACGAGTTGGCAGGCCTTCGTGGGCCCGGCCCGCTACCCAGCTCTTGTACTTTTGCATCGGGAACTTCTCGTTCACCTCGTCCATGCTCATCAGTTTCTTTTCTCTTCGACGTCGGTGGGGCCGAGGCATATTTTCGAGGGTGATGGGTTCGCCATCCTCATTCATGCGCATCTGGCGGTTCCTGGCATTGTAGCGGAAGCAGTACTTAACTCCTACAATAATCCTGACTAGAGTATTAGCAAACCCCCGCGGGCTCTAAGGGTCCGAGCGGGAGTTCGGCTTACCATAGGTTTGTGAAGACAACACCAAAGCCCAAGGCAACGAAGAAGAGCAAGGGGGACGAGTTCGGGCTACCCGACTTTCCGCCATTACCCTCAGCACTACCAGGCTGACCATTTGCAACGGTTCCGGTGGATGCGGGCGAGGACGTAGTTGTTGATGGCACAGCAGAACTAGACAATGATCCGGCCGATGTGGCGGCTGCAGTCGCCGACGACACGAGGGTGTCGATTGTGCTCGAAAGGGCCTGTCTGGCAAGCAGGTGGGCACCCGCCGCCAAGGTAGGGTTGATAAGAGGCATTTTCAACCGTTTACGATGATGGTGATGGACGGTCAAGCAGAGTCGTCAATGCCGGGGCGGTTAGCCAACCATCAGTGTTCAGTGTCGAGGGATTCCGCCCGACACGAACAGGGAGAAAATACGGGGAGGGACAGGAGGAGTCGCATCCGGTAAACGATTCAGAATAATCGTTTGGGAATTGGGCAAGTAATTCCCAGATCACGCAGACACTAATGACTGCCCGATGAAAGATGGGATGGAGTGAATGCGGGTGGTGAGGTCAATGTGGAGAAGTGGAAGACGCAGAGGAGGCAAGTCAGAAACTCAAAAGAGAGACGGGGGCCTCAATAATTAGTTAAAAGGCGCAGCGTAGACTAGTGACTCCCTAGCAGCTGGGTGAAGGCCGGGGCTCGACCGGGGGGGCTGGTTGGTCGTTGGTGAGGGAGGGGGGAAAGTGGAGTTTGGACGCTACTGGGTTATGCCCAGCCCATCCGCCCTTGGCTCCCCCTTGGCCCCAATTGGCAACCTATGGAACGCCACAAGATATGAATGGCACTGAGCGACGGAACGCAGGTGGTGGAGGGTGGCCGTAACCACGCCCCGAACCGTCTTGTCGTCTGGTCTCTGTGAGCCATTTCCGAATCCTACTTTTCCGGAGGAAGAATTAAATCGCATTGGAATCCCCTATTGTCGTACCTCCCCATTCTTCTTCTCCCTTTGTCATGCTCGGGGCCTGAGATGATTTGAGAGCATTCTAATCTGTACTTCCTTCCTTCCCCGTTCATTGTTGATTGTTCGGCTTCTTTCTTTTCTTTTTGGGATTACTGAGATTGCCCTGGATTCGACTACTATAACGAGCTGTCGATCATATAATGCAGCACCTCCTAAGTCCCGGCGCCATTTAGGTACCTAGGTACTCAAGCACACTCAGCACCAGCACCAGCATGGCGATGGTTCGAGGTAATCGTAATAGAAGGAAATCGTAATAGAAGGAAGGATAAGGGCTTGAGAAGCATGCTCTCCTTCGTCCAAGCCCGGACTCCGGGCGGTACAGTACCCCTTCGGTTTAACCTTGTTTGCTGCGGAGGGGCTGCGGAGGGGGGGCCACCTTATCTTCCATCCTTATCATTGCCTGCGTGGTCTTCTAAACCAAAACCCAAGAACCCCGAAATCTTCCTCTATTTTGGTTTAGTATTGAACGTTCAACGGCATTCCCTCCAGAGGCAGACCAGCCATACCCAGCATTTCCACCACCAGCATGCATAGTACGGAATACATATACGGCACAGTGTACTATCCAATCCAATGCCACCTTGGATTAGCCGCATTACTGGGACAATCAAATAGAATACCACCCCCGCCCATCAGGACCGGCCTCTGATCAATGGCGATCAATCCGATGCACACCTGTCAGCTCCACCTGCCCAGTCGGTACCAGCCGTCTTTACCACCAGTCTTTTCCCGACAAGTCCCTCAGTCAAGACTCTCCAAGAATCCAGGCCTGTGACTAGAGAGGCGAGCTGCATCCCACAGGCCATATCAAGAGCAATTAAGAGTCTCAATTGGACCATAGTTTATATTGGAGCCAACACTTCCCTGCGGCCCCCCTTGGCCTTGCCCAGGTCTGCTCGCATGACACGACGCCACATGCTGGTCACTGTCGATCGACGCGCCACTCATCACACAACATGACCGCCTACATTTCAGCCACGATTATGTATGTACAGTACCTCCGTAGGCCTGTTCCTATGCAGGTAGTAACGCAGAAGTCCGTTCGCGGTCTCTCTCACTCTGCAGCGTTCGTACAAATGCGGCACATTCCTCCGATCCCCGGAAGCGGGGGCGGGTCCTCGTCCAAGTGCCTACCTCTAGTATCTCTCCGCATTTTCCGGATCTTGGGATATCTTGCCATGATCGAGCTTAGGGCTTAGGACTCGAAGCACGGCTTCATTATCGTGCGCACACGTGAGGATTAGCGTGATACTGCCTACGAACTTGCGCGATCGGTCGGATGACGTCGTCCTGTCCAGTGAGCAAAGCAAAAGCAGGGATCTCTGGTGATCATGATTGAGACAGCTCCGACCACTTCTGCGAATGAGATGTCGGCACGAGAATCGGTTTTACTGCGCTCTGCATATGCGTAGTGTCTAGATATTTTGAAACTGAATGCCGGGTGGTATGTTTCCCGGCTACCTAGTGTGTGGCCCTCCCTATCTTAGATCTGAGGCCCAATGCCCTCGCAATGAGCGATTTAGGACCTTGATGGCGCGCTCCGCCATCAAATCAGTTCACTTCCCCAGTATTCCGAACCTTCCGAAAATCATGGCTGTGCCTACATGTGTGTGTGTGCGTGTTGTGATGAAGGGTTCGCCCGGGCGAGGCAGGACCTGCTGACAACCTCGTGAGCGAGTTACACTAGAGTCGGTACTGACCGCCCATATCCAGCCCCGGCCAGGCCGGCCGAACTTCGATGCCGATCTGCCGATCAGGCCCTGCAACCTTATCCGTGGTTTCTCCGCCCCTTCACCAACCACCCACACGACACCACACACCTCGAGGAAAGCTCGCCAACCTTTAAGCCGAACATTAGAACGGAAAGAATCCCTAGTGCGGTTACGGAGGAAACAATCCCCGAGTAATAATAATAATCACAAAAAATGCCTCCCACCGTCCTTCCGGCTTCCGGAAATCCACTGTACGTATAGAACCGGGGACGAATGACCCCGACGATCGTATCCGGCTTTGACCAGAGAGACCCTGAATCCCCATTTGTCCTTGGCCTTGTTACCATCGCCCATCCATTCCGACGCGTCACAACTGAGCCACTCTGCGCCACCGTCATCCTTGTTTCATCGGGCATCCAACTCTCTGGTGATGGACGACCTTGCTAACGGGTAGCTTGAAGGGTATTCTTCGACATCACACTTGGAGGTAAGCTTGGAATGCTTGTCCATTGGAGCCAGCACTTTGGGTCTCTCACATGACCTCATTGTTCCTTTTGAGCCATTGGTTGGAGCTCAAAGTTCAGCCTCAGAGACCCCGAGCTGCCCCGAGGATTGAGAGCCTCGTTTGGGTCTACCAACAGCCGATTTATGGCCCCACGTTCAATTGCCATATAATTTATCTTCCTTGGGTAGAGGGGAAGGCAACGGCAGTCTAACTTGGTTATCTTTTTCCAGGTGAACCCTTGGGCAGAGTCACCTTCGAGCTCTTCAAGGATGTGGTGCCCAAGACGGCAGAGAACTTCCGCCAGTTCTGCACCGGCGAGTCGAAGAATCACCTGGGAAGACCACAGGGCTACAAGGGGTCCAAGTTCCACCGCATAGTCAGTAGAAGCCCCGTCTAAGAGGCTGGTTTCAAGTCGCAAGCTGAGCCATGATAAGGGGAGATTAGCTTGAGGGCGATGCTGACCATTCCGAACACTCAAGATTCCCGGCTTCATGTGCCAGGGCGGCGACTTCCTCAACGGAGATGGCACAGGCTCGACTTGTATCTATGGCTTGAAGTCGTTCGCTGATGAGAACTTCAATTTGAAACACGAACAACCAGGGCTGCTATCCATGGCGGTAAGTCGGCCCTGAGTGGGATAGATTCCCTCTGTTGTTCCAGCTATCGGACGCCGCTGTATCTCCAGCTGTATCTCCTATCCTACCAACCGAAGTTAGAGCATTGGGGAGGGGGGGATGCCGCCTCCTGACCACTCTGAGGAGTTTGGCATCGCATCAACCCAAGTAGAATGCACTAACAACGACAATAGAACGCAGGGCCCAACACCAACGGATCCCAATTCTTCATCACCACGGCGCCCACGCCTTTCTTGGATGGCAAGCACGTCGTCTTCGGGAAGGTAGTCGACGGCTTTGACATTGTTCAGAAGATGGAGCACACAAAGACAGGCTACAAGGGCAAGGATGTCCCAAACATGGACGTAGTCATCTCCCAGTGTGGCGAGATGTAAAAAGGGGCCGAGCAAGGACCGGGGACCGGATGGAGTTAACAAAAGCTTGGTATCAGCCCTCTTTAGCAATCTTGTTTGGGAGGAAATAGGGAGGACACCTCCGGGTCAGAGTTTGGCAAAAAGACCCCAGGGATAGCAATAGGATTTGAGCGAGCTCTGCCTTGATGCTAGGCACATCACAAATTAAGCACCCGTGGCCATAGATATGGCCTTTTACAAGAGTCAAAGCAGGTCACAAAACAGTCCAAAAAAAGTTTTGATTTCATGGTTGAATTTGCTTGTCTGTAAAACGTGTAATTTGAGGAGGTACGGTTGACTAACATGGTGTGTTTGTCTGCATGCAAGGAAATCCTAAGCAAACAAACAGACAGCAACCATGTAGTCAATCGCCTCTGATCTCCTTTCAAGCCTGAAGTGTGCAACCAAGCCTGGAGATCCCAGGGCCAAATCTGGAAAGAAAGTAAAGTAAAATCAAATAAAGTGAAACAAAGGTCCTCCTGAAGCAAGGGAAGACAAAGAGCAAGTGGTATCATACCATTCCTGTAACTCCCCTTTTTTTTCTAGTCGTGTACCATGAAACGCCATGTCCCCATGCTGTCCTGCCCTGTCCAGTTCTGGGTATCACCCGACGCCGTGTTCCAAAGTCCATGATCTGTGGATCATTACCATATCGCTGTGTTATGTGCTGTCCTGAGAAGTGCTCCTGTGCGCAAATAGCCATCATATGCCCCAAATATTCTGGCAATGATTGAGGCCCTAGGCACTAGGTCCGGACACGTCGGAGCTTGTCAATCTTCATGAAGGAGCTGACTGTAGGAGCTCCGGTAGGAGGTGTGTATTCTGACGTCAGGCTGGATGCCCCAGTGCCTACTGCAGTAGGTCCAGCCACCCCAACTGTGGTAGTCACAGTCACAGTCTTGATGTTGGAATAGACAGTCTTAGTCTTGACTCTTCCACCGGCTGGGCCATGGGGGTGGTGACCAGAGCACCTTGTGGTGGCTGGTGGACTCGAATTTGTGGTGGCAGAGGCATTCGGAGAACCGGAGCCACCAGTGATGCCAGGGACATCGACAAGGAAGCTGTTGATGATTTGCTCGGCAATGGCTGCCAGGTTGAGGTCTTGGCCCTTGGCAAAGACGGTCTTCACACTGGTATTGGCAACCTTGCAGCCTGGCCCTTTGACTTGGCCGAGGGATTCGTCACAGGGGTCGACAATCTGTACATCCATGACCGTGGTGTCTAGAGGAATTATACAAGTTAGCATGATCTTCTTCGGCGCAGGGGTAAAGGGGGAAAGGGCAAATGGGGATAAGGGGTTACTTACAGATTTCAGGAATCTCAACCTTTGCTCCGTTAGTTCCAGCAGCGGCTCCTGGCGCAGACGATGGAGGAGCTGCCACATCGGGGCGATCTAGAGTGGGCCAGTCCCAGATCCAGATCAGGGTGTACGGCTTGCCGACGGCCAGACCGTTTGGAAGGGCAACATCGGACTGGCACCACAGATTCTGGCCCATGGGGTTCTCAGCAGACTTGGCAAACGTCGCAACGCGAGTCTGGGAAATGGGGCCGCCGTTGAGCTGGTAGCATTGCCCATCATCGAAGTTGCGGGTGGCCAAGAGGCTGCCCTTGCCGTCGCCACCTGTGCCGTCAGGAGTCCACTGGTAGAGGATGTCGAGGAGGTTGGCATCAGGGGCGAGCTCGGTAGTGCCGTAGATGTAGATAGTGCCGCGGTTGAGGGCCTTGTTCGGCTGGTTGTCTGGCAAGGTGACGTGGCCGTTTTCTTGGTATTGCAGCGCGATCAGATCGCCCGGTGAAGCGACGAGCATGGGAAGCTCGTTGGTGTAGTTCGCTACTCGCTGGGGAGGACTGGCTACCTTATCGTCGGGGTGGATCACTTTGCCATCAGGCCTTCCGTTAGGGGGGAGGAGCCAGCCGACGGCCGGGTCGCTGTAGGCGGGATTTGTCCGACTGACGAAGCCTCTTGGAAACCCCTCCTTACCGACCATGGTACCGTTCGGGGCGATCCGCATCAGCCGCTCGACGTTCGAATGCGCCGCGCTGTGACTGGCAAGCGCCAGGAGCGCGGTAAAGAGAATGCCGGCAGACGGCATTGTTGGCATCTTGGCGATGCTATTTCTTTTCCGGGTTTGGGACGCGTAGAGAAGATGTGTGGTGTGAAAAGGAGACGGGAAGGAGAAGTGGCGGCATATGGGTGCTTTTCTTGAAGGGAAAGCTTGTCGTGACCACGTAGAAAATCGGTATTTTCTCCGGGAAGTTTGCTGTGACTGGCTTGGAAATATTGATTCCGAGAAGTTTGTTTTGGTCAGGTAGGACCGTAAGGTTGAGGATGGCGGATCGAGAGATGGGACGCGAGAGATGGGACGAAAGAAAGGGGATTAAAAGGACTCGATCTCGCGAGTACACAAAGGAATTATTTAAACGGCCAGCGCGAACAGTCAACCTGCTGCTAGAAGAATAGAACTTTGAAGGGGAATAAGGGTATTGTCTTGGACTAGACCGCCATTGTGAGAGAACAATCGATGGGCGACGCGAGTCTTCTCAATAAAGGGCCTGCCTTTCACGACCCTTGTTCTCAGAACAGGTGACTTGTAGTGGCGGCAGTCACGACTCGAGGAGGAATGAGTACAGGGTGACAAAGCAGTCACCACCTCGGGTGAGTCGACAACACAGTTGACGACAAACTGATGGGGAGTGCCGACAACATGAATTCCCCCTCGAAACAAAGTGGTGTGTGATGTGGAGGAGGCAAGAAGAGGCAAGACGAGGCCCCGCAGAGGATGGTCTGCATTTGAAGTATCACGCGCGAGCCGCCCTGATCGGCCAGACCACACGGTATTCACCAATGAAGGGTCCGGGTAAACTTGTAAAATTGAAGAGGATCTACGTAGGCCTTGTAACGGCCCTGGCTTGCCTTCCAGATGGCGAGATCTTCCACTGCAAACTTGACAGCGGTCCGTCTCGAGTCTGCAGATGCTCCACGGACGAAGAGCAGGGGTGGTCCGTGAGGCTATTGTCGCATGTGGGAGCCAGTCAAAACAGAACCATATTTGTTCCGTGTCTGAAAGGGGAAGCCTGGGAACAGTTGATTCGTTCTGCTCTCAGCAGCACTTTAACACCGGGATGCCCATACCCATGCCCATACCCATGCCCACCTTGACAGAGAGACGCCATCCAAGCCAAGCCAGAGGTATCTCTGCATGCGAGCCATGTTGTGGACAGCGGGTCGTCTAATGGCCAGCCGCACTTGACGATTGGATGTTGCAGGGTCTATGGGTTTGAGGCTCCTCACCCAGAATAGGCGGCGCTAACGGGTAGTTATAGCCAAGGTATCATCACGTACAGTTTTATATATGGAGATACTTGCTTACAATCAGGTGCGGCTCCTCCAATCTGCAACAAGGGGCAGAGGCAGATGACGCAGGGGCCACTCTGACAGCACCCCTCAACCAGTCGTTTGGTCAAGGCACTGCAAATGCCAGATTGGCGAGGCCTAAAACGGTTGCATACTGGGGAACCGTGCCGCCGTCGATTGGCTTCGAGTTCCCAAAAGAAATCCATACATTTTTGATTGCGTGTACAGATTACTCCCTCGTACGACTGCACGGGGCGACGTGACGCAGAACTATGCAAAACTTTTTATTGCGGAGGGATATCAGACCCCAGGCCCTTCTTACTAGGTAGCAACTGGATCTTCCCTCGGATCACTCCAGAGCTTTAGAATGACAGGATCTGGATCCGGGGTAAAGAGTTCAGACATGGTGGAGTCCAGGAAATGATGTTCACAAGGATTCTCCCCCATTGCCACAACTTTTCTGTCAACGCATAACCTGCACGGCATTCATCCGGCCTGATCTTCATTACAGCTTCGGTCTTCTGTATTTCGCCTCTTGCCTCTTGCCTCTTCGCCTTTTCGCTTGCTCAGCCAAGTACCCGCGTATGACGACTAAATTTCAAATTTCAATTTCAGTTTCAATTTTGTTTATTTAATCATTTATTTTGCTAGATCGCTTTCCAACCTCTAATGCATTTCTCGCTCCCCTTCGAATGCTTGCCAGCGTCTTTTTGACCAAGTTTCACCCCTCGCTTGAGATATCAAGGGAGTTGGTTTTTCGATAAAAAGGTCAGGGCGTTTCCTTGCCCCTGACCCTCCGACAGCCCATGTTTCATCCCAAGTTGCTTTCTATTTCAATTTGTCCAATATTTTGGGTGGTTATACGGCCGCCTGAAACAACTCTATTTGCTCACTGCTCCCGACAATTCGGCCACGGCTTCCAAGTCACGGATCTGCCCCCACTGTCCACAATGCCGACGTTGTCTTGGCAGAAGATCTCGAAACTCATATAATGTCTCTATAAACAACCTTATTGTTCTGATATTGACGAAGCCAGGCTCATGGTTGAGACACAGGCATCGGTCGAAACAAGTCCGAGAACAAGCATAGGTCGTGTGCGTAAACGCAACAGTAGGGGGCTGCTTCGAGATGATTCGACTTGTGCCTTGGGGAAGTCTGGCGACATCACTCACTGGCATATGGCATGTTCCAAAAGAAAATGGTTTTGCTGCAACTGCATTACATTATCAGGTCAAAGAACTAAACCCCTTAGCGCCTCAGTCGTAGTAACACATTAGCGTTTACTGTTCCATCAATCCATCAATCCTCATCCTCTTGCCAGAGGGCCCACGACCTGTATAGAAACGTATAATTACACATTCTCCGTCCTAGGAAGGACCATTCATAAGTTAGAGGGACAGAGCAGACAAAGCGAACAAACAAAGAATCAACCAAAACTCCCCCAAAAGGAAACCACCAACAAATTACATCATGGGACGCCACCTCTGCCAGAGACTCCATCCCAGTCTATCTCCTCGGCCGGGGTATTAGAATATCGCGCCATCTTGGCGCCGTGCCGGGGCGGGTCGTTCTCCCGGTCCCCAACGCTATCCGCCCGGCTCCTCTTCAGGCCCCTCTTGCCCTTCTCGAGCCGGACCAGTGTCTCCTGGGTATCGTCGTCGTAAATCTGTTGCTGCTGCTGCTCCGCCTCCGTCTCCCCGGGCACCAACTCGGCGCCAGCGCACTCCTGAGCCAGGCTCTCCACCGCCACCCCCGCCGCGCTGGGCGGCGACGGCACGAATGACTCCTGACCCCGATCGGGGCCGTCCGAGCCCCGCGTCGGCTTCGTCGCCCCCCATCCGTCCCGCTCGTCGATGGCCTCCATTCCCACCGCCGTCGCGGCCTCGCCGTGCCGCTGCATCCCGGGCGGCGAGGACGGCGACCCGGCCTTGACGCCACCGCCACCGCTCCGCGTCGGTGGCGCCGCCGCCCAGTCAAGCACCCCCGCGGCCGCGGCCGAGGCACTTGTCGTAGGCGGATAGTTGGGCGACCACTGCTGCTGTTGGTGGTGCTGGTGCTGGTGGTGACCGCCGACCAAGCGCGCATCCATCGCCGGCATGCCGGACATATCCCAGCCCTGTAGCGGGCCGCCGCCGCCGCCGCCACCACCGCCACCGACGACATCGTCGTACACACCGACACTAACACCGAACCCGCCACTCTCCGCCGCGGCGCTCAGGAACTGGTCCGCGACCGACGCCGGGCCGGCGACAAGCGCGTTGCCGCCGTCCATCCCGGCCGACGTCACGGCCGTCATAAAGCCCAGCGCCGCCTGGTCGCTGCCGGGGGCGGCGCCGCTGTGGGCGTTGTGCTGCGCGGCGCCGAAGCCGTGGTGTTGGTGTTGGTGGTGTTGGTGGTGTTGGTGTTGGTGGTGTTGGTGGTGTGTGAACGATCCGGCAAGCGAGGCCGTGGGCGGCGGGGTCGCGAGACCGCCGTGGCTGGAGAAGGAGTCGAGGGCGCTCTGGACGGGGGCGCCGGTCGTGGTGGTGGCGGCGGCGGGCTGTTGATATAGGCCCTGTGCCCCGTGGTGGGAGGAGGGCTGGCCGAGGCCGTGCGGGAAGACGGCGCTCGGGTACGTGGGCATGGAGCCGCCCGACGTGGCTTCCCAGGCCAGGGCGAAGTTCTCGCTCATGCTCGCGCTCAGGTGCTGCTGGTAGCTGGGCGTGGGCGACATGACGGCGTCGCGGGCGAGGTGCTGGTGGTGCTGGTGGTGCTGATGATGGTGCTGGATGGCGGTCGGCATGCCGGAGCCGGGGATCACGCCGGGGCTCAGGAGCGACTGCTTCTGGTGGGACTGCGAGGTGGGGTCGAGGGTGGTCAGGAACCGCCACTGGCCCTTGCCCTCGGGCGCGGTCACCAGCTCGTTCTTACCCCTCATAGTGTAGCTGACGCTGTGGACCGTCTCGAACGTCCACAGGAGCACCGCCCGGCGCTTCCACCTGTTCGCGCCGGTCCGCCTGCGGGGCTCGTTTTGCGACGCCCCGAAGGTGTCCATGTTGTCCTGCGACCCCGGCGGGCATGACCACACCTCCTGGAACATGGCGATCTTGGGCACCAGCTCCATCTGTGTGAGGTGCCTCTTGATCTTGGACTTGATGCCCCGCTCCTCATGCTCGCCGTACTCAGCCCCCTTACCGGTGGCGTCCCGGGCATCCGTGGCGGCCGGGCGCTCCAGGACGAGGGGGTGCGCTGGGTATTCAGCGCAGTTGGTGAGGGTGCGAGCCCACACGTCCGCGGGAAACGGCACGCTGACCACCTGCCGCTGGCTCTGGCCGATGCAGTCGCACGCCTGCCCGGAGATGGGGCCCTCGCACCTCGGCTGGTGGACGTACTGGACGCCCATCTCGGCCGAGGTCTCGTAGAGTGTCCCGCCGGTGTTGCTGCTGCCACCGCTGCCGCTGCCGCCGCGGCTCAGCTCGGCGGGCCTGGCCAGCCGCGTCACCACCTTCCACCGGTGGTTCAGCAGGCGCGGCTGCTCGACGTTGATCTCGACCCAGCTGTTGAGCTCCGACTGGGCCGGGAAGTGGCGGCGGCGCTGCATCTCGAGGGTCAGGTGCATGTGTAGGATGTCGCAGCAGGCGCGGCCATCGGTGCCGCCGCCGTCGCCCGCGGTGGCGGCCTCGAGGCGGGTGGCCAGCTCAGGGAAGTCGGCGGCCCACTGCGCGCCGATCTCGCGCACCGAGCTGCTCTCGACCTGCTCCAGCATCTTGGTGAAGCGGTGCAGCAGCGTGCCGGGCAGCATGGCCTTGTCCTCGCGTGGCCACGAGTCCTTGACGAGGTTCTCGCGCAGGTGCGGGTAGTCATCCTCGGACAGCTCCTCGCCCGTCGCAGGGTTGTACCCGCTGCCGTCAGCCCGCACGGCCACGTCGTTGTGCGCCACAAAGATCCAGCACCGCTTCGGCTTCACTGTGATCTGGGACTCGAAGGCGAGCAGCTGCGCGAAGTAGTCGTAGTTGGGCCGCTCGTCCGGCAGCCGGCCCTCGGCGAGGGCCCGCAGCACGGGATGGTCCTTCAGCGACCCCGTCTCGACGGTGTCTCTGGCCTTGTCGTCCCTTTTCTCTTCCTTGCTGAAGAAGATGTGGTCTGCAAGCGGTGCTTAGTTAGCTGTCGAAGAGTATCAACTAATAATACAATGGCTGGAGCAAACTTACACATTGGATGGTGCCTGAAGAAACCCTTGAGCACCTGGATGTGGCTTGAGACCTGCTTCCTGTGCCTCTTCATCTTCGGATCCGGGAGTGTCCCCGGGGGTAGGCTCTCGCAATATGCGATCCAGAGATAGTCTGTGATCAACATGTTACGCCCGCACTGCTTCTGGTTCATCCCGTACTTCTTCCTTCCCATATGGGGGATGAGTAGGAGCGCTGTAACACACACACACACACACACACACACACGAGTCAGTCTTCCTGCTGGTCTCTCTCGCACAGGTTATGCATGAAAACCGCTTACCATCTAGGAACGCGTCCTCGAGCACGTCCGGCCATGTCTGGTCCGACTTGTCCTCTTTCTGCGCCTGCTTCGTCCTGTACTGCTGGAACTGGCGCGACAGGCATAGCGGGTTGATGCCGGGCCTCCTGCACGGATTCTGCTGCTGCTGGAATTGGCCGCACTGCTGTATCCTGTGGTAGCTGGAGGGAGATGGTGAGGAAGAGTAGACCGAAGGCAGGCTCTGGGTTGGGATGATGGGAGGTGTATGGATCGATGGCCGGACTATGTTGTTGAAGACATCTAGGTGTTGGGCATAGGACGGCCTGGAAGCAGGCAGGTTCCCGTGCTGGGCATTGCCAGTCGATTCCTGGAGAGGTTGCCGGACGGTGGGGAGGCTATAGCGACCCTCATAGCCGTACTCGAGGGGATAGCATCGCGACTGGGGCACTGGATGCCTTACGCGGGACTCCATCATGGACGGTAGCGACGGTGGGTAGGAATCGAAGAGAATGACAGAGGCCTCACTGGAGACAGCAGAGGCATTCGAATGACGGAGAGAGAAATGCTGGGAAGGAATGGCCTTTGTCCAAGACGCGAGCCAGAGGAAGATATGAAATATGTTGAGACGAGGAGTGGGCACAGGCATGGAAGGAGACGATGGCATACCTATACCTTATAATAAGGGACCCAGGACTTGGGAGGGCTCACCTGCCTTCATGCCAACCACCCCTCCCCCTCGCCCCTCGCTCCCCCCCCTCACCCCTCCGAGCCCAGGAACAAGGTCTGCAACTATGCAATCCCGCAACACCACATAGCACGGGGCCGACAGGGCGGCGCACCGAGCTGGAAGTAGAGGGACACAACAGCTTTGTTAGCACGCCACCATTGGGGTCATGGCAGGTACTCGGGTTTCAAGACGATTGGCCACACCAACGGGACAACGCAAGGGAGGACGCAGAAGCTCGAAAATGCAGGCACAAGCAGGCGGTTGTTGGCGGGAAGGGCAGCCTGCCGGAGGCTCCGCCATAACGAACATTTCCCCAAGGCATGCGAAGGAGATTAATCTGCACCGTCACGCGAACCCCGTTCAGAGGGGAATCGGGGTGGGGTGGGGTGCCGGGGTCTGGCCGGGAGAGACTTTTGTTGGAAGGGTTGACAGGGTTGGCAAGCGTTGGCAAGGGTTGGACATCAATCAGCGCTCCCTCGCAAGGGATGCCGAGACAAAAATTGGCTTGCACTGGAATCTAACCCGAGACTTATCGACAGACTAATTCTTCATCATATCAAATTCTCATACCTCATCATCCTCCTCGTCGCCAATATTGACCTTTTGCCTGCCCCTCCCTGTGAGCTGCTGAAGGGTCATCTTATTGACCTGCCCCCCTATTTTCTTCTGCATCTTGGCGATCTCCTCCTCAGGATCGACGGTTTCCGCTTCAGCGAAATCAAGCACAAGCCGCCGCCCAAGGAGATGCGTGTCCTTGAGTGCGTTGAGCGCGTTCTCCGCCTCGCGCGCCGTCGTGAACTCGGCAAAGGCAAAGCCCCGCGCTGACGAGTTGAACTTCTTTGGCACCCGGACGGCCCGTAATTGGCCGTAGGTGCCAAAGAGTGCCCGCACATCCTTCTTGGACGCCTCGAACGGCAAGTTCTTGATGACGATCTTGGTCCGATGTCCGGCCGCCTTCTTGGCCACGTCTTCCCGCCTCCTCTCCTCGGCCGCATCTAGCCCTCTATGTGACGCTTTCACGGCGAGGGCGTGGCCTTGGAGGACGTGGCCATCCATGACCTTTAGAGCAGCCTGGGCCTGTTCCTTGCTGCGGAACTCAACAAAGCCGAATCCCATACTGAGGATCTGTCCAGGCTTCTTGGGATCCACCTTGGTCTTGACGCGAGCCGAGACAAATCCATCCAGTGGCTTGAAGGTTTCAGCCAGTTGCCTGTAGATTGAGAGGTATCATGTCAGCGTAGTCCTTGGCATCGAGATAGTTCGGTACCTACTCAGTTGTTGTCTTGAAGCTGAGATTGCGGACGAACAGAGAGCTGCTTTCCGGCTGATCTGGAGCGGCATCATCATGTGCTAGCAGTTCAGTAACCGAGAGCTTCTGCTGAACAGCAGCAGCAGGGCGAGCCTCCTCGGGCAGTGTCGGCGTCACTTTGGCCTCCCCAAAGATATTCTTGGGGGCCTTCTCGAGAAATAGGACAGACTCCTTGACTCGCCTATATGCCAGCCTTGCAAACGCGACCTTGGCCTGAGTAGGCTGCACAAACTGGACAATGGCTATTGTCCCGCTCGGGGGCATCAGCACTCGCAGCACGGTTCCAAACTCCTCAAACATCTTCCTCAGTTCATCGATGGTCGTTCCGAATGGGAAGTTCTTGACCAGAATCGCGGTATCCCCTCGCTGTTGTGACTTGAAGGCGTTGAGATCCACCCCATTGGCGGCGAAGTAGGCCTTGGTCTCCTGGATGATGGAGGTCTCGGCGATCGCCTGTCTCACCATAGCATCGGCCGAGGTGGGATCGAGGAGCTCCGACTTTGCCACACCAAGGCGTTCGGCCATAGACGTGTTGACTGCATCTTGGTTCATATAGAGAGAATTCCAGTTGAAGGTGCTAGACGCTGCTTCGGCCCTTTTCCGTACAAGGTTCTGTTTTTTCAGGGGTAGTTTGGACAGTGCAAACTCGTCTAGTTTGTCTTCCTTTTTTGCAGCTGCCGGAAGGATGTGGATAATCCTGCCCTGAAAGGGGGACCTGTCTGCTGCCTGGAATGCAGCCAAGGCAGCTGACGAGTCACCGTAGAGAACCAAGGCAAAGCCCTTGCTCTTGCCTCGGCTGTCTACCGGGAGATGTACCTGCCAGTAAAAAAAGACGTCAACACAAAAGCCCACAGAGATATATAACTCGGCGAGAAAATATGAGTGCCAATCAGTCCTTTTATCAGTTACTCGAAGCATCTACTAAAATACCGAGCCCGGGTTCGCATCATATACCATAAGGTATAAGCTGTCCCTATCTGGGATTCATCACAAGGAAGAGAGGGCGGGAAGGGAAAAAAAGAGTGGGAGAGCATGCGGCTGTTGATCGCTTACCTCTTCAAGAGAACCGAACTTGCCGAAGTGAGTCCTGAGATCGTCCTCCGTCGCAGTGTAAGGGAGGTTCCTCACAAAGAGCCGACTTGATTTCTTAATCCACTCCACGGGGTTATCTCCCTCCTGAGGCCCCGCTGGTTCGAGTTGAAGAGCCTCCTGGACAAGTATTTGATCTTCCGCGGTCTTTTCATTCGGCCCGCCGCTGGCAACTGGAATTTTCTTCTGAGACCCCACGACGGGAACCGTTCGCTCGGCAAATGCCGGGTCGTCAGGGTCGACTAGGTCTAGCAATCGATTCGTCCGTGACCGAAGCCATTCGTCATCAGTGGCATCGGTATTGCGGGGTCCCTCGTCGGCCTCAGGAGGCGTCTGTAGGTCTTGTAGAGAAGTGTCCGCAAGGGTCACGTCGACGTCCTCGCGAATATCATCTGTCTCTGGCGGCACCGGCGGTTTAGATGTCTTTGCCGGGATGGCCTCATACTCATCATCGCTCTCGCTCTCATGTCCGAGAGGCTGCGCAGCGTTGGTCTGCCCCTCAGTTGGCAGGACATCATCACCACGTGCCCTCTTTAAAACCCGGTCAGGGTCCATAACCTCGAGGAACTCCTGAAGTTTCGGATCTGCCTCGTCGAGCTCATGCCGCTTCCGCTTCTGGTTCTGGGTTTTGGCCTCATCCCTTGGTGGTGTTATGGGCTCCTCTTGTTTGGGTTCAGATATATTCGAGGCTCCTAGCTTCACCTTCTGGGCACTGGGTAGCTCTGGATCCGATATCTGCGCAGGTCAGCGACCATTGGGGTCCGTTGAAAGGTCGGCGCCATACTTACAGGTCTTGCAGGCTCGACCGCAACCCGGGACATGCGGATATACGAGCGGTTGAAGTACTTGACGGCATTTGCGGCATCTTGTGGGCTTCGGTAGCCGACATAACCAATCCGTCTTTTGGGGATGAGCTTGATGTCGGTGACCTCTCGACCTTTCGAGGAGAAGTGTTTGCGAAACTCTGCCTCAGTGATGGTTGGAGGCAGGTTCTTGACGAATATCCTCGATGATTCCATCCTGGCAATGTGACTAATAGATCATGGCGAGTTGTGGTCGGTTCTAAAGTACGACCACGAGAACTGGCGGCAATTTTCCTCGAGTGAGCTTGTATCAACTTTTTTTTCTGCAGTGTGGAGGTGGTGGATTTCTTTATCTTATCTTCTCGTGACCTCCTGTCTGCTGTGGATTAAAGTCGGGCTGGGTTAAAGTCGGGCTCAAGGGCTTTCCCCCACCCCAGTGCGGAGAAGAGATCAGAAAATCAGGTTGGTCCGTGCATCAATGTTCTCCAACTGGAAGGTACGCCTCCCAACCTTCGTGCCAATGACCGTTCTGACTTGTTGCCCAAAGCAACATTGCCTCCCTCCTGTCCAGCTCGAGGCTGCTGTTTCCAAACTCGAGAATTTCTTCAAGTTCCCACCCCGGATACCTGTAGCTGGGTGAATTGTGGGGAAATTTGAGAAGCCCCTTCCAAACGCACCCTCCCACCGCGCTATCAAGCAAGTCGACCCCAGTCAGCTGAATTAGGGGGTTTTCCTCCTGGCTTCCCTCGTTGACCAACGATGCCAATATTGACAACTAACAAGGCATTGTGCTAACCCTGATCCCTCAGCCTACTGCGCGATCCCTTCTCCCGTGCTTACCCACCCATACTCGAGCTCCCTTTCAAGCCCTCTTTTCGCAATGGCGGACGCGACCAAAGCAAGCCCCTCCCCTGGGACCAGGGAGAAGCTCGAGCGTAAGTCACTCCTTCGCTTCCCCACTTCGGTTTTTACAATGGCTGACGGGGGCCATCATCACAGCTCAGATTAAGTCTGCAGACATGGCAAGACTCTCTCTTGGACTGCCCATAGTCTCATCACTAACAGTCACCTTAGACCGAGGACATGCAGCAGGAGGTGGTTGAAGTGGGTATGTGGCTCTCGCGCGGCTATCAAGGTGGGGTTTATGGAAATACTGATGGGAAAACATACAGCCCAGGAAGCCATGTCCAAATTCACCATTGAGAAGGTTCGTATCGCCTCCTGGAATGCTTGGCCTGTCTCTCGTGCGCATACGCGGTGTTTGGCTAACCGCGTGGCAGGATATTGCACAGCATATCAAGCGAACTGTATGGCCCATCCTCCTCCCTCGACGACACGAGACAGTGAAGACCGGTGGCTCATCCGATATACTGTAGTTTGACGAGAGAAAAGGGCCTACCTGGCATTGCATTGTGGGCCGCAACTTTGGCAGCTTCGTGACTCACGGTATGGAATGCTGTTTCCCACCGCGCCGACGCGCGGTGGAGATTGGACCTTGCGAGCTTCCTCCAGCGCTGACAAATTTGTGCTGCAGAGACCAAGCACTTCATCTACTTCTACCTCGGCCACTGCGCGATCCTCCTCTTCAAGACCCAATAAGTCTTTCTCGGGATAACCTTGTTAGCGAAATGTGTTTACCAATGCGGGAAAGGGCACATTATGACTGGGATGGTTGACCGGCGAATAGGAAAAGGAGAGAGACAAGTGTGTACGAGACGATGAACATTTTCAGGGTTTCTTTACTTTGCTGCACCTTGCAAGCCTGTCTGTGCATTACAAGATGAATGAATAGGTAAATGCCATTGGCATTATCCTGACGGAACGAGCAGTTTTCAGAACCACAATCTATCCACCCTGACAGAAGTGATGCTTGTGATTCTCGATATACTTTGCCACGCAACGTCACTATCATCGAGACCCAACTCTGAGACCGAGACCCAGGCACAGGCTGAGACTGAGACCGGGACTGCCCATAGGAGACATTTGAGGCGAACAGGCTGTCGACTCCCAACCCCTGAAAAGACCAAGACGCTGTCGCCAATCCGCTTCCTGCTCAGTGTATGTCTAGTTCAGGACCTAATGGTCCTCACTGACCACACCCACTGCATCGAGAGTTTCTCTACACCACAATCGACAAGGGGCTCATGGGCGGCCAAATTTCGTGGCATTCCTCCCAAACAGGCCCAAGTGGGTGTTAAGAGTATGAGGCTCTCCTGCTGGAATGGAAACCCTCGCATCTGTGTCAGTTGAGCTGTCGAGGAATGACCACAAGGGTGGCGTTTGGGTTGGCACGCCAAGAGAAGAAGAGGTTGCTGGTTACTGGATAGTGTCGCTCTTAGAAGAGGAATTAGATGGGTCATATACGAGTAATTTGCCATTTTGGCTCATGTATTGTTTTTTGTTTATTTACTACTACTATTTCCCTGATCTGTCATGACGTCGAGGTTACTTTTCAAGTCAACCCTCACCGTTCCCTGATCCAAGCTCGCTGGTCCGCTAATGCCGCTTATGATGAGATAAACACAAGAGATGCCGCCCCAATGCTAGACCCCCTGATAATTCTTTGAGGCTCGACTCGCTTTCGAATTTGGATCATCATCCTCCACAATCTCTCGCGGTACAATTCAATGTTCAGGTCGGTGGAAATCAGCCGCCTGCGTCATCTCGCCCCGTAGGATCTCAAACTTCATTTCTCGTCAAAAGTTGCCTTTCAAACTTCGTCCGTCCTGGCCGGTCAATTCTCGGGGGGGATCTCCTTGTAGATACTCTGCTTCATAAGGCGCAACCTCTCTCTCATATCCAGAAGATCCGTCACCTTCTGCGCTGGCGGGTGTTCCAGCGCGACAATCTCCTTGTGCAATGCCTCATAGCTAGCGTAGAACGTTTTGAATCTGTGAGCCTGTTGCAGGACTGTCGGAGACAGTTTCTGCCGCTTCGCCATTGACTCGTACGAGTCATGGTTGGGTGCCGAGTCCGCATTCCGCTTTTTGGCCACGATCGTGTCTCTCTCTTCCGCCGGGTCGAGGTCCGAGGCGTTAGTAGGTGGCGAGGAGGCGAGGGGCGAGGACTTGACAGGAGACGTGTCCTTCGACTTGGCTAAGGAGGCACCCGAGTTGGTTCCACGGCTGTTCTGGCTGGCATCCGAAGCGCGGTGCTTGGTCACGGCAGCTGACACCCGGGCCACCTGTTCTTTCGGCTTGACGCGCTTGCTCAGGGGCGTGCCGGAGCTCGAGCTATCGTCATCGTCGACTTCCCTCGGCCGCTTCGAGGGTCTGATGGGCTTTGCAACCTGGGCGTTGATGGTTTCCTTGACCTTCGGTTGCGCTCTTGGCGCCGGCTTGAGCTTCGGGGCCAGAGGTACCTTGGTCTTCTCAACCACCCTTGGTTTTTCTGCTGGTCGCTCGACGGCTGGTCTCGGCGCTGGTTTGGGCTTGAGAACGGTCTTCGACAGGGGAGCCTCTTCGCTTTCCGAATCAGAGTCGGTCACGAACTCCTTTGACAACACCCTGCCGCCTTTGGCCGGTGGGGCCTTCCCTGTTGCTGTTGTTTTCGTCGGGGATGCCTTGGGCGAGGCCTTTGCCGGCGCGGGCTTCTTGTTGTTGGATAGAAGGCGCTTTGCCTGGGCCTGACCATCCGTCATCTTCTTCGACTTAGCGGGCAATGGCTGAGAATTTGACCGCGACATGCTCTCCCCGCCCTTATTAGTCTTCTTCCCCTGTCCAGAGTCATCCTTCTCCGAATCTCCGCTGGTATTGGTGCTCGAGCCGTCCGCCTTGTGAATGTTGATCTTCGGCGCCGGAGCTTGCGGCCCCTTGGCGATAGCTGCCTGGATTTTACCAAGACAGATGCCCTTCCCACGCTCCGATTTCGGGAGGAGCCGTTGCCAGAGGGGGTCCGATACGCCCAGCCGCATGCGGTCATATTGCTTGATGGCGTTGTCGATAGCCTTCTGCCGGTCCTCGTCATTCTTATATCGGTACTTGAAGACGTCCAACTCCTTCCAGTACAGCTTGTTCATGACCCATTTCTGCAAGTCGTTATCAAAAGTGGCAACCTTTTCCAGGGCCGTCTGGAACTCCTGCTCGGTCCCATCCCACTCGGAGAATAAGCTGCCAAAAGTTCGTTCTCTCACTGCTAGCTCATGGATGATTGGGAACCGCTGTTCCTTCGCTCGCTCCTTTGCCTGCTGTCCAGCCGTGCTGACTGGGCCGAGCGAGGGAGAAGTGATGCCGCTCAAAGCGGGACTGGAGGGCATGGATCGGGGGGTGGCACTGGTCTGTGTACCGAGTAGTTTTGCCTTGCCGGGTTTGACTTTGCCCCCTTTCATCGGTAGAGGCCCGCCAATGACCTTAGCCCTGCATTGTCTGTTAGTCCTCGGGGTCTCGATTAATTGTACGGAGCGGTCATACGAGTTCTCTAGCTTTTCTGCTTTGGCCTGAGCCAGCTGAAGTTGCAATGCCTCAATATCAGCATCCGCATCGTTGGTATCCTTCTGCGAGGCAGCTGGCTTGGAAGCAGTGGCACGGGGTTTTGTCGGTTTTGCCTTGGACTTCTCGCCCTTCAAGGCCCTCTGCACCATGGCCTGGTATTTTGGTTGGCGGAGGATACACATTGTGGGATTCGGTAGCCTGTCGATAGTCTTGGGATTGGTCGAGTTTGAAAAGAAGATGTCGTATGTCGAGGGGCTCGCCGAGTTCGAAATTTGGTGTTCCTGGTCTCCAAAGAGAAACGTCTGCAGGTATTGTTAGAAATTTCATATCAAGAAATGGAAGAGGTGAAATCAATGGTGAAGTAGACAGGTTCGAGGTGGGAGTAGGTGAAGGGGCCAACAATCAATAAATAAGGTTATTGTTTCTGAACCATTGTGAGGAACAATAGCCTTCGCCTCGGAAAGCATCTCGTCAAGAATAGGTTGCCGAGCAAAGAAGTAGGTTCCCCCCAAAAAAAAACTTACAGGAGTGTCTCCTAGCGATAGTTGGATATCTTGGCCATTTTGAACGCATGCAATCATATCCTCAATAACCTTGTCGTTCAGGGTGACAGCAAAAGCCTGGGCCGGGAGGGCGGCCATCGCCTTGGGCGAGCTCTCCAGCGTGAGGCCGGCATCGGGGATCTTGAGCACCATCTTTGCCAACAATTGACGATGCCCCTGCGCGTGTTTCGGTAGGGGCTGAGGGTAGGTTGGTCGGCGTTGAGAAAGAAGTTGTCGATTTAACTCGGGGGTTTTGAGGGGTCCTCTCTTGTAGGTACGCTGACAAGGCTCCAGGACCTGGCTGGCTCCAAATAGGAAAAAGAAGCTCAAGGGAAGGAAGTCTAGACAACCATAAGGCGGGATTCGACAGTCAATAACTTTACATTGTCGGTGGTTGGCGTTGACGGTTCGACGCTCAAGGTGGAAATCAGACAGAGGAGGAACCCGAGAGGCTGCCGGACTGGGCCGAGTGACGACGATTCCCTCGGGCTGTAGAAGACGTGAAGAGTCGAGGAGTGAGGGACAAAGTAACCCAACAGAGAGACGGGAATACAGAGTTGGAGGAGGTTCGGAATGGGAGAGTTCAAGAGCAGAGGAGGAGGCGAATGGGTGAGGGGAATCATGGACTGCCTTTCCAAGGAAACACGAAGTGAAGTGCAGGTACTTGGGATTGAGTGGGAGACCGACATACAACAGGGTGGCAGCCATGAAGGTGGGCGGAGTGGGTTGCAGGGAGGAGGGTCCTGCCAGGTACCTCAGGTGCCTCAGCATGTAACTCATGCTTTGTTGGCGCAGGCCCCGCTAAGGCCGGGCCCTCCAGGGCGAGGACAAAGAAGGTTTTTGGGGGTGCTTGTGGCTCTGAATGGGCAGAGCAGGGGTGGGGCAGTACAAGACGGTACTACGAGAGACAAGCAGCCCATTGTTGACAGGGGTCAGGGATGCACGGTGAGCAGCAAGCCTGCAGGGCACAGCAAGCTTTCAGAAGGTCGCGGTTGCATTTCCTTTTGACTGAAGATTCCGAATTGATGCAGTGTATCTTGTCACTGCTCTCCCAAAGTATCAACTTTAATAACCCTCTTCCCTCTCCCACTTTCCTTCCAACGTAATCCATTCATTTCATACTCCAAGTCGCAACATTTTGTATGAGGCTAGGGGCCTCGAACCCAAGTGGATGAAAGCTAGCGTCCCGCTTCCGCCTTCCCTGGCCAACTAACTTCTCATAGTCGACACCAAAGTTCATTAGTATGCGTGGAGAAACGGAGACGCATGGGCCACGCCGCAATTCGGAACCCCAGTACGGTACCAAGATTCCAGACTCCAGCCTCCAGCAAACTCCACTGCCTCCCATAGTGCAGACTCCACTCAAAGAAAAGCAAGACAGAAGCAGAGAGCTTCAGGGCCGAAATAGTGGATGCTCATTTTGTTCCTAATCATGCTATTGTTCCACGTGTTTTGGGCAAATGCATTGATGTACTTTGAAAGCTTTCAGAGAGGCCTGACCTGAGTAAGGGCAGCTCGGGGGGGGAACGTACGATTCTACACCTGGTACCTTGGTGCTCCGCATTTCCCAATGGAAAGCACCCACTAACACTAGCATGTATGAAGTCATATTGCTAGATACCCGGGCTTAATATACTCTGCTGGAATGCCCGCAAAACAGTTGCGTACACTCCGTTACGTCGTAGTAGTAGGCTGGAAGTCCCGCATGGTACTGCTGGGTAGTTGCCCAATTGGGTAGTAATTGGAGACTAGCTTGAGCCACTCCAAATTTGGCATCGCTTGTTGCTGGGTGGTGCTTCAGGTGCCTGGGCTAATCCTATCCATACAGACCCAGGCCCGGCTTCCAGTTCCCCTCCCCCCACCCACCGACGCCTTCAGAATGAGAGGTATGAAGGGAATGATTCATTGCCGAAAGAGTTTGCCCTTTTTGACGCATAGGTAACTAACAAGACTGACCGGTTTGGCCCAAGACCAAAACAAGCCGTCAAGGTTGGTAGGTATACCTCCGTACATACGGCTTTAGTTGCCACCTGGTTTTGGGGCAAGATTAGTTGCTCACTGGCTGCCATACGAGTGCGAGCCGCAGGAAACCCCAATGGGGAAATGCCTGGTTTGTAGTCCCGAGAGTGAGTGACTGTGTGCGTATGTGTGTGTGTGTGTGTGTGTGTGTGTGTGTGTGTGTGTGTGTGTGCTGTACAAGATGTTGGGCTGGTGTTTGAGATGAGATTTCGAAGCAGCTGGATTGGTCCGCCCAGTCCTGTGACTTGGTCAGCATTTGGCCTGCGAGGTGAGCGCAACAGCAGCCCAACAACGCCGACAACGTGCTTGGCAATTTTCGAGGCTCACGAGAAGATTGCAGGCTGGCAATCCATGCATGCCCGTTCTGTATGTCATTTCTTGGAATCTCATCCCAATCTCAGCCTGGCTGGCACACGCCAGCTCCGCCATGATCGCAGAGGCACAGTCATCCACGCCAGTCAGCCTCGACATAGGAAGTAGTGTCGTGGCACAGACTGCTTACCTGGTGGGTCGGGATGACCGACGGGGCGATCAGCTCATAATAGTCGCCAAAAGATAGAGGGAGGGTTGAAGGGAGATAGTCTTTAACTCAAAAAGCAAAATATTTGCCAGTACCTCGCAAACCAGGTACCAATTTCTCTTCCCAATACAGTTATGTCTTTCTAAAACCCAAGACAGGCACGCTTCATGAACCAAGGAGGTCACCATCTCGGTGAGGCGGAGGCGAGGCGGGAGGCGTCTGTCGATCGTCGCTAGAGGCTGCTTACCAGTTGGCAGCAGCCTTACCTTACGGCGCAACGATCAGCCGCTGCAAACCAGAACATACTTTTTCTCCTAGCTGCAAATGCCGCCCGCCGGCGATCAACAATAAGGTAACTTCCACCGTCTTGGATGCGGGCCCGATTGCCTCCTAGTGTACGCTGTAGAGAGAGGAAGATCGGCCTTGGAGAGACGGTCCGTCTCTGCTTAGCTCCTCTGGCTGGCCGGCTAGGGAGACGAGACAAGCCGAAACCTACCTTAAGATATCGTCATAATACCTAGTAACGCGGTCCATTCTCCACTGGCTTTTGCCTGTACGTTTTACGTTTTACGAGGTGTTCTTCACGGCCACTTCCACTTCCCTCTCCGTTGTAGGCCTACTTATAGGCACCCTGTCCAGGTCCCTCTCGGTGCGACGCCTGAAAAACAGGAAGGGCGATCTATAATCAACCAGCCAGCCACACCCAGCAGTTACATGCTGGTACATGGCAGTACTCGCCCCGGCCCCCACCATCCACCACCTCCCCCCAAAATGGTTCGCCGAGACCTTCCCGCATCCCTCCCACAGCCCACCAAGGCCTTCCATGAGTGCATTTAAACTTCTGCATCGAGTTCTTCTTCCAAGCATTTTCCAGGTCCATGTCGGGACGAGCGGGAACCTAGCTGTATGTCTGATCAGATCGGCCGGGCGCCGCGGGTTTGGCAACCAATGTTTCTCCGCCATTTCGGATAGGTTTTCACCCATGAAATGGCTCATGTGAACAGACGTGAACTTTTAACTAACTACTAGGACAGGTGGGCGAAGCATCTAGATGGCCACGATCTTGATTATCACTCTTGCTGTCCCTCGACAAGAATGGCAATCACCGACCGCCGTCAATGGTGGATACGTACATGAACCGATGACCCGTTCGGGGGTGGGTAGGACAGACCTACATATACATATACATGCTTGGCCAAGACATCATCAGCAGGAACCAGACGACAAAAGTCCAGTTACCAGAGTGCGTAAGCGAGAAAGCCAGTCATCCCCCATGCACTGACCAAGCCGGTCTGGCCATTCCCATCTCTTCACTGGCCCTCCGGCTTCTGCATCGTCTTACACGCTTTCGTTCGGTACTAGTTAGCGTCGTGGGATGTGACCCCATCAGTGCTAAGTTGGGTAGGTAGTCGCACCAAGTGTCAATCCTATCACAACTTGTGCCTGCCTAGGTAGGTAGGTAGGTAGGTAGCTGAGGTGGTCATTTTCTGCCTCGTGTTCTAGAATTTGCAGCGGATCGAACGGCTCTCATCTTCGGCCAGTTTCCATTCTCACGGCCTCAATTCTCCCGTCCTCCCCCGCATTCGCCCAGCATCCCAATATTTCGCATGCGGGGTGCTGAAGTCGAAGGCTAGCGTGCGTTGGACAGCTTCCGGGAAGCTGACTAGCAGATAAAGTAGCAATATGATTTACTAAGACCAGTTACTGGTTCGAGCGGAGGAGTCGGACCTGGACGCCCGCCCCGAATGGCACCCAATGATAATATCCGGGGAGCTGTAGGCTACACTGCGTGTACATACAATCGATTACGCAGCCATATTGAGTATCTATTTACGTATATCGCGGTAGTGCATGTATGGCACAGCACAGTACAGTATAGTACAAATAGCGTACTATCTACCCTATGGGAATGCCCGCCGAGTGTGGGGATCTCTTCTCGACAATGGTCAAATGGTCAACCTTCAGAAGGAATGGCTCGTCGTCTTTTTCGCCCTCCGCTCTTCGCTCCCCTCCCTCGCTTTATTTGTATTGAATTCTGGCAGAGTTGCCAATCCCTTATTACCAGGTCGCGGGAGCAGGTCGCGGGAGCAGGTCCCGCCCCTCCATCCCCTCCCTCGCCTTCCGCCCTCCCGATCCTCCGTCATCGCCAGAGACTGTGGGGGGGTTCATTTGTATAAATAAGAGCACACACTAGTTTGGTTTAGCAATCCGGGCGCAGATTTACTAAATGAACGTGGGGTTCGGCTGGACCAGCTCTTGCGGGAAACCCCAGCCATCCGTTTTCCTTTTTTTTTATGCCGGGAAATCCATCCACCTGAAACAGGTGATCTGAGCCTTTGAGGATCCAAAAAGTTCAGACGGCCAAAGCACCGGAAGCCAACCGATATCTCTCCAACGAGTTTCAGGTACGAGAAAATCTTGACCCGAATGGCTCGAATTTGACCTCAATCCGGCTCTTCTAAAATTCGCCCATTCGCCCCAACCCCTGTGATCGTCAACGAACCTGATACTAGCAAAAACCTTGTTTTGGTCACCCTGATTCCACAACGGATTGCATCGTCCGCCCCTGCTCCTCCATAACGGCCCGGCCAAGCCCCGGGAGGAAATGACAGTTTTATCCCAAACTGTTCGCAAACCCGTTTCATCTAGAAAGCCCAAAACATTGTCGGGCAAGGCGAGGCAAGTCATCACCATCCACTGCCATGTAGACCTGGCAAGCGGTGTTATTAAAAAGTGGTGCATAGGCTACACCACTTACTAATAGTAATAAAATATTCACTAACAAATTCTAGTGGTCTGGCCTCAATCAGGTGTTAAGGAGTAACGCAGGCTAGTTAGTAAGAGGTGTACCACGTACACCACTTTTTGATAACACCGCTTGCCTGGATAGGGGAGTGTGAATCATGATTGGGTGATCGGGTTTCCCCCTTTTCACGATACTTGTGCCCTTGTGTTGCACGAGGCGCCTCGAATATAATACAATACTACCTACAGAGACGCGGGCGTGGAAACAAAGGGCGATTTTGTGCTTCCACTGCTTCAAAGCATTTGTCTCTAGTGGTTGAACTAAAACAGCTCTACCAACACGGGAGTAACAAATAAAGGATACAAAACTGCGCTCAGCCGGTTGATTGTAAGCCTGGGAGTAAATAAACTTCTATGTCCATCAAAGATCGAGGACATCAAACGACAGTATTGACAATGATGGAAGCAGTGGGCATGAGAAAAGAAATGGAAAAGGGTGCATAAACTGAGTCGATTGCTCAGCGCCTCTTCTACCAAATATCTTGATTTAGCTTGCTGATAGGCAGACAAGCAATACACTCAGGCAAACCTGGAAGGCCTCGCTTCCTGTTCGGGTAGATATAATGCTGATAAAATTGTCCAACAGCCAGCAATTCCCTTACGTATAGAGAACCCGGGCTGCACCTCACTAGCCTCCATCGCCGACTCCATACAATAAGGTCCAAGATGTCTCGTAGACCTGGGTCATCAATCCCTCCCCCTGAGAACCAGTCTAGCAATCGCCGGAGTGAAGGCCTCGGTCTGGGCAGCGGCCAATATTTTGAGTGGCCATTTGTGTTCGCAACCCAAGCCGGCAAAGATCCGATTCCAAAGTATTCCCACCGCTCTGAATGGAACAATTGCTGCGCAGCGCGCCCGGCCTGGCTCCCAAAAGATAAGCCATCTTCCCGTGCCAACCGCGCGGTCGACGGGCGCGGCCCCGGGCCGAGAAAGCCGGAAAGCAACTCGACCGCCACGCAGCGACCGGATATGGTTGTGGAGCTAGCCCTCCACGGCCTGCACAAGGCCCTGTGCAGCGCTCTCGTGCTATTCCAGTCCTACAGCGTGTCCTTCGACGGCAGGGTCCAGCAACTGGCAGGCTGGGCAGATGACTCCTCATTAGACCTGCTGTGGCGCAACATGATCGCAGACATGTTCCGGAAGAAGGGCGAGATGGAGAAGTTCAACGACGGGGGCGAGAAGATCAGCGCTAGCCTCGAGGCCGTGAGACAAGCCGCCAAAGGAGAGCATGCTACGAAGACGTATAAGCAGCATCACAGTCTCGAGCGCCGGCTGCGGGCTGCCCACAAGGCGGTAGCCCACTGCGAGGCCATCGTCAAGCTAGCGGAGCGAGTCGAGAACGAGAGGATGGCGGGCATATTCGTCATCGAGGAGATAATGGATGCCGTAGCCATGTTGGATCCAAAGACGCATCCTCAGCTCTATGGCGATGAGGATGAGAACAAAGGGAAGGGAAGCGAGCAAGCCAGAGCGCAGGACTATGGCAACGAGCCTTCCGTCTGGAATGGGTCCAGTGCCAATCCCCCACAGGATGAGAACGAGAACGGTTCATGGGGCGATGGTAACCAGGACCAGTAATTGTATCTGAGAGAGGCCAGTCATCAAAGTTGGTCACTCAGCTCAGGGTGTGACGAGAGGGATAGGCTGCCAGGCAGAAGTTGTTAGCAGTATCGTTTTCCCGGGCTGTTGATGAATGACAGATAAAACCACTGGCCCAAGAGATGAATAGAAAACCCTCCACTGATCGTCAGGGACAGAACACTCCCATACCGTATTCGAGTGATTCGTACTTGTACAAGCGGTTCGCAAGGCCTCCCTCAAGCTTGTTTTCTAACAGCCAAGATCGGCATGTCGTTTGCTACTAGCCTGCGACTGTCACGCAGACTGTTGCTTACTATTCCCCCAGATCAGACGATGCTGAATATCCTCCCACCAATCGCCCTATATATAGTTTCGCACATGCTCGGGCTGCCCGGTGTTCTTGCAGATGTCTTTGTCACACCATGCCCTAGCAGACAGACTCAGGAACCCATCCATCACAAAGCAAGCGGCTGCTGCAAAACAAATGACATGCAGAACATGAACGGGACACCAAAGAGATGATTTATCTGCAGTTTACAACGATGTACGTTGAGCAGTGGAGGCTCCCCTCCCTAGGTCAAAGTAGGCATGTCATGAAAAGAATTGAGGCTCTGGCTCGGCACCTAGCCTGGCACCATCCATCCACCCAATCAGATGAGGCCAAATTCCAGAGATCGTCAGGGACGTGCACAGATCCAAGATCCTCCTATCTTTTTTTATTTTTTATTTTTTATATTTTTTTTTTTGCCCCTCCAATACGGAGACGACGAGAACGCCGACACAACCACTAACAATGCCCCATTAAGCCCAGGCTGCCCAGACCGCCAAGTTCAGCCATGGTTTCCCAAGCAATACGTCACATCAATAGGTGAGAGGGCGAAGCAATCTCTGCCTTACTTTCCACAATCTCCTCTTGTCTAGCGACCACTCTTTGCTTTCGTCGGAGTGTGCAGATCTCATCTTCACCTCTCTCCTTTGCTTGAGGATCCCGCACTATACGGCGCGATGTCGTGCTCTCCCGAGGGGTTCCCAATGATATGGCAGAAGCCTGCCTTCCACGAGATTCTTGACTGCCTCGAGAAGCATCGAGTTGATCCCCCTGTCTGGAACCTCAAAGCCTCCCGCGCCGAGATCCTTACAGAACGAGACACCACTGTTCAAGATCGCCGGGAGATTGTCTCGTACTTGTCTTCCGTTATCAGCAGCAACCTTGGTTGGATCGAGGATGAGGATCAGAGGGAGCAGTTGTGGACCGAGGCTAGCAGGCGGCTGGCTGAGAGATGTGGTAGATCAGGTAGGCTGGAAGCGATGCTGCCCCCAACGATGGCATCCTATGAGCTAACTCCTAGTTAGCTATGGGCGAGATCACTCGAAGGTGGCCGTTTGGGGGCCATGAGGGTGACGAGCCCCGCTCTTCTTTCGAACTCACCCTCCGAGAACCGTCCCTGAGCGGGGACTCCCTCGGCTTGAAGACATGGGCCTCGTCGTACGTTCTCAGCCGACTTCTACCACGCTTCGCGGCGACGTCCTTGTCACACCTTCTCTCTCCGGCACCGCTGCCAGGGTTGTCTGTTCTCGAACTGGGGTCTGGTACTGGCCTCCTAGGCCTGGCAGCGGCTTGCACATGGCGGACCGCCGTCGTTCTAACGGACCTCCCTGAAATCGTCCCGAATTTGATCCATAATGTGGAGCTTAACCGTTCGACTTTCCAGCCTCTTGGGGGCGAGATCGAGGCCGGGAGTCTGACCTGGGGAGGACTGAAAGAGGAGAGCGATGCAAGGTTCCACTGTCTGAACAAATTCAAGGTCAGGAGCCCCCAACACCAGGGAGTTAGAGGCCGACTAACTTTATTCTCTAGATCGTCCTTGCCGCGGACCCCCTTTACGATTACGATCATCCCGGGCTCCTCGCTGGGGCCATTCATAGCCAGTTATCGCTGGATGAGGATGCCAGGGCGCTGGTCATGGTAGCCCAGAGAGACGAGACCACACATCGCCTCCTATCGTCCTTCAGGGACGAGATGTCTCGGCACCAGTACCCACTTGTCTGTATCGAGGAGAACATCGCCCACGGCCAGGACGACTGGGATCAGGATGATGAGAGCGGACAGGTAGAGTGTTGGTGGGGGTTGTTTAAGAGACAGTATCCCGTGCATTCCTGACGGCAGGAGGGTTTGCCCTTCAAACGGTGTTTTCGCCAACTTGTTCTGCATTTACCATAGACGCTGCGACCAGCATGCCATATCTCTCACGGGCCGTATATAGAGGCATCATCTAGGATTTGGGGGATCGGACTCGCAGACCTAGACATATATGATGGGCAAAATAGACAGCACTAGCCACGCATTGATCTATATGTTCCAACCACTCGACATGCTAAGTGACCGGCTCAGGGGATACTGCCCATTATCAAGAAGAGCTCGCTTTGACTCAAGTCCTTCAAGGAGGCTTTGTTTGTCGTGGCAGTTGCAGATATCGACTCTCAAGGTCCAGGGAGATGACAGCTTGCAGGGAGGTAGGTCGATATCGAGACCTGGAGAGCTAGCCCATGTATATATATATATATCCATGCTAGACAACCAATGCATCATGATGGACGGTGTCGGCGACTTGAAGCAAGCTGGACCTGAAGTATCTCCTGGTCAGAAAGGAATAACTTTAACACAGAGGGGAGAGCCATAGATTGACTCCCCTCGGCGCCCCCTCTGCGTACTCACCATAGGGAAGCCCTTTCTAGAAAAGGGGGTGATGACGTTTGGTAACAGTCAAGAGGAGCAGTGCCGAGTCAGAGGGCAAACAAACAGGGGCAGGAGACTAGTTGCCCACTGCCCGGCAAGGCAGGTGGTAGGAAGTCAAAACTTGTCGTTATCTTCATGTCAGTGGTGGGTGGTCAGGGGGAGTCCTAGCTGGAGAAACGGAAGAAAGAGGGTGCAAAGCCCCATAAATACTTGGCTATCTATGGCACTCACTATCGCCGTGCTTACATGGCCAGAATCTTGGGATGATGACCATCTCTATGGGGGTTTTCCTTCTTCAGAAAATATATCCATGATGACATATCCCACATCTAGGCCCTCGAGGCGAGCCCCATGAAGCCACAACAACAATGACTAGGCGAATACAGTGAATACATGTAGAGTGTATCCCCTCTGGGAACCCCATTCACTTTGTGCCATTTTTCACTTTGACCTCACCCTATTGTCCTGTTAGTGGGTCTCTCCGCCGAGTACGCGTCGTACACAACAATGGTTGATACCTATTCACTTGCCCCTGACCTACCCATAGTACCTGACTACATTCACTGGCGATATACTTCTGGGCTCGTTCTCGCCCTCTTCCCTGTCACAGTCCCGTACCTTTCTCCATAAATACCTCTTACATGTACCTCGGGCAGATTTTCCCTTCCTACCTCCTCACATAACTACCACACTTCTCCCTCGACCAGACCCTTGTGCGAATTTTCACGCGTCTCCGAATAACCTCGTTCTGCCCGACATCAAACATCGGTTGATATTCCTCGATCTTTCTCGACTACCATCACTCGGCGTAGAGTCGAGATCGCGTCCTCACGGCAATATTTATCTTCACCTTTCTCTCCCACCCACCTCCGCCACCTCCAACCCGCCACCATGGTGCAGCCTCGCCGCTACACCAGGGAGCAGATCCTCTTCGTCCTCCGCCGCGTGGGGCAGAGGAGGAGCCCCGTTATAGTACAAGAATATAACGCGCGCTACGCTCGGGAAGGCAGCCAGATCACTGCCAAGCAGCTCAAGTATATCCGCTTGACATACGGCAGCGACCCGGCCTTCGGGTAAGTGCAAGCTGCTCTTCGTTTCCCTCGGGGTCTTCGTCCTCCATTGCCCTCCTGTCCTCTCCCCTGCCTCTCCCCTGCATTCTCCCATCTCCCTGCCCTCTCCCTTCTCCCCTGACTCTCCCCTGCCCGCGGTCCTCCGCTTGGCCCCAGTCCCCCGCTGCCCTCTTTCTCCGCCGCATCCTTCCTCCACTGCCCTCTCCATTGCTATACTCCCTCCACTGCCCTCTCCATAGCTATACTCCCTCCGCTGCCCTCTCCATTGCTCTACCCTCCACTGCATCTCCTTCACCCATTGCACACTCCCTCGCCCCTTGCCTCCCCCCTAGTACCCTGACTACCCCGTAAGTACCAAAAGGTCCCCAACTGACCGGTGCTCCGTAATCTCCTAGCGCCCCTCTCTACAACCAAGTCCGCAGGGCGAGCAATCGTCCTGCGGCACAATCTAACCCTCCGGCGCCTGCGGGGCCGGTGACGAGGGAGGCTGAGCCGACCCTCAACCGCGAGGCTGGAGGCGGCCCAGCCTACTTTGTCCCGCCCCAGCAGGTGGCTACCGAACCATACGGGAGCCAGCTGCAGCGTCTCGGAGAGGGTTATACCTACTCTGAGCCGCCAAGCTGGGAGAGTTTCGTTGTGCGTCCGGAGGAGGACGCTTTCGATTTTAATTCTCCCTTGGCTCCGAGCTCGCTCGGTAGTCGACAGGGCATCGAACCTGGCTTGGACGCAGCTGGTTCGAGCAGTGCGGGTCCTCGTCGGGACGGAGAGGGAGAGTGGGCATCCGAGGCCCACGGCGAGTGCCCAATCATGGGGACTCACCGTCATGAACCGGATGGGGGAATTTACTTCCCCAACTTGGCCACGGTCTTAGACACGTGGCAGCTTATGGATTTGGTCACCCGCGACGGGGCCGCCCCGTTCGCCCTTGAAGGCGCAGAGCCGGGCAACGCGGGCGATCGCCTCTTCGCTGGTGCTGGTCCATTTGCCAGCGAGGGTTACGCTCCCAGTACGGGAGCTGCCCTTCCCACTCTCCCCCCCGGTCCTGCCCCCAGCACGCCCGTATGGTACGGAGCTACAGCCGGTAGGTCTCTCTTCCCCGCCGAACACCCTCTAACCCCGGTCGAGCCGGCCCCCCTCGACCCCAGCTTCGCCGACCTAGTCGGTGGTAATGACGACACGGCGCCTCCTCGCGGAGCCGCCCACCAGGAACCAACCGGGTTCCAAGGTCCGCCTCCGGTCGACTTCAATTTCGACGTCGACGTCCCGGTCCCCGAGTTCGACGGGATGGCTGCTGCCCTCGCTCTCGCCCCTGTCGCCCCTGTCGCTGCCGCCGCCGCCGCGCCGCCCGCCATCGCCTCTCCCCGGCCTTTTACCTCTCCTTCTGCCGCGTCGCTCGCCCGTGCCGACCTCGACTCCGCTGTCGCCGCGCCCGCCCTCGCTCCTGTCGGTGCCGCCGCCGCAGCCGCAGACGACGACGACGACGATGACGATGACGCCACCATCTCTCCTCTGCGGACGTATCTCTCGCCCCCGGCCGCCTCTCTCGCCCGCGCCGCCCCTTCCCGCGACGCCAGCACTCCCAGCCAGGGAGGGGAGGAGCTGTGACCTCCCATCAGCCGGAAGAACCCCGGGGCTCTTGTTTCTGCCTGCCGACTTCGGTAAGTAAAATCACCCACCCACCCATTCATTCACCATCCCTTCCAAAAGAACAAGAATGAATCAATCTAACATCTTGAAAGAACTTTAATTTTTAATGACGTAATTCGTCTGATCTATGGGACGAATCAGAAGAGACGAAGGACATGGCAGAGGGCTGGGACGAAGAAGGGCTGAGTGAAGGGAGCATGGATAGCTGCCCAGAACAGTGAGTAACCCACCTACCCCGACAACCCCTTTTTCATTTTTTGTTGTCTTGCCTGCAACTCCCCTTTCCCTCCTTCATCAATTAGAAAGCTGACAATCCTTCTCACTCCAGGCACATCGACTTTTGGGATTTTCTTTTGTCCAGCAGGGAGTTTTAAGGGATTTTTCAGGGAGTTTAGGAGAGGGGTTCACCGTGACAGACACTGTCACTAGGTGGTTTTGTTTTGATGCGCAGACGGAGAGAAAAGGGGCTGGCTCCATAATTAATTGACCGGACGTGTTCGCATCGCACAAATTCGGCGTTGGTGACACATGACGCACATATCGCTCGCAGCCGCTCCCTTTCTACATGCATGTGCATGCTTGTGGCATCTACAAAAGCTGTCGCTCAGGTCCACGAAATTCTGCAAGTCCAAATCGATAGCTGATCCTCTACTTCGATACTTCTTGAGAGGGGGGGCGACGGCGACACTTTCCAAAACGCAAAGCGGAGAGTATCTGGAGTCAGGAATTGCGGACTGTCCAGTGAGTTATTGCTAAAACATTCAGGCCAGTTACACATATATAAGCGCCATGGAACATATAAAGAAGGTGCTGAGTACCACCTATCCACCAAGGTTGCTAAGGAGATGGCACGCATGTAATACCCAACTCCCCCCAGAGACCATGATTTCACAATACCTGGCTCTCTACCACCCCTGCTGCCCCCCGTCTCTTCTAGTAACAGCAAAGCGTCTCTCATCATACCAAAGTCGGTAAATGTAGGTAGGTATATAGTAAGCACGATTGTGATATTTCTTCCCACTCAGATAGCGAAGGGACGGAAGGAGTTTCCATGATCCAAAGCTGCAAAAACGTCATACTTCAGCGCCACGACCAAAAAAATCCATCCAGAAAGGGTATCTAAGCGTTGTAACAAACTGATAGGCGAGCGAATGGTGGTGAGAGCAACGTATCCCCACCGGCGTCATTGGATCCAAACGTTGGGCGGACACAAGAAAAACGCAGAAAAACGCTTATAATAGATAGTGTGATATATGTTGTGGTTGACGCAGCTTCGTTGTAAGTTCAGTCCCGTTAATCAGGGGAAGCATGCTCGACTAGGTGGGAAATCGAGGCCACTAGGGACGACGCCGAAGGCCATTCCAAAGGCGGCCGAGAGTCGATTAGACAGCAATGGTGACGTTCTTCCTCGTCTCGGCATCCTCGACTTGGAAGCCGAACACGAGCTTGAACAGGTCCCTCAGGAATGCGTACTGGCTGGTGCGGAGCGTCATCCACACCACGCTCTTCGCCACGTCGGCGGCGTTGATGCGCTTCCCCCGCACTGGCAGTGTGGCCGATGTGCGGAAGGTCGAGTCTGCAAGCACCAGGCTCTTGTAGTTCTGCAGGAGCGTGGCGTGGCTCGGAAGGGAGCCAAAGGACCCCGTAGGCAGGCTCTTGACAAAGGTCTGTAGTGAGGTGGCGCCTCCTAGCCCGTCGGACGCAGCTGTATCCCGGCTGAAGCCGATATTCATGGCCGCCTTCAGGATCAGGACCTTGATGCGGGTCATGTTGACGTCTTCAGATGGGGCCGTCGTTGTCGCCGTGCTGGAAGTCTTGGCGCTGCTCTGCGAATAACCCGACAGATTCGACGCGCTGCTTGACCAGCGGCCACCGGACTGGCTCCGCATCTCGGGGTGTGTCCCTAGGACGAGTATATTCGGCACCTGTGGGCTCGAACTTGGGGAGATGGGTGTGTCCTCGAACTCGGTCACCGGCGTCTCAGGGATGATTGCTTGTGCCTTTCGGGGTCTATCGGCATCGGATAGGCCCCGGAGACTGTCTCGTTTCGAGTGAAGAGACGACCGGCTCCCTGCGTTTGACCGAGCGTCGGAAACGATGCCGAAGCCTCCATTAAAGGTTACTTGGCTTGGTCTTGGTGTGCCCCTATCTGGCCTGACTTGAGTCCAGCCCTCCCTGAAGATGTCGCAGAGATCCCAGCACGCCTGCACGGCTGAGCCCAGAAGCTCCTCGTCCGGGGCCTTGCCGTCTCTCCTGTTCTGCCGTAAGCTGAACAGCATCTCGGCGAGTGTCCAGCAAGCGCGCAGAAGCGAGTCCGTCTCTTCGGCCAAGTCGCTGCGCTGCTTCATCAATCGATGGCATAGTGTGATGTAGAAGTCGAGGGTCCTCTCCCGGAACGCCTCGGGGAGATTTCGGCTGTCCTGGGCACTGTATAAACTGCGAAGCACTGTCAGCAATCTTGGGTGCAACACCGTACTCTTTTTTTCTTCTGTTGACATACTGGTTGTTTAGCTCAAAGCTGACTCGCAGGACGGAATCAGCGACATCGTGATTCCGCTGGCGAACGTCAAATAGGGCGTGGCAGAAATCCCGGCACAGATCAAGATTCGTACGGACGTGGAAGGACTCGGAGCTGTCGTCCTGGCTGTTGTAGAGTCTCTTGCAGAGTTTCCAACAGCTCTTCCAGGCCTTCTCGTGGGCATCCGGAGTCCCTGAGCTGTTGAAAACCCGTACGCGGTGGATAGAGCTCAGACTTGCAAGGGTGTTGCAGAGCGTCCAGCATTCCTCTAGGGCCGTTCTAAGGGCCTTGATCTCGGCATCGTCTTCTATAAAGCCTGGCGAGGTGAGTTCCTCGTCTTCGGCCGCATCCTCATCATCTTCTTCAAGTTCGCCTTCTCTGCTTTCGGGTATCACTTGAACGGTCATTAGCCTAGTCCCATTCCATGTCAGTGGCAGGTGTGATGCCCACATTCAAGACTGCTTGCGCTGCTGGACCGCATCCTCGATGGGTCGCTCAGAATGTCTTGTAGGTTCTGGGCCAGCGGCGTTGCGGATTCAATGCTGAACCTGACGGGGTGTACGTCCGTTTCAATCGGAGGCGGCTCTCTGCTAGGAGGTGACTTAGCCTGCAAGACGTTAGAAGTTTGCTGGCGAGTGTGGTTGAGGGTGGGAAACTCGCCCTAGAAGAGTTCTCACTGGGCGGAGGGCTGATTTTGCCCCTAACTGTGCCATCCACACTCGGTTCCGTACTGGAGGCCGTGCCCCTGGACTGGGTGTCGTGAGACTTCTGGCATCCGTTAGCCTTGATTCACAAACTGCTTGGAGCCCATTGTCACCAGTACCCAGTTCTGGAAGCTCTGCGGAGCGTGGATCACAGAGATGACCTCTTCACTCAGGCTTTTACGGACATGGTCGGGGATGTTGGTCCGTAGCATCATGCGCTGTGGGCAGTCAGTATCAGGGATGGACCCAGGGAGGGGTTGAGGGCGGGAGAGCGGAGGGGCAGGTTTGGAGACGTACATGAGTTTGGGGAGCCGGGCTATCGTCTTGTTGAGCGGTCTCCTCCTGGAATTCATCCTCGATCTCAGTCGTCTCCGTACCGTTCGAGGTGACAGGGGATGGACCGACGAGGTCACTGCCTGGGCTCATGAGGTGGGAAGACTGAGGTCTTATAGGCCAACTGGGGCGGAGAGACTGGCTATCGGAGCCACTGGCTGACCTAGGACGATATGTCAATGGCTGGACCCAGCATTGTCTGCTTCCGGGTGGGAAGACACTACATACATGGCAATATATTGAGGGTGGATTGCAGGGGAGTCGGGTGACGGGATAGACATATCCCCAAGCGGGGAATACGACGATATAATGCTTCCGGTGGACGACCTCAATGGAGCCTCGAGCGCCATGGCTCACCCAACCGCGTACCGAAGATGTCGAGGTACAATCCTTCCAGATCAGGAGCCCCTCAACTCACGCCTTGATATAACAGAGGATCGGTAGCTAGATCGGCGGCAGAGCCCTGCCACGGTCGTGAAGGAGGGTGGGGGGGCGTTGGCAGCTTGACGAGGTTGCAGGTGGGAGAAGAAGCGCGATTAGTCGCAAACCGTTTGGGCTGATGTGTTGGTACGACAGCCAGGATCGGGAAGGTGGTCGTTCGGTAGCAAAAGTGGTCGCAGAGGTGCAGAAGTCTCAGGAACGATGGTCTCTCGAGGAGCGGAACGGTAGGGAGGGTAGGAGGGGTAGGAGTAGTCCCCACAAAGCACTATTAGATGATCAAGGATGCCGATCCGGCGGCTGCGACTGTTGGGTCTAACAGACGCGAGGTTGCCTGCAAAGACGGGGATGAAGCCAGCAGCACAATCCGCAGACAGGGCCAAGTTCCCGCGCGAAGCCTCACCAATTGGGCTGAAGTGGGCCGACGTTGTGATATCGGAGCTCGCAACCAGAACGGGGATTGAGGAGTTAATTAGTTAAGAAAGATGATTATCGAGACAATAAGGCGCCCTGTGTGTTTGCGCTGGCCTGCACCGGTCCTGACTCCTGCGATGTCCGGCTTCCCCTTGGCTGCTGGGAGGTGAAGGTAGGCAGACAGACTTCCGTAGATTGTTGTTGTCTGCAACTTGGATGAATGGACAAGGAAGGAAAGTGCGGCAGAGCTCCACCACGCTCCAGGCCGTCGAGGGGTCAATTGAACCCACTGGCGCCCGGCGTCTATGATAAAGCGGGAAACGGGACAAGGACACTACACCCAGTACGGTTACAAAACAGGCTACCTAGGTACCTCAGTGCCATTGAAAGCTGTAATAGAATCCTTCGCCTAGTAGCAGCAGCTCGTTATTTGCGAAGAAGTGGGCGATCGCTGCATCTCATCCGTTAGGAAGGTACACCTTGATTGCTGCGTACAGGTCAGTTTTAAAGGGGGATTCGGGCTGAACAGGGGAGACACGCTTGGGTACCAGGCTAAGGTGCTCATGTGGGGTGGTAGCTGCGCGTGTTTTCCTCCCACCACATCTGGTTCCAAAGCTGACCAGTAAGAAGAAAGCATAGGGCAAATTGTCGACCGGGCTGCATGAGGATGACAGGCTTCGGCGCTTAGAAGATGTGGTACACAACACCAAGCTGGGTCGCCCAATCCTGGTCAATTCCCAAGTCCCAGTGGCCCTAGGTAGCCTGCCTTTGTCGCAACTTATGGTCTCTCTTGATTCCTGCCCGAAACTAGTTTGGGAAAGGGATGCGGCCAGGGACTGACCGCGTTACACAGATCGAGAGAAGCTTCGGAAGCCGAACTTGTGGCGGTCAGCTTGCCGTCCCAAGGCTGCTGCATTTGGCCAAGTTTTTGAAGGAAGCGAGGTCGAGGATATGTACCTCTGCATGCATGGTCCATCCTCAACCGAAAATCGATTGGGCGACGATGGACTTCCTCACGACGTTCAAATGGTGCAAGCCCATGCGGCGGGCGGGGCCACAGTCCATCCGACTCAAGACTGAGACCCCAGGTAATCCGTAATCAGGGAATAATCAAGAAGTTGTCCATGTGTTGCTTGTTGGAACTTTTTGCGACTACGCAGTAGCGCACAGATACGACTTACGGAATACACGTGCTGGTCCCCACTTTTACAATGATCCGGCCCACTAGCGAAGGACCCACTGTCCTATCAGAGACCTTCTTGTGGCGCGGTCAGTACCCGACGATCTGGTCCCGCGACATTTATTTTGGAGCCGGCGGCCACTCGGGCGATCGCACCGTCAGTCACATTTGTGCTTATACAGTTCTAAAAGAGAAGACCCGAGCTTGGGAAGCCAAGAAAACTCTCGGTAAATCACGCAACGTCGCGGTTGCCTGTCGAGCTGAAAGGGGGGAACGGGGAGATCCTGGCTTCCCTCGTCTGCCTGGTGGGGGGCCTCCTGATAAGCACTAATTACATGTAGGTAGTTTTGGACTCTTGATGTGTTGGAGCCTCGTCCTGGAGAAGCGAAAAGTGGTGGAGGATCTGCCGCAGTAGGATTTAAAGGCTTGAGCTCGTGAGACGGGTCTCCCGGGACCATTAGTTTTAGCCTTTTGCTTGAATCGTTGACCAACAGCTAACCCATGCCACAGCATGTCTGCATTGCCTGGACCTTTTCTGCAACCGTACAGGCTCGGCTCTCCAGCTTTCACTCTTGGGTCAAAGCTCCACCTAAGCTCTCTTGTCATTGTGGACCACCTGTCCGCTGGCGAAGCGACTGACAAGAAATCATTAGACGCGCTGGACTGCAGTGCATATCGCCCACCGGCAAGCGATGCTGTACAACCAGCGTGAAAGGTGGCTGGCACGAGGTGACCGAAGCAGCGAGTCGGGATTGCTTTAGCAGGCGCTTAGGAGTCATGATATCCACATTGCAGGGAACCGCTTCCTGCATGCGCAATGGGTGGCTTGATATTAGTGCCTGTTGGATCTGGCAGTTTTGGCGGGCACTTGACGCGAACCAACATCATTCATACAAAGCTCCATCCTGCTGATCCGTTAATCCATGCATTGTTTGCTTTTCTCGAACCCCGAGTCCATGGTTGCAAGGTGGACTGTTGGTTCGGTTCTAGCGGCCAAGCCCTTTGCACAGGGACACGTCGTCTAGTGTCGAGGATCGAGCCCACATGGCTCTCGGATGCGGCATAGGTCTACGTTTATTGAATAATTGGATCAACTATCCAAGCTAGATACACCGCATCCATGACATGCCTCGGGCTGCAACTCCCTCATCCCGGTGCGAGGATTTGTTTCGGCAATACAAGCCATGAGCCACAATGGAAGATGCCGACTCGGCAAACAACCTCTGGGAATATAATGGGGAGACGGAACCCAAAAGGGTGGAAGCATTCGGCGCAGTTGGCGCGGCCATGATGCAGGCACAAGCCACGCCACATTTACTGATCGTAACATCTTGCATACCTGCAGCGTCAGCTGACAGTCGAGTTTTTTTTGTTTGGCGAGGCGAGGTAGATTTATCCCCCCAGAGCGAGCCAGCCATCCAGAAGTGTCCCAGTAAGGTCGACATTGCCTGCGACTTGACAAATACCCCAACGTATACCTCTAATCCGGCACCAGTCTCGTGAACGCCATGCCCACTCAATGCGTTCAACGCCCATAACGCCGTGTAAATGCCCACAATGACTCTCCGAGCCTGCTTCTCGAAAGCTCAAGGATGAAGGGCAATCTTCTTCTCGTTGCGTCCATCGGGGGTATATCTATTGGGCAAGTTAGTTACCGCACCCGCACCAGCCGAGAGATATAGAAGCCTCTGCAAATCTATACTCCCATGTGGGGATATGGTAAGGTCTTACTTGAGAAGCTTCTCAATAAGGTCAACGTGGGTCATGACCATGCGCCGGCAGCAGTAGCGCTTGAGCCCGAGCTGGTCCATAGCATCACTACCCTGCCGTCAGTTACATATCCATCAGAACCCGACTCAACTCAGGTCAACATACCCATCTTCGACGTTGTTATCGACAAGCCTCAGGTATCTCTCCCAGAGATCTCCTACCACCTAGACGCTCGTCAGTTGTGCTCGAGACCAGAAGGGGTGGTTCCACGCACCTTGCCACAAGAAAAGCACCGGATGGGAATGATCATCTTGACAGTGCCGGCAAATCTTTCTCGAGAGTCGCTGTCTCACTATCCGCTCGGCCTTGGCGCAACTGTTGGAGATGCAGCTTGTTAATCTGTCGTTCGTGCAAAGAAACGTAGAAATGGCTATGCCTTTGACGGGACTGATGCCCGGAAATTTTGGCGGGTGGATAAAGTATCCTCCCGATTCCCTTATCGATAAGGCCTGCGCCCCACCTCTCCGTGGTACGTACCTTGGGCCTCTCAAAAATTTCTATTCGGCCATTGAGACGAGGTCTGATTGTCTGCTTGTCGAAATAGTTGGTGATATGCACAATACACGCTGAGCCGCAGCCAGTCTGAGACCGAATCAATATGGCGCCCAACAGGCCGACTGCCGTAGATGCTGATGCCGCCAAGAAGAGGAAAAGAGACAAGGCCGAGGACCGAGAAGATCGGAAAGCTCGAAAGAAGCACAAGTCCAAATCGAAGTCGCACCTCAATGCTGATCAGGTCGGCGAAGTGCAGCCTGGCAACTCGACTAGCGATAAAGGGCTTGTTCTGGCACAATCCAATGCTAGTCTGAGCGTCCTAGACATGGTTCAAAAGGAAGGCGCACAAGTCGAGGGGTCGTCGGCTTCGTGGAAGGTCTCGAAGCCCATAGGAGGGAGGATGATTGACCTAGATCCCATATTCTCTCCCGATGAAGAGTAAGCCCACCAAAGCCCACCCCCGCGATTCCATTACTGATCCGCCACAGACACCTCATTGTCGCCTATAACACCTCTATCCAAGTCTATTCGACAGCCGATTCTCTTCTTGTTCGCAAAATTCCGCTCTTAGCAACGGATTCCGAGGAGGCAGACAAGTCCCCCGGCGTACAGATCATGTCGATGGCTCTGTCGAAGGCATATTCAAACTTGTCCTGGGTTGCCAGCTCTGATGGCCGCATATGGTGTATCGACTGGACCAACGGCGCTGGGGCGGATAGACCGTTCACGATACAAGCCAAGAAGATCCTTGACATGGCTGTCGACCAGGCGCAAATCGGTCAGACGTTTGAAGACGTTCTCCTTGTTCTAGAGAAGACGTCACACAGTGGTGGGCAGATTGTCGCCTACAATCGCCAGGCTCTGACCTCTGGCAGTGGGAAGCTTCTCCATACCTGCGACGACAGCCCGCACTTGCTGCGATCTGCGGGTAACTCATCGGTTGTTGTTGTAGCGACTAAGAACTCGCTGCATATCGGACTTTCGAAGCATACGGACAAGCATGTCAAAGCCCTTGGCAACTTGCAGTATCAGTTCTACTCGTTTGATGTCGAAGACCAAGTTACCACCCTCGATCTTCGACTCCCCGTACAAAGCCAGAAGCAAAATACCCGAGCTATGGTCGACTTGGCTGTGGGCTGTGCTCGGGGCGCCATTCTCATGTTGACTGATGTTTTGGCCAAATTTCCTACGGGGCCGGGAGCCAAAGAAAGTCGGCGGAAAGGATCGCTACAACCACGAACTCTGCATTGGCATTCCAGAGCCGTGCATAGTGTTAAATGGTCACAGGACGGTAAGCAGTGAGAATCCAGACGTTGGGGCGGAAAGTCACTGACGCTTGTCGAAGGCAACTACTTGATATCTGGTGGCTCTGAGGGTGTTCTGGTCCTTTGGCAGCTGGACACGGGCAGGAAAGACTACCTGCCCCATTTGTCCGCAAGCATCGAGAACATCGTCGTTTCGCCGAAGGGCTCATCGTATGCGGTCCACCTCGACGACAACTCGACCATGGTCCTATCTACGGCCGAGATGGAACCGAGAACCTACGTTTCAGGCGTCCAGGCTTTGTCGTTTAGTGATAAGCAGCCGAAAGATTCCCTGGTCCGCAGGGTATGGCAGGAACCGACCGAGATTTATACCTCCGTACCGGCCGCTACTAGCCCTGCCAATCCTAGCCAGATTCTCATCTCAACCGGCAATGGACAAAAGTCTACCCTGGCCGAGGGCAAGGCCCTTTCGGCCCCCTATCTTCAGATCTTTGATCTCGAATCTTCTCAGAGTGTGGCGAAACAAGCCGTTGCGCGGGCGAACGCAACAGACTCGAGACTCACGGCCAAGGGCTACCCCATCATCGAGCCGACGGTAACCCAAGTTGCTTTTTCGCATAACGGCAAGTGGCTTGCAACAGTAGACGAATGGCAGCCGCCAGAGAGAGATGTAGAGGTCCTCCTCGATGGCTCCAACACCGTCGCTGACCTCTGCCACGAGAGACGTGAGACCTATTTGAAGTTCTGGGAAGTAGGCCAGAGCGGCAGCCCATTCCAGCTGGCTTCGCGGGTCAACGAGGCTCATTATACCACCAAACCCGAAAGCGTCTTCGACCTCGCAAGCGATCCGTCCTCGACACGGTTTGCGACTGTTGGGGGCGATGGCGTCGCGCGCATGTGGTCCCCTAAACTGCGGCAAAGAGATGGGCTCTCGTCTAAGGGACCCGAAGGCGAACACGTGTGGCGCTGGTGCTGTACCCAAGACATCCCCCTCGAGAAACCCATCGACGGCGAGGATGATCCTGTCGGTCTCACGGGTCAGGCCAATCCCAGTGGCGCACTCGACTTCTCGGAAGATGGATCTACCCTCTTCGTTGCTTATGGCACGCCCTCCGAGGCTGTGGTGTACGTTATTGACACAGAGTCTGGAGAAGTCCGCGACCGGCTCTTTGGCATGTTCAGCGGAGATGTGAAAGAGTTGAAGGCGGTCGGATCCTGCCTGATTATGCTCTCGGACGACCTGAACGTCTACAACGTTGTCTCTGACGAACTACACTACGGTATAGGCCTCAGGAAGATGTTCAAGGGACCGTTGCCGTTACTACTCCTTGCTGCCAACCGCCAATCGCAGACTTTCGCCTTGGCGATACCTCTACTGAGATCTAAAGGAGAGAGAGCAAAGGCAGGCACTGTTTCGGAGCTGGTGATTTTCTCCGTCGACGACAACAAGCCGCAGCTGGTACATGCTTTCCCTCATCTCATCACGTCTCTCATACCCGCAGGCTCATCCTCCGGCTTCATCGCTGTTGATTCCGCCGCCCAGATCTATTCCGTAGGCGTCAGAGCCGAGTCAAGCATGCTGGCTCAGCCGCTGGCAGATATCCAGCTGGACAAGGAGGTCTCGGAGGCAAACGAAGCTATTGCGCTGATCGCCGACGGTGAAGAAGAAGAAGAAGAAGAGGCAAGCGACGATGAAATGCAAGATGTCAACGCAAATGAGGGGGTGGAAGACTACGACATCCACCCAGCAGTCATTGCTCCACAGCGACTTGCAGAAATATTCAACGCCGGCCCGGCATTCGCCATGCCTCCCATCGAGGATGTCTTCTACCAGGTTGCTGAGTTGTTGACTTCCAAGCCAGTTGCGACATCTGTAGCCTGAGGTCTATTAAGTGGGAGGAAATTGCAACAGCGGAATGTCCAGCGGGCGCTGACTGTTGTCACGAAAGTTTTGCCCAGGGTCGTTGGATGGGAAAGGAGGATACCTAAGAAAGGGGTTAGCCATTTTCGTGAAGAGAGACTTAGGCCGATGCCACTCTTAGATAGCGGAGCTCATGGTTTCTTAGCTCTCCACAGCTTTCCTAGCCGCGGGGTAACCAGTCCCTAGTCACGCCATATTTTGCTTGGTACCGACATTGGGTAGCCGGTAATCCGTAGAGGAGGGGCAAATGAACTGATTCAATTCCACGACGGTCTCGCGCTGTCCTTTGACCCAAGACTGAACTACCTTTTGTGCTTTTTTACTCTGACAGAGATCTAGCTCTCTGCTCTCCCTTGAAAATGTCGTTCACCTCGATCCCCATCCTGGACCTGGCACTCGCCAAGGATCCGGCCACCAAGCCGGCCTTCCTTTCCGATCTCCGCCACGCGCTCATGGAAGTCGGCTTCCTGTATCTCAAGAACGTAGGGATCCCCGACGAGCTCTTCCAGCAAGTCATCAAGGAGGGCAAGGCATTCTTCGACATCCCAATGGAGGAAAAGTATGACGTAAGCCACATTGAAGAACGAGCTCTTCAGAAGCCAGACAGGTATGCGCATTGAGCGCTAACACCCGGCCGCCATAGATTGAAGGTCGAGATGAAGAACGCGCCGTCCTTCCTCGGCTACAGCCGCCTCTCCGCTGAGGTGACCGCCGGCGCGATCGACCACCGCGAGCAGATCGACCTCTCGACGGAGCACCCGGTCCCGGGACCGGACGCCCCGCGGTACTACAACCTGCTGGCGCCGAATCAGTGGCCGGCCGAGTCGGTGCTGCCGGACTTCCGGCGGGTGTTCACCGAGTACATTCCGCGAATGGGCGAGATATCCATCGGCTTCACGCGGCTGATCGCCGAGGCGATCGAGCTGCCCCCCGACTCGTTCGACAAGTACTTTGACGCGGACCAGCAGCACAAGCTCAAGGTGGTCATGTACCCGGACGTCTCGGACCTGGGCACGGCGGGCAAGGAGGGCAACCAGGGGGTGGGCCCGCACAAGGACAGCATGCTGTCCAGCTACCTGCTGCAGGCGACGGGCCACCGCGGCCTGCAGGTGCAGAACATGCGCGGCGAGTGGATCGACTGCCCGCCCGTCGACGGCACGCTCGTCGTCGCCATCGGCCAGGGGCTCGAGGCGCTGACGCAGGGCGTGTGCGTGAGCACCACGCACAGGGTCCTGTCGCCCGCGGCGGGGCAGGGGCCGAGGTTCTCGATCCCCTTCTTCCAGGGCGTCAGGGGGGATGCCGAGTTCGAGGACCTCGAGACCGTCGGCGTGGGGCAGGTCCCCGAGGCGATCAAGGAGCAGAGGAGGGCCGTCATGGAGCGGAACGGGGGCCGCCTCGACGACGTTGAGTTTACCTTCAGGAAGGGCGGCGTTGCCAAGACCCTGGGCGAGGCTACCCTCCGGAACAGGGTCAAGAGCCACCCGGATGTGGGCGAGAGGTGGTATCCGGACATCTTGGCTGATATCCGGGAGGAACAGGCCAGGGCAAAGAAGGATAGTCAGAGCCCGGGTGTCTCTGCGGCCACGCCCTCCGCCAAGGCGGTTGAGGCACATTGAGACAGACGGCCGTACTAGACGGGAATATATACCTATATATGTATATATATCTGTGCACCCGGGAATGAACAGTGTACCAGCATAATCGCAGATATGATGGCCCATGCCCAGCTGACCAGTCACCCATCGCCGGGGCATTTTCGCGTAGCACGTAGCATTTTTCCGTGGTAGATCAGATCAAGTTCCCGATGTTAATTTCCCTGGAAAAAGAATAAGAGCCCCAAAACAGACGCCTCCGCTGATGCTCTCTCCCTGACACCGCGCCGTTCGTTACTCGTAAGTTCCCGCCCCCATGCCGACTACCTTCCACAACCGAAGCCACCTCGTGCGCTTGTGCAGAGAAGAGACCTGTACGTGGTATTTGTGCGTCGGAAGGCCAACACGGCAGTCGTGGATCACTTCGCCGCCTCGCCCTGGAAGGTCGGGAAGCAGTCCGCCACCGTCTTGCTATGCTTGTTCGAGGCGTGCTCGTTGAGACTGTCCATCCGCGAGTCAGCAAAAGTATCACGGGCAGATTCGATTGAGGGGACGTACGCCTTCTCCCGGCTCGTCCTGAGGAACGTGGCCTTGCAGATCACGCACTGGATGTCCATAGCCGCGACGTTCTACATAAACCGCACCGTCAGCCAGCTTGTTTCCCAGACGCCAAGAAAAGGGGGGGGGCTTGATCGTACGGCCTTAAGCTGCGACTTGGCCGAGCCTTTCGCATCCTTCTGGTTGCGCTCCCGCTTCTGCGCTGCCTTGGCTCCCTGATGGGGTTGTCAGCGTCTCCTGCCTTTTTCCACCGGTCAGGAAGTGGGAACATACGTTACCGCCGCCCATCTTGGATCAAATGACAGAATTTACCGGCAGGAAGTCGTTGTCGAGTTAACCAACGGAGCTGGGACGTGTGGCGCAAAAAAAGAAGTTGGCGATCCTTGGTTGTCGAGGTTTTCTGCCTGGGTGGGGGATGAGAAGGAACTGCGGCGCTTTTTCCCGCCTATTAACGGATCCACCAATCGAAAACGGCACCTTTTTCCAGTTTTTTATTATTCGCAGGGGTCTTGTTGGGGTCTGGGCTCCCTGCAGTTTCCTCATAACGCTAGTACGGCACTACACAGCAGAGGAACCTGTCACTTCTTGGGGAATACACTAACGGAAGTGTGAGCAGTTCGCGGAATTCCCCGATTCAAGCGTATGTACACACCTGTCGGACCCCTAACCGACAGTGGCTGCGGCGTACCCACGTTGTATTCCATTGTATGAAACATTTCTGCGGCCCGAATATTTCGACTGCCGCTCGCCCCCGAGTCGACGCAGCGCCGTTAGCCCGAGAGAGCTGCGAATACGACTTCACCTGGCAGCTCGCCCCCATCCAGACGCGCTTCATTTGCGGAACCTCAAGCCGGCTTTAGAACCGTTACATCAAGTGTCGGTATTGAGATTGGCGCATCTCACAGTTGTCGCTTAGGACACGCTACAGGAAGAGCCGCAATGGCTAATCACTGCATGGCGTCCGCGGATAATATCTCCGAGCAGGAGTTCGCCGGCTTGCTTACCAAGTACGATTCGTGTATCGAGATTATTTCCGAGGAAAAGGGGTGTGAGTGAGACTGGCTAGCCGGCTAGCCCCTGACCCATTCCATTGGCTCCAATCCCATCGTCTCTGACCTTGTCGCAAACAGCAAGAGGGAACGAGAAGACCTTGGCGGACTTGGATAGGTACCGTTATGAGGATGCCACGGCTGCCTTTGGGCGTGCAAAGCCTGAACGGCCAATGGAACTTGACGACGTGAAGACCCTCGTCAGCTGGAAGCTGTAAGTCGAACTGCCACGTTGAGCATCCACCCCCAGTCTCCTGGGCGCAAACGCCTTCCCTGGTGACATTATCGATGCATTTTACTTTACTTTGCTGCTGCCATATGTCACGAGCTCGTCTGACTGCTGTATAGTCGTCATGGGAAGTTTCGGCCGACTTTGATGAAGCTGGTATCATCAAACGACCCCGTCTTTGTGAAAGAGACTGTCCAAAACGCCCTCGACACGTACAAGAAGACGGCAGACGCACCGGCAGCCGTCGATATCTTGACTAAGCTGAAAGGAATTGGGCCAGCTACAGCCTCTCTCCTGCTCGCCGTGCATGATCCCCAGCATGTTATATTCTTCGCTGATGAGGCATACTATTGGCTGTGTTGTGGCGGGAAGAAGGACCCGATCAAGTACAATGCAAAGGAGTACAAAGCCCTCAATGAGCGTACTCGGGCGATCTGCAAGAGGCTTGGAGCCAAGGCAGTGGATGTGGAGCGAGTAGCCTTCGTCATGCTGCGGCAAGAAGATGCAACTGGTCCGCAACAGACCAAGGGTAAGCGCGAAAAAGTGGAATCCGGCGGCGCTATTGAGAAGCCAAAAGCTGGGCCGGCAAAGAGGAAGGTCAATTCCGATGACGCCGAGGGCAAAGCCCCTCTGAGGCGGTCGAAACGGCGGGCGAATGAGGCTTGATTGGGAGACTGAAACCTGGTCAAGGAAAGTGCTCTACTAGAGGTACATGCAGTACGGTACAATCTGGAAGGCCGGAATGATCAGCGATGCATTGTCACAGTCACATGCATTCGGAGGTTATTATCAGCCCTGGGAAACACAAGCCGTGAGACCCTGGTCTGGCATTAGAAAGACCCGGTGCGGACATTGAAATTCGCCTACCCTTGCCGACAATCTCCCTATTGGCCACGGACCAGGCCTCTTCACGCCGACTTCTGGGCCGGCCTTGCGGCCCGCAGGCGCGGGTTCGTCAATGCCATCCCGCCAAGCCAAAATCTCAATTGTCTCTTTTCTGTACACTATCAAGCACCACCCGTGTTGTAGAGTTTTACAGATGGGTGAAGATGACTTGCTGTACATATTCATGTGGGTTATGCCACCTGGGAAGTTCATTAATGTGGCAATATGTGCAACTATTATACATTCGGTGAGGAATACCGTAAGTATGACCCTGCTTCAAAGACGCAGTTCCCTTTTATACGTTTTCATACGCTCCTTATCCCTGGGGCCTCTTCAGGAGATTCCCAACATCGAGCCTTGTACACCTTGTCTCTCTGCACCTTGTCTCTGCACCTTGTCTCCTTCATCTCTCTTATCGACGAAGGATCGATTCCACTTTATTTGCCAAAAGGCCTATCAATATGCTCATAACTCCACCACTCTCCCCACTGGTTGGGGCCAGAGACGTTCCCCAGGTGCGAGATGCGAAGCCGTGTAAGATGGAGTTTTTCTCACGGCATGAGGCCATATCTCTGCAGCCGCGATTCGCTAAGATCAAGAGGGATCTTGTCTCCGGGCACACCTCTGCGATCACCGCATCATGGAAACGGCTGTTGCGGGAGCTGAGGAAGGAGATCGATCTGATATCTTCCAAAGGCTCTGAAGTCATACCCACCATCGACTTCGCAGACATCGATAAATCCGCATGTGCCGAGGACTTCTCCCGCCGCCTTCGGAGGCGGGGCGTTGGCGTCATCCGCAAGGTTGTCCCGCGAGAAACAGCCGTCGCCTGGAAGCAGGAGACCCTCCGCTACCTGTCCGAGAACCCGCACACCAAATCCTCGCCGCCCAACGCCCCCGAACTCTACGAGCTGTACTGGAGCCCCGCCCAGATCAAGGCCCGCGCCCATCCCAACGTCTTCGCCGCCCAGAGGTTCGCCATGAGCCACTGGAAGTCCAGCGACCCGTCCGCCGCCGTGGCGACGCCCTTCCCCGTCGCGTACGCGGACCGGATCCGGATCCGGAGGCCGGGGAATTCCGCGCCGCCGACCTCCGCCCACGCCGGCGGCGGCAGCGTGGAGCGGTGGGAGCCGGACGGGTACGGGCGTGCGGGCACGTACGCCAAGATCTTCGACGGCGAGTGGGAGGAGTACGACCCCTGGGACGGCGCCGCGCGGGTCGGCGTCACCAGCGACCTGTACAACGGCGCGAGCAGCTGCAGCGTGTTCCGCATGTTCGAGGGGTGGCTCGCCATGAGCAGCATCGCGCCCAGGGAGGGGGGTCTGCTGTTCTGCCCGACGCTGCAGGCCGCGACGGCCTACTTCCTTCTCCGGCCCTTCTTCTCGCCAAAGTCGCCGCCCGAGACCGCCGGCCGGGGCTTCCTCGACGCGGCCAACTGGACCCTGGACTCGCCGCAGAACAGCATCCTGCACGGCGCCCTGCCGAGCTACGTGCAGGAGCTCAACGACCAGCTGCACCCGCACCTGCAGCTGGGCCGCAGCCTCGTCCGGGCTCCCGCCCTGCGGCCGGGGGACTACCTCGTCTGGCACCCGGACCTGGCCCACGCCGCCGACGGCCTGCACGAGGGCGCGCTGGACAGCGCCGCCATGTACGTGCCGGCTTGCCCGCTGACGCAGACCAGCGCGCTGTACCTCTGCCGCCAGAGGAAGGCGTTCCTGCTCGGCCGCCCGGGCCCCGACTTCGGCTCCGGCCGCGGCGAGAGCGACCACGCGGGGCGCCCCGGGGTGCAGGAGGTGAACGAGGCAGGCGGCGAGGACGGACTGCGCGCCATGGGCTTGCTGCCGTGGGACGAGGACGAGGCTGGGTCTGGGGCTGAGAGGGCGGTGCTAGCTATGGCAAATGGGATCCTGTTTCCGGATCGGTACAGCATGATATAGAGGGAGCGGGCGCGGTGATCAGCGTGGGCCGTGAGGGGCTGAAGTTTTGGATTTATCGATGTGTGTCGGCGTTGGGAAACGGAAGGCGGTGCTGAGGCGCCCTTCCCCTGGGTACGGCGGACTACATCACAATAGAAGCATAGGTATACTTGCAATTCGGGTTTATAGAGGGTTTATAGAGAGCACACAGCAATGTTAATGCTTTTTAACAATCATGGCGCGAAGACACCCAACAAATGCTTTGTAAACCCTCCCCATCCATACCTGCCGAGATGCCGTTCGCCATAAATCCTGTAACGACAAAACCGCGAGACGTTGCACTTCAACTCTCGGCTTTCTTCTTTATTCCTCTCTTTTCTTCCATCACAACCCAACCACTCATTCGTTCGCTATCCGAACCGGTAGCCTTGGGGCTAGAGCGGGCCAAAAAACGGTACCACACTACACTGCCAGAGGTAACGAGAGTGCATCGGAAACGCTTATCTCTCCTTCTTGGTAGCATCATCCTTCTGCGTGGCCGCGTACTTGTCACTGAGAGCATCGTACTCCTTGTGCAAGCCGGCGGCCTGCTTCTTGAGGGTCTCGAGGTCTTCGTCCTTCTGGGCGAGCGCCTTCTTCAGGCGCGCGATCTCGCCCGGCTCACCGGCGGCGGCGAGCTTCTCGCTCTGCTTGGTGTCCTTGTCGGTGCCCTCGTACTGCTTCACCTTCTCCTCGAGGCGGAGCACCTCGAGGATCATGATGTAGGTCCGGTTCAGGATCAGCGACAGGAAGAGCGTGAAGCCGCAGAGGTACATGTTGCGCTGCGAGTAGAACTTGCGAGCCTGGACCTCGAGGCGTTCGTGGCCCATGATGGAAGCCCTGCTGGTCGTTGGCTGGTTAGTCTCTGCACAATTTGGATCTCCCTTTCCTTTTTGGCAGGGATTGATGGGCGAACTCGGAGGGACCAAAAGATGCTTCAAGAGACAACGTACCCATTATGGCCACTGGCCTCGGTAGCTGCCGCAAGTTCGATCTGAACTCGGTAGACGCGGTTAACGCTATCGATGAAGAGAATCAGGATGAAGATGAAGGTAATCTTCAGGCCGTATTGTAGTTTGGCTATGACCGGGTTCTCGGAAATGAACCTGTTTCGAACTTGTCAGCTATGAGGCGGGGCAGGAGGGCTATGCGGGAATGAAGCTCGTACGTGAACATCCTCCTTCGGATGGTGAAGGGCAGAGGGATAATTAGAAGCATGAAGACGGCCATCTCTGCTACCAGAAGCAGGAAGACCTAAAAATCAATGGGTCAGCCCTTATCACGAGAAACCCAAGGCCATACTCTCGCTGGGAAGACGGCCGCGGTTGGGCAAGGTCGTGGCATACCAAGGTGTAGTAGAGCGTCATCTTGAGCTGTCAGGGTGGTTTCAGCTGGGGAACAAGGCGCGTTACGTCGACGAGAGCTCCAGTGCACGAGGATAAAGGAGAGCTCTGGGAAATAGAGGTCGTCGGAGCTACTGAGTTGAACGAGGAAAGCCGCGAGTATTTTAAAGCACGGGAGGAGAAGTTGACCTGGCTGCAGAAAAACAATGTGGCCTGTAGGTAATTGCCTGACGCAAAAGAGCTTCGTCACTCCTCAGCTTCTTGCTGGCTGATAGCGGACCGGGGTCCAAATCAACAACGTCATCCTGTGGCTGGAAAAAAGTGTGGCTTGACTTTAAGCTCATGCACGGCCCATTTTTATGTTTGAGATCCATTTCTTGTGAGATGGACGCTACTGTAAGTATGTAGGTAGGTACGTACATACCTACGTAGAAGTACCATCTAAAAAGGATCGATCTCTATAGATTGGCCGATTCTTCGTTGCAAAGAGAGTGGCCAACTTGCAAACTCTGCCCGGCGCTTCCAGACTTATGCCCATAAGTCTCAGTGCATGTAGACAAAAGAGAAAATGGCGTCTCGGATAGTCGGGGTGTCAATACCATTTTCGACACGTATTAGCTGCCATATTTCATTACCTGAATGTCTACGTCGTACGGATGTAATAAAGAGGATTGCTGCTGCAGGATTCGCCGCGTCAGTAGAGACAAAGAATGGAAGCAACCCTCTGCAAGGATCATGTCAAAGAGACGATTTAGCAAGGGGAATAACTGCGGGGACTAGGCGGTGCAAATTGGATGTGCTGATTTTCGCCTTCTGGCCACATCTCAACTTCGGACGGAGCCTCCAAAATCGACAGGCATTCGCCCCAATGATCACATAATATTCCGATAGCAATAACTTTTCAACTCAAGTGGTTCGATAGAAAAGGCCACTTGGACACTTTCCTGTCTTGTAAAAACTTGCCGATATTCCTTCATTAATCGCGTTTTCCCGAGTCTTGACCTTTCCATTTCCTTCCTCCGGAATATCCTGGGCTGCATCTGTATTATCAAGCAAGACTCGATCGACGATCACTAAGACCCGCAGGACTTCTGCAGGCGATTTTAGCCATATTACTGAGGGGCCGTGAACATCCAACCAGCTCCCCCACGGCTCACAGACCCGGTCATTGGAAACAACTCTGAACGCTCCGTGGTAGATCAGGAACTGCCGAGTTCATCCGCAATCTGGCATCTTCTGCTTCATATTATAAGGTCGGAAACCACTCCGATCACTGGAGCCATGAAGTCGGCCTCGCAATTGTTCTACCTCTCCCTCTTCGCGCTCTGGGGACCACATATCCAATGTCAGAATCCACAGAGCTCTCAAGATGCTTGCGCGGTATGCTCTCGCAGACACCTTCTCCATTCTTTTGCTTCTTTCGTGTGGTCGTTCCATAGCCACCTGTCTGGCCGAAACTACTGCCTCTGAATACCGAGTCGTGTCATCTAATAGGGCCTCGTTCCAGATATCTCCCAAGGCCATCGTCAGCGACGCATGTGCCTCCTATTCCACGCTCGAGCGGCTCAACCATAACGTCAAACCCGCAGTTGACGACCTAACCCGAGATACCGACTTCTTCTCCCACTACCGCCTGAACCTGTTCAACAAGAAATGCCCCTTCTGGAACGACGAGAATGGCATGTGTGGCAACATTGCCTGCGCCGTGGAGACGCTGGACAATGAAGAGGACATCCCCGAGGTCTGGCGAGCTAGGGAGCTAGGAAAACTGGAGGGCCCCCTGGCGAAACATCCCGGGAGGAAGGCGCAGAAGGAGGAACCACGACGGCCACTCCGAGGCGGCTTGGGCGAAGACGTTGGCGAGAGCTGCGTCGTAGAATACGACGACGAGTGCGACGAGAGGGATTATTGTGTGCCAGAGGATGAGAGTGCCGCCTCCAAGGGAGACTACGTCAGCCTCCTCCGGAATCCGGAGAGGTTCACTGGCTATGCCGGCGACGGCGCGAAGCAGGTGTGGGACGCTATATACCGGGAGAACTGCTTCCAAAAGAGTTCCTTCCCCCATTCGGCATCCCTCGGTAGCAGGACACAGGCAGAGGGCCCCGCGGCGATGGATATCAAAGCCGTTATAGAAGCTGCCGGGCGGCAGCAGGCCCTCGAGGAGAAGCGACAGCAGAATCCGCTGACCCCGTTTGTCGCGAAGACCGGCTTCGAACATGAGGACGAGTGTTTGGAAAAGCGGGTGTTCTACCGCGTCATTTCGGGAATGCACGCGAGCATCTCAACCCACCTGTGTTGGGACTTCCTGAACCAGACCACCGGCCAGTGGCAACCAAATGTGGACTGTTACATCAATCGCCTGCACGCTTTCCCCGAGCGCATCAGCAACCTGTATTTCAACTACGCCCTCCTCACTCGCGCGATCGCCAAACTCGGCCCCCACCTATCGCAGGAGAACCTCTACACCTTCTGCACGGGCGATGCAGAGCAAGATGCAGAGACGCGAGCCAAGGTCCTCACCGTCATCGAGAAAGCCTCGAGCGTTCCCCAGATCTTCGACGAAAGCCTGATGTTCAAGAACGGCGAGGGCCCATCACTGAGAGACGACTTTAGGAACCGCTTCCGCAATGTGAGCCGTCTGATGGACTGTGTTGGTTGCGACAAGTGCAGGCTCTGGGGCAAGGTCCAGACCGCCGGATATGGAACCGCGCTCAAAGTTCTGTTCGAGTTCGACAACAACAGCCCCGAAATCTCAGTCCTTAAGCGAACGGAGCTGGTGGCCCTGTTCAACACGTACGCACGGCTGAGCAGCAGTCTGAGCGCAATTCAGCAGTTCAGAATTATGGTGGAAGAGAAAGAGCAAGCAGACAAGGTGGAGGAGCACCTTAGGGACTCGGAGAAGAGGAATGTTATCCCCGACCGAGCCAAGAAACCGCATCACGTCATTGTCTCTCATCGGCCTGAGCCCGACTCCGGAACTTTTCAAGGAGACGACGATGGAGATGAGAGCGAGCTACCTAAGAACCGCGAAAGGACGGTGAAGGAGGACTTTGACGACGAACTCGCCCGGGTCATGAGGGCAGTCAAGCTGGTCTTCAAGAGCTGGGCCTCATTCCCGGGGACACTGTAAGTTTTTCCCGTTTAGAAGCACGGGGGCCTCAATGCTAACAGAATCCGTAGATACCACATAGTCACATCTGAATCGAAGCGGTTCTGGCAGTACTACATTGGCCTGCCCGTATCACCGCGGACCTGGAAGATTGAGCGACCTAATTTAGATGAGCTCTAGGAGAAGCTGCTGTATTTTGTATGCGACTTGTTCACAGTAGAGGTCCATTTGCATTGCATCAGGCCCTCGTCCACGGTGGAAATGGGTGGTCTATCGGCGTTGGGGCAATATTTGACAGGACCGGGCGTTGAAAAGGGATGGAGGATGGGCGTATTGGAGGATCGAGCGCGGCCTCTCTACGTCGCCCCGGCTTCAACGCCCCCATTGATCCGTATATATACGTATAAGTACATACATGGGTATATTCCCCGTACAAATCTTTGCATAGACAGCATGCATGATATCAGGCACTACATGCATGTCGTCGCCGAGCGTCCAGCCTCAGATGCCGAATATATCCCCAGGCATCCTTGACTTTACCCTCTTTCCTCTCTCGGGGAGCGAGATGTGTGTGACAACATTTCCGATCTTGGCCTTGATGCCGTCAACGGAGATTTCAGCATCACTGACGGCCGCGGCATACTCCGGGGCCCCCGCCAACTCGGCCGTCAGGCTGCGCAGCTCGTCGTCCGGCTCCACAAACGACCAGGCAATGGAGACGTGGAAGGCGTCACCGACGCTCGCATCGTCACCCTCCCCCCGGCGGTCCTCCTCCTCCCCCGCCCACTGGTACAGCTCTGGCTGGTTGAACGCCCTCACTGCGGCGTTGCACTTCCGCAGCAGCCGCGTCAGCCGCGGATTGGGCCCGTCGTTGTTGCCGTCATTTTTATCGTTGTCTGCGTCGAGGCGGTCTCCGGTTCTTCTTGCGGCGCCGTGATCACGGACTCTCAGCACCAGGAACGAGCGCCTCGACGCGGGCGTCCGGTGCCACTCCAGGCCGCTGGTCCGGAGCCGGAACGGCGGCTGGACGCCGCAGGAGCTGATCTCGGCGGTGATGCGGGTCAGGAAGGCGGCCTTGTCCGGGGTGGGGAGGACGAAGGGGCGGGAGAGGCTGATGTGCAGGGGCTGCGGGGCGCCTAGGTCGCTGGTCAGGAAGGTGGTGAGCTGGGCGGCGTCGCCGAGGCGGCGCTGCAGGGCGGCGAGCAGGGCGGCCAGGAGGGAGTGCTCGGCGGCGGAGGGGTGCCATTCAACGTACAGGTGGCTGGGCCAGTTGCCGGCTACGTGGGGGATCTGGCGCGTCCTGCCCTGGTGCAAGCTAGGGTCGTCGGTGGGGGCCTGGCGGACGGTGGAGGCGTAGAGGTCGTGGAATGATGCCGGGAGCGGGGGTAGGGCCACAGCCACGTCTGGTTGGATTTCCGTCTTGGGTTTCTTGGCCGGCGGAGGCAGGGCCTCTTCCGACTCGGAAGAGGAATCGGAGGTGTAATCGACCAATGCCATAGTGAGGGGCGTTTATAGTTCCCTGCTAGTATCGATCATTTACAATTAGGTAGCTTGGGAGTAGGTACCAGTGTCAGCCCTATCGAGCTTATGCACACTGGGTGTCCTAGTGGGGATCCGCTGCTAGTTTGAGGTGATAAAGTTCTGCAGGGACTAGTCGGATCAGGTGCTTTCCAGGATGATTGGACGGGACCTGCACAGGTACGTACCGACCTCACTCTTGTTCATCTGTACCTGGGCATCTCCAATAGCTGTTACCTACCGTGCCTACCTATCTACCTGGGTGGGCCAACCATTTTCTTCTCTACAATGGCTTGGGCTTCCTTGTATTTCCTACCTTTGATTGATTTTGTCCTCCAATTTTTCCACATAAAACCACAAGATCTACACTACATGGAGACTGGAGACCAAGCTTCTGGTCCAGTTCTGGCTGAATGCCCAGGCTTGCGATGACGTAGGTGGGGCTGTCAGGACCGCAGGGGCCGAGAAATGTTACCCCTCCACCTGAGTACCTCTCTCTTGGCAATCGATGTGTGACTCGGGGGTTGAGAGCTGTGAGGAGCCTATTTGTTCAGGCAAGCTTTCATGATAATGATGTTTCTCAATACTTATTAGGTCTATGATACCTACATGGGCAAAGTGCCAGTGCTATGGTGTGGTGCATACTATGGATTTGGGGTGTTAGGTAGGTACCCGTAAGGAAGCATAGGTATTTCAAGCCGTGTGCCCTCACTCTCAATCTCACCCTCCCTCACCTTCGCCTTCCATCTCTGATCTTCTCTCTTTTTTGCCGACCAAACTTCAACCCCGCAACCACATTCACCTTCAATCAACCCAAAGTAACCGTGAATGAGGCTAAGGCGTGAGAATGGATGACCTCGACGACGACGTTGATAACAAGCAGTGGGTAAGTTTTGAGCTTGGCTCATGTGTTCCTTTTCCCGTTAAAAGAACCCCTCTATTACCCCCATCCTTGGCTGCATGGCGCGGCGTGTGGATATTGATCTGCCATTGCATCGATCCCTCACGCCCCTGCAAGTTCCACAGGTGTGAAAAGTTCATACATCATGGTCCAAGTGCGCCAGGAGCTGCCAACCGGTTAATCGGTCCCTGGCCGGTTTCTGGCGCCGTATCCTGCTTCTTTCCGGGTCTCTGCCTGATCAAACCCCCACTTAGCTCCACCTGGCTGCCATCATCAAGAAGCTTTTTCTCCTGACACCCCTCCCCTCCCCTATCAACTCAGGACATGGGTGCAAATGACTCGCTGGGATAACTGGGCAGTGCTTGCGTCACCTTCCCAGCTATCCGGTGCTGGTCAAATAAATAACATGATGCCGAATAAAAAGACGAGGCAATGGCTGATGAACCACTTTCTTTTAACAACTACAGGCAAGAAGATACATTCTTGATCCCCTCACTTGTCCAGAACCAAATCAGGAGTGCGGCCCCGGGAGCTCTTTTCGCAAGCCTCTTCAACGCGCCCATTCTATCCAGTCGAGGCCACCACCCCCTCGCCCCGATACCTTGAAGGACCCCCCAGCTTCTGCGGGCCCAACTCGTTCTAGCTTTCGCCAGGCTCCTCTCGTCGATAGAAGTGGCCACGCCGGAATATCTGACGAGTCTCACCAAGGTCGACCTCAACAGCGCAGGACATTAAGCAGGAGGAACAGTGCCAATAACAGTACACCCAAGCCTCTTTCGTACCCACCAAGATCAAGATTGAACCGTCGCCCGTCTATCCATACAGCAAATCTGCCAGAGACTAGGTGGAACCAAGGCACCATCCTCACCCGGACCAGCAGCGTTTCTTCGACCCACTCCAGCAAGAGCCCGGAGACTAGGTGGAACCAAAGTACTATCCTCACCCGGACCAGCAGCATTTCTTCGTCCCACGCTCCCAAGAGTCCAGAGGCTCCCATGGCTCCCATGGCTCCCATGGCTCCAAGTGCCGATACAGGGGCTGTAGCAGGGCCTACCGACGGCAACGGCCTTCGCCGTGCTGGTTCTCTCACTGCTCGATTTCCAGGCGACATGTCTCACCGGCCTTTGGACATGATCAAGAGAGAGCACAAGGCAGCCAATAGAGCGCCTCACCTACCCACGCGCCACCGGAAGCAGCCCAGTGACACCATTGACTCGCTAGATCTGAGCGGCCCGGCTCCAGTGGCATATCATCATGACGGCCCCTACGATGCTACCATGGCGTCTCGAAATACCAACAAGCTGCTCTCCCCTATCTCTGCTGTCGAGGGCACTAATAGGGAGGCCTTGAAGGCTACGCCCCAGGAATACATCCAGGACTCTCTTACGAAGCATGTACCGCTTCAGGGGACTGCCGTTGTGCCCCCAGGTATGAGGGACATGAGCGGCCGTGCTATGGATTATAAGGAGGGCGCAGACTTGATGCGCGAGCCAGATGCGCCGGGTGGTGCCTATAAGCGCTTTGACTTTATCGTAAGTTCGCCTTCTCCCGCGGAGCCTACGTGGCTACCAGTATATGATCTGACTAGCCTCGCAGCCCTACCATGCCGACGACTTGAAAGGCAAGGGTGAGCCATCCTTTACCATTGAGAAGGACAGTCGAGAGCAGAAAAATCAACTTCGAAAGCACAAGGCTTCCAATAATGCTGATGGCATGGCGTACGAGATGGAGCCTCGAAATACCCGCGACCACAAGGACAACAGAGCCAAGATTCGCCAACGAAGTATCAGCAACAGCTCACAGGGCCAGGCACAGCATGCCACCATGGCCATGGACCCAGATGGCTTCTCCACCAACCACGACGTTCGCAGAAGCAACACTACTGGCAAGAAACTTGCTGATGGCCTCAAGCGCCGGTTTGGCAGCTTGAGACGAAAGGATAAGTCCAGCCAGGCCGCTTAGGCCTCTCGAGGCTTGCCCATGTAGGTGCTTACGACTGGACGAGGTGTAACTTTGCTGGGCCAGACCATGGCTGCTATGGATTATAGTTTATCTTCCACTTACGTTCAGTACATACTTTCCCTCCCTTTTTTCTCTTTCAGTTGGGGGTCCTCGTTGAGCAGGTCTTCCCCTCACATGGAAGTATGAGGCAATGGTGTCCCTTGCATTATTACACCCTCGCTATGATAATGAGGCGGGGACATCAAGTTTTAAATGTCGAGAGTTCATGTATACATATAGACACGGGGGGCAATAAGGGATACCGGTTCGGTACATACAGGAATCCTGGGAGGGCAATGCTACAGGATCGGTAGCAGGACAAGGACAAGGCTTAACGTCGCCTGGCTAGGCCCTTGAATTATGGGAGAATAACAATGTGGCAATAGAACCCTGTTAGGTAAATATACTTTCGCCGATGACTGGTCCATGATGGAAGAGAAAACCGAGGGAGGGGGTGGTAAAAAAGAGTAGGCCAAGTTCAAACTCCTGACATCCTACAGAGGGCCACGGGCAAGTTGTTTACGGAGAACACCTTTCCCAAGCCCTCACGATCATATGTGGAGTGATCGTGAACTTTCCGACAGTACCACCAGAGACGAGAAGTCAAGCGAGGAGAGACAAGTTCATATTCAGCCTCGCTGTCACAAACTCTAGATTAGGCATCTACCCAAGGTAGACAGCAGATATCGCCCAAAGAATCATCTCGAATCATCTCCAGGGTACCCATACTCCAAATACAACCACAGCTCCATCCGCATGCCGGCCGGCCCCTACATCTCGTCCCCACTAAACTCGTCCTGAAAGACGGCCTTGACCAGCTGCTTCTTGTTGATCTTCCCCATGGCATTCCTCGGTATGTGGTCGACGATCTTCAAGACCTGCGGTATCTTGTAGTTGACCAGCCTCCCCTTCAGCGCCCTCCTCATGTCCATCGGCGTCCACTTGCCGTCCACCACGTTCTCTTGGTTGAGCACCACCACGGCGCCGACCTTCTGCCCCCACTTGCCCGACGGGACGGCCAGCACGGCCACCTCGCTGACCGGCGGCAGCGAGAGCATCTCCCTCTCCACCTCGAGCGCGGAGACCTTCTCGCCGCCCGACTTGATGATGTCCGCGCTCCGCCGCCCCAGGATGAAGTACATGTCCCCCCTTGTCCAGCCCTTCTGGCTGGGCGCCTCGCAGCGGCCCGCGCCGTCGACGCGCCGCCGCACCGCGACGTCGCCCGTCTTGAACCAGCTCGCGCCCCCGTCCTCGGCCGGGACGAACTCGTTGGCCGTGGCCTCGGGGTTGCGCCAGTACTCGGCGAACACGGTGGGGCCGCGCAGCTGGATCTCGCCGGCGCGCTCCCTGCCGGCGGCGTCGAGCTCCTCGCCCGGCGCGACGACGGCGCCCGTGTCGACGTCGACGAGGCGCACCTCGACTGAGGGCAGGGGCCAGCCCACCGAGCAGTCGACCCTGTCGGCGACGTCGAGCCCGCACGAGAGCGCCATGCCCACCTCGGTCATGCCGAACCGCTCGAGGAGGACGTTGCCGCTGCTCAGCTCCGTCCAGGCGCGCTTGACGGGCGTCGGGAGGGCGGCCGAGCCGGAGATGGCGAGGCGGAGGTTGGCGGGGCTGATGGCGGTGCGTGCTGCAGACTGCATATCCGGGGCTAGGTCCTTGTAGGTGCTCAGGAGGCGGGAGTAGACGGTTGGGACTACGGTGAAAAAGGTGATCTTTTCTCGCTGGACGAAGGCGGACTTGGACTGGGGATCGGGGCTCTGGTCCGGCGTTAGGAAGGGGGCCGCGAAGCGTCGCCACACGGCGTCGGCGTTGAAAGGAAAGAGAAACTCGACGGTGCTCCCGGCAAAGAGCGGCGCGATCACGGCATTGATGGTGCCGTGGATGTGGTGGAGCGGCAACACGTGGAGGAGATGGTCGGATGGCGAGTACTCCCATGCTTGCAGGAGTGAGCGAGCTTGGGCTGTTAAGGTGGCTTGTGGGATCAGGACTCCTTTCTGAGGGCGTTTGTTAGCGTGGAATTGGGGGGTGTCTGAGGGAGGGTAGTGGTGCTGGAGGCTCATACCGGTCTGTTCGTTGTGCCCGAGGTGTAAAGCATCATCCCAGTACTGCCGGGGTCTGCGTCTTCGAAGCCGACTTCCTCGTGGTCTGCCCCTCCCTGGTGCTTGAGCAGCTCGACATGGATGGGGTTACTGGCTAGTTCCGTCTCGATGACTTCCAGGGCCTTTGGCGTAAACTTGGCCGACGATAGCAGCATCGATGCTTCGCTGTGGTCCAATATGTACTGCAGCTCTGGCGCGGGGAATCCCGGAGACAGAGGTACGGCGATGGATCTCGCAGCAAGGATGGCGAGCAGTGTCACTAGATAGCCGTGACATCAGCCTCCGTTCCTCATCGGGGTCTTGGTCTGCTAATGCGCGTTCCAGCTTACCTACATAGTCGTAGCTGTTCTCTACTAGGAAGGCGATGCGCTCCCCGCTGATGTCGCTCTTGCCGGCCGCCTCGTGGAGGCGATCCCGGATCCTGCAGACGTCACCCAACAGTTCTCCATACTTGAACTTTCTCCCGCTGTTCGAATGCACCACGGCCGTTGAATGGGGGTCATGTCGAGAAATTGCCTCGAAGATGGGCAAGTGAGGCAGGGTGGAGGACAACCTCGGCAGAGACCCCATTGTCGACAGTCTAACAAAAGGTCGTCGATATGGCGACGGATTAAAGGGAGCAGCGAGTGATGTTGCGATAAGCCGGCGCAAAGCAGGGGTAAAGGACAAAGGGCAGGAAAGCATTGGGAAGGAAAGAGGGGGTCTATAAGAAAATATCCAGGTGTAACAGTACAGGGGGGTCTAGTTAATATCACGGACAAGTACCAGAGGCATCTTCATGCCGAGTCCGAGGCCGGCGCATCCCGTCTTGTCCAGGGAATACCGGTAAATTTGGAGGTTAACAGCCGGGCTTTCTTTTTTGTTGAGCTCGGGAGTTCGTTCGCCTTGCGTGGGGAAGTTCCATAGGGGCTACCGGCGAATTGGCCAATCTGATTGGTGGTGCACCTGATTGGTCCAGACCACTAGTGACCTCACAGGCTCAGTTCCATGCACGTTGACCAAGCCTCTCGACTTGCGGATCAAAAACAATCGGCACAGTTTGGCATCATCTCAATCGAGGCTTTGTCTAGAAAACCTCTTCCGATGCAACGCCGAGCTCTCCTCGGGCTCTTAACAGTCAGACAGCCATTCTCTACAATGGCCTCGCAAAGTCCACTCCAGGACGCTATCAGGGAGAAGGTACTGTATTTCTCTCTTTTGGTGGCCTATGGGTAGGTCTGACGACAGCATGCCTCGACTCTTACACCCAAGACAGATCACCGCTGCCTTGCAGCCGTCCCGGTTAGAGATCCACAACGACTCACATCTCCACGCACATCATGCACCCATGGCAGGAAACACCTCGAGCGAGACACATTTCCGAGTGGTCATTACATCCGAGGCATTCAAGTCCAAAATGCAGGCCGCTCGGCATCGCATGATATATTCCTTGCTCAAAGATGAGATGGCCCGTGAAGGCGGCATACATGCACTTCAGCTGCGTACGATGACGCCAGAGGAGGAGGAGAGGAGGAAGGCTTTGGAGACCGCAGGGTGAGGAGCTAGGAGGGAGAAACTTAGGGTTTGGGGCTGCATTGAAATCGAGGGAGCTGCCACAGGCTGCGCGGGACATTATGACGTCTCATAGTTCAGCGCAGGGGAGCAATAAGGGGGGGGAAGATGCCCTCTCAGATGAGTAACCAAACAGGTATGCACAGTTGAATCCGTTCTTCAAGCCGCTCCACCTAATCTTGGAACTCGAACCATCTTCCAGAGTACGAAATTACCATTGCAGCCATCTAGGGTATCATCCTGCTCGTAGCACTGCCATAGATCGTATACAGGTCTAATGCCGTATCTTTCCCTCAGTACCTGCTAGGGCTGCGGCCGCCATGGGCCACCCGACCGAGTCCGAAATCCGCATTCCTCCTTTCGGGCATCTAACCTGCGAACGAGCTGGGGGGAGCAGAGCTCTGCAGATGCTTCTCCCGCTTCTTCAAGAATTTCTTGAAACGCGCACTCCGGCTGGCTGGATCCTCGTTTGCAAACTTGGACGCTGTTGATCTTTGTGACCGGGATGACTTTGCTGAGCCGAGAGAGAGTCGAGGTGGCGCCTTTGGCTTGACAGCCGTTTCGGGAATACTCTCTGACCTCGCGTATGCCGCTGCGGTCGCGGCCATTGGGGTAGGGTGCTCTTGTAGAGGCGGCGACGAGAGACCACCACTCTGGCCAATTTCAGGTGCGACTTGCGACATTATCTTTGGTGATATATCCTTGCGGGAAACTTGACGTGGGTCAGGGTGCTGGTCATGGTTCTGGCCATAATGCTGATCTGGCCTGGTGGATGTAATCTCCGGCGATCTGTCTGCCTGGTAGGATGTGGTATGAACGACTTCGCCTCGCCGCCTCGACAGACTGGGGGATCTGTTTGAAGGCCAAGGGGCTTCGGTCGATTCAATCGGGTCCGAACTGTGCTCCCCAACGCCTTCCAGGACGTCCATTGCTTGTGATAGGTCATCATTGCCGGTGACGTCGATTCCCAACACAGAAGGCTCATTTGAACGCCTAGTTCCGCCAAGCGAGCGACGAACTGAGCGGAACTCATCGGGGTACGACTCCACGGCATTCTTCAGAGTGCTCCGGGTGATGATGCCACCGGTGTATAATGGTTGTTGGACATTTTCATTATACCACTGATTAGCGGTGAGAGCTTTGGACGTATCGTCCAACTTCCCAATGTAGTCCAAATAGTCTTCCGAGAAGACGCGGATGAAGTCGTCATAGAGGAATTCCGGTAAGGCTCGATTCTGTTGGAGGTCCTGGATACAAATTATGGCTTTGATGAAGTCTCCAAGACTCCCCGTGTACTCGGGGTATTGGACAGTGAAAGCCGTGAACGGCACTTGAGAAGCTGGGCCGTTTGGTGGCAGATTTTCCAAATTACTCGACGCCTCGTGGCCAATTTCTGGGTCATCAACGTCGGTCTCTCCTTGATCGCTTCCAATCAATGCATATTTCCGTTTGGTCAAGGGCTGCACTGCCGGAGCCAGCTGATACGTGATTAGGTCGGCCGTCCCAGCATTGGAGGAAGAGAATGTCGAAGTCGAGGTACGGGTTTCCAGGGACAGTGTCATGGGGCCAATCTCAGTTGTGGCGGGTCGAGGTGGCGTGTCCAGGTTAGACTGGGAGCTGCCAAAGGGAAGTGGTTTCATGCGTCGACGTTTCGACTGGTGTCCTAGCAGCTCAGGTGGCTTCATAGGGCTGCTCTGGTGATTGTAGGTGCAAGGGACGACCTGGACCTGTGCAGAGGGAGGGACGGGCTGTGGATGAGTTGCCTGCAAAAGCCTCTTGACGGGGTCTGCGATGTCTGCGACGTCTGTGATTGCCCGCGGAGGCTCGACCTCGATCTCGCCATCCGATCCAATGCTGCTGGATGGGAAAGGGTGGTCCATAATTGATGTCCGAGCAACAGCCTTAGACACAGCCATGGGAAGTCCTGGCGAACGAGATTGTCGATTCCGAGAGGCAGACGGCAGTCCTTGAGCTTCAGGGGACACCCGGGGCTCTGGCTCACAGGATGTTGACCATGAAGTCAGCGAGTGGCTGTCATCACTAGCTGGATCCCCCAAGTCTTCTTCTGCTTGGGATAAGCCGTTTCCCAACCCATCGTGCCTGCCTGGTAAGCTGGCTGATGGCCTAGGCTGGGGCGGTACCCTTGCCTTCTGGGAATGAAAGTCCTTCAGGTTTTGCAGGACCTCAGTTGGAACATTGGCAAAACCCCTGGTAGACCAGGCATCTGATCGGTTAAGAAGGTCTTCTTGGTTTTTTGGGACGCGAAAATACCGGCGGTGAAGCTTGGATTCGGAAACCTGAAATGGCTGGGGCACCTGGGAAGGAGGGGCCGTCATGTTGTAATAGGCGAAGCAGGTCTGGAGGAAGATCGGGAGTTCAGGACAGAGGCAGACGTGCACTCATCCCTTTTATCTTCGTGCCTAGGACAGGATATCCTGGCTGGTTCGGTCAGTGCATGGTTATGGTCCTCAATTCAGTGGAAAGTGCTGATTTAACTCAACTTACTGAAGGTATGACACGGTATGGAGTTAAGGGCAGTCGCGTCACCTCAGCTTTATCGATAACCCATTCACTTAACATTCATGGATGGCATCCCTGCATGTACTGTACATGCTTTGTATGTATGTACCTAGGTACCGACTCACAGCTCTCCCACAAACAGGTTGAAGTGTGCAATAAGAGATTTGCAAGATGCCCCGTTGCCTTCTTCTGTAGGCGTTACTCACCTAGGCACCCATTTGATACAAGAAATGACTGTCAGTAGAGAAGTTATCCCTCCCAACTGGTGCTGCCTACCTACCTAGGTACCGGGTAGATGGAATCTAAAGTGGAATACCCTGGATTTGTACAGACTTTCTCTACATTGTAACTTGCAGGTGACTCTCAGCCCACTAAAGATGACTAATGATGTGGGTCCCTGATGTTCACCACCCCTGCACGACCCTACCTATCTACTGTGTATTCCCAATAGCGAGTCGAGTCCAGAGCTCCTCCCTGTCATGCCTGCCTACTTCTATGCCCCCATCAAGTCTGTATTTCAGACATGCTCTCCCCAGCGCCAAGAAACTCAAGCTGTCATGGGTGGCAGAGCGCGATTTTGCTCAACTTAACTTCAACAGCCTGACACTCGGATAGTTGGCATGAAGAGCCCACCTCAGAGCTCCAACCTCAACCTGTGGACGGCCCCTCCAATACGAGCATCCCGATAGGCGATGGTCAATAAGCACCTACCAACCTCTGTTCCAAGCCAGCGTCATGGCGAACAGCAACACCCCGAAGCAACCTCCAATATCCCCGGCGGCTGTGTCCTCCCCCGTTGACGTCCGATCCCGATCCCGCCGCGATTCTCTAGCCTCCGTCTCTGTTTCTTCGCAACTGGACAAGGAACAGCTTGCTCTAGCCTTCGACAAGATTCACAACTCCGCGAGTCAGTCCGATGTGTTGACTACCTTCGACGACTTTGCTCCTCCACCTGGAAGCCTTCCAACCTCGGAAAGCAAGGGTACTGCTGCTGGAGATTTGGTGCAACAAGGGCTGAGCGGCCTATATAGCCGGCTCAAGGAAGCTGTTGGTGTTGGTGCTGTCGGGCGGCCGCCCGCGCAGGAGTCGGAAAACCTAGACACCCAAGATGTCGTGTCCAGAAAGAGCGCGAACCCGGCAAGCACCGGCGCCCAGTCTTCGGCCGGCCCTCCGGCCAGGGGTGAGAGTGATGTTACGAGCTCAACCCTCGCGTCGAACATTTCGTCCGACCCCCCGACCTCTGGGACTTCATCCTCCGGCCCTGCGATGACGGATTCTCAATCCCAGGGTCTCTCATTATCCAAGGCGTCTTCCATGACGACTCTGGCTGCCTCAAAGTCGACTTCTTCAAGTGGGCAGAACCTGCCTAAGATGGCAAAAGCTACAGTTCCGACTCCTTCGGTGGTGCCAGCCACCGTGAGTGCCTTCAACGCAACCCGCAGTGCAGCTAGTCATGCAGAGGAGCCCGCAGGCCGGTCGAACGGACGGCGGAGTATTAGCAAACCCTCTGACGGGAGGGAGAGCGTGGCTGCGAACATATCAGCAAACCCCAGCATCGATAGTATCGCCACGGCTGACAGAATTACTGTATCGAGTCGAGCAAGGAGAGAAGATAGTATTGATGGCAGCACGGACTCGCCCTTGTCCCCTGCAAAGGGCCCCGGTGAACTGCGAGCTTCGTCGCCTGCCTCGCGGGTTTCGTCGAGAGATACCCTGAAGAGGCCGACTGTGATTGACCGTATCAGCAGTCCGACAACCATTCACGATACGCGCTCAATGTCTTCTTCCATGGAGCCCGGGGCCGCTGAACCGAGCACCATCAGTACATCGGCGCACAACTCCATCAACCACAACTCTTTCGCCCACGATCCGAAGGCCGAGCAGCTGCAATCGGGGGCGATGAGGATCCCCGGAACAACCACAAACGAAGGGGCGCCAGAGGTGGTCAGCGCCAGGCTAGAACTTATGCGGAAACAGGTACTTAGCAAGGAATTTTGGATGGCAGATGAGACTTGCAAAGAATGTTTTCTTTGCGGGACACCATTCTCCGCATTCCGCCGCAAGCACCACTGTCGGACCTGTGGTTGCATCTTCGATTCCAAGTGCACATCAACCATCTCGGGCCAGAAGTTTGGCGTCCAAGGCTCCTTGAGGGTCTGCAAGACTTGCATCGACATAATAAACCGTAGATATGACAGCGGTTCGGACGACTCTGCCGACGACTCGTATCTCCCGGCTATCTTCCGTTCCAACCAACTGAAAGCTTCGGCAGTTCCGGCCAGAGTCAGAGCCGACGACGATGTTAGCATTGCCGAGAGGCCCGACGAGGCCGATGACACCAGGTCCGCCACCACTCCCATGATGGCGATCCCCGCCACCCGGAGAATCGGGGAGTCGAATCGACGTTCCGCCGTCCTGGAGATTGACGCTCCTCAACTCAGCCGGCCGAGCTCATCGAGGTCTCTGAAGTCGCTGTCCTCGGCCCGCCCCCAGTCATCGGGCCATAAACGCCATCACTCCAAGCACAACTTTCTGACGAGGTTCAAAGCATCGACGGCGGACGAGAGAGCTCCGTTCCGAAAGCCGCTTAACGAGGAACGAGAGAGAAAGTCAAAGTTACCGGCCTTTCACGATGACAATATTATTGACCCTGAACTCGCCCCCTACATGTCCGACGAGTCGAGCGACGATGAACAGATGAGCATTTTCGCCACTATGGCGAGTAATGACATGCAGGCGTCCAGCCTAGATCCTGACAAGGCGAACCTCGGCTCCTTCCTGAATGCTGGGAGAAAGCACCGATTCCGTCAGGGCGACAAGAGCAACAGTGGCCTCAGCTTCACCAGTCGCGGTGGTGGCGGCTACGACGATGGCAATGGTTTGCCTAACCTGGCACTTCACAGAGGCCCCGCCCGACGGAGGAACCTTAGCACTGCGAGCGCCAGTGTCCATCACCTACGTTCTCCTCGCCCGAAGACGGCAGGCTTCAAAGGGCCGTCGGCTTCCGCCGACACTATCTCCCTGTTTGACAACAATGCTGGGCCGGGAGCAAGCGAGACGACCAAACTCACGCGGAGTGATTCGATTCGCGACTTGAAATCGCCCGAGGTGGAGCTCGGCCCTGCGAGCCTGAACCACGTCAAGACACTGTTCCGGCAGCTGTTAGAAGATGGTGACATACCAAATCCGCCGGCCTGGGAGAGGGCTCTGCTGCCCATCTTGATTCGGTGCTCGGATGAGGTCGAGCCGGATGTGCGGAATGGAGACGACATGGACATCCGGCACTATGTCAAGCTGAAGAAGATACCCGGAGGCAAGCCTAGTGACACTAGTTACGTCCCTGGGGTGGTTTTTACGAAGAACCTGGCCTTGAAGAGCATGCCGCGCCGTATCTTCAACAGCCCGCGCATCGTCGTCGTCTCCTTCGCCATAGAGTACCAGAGGCATGCGCAGCAGCATTTTATGAGCTTGCAGGCTGTCATTGAGCAAGAGAAGGAATTTCTGCGAATGGTCGTTAATCGAATCATTGCCCTTCGACCGCAAGTGCTACTGGCCGAGAGGAGCGTTGCTGGTGTCGCCCTGCAATACCTGTCCGAGGCAGGCATTGCGGTGGTATCCAACGTGAAGCCCTCCGTCATCGAGGCCGTCTCCAGATGTGCGCAGACGGAAATCATATCATCCTTGGACATGCTCGCCCTGCCGGTGCAAGTTGGGTCCAGTGGCGGCTTTGAGGTCAAGACGTTTGTCAACAACGAGATACAAGGCAGGAAGAAGACATACATCTTCATCTCCGAGTGTGACAAGACCCTCGGCTGCACCATCGTCCTACGGGGTGCCTCAAGCCAAGTCCTCTCCCGGCTGAAGAGGATTACCGAGTTCATGGTCTACGTCGTCTACAACCTCAAGCTCGAATCTTGCTTGATGCGGGACGAGTATGTCCAGGTTCCAACCGAACTGGAGGACACACCGACCCTATCGTCGTCTAGACTGCTCACCGAGGACAGCCAGGGGCCCGAGAGCAGTACGCCATCGTCTCAGAGCAGCAGTAACCCCACAGTCCTGGTGACAAGCCAGGGAGGTAGCGAGGTGGCCACTCAGCCCAGTGATGGCGCAGCAGTGAGTATGGATTCAGACGGCCAGCCAGCACCGCCGCCCCAAGATGGAACCACCCCAGAAGCTTCCCAGAAGCCGAGAGGACGAGGCTCTCTTCATGATTCCGACTCTCACGAATCCCACGACAGCCAGCTGCCTGAGGATGCGCCGATGCCCACATTCTACAGTGATATGGTAGCCAAGTACCGGACGCGAATCCTATCGGCATCGCCGTTCGTCAAGTTCCCGCAGCCCTATCTCCTCATGAAAGCGCGAGAGCAGGAGCGGCGGCTGGTCTCCCTCAAGCGCCTCCGCGACCAAAACATTGTGGAAGACCACGGAGAAGGCGAGAAGACCAAGCCGCAGAGATTTCAACTCATAGAGCCGGAAATGGTACACGAGATTGGGCAAAAGGGGCCACGAAAGATAATGGAAGTTCTCCATGCCGTTCACGACGCGGAGTATGACAAAGCCCTCCATAACTACCAAACGCAGACTCGCCAGTGGGAGAACTACATAAAAGGAAGCCTTGACCTCTTCGACCCCTATTCTCACCAGAACATCGTCGTCCTGTACTCTGTCATCTGCACAGACTCGAAGATCCCTTGTGCCGAGCCCGGGCTGATCGCCATGGGCTTCTACGACGAGCACCCGGATGGGAGCCACAACATGGATCCTGACTGCACGCTGGGTCAGTATGTCGAGGACCTCTGTGAGAGCGCCGATTCCGTCTGCCATTCCAACGGCTGCGACCGGCCCATGCACCTCCATCACCGAACCTACGTACACGATGGGGCTCGCATCACCGTCTTTGTGGAGAGAGACTCTCCGTTGCCTCTTGGCATGGATAAGCAGGACAACGCCGAGGTATACATGTGGAACTACTGCAAGTTCTGTAAGAAAGACCTCGGTGTTATGGCAATGTCAGTCAGCACGTGGAAGTACTCGTTTGGCAAGTATCTCGAGCTTTCATTCTGGAGCAAAGGCCTTCTGTTGAACAGCACCGCGGGCTGCCCCCATGACCATCAAAAAGATCATATTCGATACTTTCACCACCGGGGCAACTCGATCCGCATACACTACGATCCAATCGACCTCCTCGAGATTATCGTCCCTCGGACGAGGATCACCTGGAAAGTGGACAATGATTTGCGGCTCAAGAACGAGACTTTTACCAAATCGGAAGAGCGGTGGAATCGCTTCATGGGCTCGGTTAAAGCCAGGTTGAAGAACTTCCGTATTGATAGCGTCCTCCCGGAAAAGGCAGATGCCTGCAAGGCCGAAGTGGAACGACTGGCCAAGAGAGCCCAAGAGGATCAGGCTCGGCTGACACGGGAGCTGCAAGATGCCTATATGAACTCAAAATACTACGAAGTCATCCCCCTCAACGCAGTCATTAGAGAGATGCTCGAGACGGCTGCTGAATGGGATGGCGCATTCGCCAAATTCGAGGCCGACTTCCTTTCGGACAAGGATGTCCGGCAGTTGACAATCATGCAGTTGAGGAAGATGTTCACAGACAACGAGTCCAGGGAGTCCCTGCCTACGACCGATGGCGGCACCTCGATTACGACTATGGGTTCCGAATCGGATGACAAGACGACCCCGGTTACAACCCAGACAAGCATGTCCGAGGTTGAGGAGAAGCAGGCTATGACTGAAAGCGAACCTCTCGCGATGGCCTCCCCGTTGCCAGCCACCGCCGCCTGTGAGCCTGACCCTATGACCAAAGACGGACGTTTCAAGGAAGCCGAGGTTCTCCTCGAAAGCGTCGAACCTCTAGATCTCGCAACGCCCGGCTCGTCCGCCTTGGCAAACAGCCGACCCAGTCTCCAGGACTCGAAGGCTTCCTACTCGCAGATAACTGGCGCTGCGCCAACATCACCATCGCCTACGCCTACCACATCTCGCCAAGTAGATTCTGTCCCCCCGTTCTCGCCGCAAATGTCTTTGGCAGAGAAAGTTGCACAATTGCGCCGAGAGGCGCAAACGGGATCAAACGCCACGGCTACTGCGAGCGAGCACGGAATCGAACAAGTTCGTCCCGTACCGGAGAGGATCTCATCCCGTAGAGCGGGATTGGCTGTCTCGCCGCCCATGGTTCGTGCCATATCCCAACCAGTGGTGCCGCTGCCTAGGACACAGTCTGGCATTAGCAAGCTCTCGAAGGAGTCGAAAACCCAGGAGCCTGGAGCTGGCGAGCTTCAGCGGTTTTCCACGGAGAGCTCTCAAAAGAGCGAGAAGAAGCTGGCGGACAGGATCGGTCTCGGTGCGTTGAAGGGCCGGAAGGCCGGCTCGTCAGGGATCCCGCGTTACGTGCATGGCAGCAGCAGCAAGAAGAGAGAGACAAAGGTGTCGACGCTTGCTCGACATTTCGAGCAGCTGAGCAGGGAGTTCGAGAAAGAGAGAATGAAGGACCGGAAAAGCCGCGCTGCCAAGATGCAACCCCCTCGGGCCTTCCTCCCGCGTACCTCCACCAAGGCGATAGTAGAAGTCTATGAAGACGTGGACCAGGCAGTCCAAGAACCAGGTCCTTACGATGATGACCATCTTCTGGACCGGGAACAGAGTGATAAGAAGTCAGTCGAGACGAGCAATCCACCGGAGAGCATTCCAGAGGATGTGGTGGCCAAGTCTGTGGGCAAGGACGGCATGTCGACTGCCGGTTCTCCATCTCGGGCGGGAGCAGCCACGGAGACTGAGACGGGGGACGCCCACCATGAAAGCCAGGTCGGCTCCGATGAAGAAGGCGAGGCCAGCGATGCCGACCAGTCACTTCTCGAAGACATCTTACCAGATGTCAAGGCAATTGCGGATTCACTCGAGCCAAGCGAAGAGATCCCCTTGGAGCTTCCCAAGCACCAGAAGAAGAGCCTGATGACAATGTTGACCAACTTCTGGGCAGAACGATCGGCCAGCGGATGGCCGCATTTAGAATACCCTCTCAATGCCACCGACCACATCTTCATCAACTCCGATATCATTGTCAGGGAGGATGAGCCCAGCTCTCTCATCGCCTTTGCGCTCAGCTCCGAGGATTACAAAGTCAAGCTCGCCGATATCAGGCGCCACTGGCAGGAGGTCGCCCAGCAAGACGCCGAGAGCAGTGGGGATGGTCTCGAGATGAGGGCACAACGCGCTCCGGCGGCAGGCGATCTTGTCGGGGACGAACGGGAGCTGGAGGAGAGCCTGCTCCGTCCGACCGGCACTCATCTGAAGTACCAGTTCACCGAAGGGTCGGCGAAGATGATGTGCAAGATATTTTTCGCTGAGCAATTCGACGCTCTCCGCCAGAAGTGCAGTGTGTCTGATCGCATCATCGAATCTCTCTCGCGGTGCCTAAAATGGGACTCCAAGGGCGGCAAGACCAAGTCCGTGTTCCTCAAGACCTTGGACGACCGGCTTGTGATGAAATCGCTCTCGCCCATCGAGACGTCGGCTTTCTTGCGCTTCGCGCCGGATTATTTCAACATCATGGCCAAGACCCTGTTCCATGACCTCCCGTCCGTCATCGCGAAAATGCTCGGCTTCTTCCAGGTCATCATCAAGAATCCTCTCACCAACACGGAGATCAAGCTCGATCTCTTGGTTATGGAGAACCTCTTCTACGACCGATCTCCGACCAGGATCTTTGACCTCAAGGGGTCGATGCGCAATCGCAAGATCCAAAGCACAGGGGAGCATAATGAGGTGTTGCTCGACGAGAACATGGTCGAGTACATCTACGAATCGCCGCTATTTGCGCGCGAGCACTCCAAGGGGCTGTTGCGAGTGTCGGTCTGGAACGACACCCTCTTCCTGGCCCTCCAGAACGTCATGGACTACTCCCTCATGGTAGCCGTGGACGAGGAAAAGAAGGAATTGGTGGTCGGCATCATCGACTGCATTCGAACCTACACGTGGGACAAGAGACTCGAGAGCTGGATCAAAGACCGCGGCTTCGCTGGCGGTGGCCGGAATAGGCCGACTGTGACGAGCCCTAAGGAGTACAAATCGCGATTCAGGGAGGCAATGGCAAGGTACGTGTTAAACTCAGGGAGACGTAATCCCAGAGACTTTCCGACGCGCGCGGGAATACTAACGCCCAGATGCCACAGATATATATTGCAGTCTCCTAATTGCTGGCATCAATTTCGTGCACAGCCTGTCGCTCCCGTGACCCCCCGGACACGCTTTGAGGCAGACTTGTAAGCATTCAAGTCTCGATATATATATGTTCGGCAGGGGGGGAGACAGGTGCATTGCTTTTATTTGAATGATTATCACACAATTGGCTGGCTATAGACATTTGAGTCGATCACTTCGCTCTCCTAGTCATTGCCAAACTAAAGGCGTTGAGTTTGCATTAGATGGTACAGATTTCAGGGCGACCATAGGGGTTCCGAAGAACCATGATGATCACGAACAGATGCAGGCACATATACCCTACAGGCCTCGAACAATCAATCGGTGGCTCTGGCAACTTTTCAAAGGGCGTTATTCAAAGTTTGACAGATTAAATATATGAACGTTTCCTCCGTAAATCATGTTATAGATGTGGTGAAAGAAGGACCAGACAACTGTTATTCATAAGCTTGAGTGAGCTCCGACCTCTCAGCAGTGTCTCCCATCGGTTGGTTATGACGGCGGGGCCCACGAAAAAGCGGCCGGGGTCCGCCACAGCTGCTTCTCACTAGAAAAACGAAACCGAGTTTATACCACAATTAAGCCTCTGTGATAAGACCTTGTAAGGTGCAAAGAGAGAGAAAAAGGGAACAGCCGGTCACAAATCCAATCTCAAATGACCCGCCTGCCTCTCCCCGGGCCTCCATGTCTATCGACCTCAACTGGGAGACGCTGACAGCGGGGCCCGACGGGCAGGAGCTGGCGCACCGGATCCGGGACTTCATCCACACAAAGTTCCAGTCGGTGCCGCTGCCCCGCTTCATCAAGTCGGTCACCGTGCACGACTTTGAGTTCGGCTCCATCCCGCCCGAGGTCGAGCTCAAGGACATCACCGATCCTCTGCCGGATTTCTACGAGGAGAACTCGGACCTGGATGATGATGATGATGATGATGACGAGGACGAGTACGAGGATGAGGATGATGATGACAGCCTCCGCCAGGAAGAAGACATCCCCCACGAGCTGAGAGCCGCAGCGGAGAGGAGGAGGAGACGGGCGGCGGGCGAGCCGCACCTCCGGCCGCCGCCGCACATCCGCACCACCACCGGCGGCGGCGGCGGCGGCGGCGGCGCAGGGCCTCCCCCCCCGCCGCCGTTCGCGACGACAGACCTGGGGAGCCCGTTCCTGGGCGCGTCGACCCCGGGCTTCTTCCCCGGCGGCGCGTCGGCGCTGCACTACTTCCACTCGCAGTTCGCCACCGGCCGGTCAGGGTCGCAGACGCCCCTCGCCGCCGTGGCCGGCGCGCACCACCTCTCCGCCGCCGCCGCCGCCGCAGGTGGTGGTGGTGGTGGCCACAGCTCGTCGTCGCCGGATCTGCGGAGGAGGTATGCGGCGGATGCGGATGCGGAGGTGGACGTGGGCGGCGGCGGCAGGGGGTATGGGCATGGGAGGAACGTGTCGCAGAGCTCCAACTCGGTCACTGACTTTGGGACGAGCCCGCCGGGACCTTCCTGGGGGGGTAATAGCAGCCATGGCCCGGGGGCGGCCGCGGGGGGGAACGGGGGTTTCGGCCGGCCCGGGCTGAGGGAGAAGCACAGCGTGTCGACGCTAGCGCCCACCTCGGCCGGGGGCACTCGGCCGCCGACGCGGGACGCCGGGACTGGTGCGCTGGCTATCGACGAGGACGAGGACGAGGGAGGGGGGTTTGGCAGCGGCGGCGGCGGGGGGAGGAGGAGAGTGGGGGTTGAAGGCGGGCGGGCGGCGGCGCGGGAGGCGCGGGAGGAGGGGGAGCGGTCGGGTCGGCGGTTCGCGGAGCCGCGGGTCGAGGACATGCAGGCGGTGTTCCGGATCCGGTACGCGGGCGACGTCAAGCTGCTGCTGACGGCGGACATCCTGCTCGACTACCCCATGCCCAGCTTCGTCGGGATCCCCGTCAAGCTGAGCGTCACCGGCCTGACGTTTGACGGTGTCGGGGTTGTTGCGTACATCAGGAAGAGGGTCCACTTCTGCTTCCTGAGCCCCGAGGACGCCATGGTTGCCGTGGGGGCTGAGGACGGTAATGGCGGGGGCGGGGGAGAGGGCGTCGGCGGGTTAGGGTCCGGTGGCGCCAAGGCTGCGAAGATGGGTGGCTTGCTACACGAGGTGAGGGTGGAGAGCGAGATCGGGCAACGCGAGGGCGGGAAGCAGAGCCTCAAGAACGTGGGCAAGGTTGAGCGCTTTGTGCTCGAGCAGGTCAGGAGGATATTCGAGGAGGAGTTCGTCTATCCTAGTTTTTGGACCTTCCTGGTGTAGGCTTACGAGAAGGGTATCATCCTATTTCGACTACTCTGAACATGCCCTCCTATTTACATGGTTGTTTTCAGAGAACTAAAGAGTGTTTGTCTACGAAAGGGTAGCCTTGAACCCTTGGTACGCAGAATTAATATCAAGCTCCAACTCGCGGGCCTGCGTCTCGCTCAACTCCTCCGTCGCCTTCATCTGGTTCAGAGTGATGAGCCACTGCACTATCTTGCCCCTGCTCTCAAAGTCCCGGTCCGTGACCTTGTTGACCGACTGGATGACATCCGTTAGCAAGGGGTGGAGCTGGTCTTTGGCCAACAGGCCCAGTCGCAACGCGTCCAAGAACGTGATAAAATCCTGGGTGGCCTCCAAGATGAGAGTTCCGCTGGTGCCGCCTGCTGCGGCAGGTGCGGGCGCCGAGGACGCCGTCATGGCGGTCGACGGCATCCCGACCCGTATCCGCTCAGTCGCCCGTGGTACCTCAAGCTATGTGGTGTCGTCAGCTGCTGTTATGCCAGTTCGCAACGTAACACATGACTGGAGAGGCGGGCACATACGTCCCATTCGGCCTTGAACTCCTCCAAGCCCACGAAGGCCCTCGAGACCGTCTCGTCCGCGAGGATGGACTTGTACTGCTTCAGCGACCGGTCGCATATCTCCGTGTAGTCTGACTCGGGGATCGCATCCTTGAGGAACGCCTTCTCGAGCTCGTCGAGGGTAACGAGTATGCTGAAGATTTCCGCTAAAGAGTCCTGAAGGTCTCGTTCAGCTCTGGTGTCGGCGAGTTTGACCTCCTGTGAAACCACACATCAGTATAGGTGACGTCTCATGGCTGGGGGTCGCGCAGATTAGTGGAGAGAGTTCTTGCCTCGTCGAGGTTGATTGTTGCCGACAGAGAAGTATTGGGCACGTAGCTGTGGGGCGTGGGTGCATACGCTTGCCGCGATATCATCTTGACGACCTGACCATCGTGGGGAGCTTGATACAAGCCGCAATCTGGTAAACCTGGGCGGAGCAGATAGGTACCACCTAACTTCGCGCTAAGGTAGGCGACGGGAACTTTAGCCCCACCTCGATGGAATGGAAGCTGTCAAGGGTTTGTAGCATCGCATGTGACAGATCACGTGGCGTTGATTTGAACTCATTGTTCAATGAATGCGTGGCAGCCAACGAGGAAATCTGATCATTCCATACGTGCATGTATTATGAAGTTAAATAAAGTGAATATGGGGCTCCATTGCCAATATGTTCTTCTTCCTAAATGCTGAAGATGCTTCGGGGTCATCGAATGTCGTCAGCTGGGATGTTCTCCCAGGCTGACTATGGGGAATGTAGAGGGTTGTCTCTAGGGGCGGCACGTCCTCCGTCCAGGCTGGCTCTCTCTCCAGGTTCTTGGGTGTTGCTGCCAACTGTAGGTGCTCCTCGAGAGATAGAATCGAGTGTGGTTCCTCGCGTCGCAGGCCCTTTTCGATACGATCGTTGAAGCTTTCTATCAGTAGCGCAGGTATACAGGCTAGCACAGCATATCGCTCCGAATCAGCCTGCTCGCCGGGGTCAGGAATGCTAGAGACCGGCCAGCGATTCCACCAGAACATCTCAAGCTCATTGCGCATGTTGATGGTATGATCTACCATAATCCACTCGTATAAGCGATACAGGCTGTATAGCGGCGTGTCTTCGAATACGCCTCTGGGAGCACGATATTTGCGATATCTCATGCGGTCCTTGTAGAATTCTCGGCGGGAGAGAATTTCTCTTGGGCTCAACGGAGGCCACGAAGGGAATAAAAGTTCATCCTTGTTGATGTCGGTGCACCTCGAGAATGTCCAGCTGCATTTAATTCTGGAGTAGGCTGAAGTCTGGCCTTCCGCTTCCTGAGCCAGTCAAACATGGATGAACAATGCATTTTGTGACGTTCCCTTGATTCTGTCGGCGACCAGCTTGTGTGAGGTACCTAGGTAGATATAGTAGCGACTTGAAGCGGAAGAGTGTGATCTGAAGTGGAGGGACGTCTGCAGCTCGAGGACGGGAGCCCGGGAGCTTGGCGAAGGCCCGTGCCATTGGTTGGCCAGAAATTCAGCCCAGGGCCAAAGCTCGAGAGCTTGTGGCAATCATCACTTTCCATCCAATCTTGACATGCACTTCTTCTTCCCATGTTGAGTCCGCATAATCCTTCGCCAGTGCCTTAGCCATGGTATATAGTCAACAATCATGGATACGCCAAATTCTGCAGCGTCGACGCTCACCGGCCACCGAATAAACGTCACCTTATTCTCAGCCGTGGCAGCTGCTTCGATAGGCTACTTCCTCTACCGCGCTGTCGTCGCCCCTCCACTTCCCCAGCCGGGACCCGGCCAAAACCTGCATAGGAGCAATGCTGTCCGTCGCCGGAGAAGGTCCCATCACGAGCCCCAACTTGGGCGCCGGCCCTCAGATGCCTCCACAGTCAGCTCGCACGAGTCGCACGGAGACGAGAATGTCGACCATAACCTGGTTCCCCCGCTGACGGACGCCGAAACGATTGCCGAGGAGCATACAATGGATGACGAGTGGTGGAACGACCCGTCTAGCATGCCGCAGCAGCGGGCTGGCCAGAACATCGTCGGCCTGCTGTTCCGCGTCTCTGAGGACAACGCCCGGCGCAATGCCTACGTCCACAGGGGCTGCGCCTGTAATGTGTGCGGCATCGTCCCCATCCGCGGGATCCGGTACCGCTGTGCGAACTGCGCCGATTTCGACCTCTGCGAGACCTGCGAGACCCAGGGCTTGCACATCAAAACACACATATTTTACAAGGTCAAGATCCCCGCGCCGCCGTTTGGGCCGAGACAGATGCAGCCTGTGTGGTATCCCGGCGACCCGGAAACCTGCTTGAGGAATCTACCGAAAGAGGTCATGGTGAAACTGTCAAAGGAGACTGGCTTCGAGCGGCCCGAGCTGGAGGCGTTCTGGGAACAATGGACCTTCATGGCGAACACCGAATGGAGGGAAGACCCTGCGGATCTGGGACTCGCGATGGATCGAAAGACGTTTGAGCGCTGTCTAGTACCCTCAGGAGGTTACAGGCACACGGCTCCGAATCTTATCCACGACCGCATGTTCTCCTTTTATGACACCAACAACGACGATCTCATTGGCTTCACCGAGTTCTTGCACGGCTTGTCGTACCGGAAAAGGAAGGATAAACTGAGGAAAATATTCGATGGTTACGATATCGACCGAGACGGGCTTGTCAACCGTAGGGATTTCCTGCGTGTCTTCCGTGCATATTACGTGCTGTACAAACAGATGCATAAGGACATCCTCGAGGGCTTGGATGACCAGGTTATGAGCTCCACCGAAGCCCACCAGCTCGTGTCAGGCCGGCAGCCGATTAGCAGCCTTTTTGGTCGAGAAGGAAGGGTCCCTCGACCCGAAGGGCCCTGGTTCGTGGAGGGAAAGGCGTTCCTCAGCAATGGCGAAGATGTAGTCACGGATGGCAAGATCGGTGTTGTCAACGAAGACAAGCCAGACACAGCCGATCGAGAAACCATCTTGAAGAGCCTTTTCACCGTCGGTTTTGGTGACTTCTTCCTTGACAGCCCATTCTCGCCTGCCCCTGAGAATCCTCGATCCCCCGAGGGGGATTCCGACTCCCGGTACTGGAGAGCGCTGCTAAACCCTCCGACAAGGGTCGACGAGCTTCCCCCACTCATCTCTGGCGAACTTCGAGACGGAGATGAACTCTTTACGTCGAACAGGAACGAGGCGCATCTCGACGCCGCGGGGTCTGGTAGGGATGAAGGCGGCAGCTCAGACACCGAGAACCCGGCAGGTCAAACTGAGAATGTCGATCCTGCAAACCAAACCGCGCCAGAGGATGAGGAGAATGAAGTTGCAGGTGACGAGGCCCCTATTGCCGATGCTCCAAGGAGAAGAGACGCGGGCGAGGCGTCCGCCAGGAGATTGTCAGCTGAAATACAATCCCGGTCACATCTGCATATTGTAGCGCACAGCCACAGGGCGGCTTTAAATAAGCGGGCAAAGGTCAATGCGCGAAGGAAACTGCTTGAGAGGTGGAAGAGGCGTCAATTCTATCTGGACGAGGAGGAGGGAGCGGCCGCACCCGAGGGTTGGGATGGGGAAGACGACATCTTGGCCCAGACTAACGGCGTTGCTGAGAGCTCAAAGGCGGCCCAACATGCGCCAATATCTCCTCGATCCCGGTCATCCTCGAAGGTTAGGTTTGCTGAGGAGCCTGATGATTACGAGATCCGCTCGAATCCTTCGACCTCCTCCAGAAGCGTTCCCGAGCGGTGGGGTGGGATGGATATTCCCGACGCAGAACGGGATGCTGGCAAGGAAATCCTTTACCAAGTCACACAGCAGGCGTTCAACGAGCTCCTCGATATCCTCTTCAAGGCCAAAGAAGATCTCGCAATTGAGGCCGCCGAGACCAAGGCGCTTCGCGAGGAGCACAGGTCCTTGTTTGAGTCGATCAATCTGGATGAGGAGGACGAGAAGGCCGCGTCCTCGCCCACACATACAGACTTCATCATCGATGAATTCAAACCTACGGAGGACGTGCCCCTTGACGAACTGCTCGCAGCTAGTGGCTACACAGTTGATGAATCCTTCCAGGGGCAGACATCAGGAGAAGCGAATGATGCAGTCCTGGAAGCCATCGACGATATGGCGGGAGGCAGTGAAATGAAGGATGCCGATGACGGACCGCGAATGGAACGGGAGACGACAGAGCCGTCATCCAACGGTGACGCCGAATACCGCGATCCCACCATGCCACAGTTCAGACCAAACTCTGCATCCGGAATTTCATCCGCGCCCCCTCACCGGTCAGAGTCTAGTCACTCGGAAGGAATTACCACCCTTGCCGCCTCGGCAGATGAGAATAGGAAGGCGGCCTCCGTAGACAAAGGGAAGTCCACGAGGCCGAAGAGAACCTCCTCCCTCAAGGCGAAGAAGAAGAAGGAAGACGGCGGGATACCCGTCCCGATACCGCGCTCCACACTTGTGCGATGGAAACGTCTTGATACGGCAGAGAAGGAGGCCAGGGATCGGGGCGGCTGGGGATTGCTAAATTACGAGGAATTTGAGCGAATCTACAAGGCAGAGGATATCCAGGACAATCGACTGGATTATCTAGGCAGCTGGATAGATTTCTGTATCCCCTAGCAAGGGGTTCCAGCCACAAAGTTGGTCAAGCCGCAGTTGTGTGTGGCGCAGTTGGGCGAGAACAGGCGCGCCAGTACCGCCCCTTTCTGCCCTTCTGGCATGAGTGGTGTGTACGCAAGGAACTGTTAGATACGTTCGGATATACTATGTATGTACTCGTAGTAGCCTACCTAACGTTGTAGTACTACTAAGCGCTTGACAGGGCGCTAGTATTGTACACTAGGAAGAATTGAACTTCTGTCCAGAGCGATGATTATTCAACAAACGACGACATCCAGTTGCCTTGGAGCTGAATGCTGCTTGACCCCGCAAAGGGGCTATTAGGGGTCCGTGCTTTTCAGGCTCCCACTCTGGTAGCATCACGTGCCGTGCCAAGACAAATTTATTCATACTGTGGTAGACGACATCCAGCCGCAACAGAGCTGAAAATATTCACTTGAAGACTCCTCCTACCTACTTACTGGCATCTTCTCGGGTGTGTCCTTGGCTTCGTTTTTAGCTTGTTGTGGAGATTCGTGTGACCCCACGCAGCTGTCATTCCTTTACTCCACTGAGGACATTTCGTCATGTCATAGTATCATCTATCGATGCAAGAATTTGGAATCATTTAGTGCCTTATTCGGCCAGAATCTCCGCTGTAGTTGGAGAATTCTCTTCTCTTTTCTCCGTTTCCAGGCAGCAGTTTAAGGAGCAAATGATCGGCTGTCCGGGCCGCTGGCCGTCCTTGCAGTCGGGCAGATCATGGTGGTCTGGGAGTGGAACTGTCTTGGCCCAACGAGCGGATCCTGGTCGACAAAAAGCCAAGGCGTCCTAGCGAATGCGGACCAAAATCGGCAGTCGTCTGGGAAGAGCTAAATGCTGACTTCCCATTTCCACCTCAAAGTTTTATGACAGTTCCCCGGACGAGACGCCATGTCGGGACCGAGCATTCGAACCCATCTATGACATCTCCTCTCACGCAGACAAGGCAGCTATCGCCGGGACCGACTAGTCAGGAAGGGAACCCCGTCGGCGTGGCGTTCGTCGGCCGCCGTTTGAGATTGGTGATGTAAGACCGCTCCTGAGCACAGCCGCGCGCTTGAGGGAGCCGCTCGCGTAGCAAGGGGTCACCATTGGAAGGTGTAAACGGCGTTCACCCCTGATTTGTACAAGCTAGGGATGGGGTCCTGCCGTTTTATTGGCGCCATGTAGCGAGCCAAGAAGGAGAAAGCCGCTTTTAAGTGACCGCCAGCATTGACTAGTCTCACATCAACCCACTATCTTGGTTGAGGGCTTTAGCTTCTCACGCACTCATGATGCCCGAGGCCTCTAGAGGAAAACCCCGGCCCCAGCCTGGTAAGCTGCTACTCGCCGGAGGAAGCGATCCCTGAGACATGGGCACCATTCAAGAACTACTGTGATGGGATCGGGATGCCTCAACTCCTGACCCTCAGATATCAACTCACGGCAAGTAGAGTGCATATAACCTCGACCTTCGACTTGCTTTCCCTGCCCAGCACAGACAGACACCCGCAGCAACACTCAGACCATCATATGTGTGTATAGCTCTTGAGTGGATACCCCAACCAAACAGAATGTCAGCAACTTCGTCCGAGGCACCGTCACCAACGCAGGCGTCGACAGCTCTGAGGTCGTCAAGAGTCTGTTTGAATTGCAGGAGGAAGAAAAAGCGATGCGACAAGGCTCTTCCTTCTTGTGGAAGATGCACATAGTATGGGTTTTGCCCCTTGCCCCCCGAATTCCGGCCCCTAACTTGGGAAAGGACCTAACCTTCGCATAGCTCTCTCGAGATTTGCCAACATGAAGATGATCCACCCCTTGGAGGGAGTTCCAGTGTCTCGGGTCACGCGAGCTTTGAATCGTTGGTCACGCGGTTCACGTCGCCATCACCCATGCTTGGCATGGATCCCATTCTAGAAAGCCTGCTAGGCCAGCAAGGAGGCTCCTGTTGGAGTACTACTCTCAGTCCTTCGTTATTCACATCCCTAGACTCGGGAGAGAGCGTCCACTCGTTCATGTTCCGCAGTTTGTCAGAGATGGTCGGACAGCGATCCAACGTCGAACAAGTCATCTCGTTTTACTTTGGGAGCGTGAATACCTGGTTTACCATTGTCGAACGAGCCACATTCGAACCGCAGGTGGAAGAGATGTGGGCCACCCCGTCTGCCGAAACCGCGCTGCTCGTGATCTGCATGCTTCTCATCGTCCGGACGCCATACGAGAACACCGCACCAGCGATGGACGACTGTCTCTACCTGTCGGCCAAGGCTGCCTTCGCTCTGGTGCAGAGCAGGGTTCCATTATCAACTTCTCTGTTGCAATCGAAGCTGCTTATCGCTTTGTATGAGTACTCGCACTCAATGCCCCAGCAAGCATACATCTCCCTGGGGACTTGCGTCCAGATGAGCAAAGCATTCGGTTGGTTCAACAAAAATTATTGGAGTGAGAAACGGCAGCAATTGCTGCCTGCCGAGTTGAAACTCTCTTCGATCCAGTGCTGGGCGGTCGTTTATGTTGACTGGTAAGGCGACAGATACCGAAGCAACTATGGAAAGGGTCCGCTAATTTCGGCTCGAACAGTTTGTTGAATATCAGTTATCCGGATCAGAAGTACCCTCTCAGCGTCGACGAACTGGACTTCTCGATTCCGTTGCCACAAGCCTTCGACCAGTATTTGTCGGGGGCCGCAGCATTAGGTTTCCAAGCCAGGCAGGGGGAACTCGCGGACGCCCACATTGATCGAATCGAGGATATAATCTGGCCCGAGGCAAACTCGGCGTGGTATCTGAGCACGTTTCTCCACGAAGTACAAGGCCCTACGACGCTAACCCCGGTGGACCGCAACAACCTCACGGATGCTGTGACAGCTCACACCCTCAATATCATGGGAGTTCGCTGGAGGTTCGGCAACCGTTCTGCGGCAATCAACGCGAATTTCATGTAGGGGTCATCTCATCTTCCAACGAACCGGAATCTTTGGCTAACAGCAAGACAGAACCCTGATGAAGATAGACCAGCCATACCTGATAGCTGGAGGGCCAGCCTCCCAGACATTGTCAGGCACTGATAACCGGCCCGTGAAGACGATCAACTCGGTTATCAGCTCCGTGTATAACATTTCTCAGTCCCTTAACTCGTCGTCCACATTTCAGCAACTGGGCTCGGTACCCCCAACCGGTGCTTTTTGCATGTATTATGCGTCTATGTTGCTGATCTCTCATGGAAACAACACCCTCCAAGACAGCGGATGGCTGCAAAAGATTGAAAGCTTCCAGCAAAGTCTTCGAATATACTCGAGGAGGTGGAGGATCGCAGGTGGGCAACCCCAGCTACCAGCGAGAAGGTGTAATGCTAATATTCAATTGGAATAGCCAAATACGTTGATTCGATCGACCTGGCTATCGCCACTCGTTTAGGTCAATTCAAGAGTTAGGCCTCTACCTGCTGGGATGCAGGGCGGCTTCTGATAAATTATGGCTCCAGAGCTTCTAACAAAGACTTCGAGTCGTGTTGGTCTCGAACTGTGAAGGGCAAAATATATGGTTTTCGGACGATATTCGTCTCTACCATCACGCCGGTATCGAGCTCAGAACCGTTCCGTCGATAACCCAGAGGAGGCGGCAGGGACTCTGGAGTTCCCGTATGTTTTTAAAACCGATGCAGTGAGAACGATCTTTCTTATACCCCCTTTTCCCCCTTCCGAAGGATCCAACAGGGTTTTATGTCAGCAAACCGGGCGTTGGTTCCGGATCGCCCGTCTTACGGCCCGATCATCAGCGGCCTCCGGAACGGGATGAGAAGTCTCCGACATCCGATTATAGAAACTGTCGGTCGGGGACGTGGATGACACATATGGTTATAGCTGCTATATCAGCATTGGTTGGGTCAATGCCCGGAGTACCTTGGAATCGGGAGTTCCTTCTCTATCTGGCTTTACATGGCAATCATACATTCGTTCACCAACCAAATAAGGAATCCAGCGGGAATTGCAAAGCGCGAGTTAATCCAGTTGACCAACCCCAACTTATGTATCTTACTTTAACAATGGGCCATTACGGCTGCCATACAAGACTTCACAATCCTCGACCAAACGGGAGTCATAAGCCCATCCATTCGTAGGTCAACTTTGCCCAGCCATTCTCCTCCACCCCACGCAACCAACCCCTCATGCGTGCCAGAGCCTCGAAATAGCCTCGGTCACGCCCACATCCGTCGTCTCAAACTCGTACAGGCCAAGGGCGACCAGGGCGGTGACGGCGTTCAGCCCCCACATGAAGGCCTTCCGGACCCTGGGCATGCGGTTCGTCGGGACGTAGTCGATGATGATGGCCTGGAAGCCGAGGTGGGAGTGGACCAGGATCATGGCGCACAGCAGGGCGTCCAGGCTCGGGTTCAGCGACCCGGCCGCGAAGGGGGTGAGGGTGAGGGGCACGAGCCCGGCCGCGACGAGGCGCTCAAACGTCCAGTGGTAGGAGCCGTGCGAGGGGGACGGGGCGGGGACGGGCGTCGGGTCGTTGACTGCGTTTGGCTGGGGTTAGCATATATCTCCTCTCTTGCGGGGGCGTATTCGATGGGGGTCGCGAGCTTTGTTTCGGGGAACGTACCTCCGCCTTGGACTCGTTCTGCGCAGCTGGTTAGTCATTGATGAATGGATGGCATTCCCGTCTTTGGGATGAGGACGTCAGAGAAACTCACGAGGAAGAGGGGGCAGGATAGACCTCCGGCTTGTGGTATGGAAGGATGTGACCCGCGCCGCGTTGGCGACGACGCTCTGCCGGATTCCACGCTGCAGGGCGGCCTTGCAGACCAGAGACGGACCAGCCCGGCTCGGTGCGACCGACATTTTGGAAGCAGTGGCGGCAGCCTGCCTGAGCAGGGCTGGGCGGACGATTGATGCCATTCTGTATCGATTTCCTGGCGGCCAATTGAGCTCCTCTTTATTATCGATATTCGGCGGACGACTTGGAGTGACCAAGTTTAGAATTGGCTGCCGGTGTTTTCGGGATAGAGGCAGGATGATTGCCGAGGATCAGAATCGGAAGCTCTGTCATTGGCCAGCGCATGATACAGCTACCTCATACATCCATGTGGGCAGCGTCGGGCTGGAACAATGAATTTACCTAGCGTCTATGTTGAGGATGGAATCGGATCGGGACTTGTAATTGTTGGCCCGAGCTTCGTGATCATGCAGGTAGGTACCCTGAAATTTTTGGAGCTCCAGTGTTGGTGATGCAGATAGTCGACAATTGGAACTTGGCGGTATAACTGCGCCCTACGCCCCATTTGGGCCCGATATGCTGAAGACCAGGCAACGCTCCTTATTTGTGTGAACTAAGTTACTCTGCGACCATTTATTTGCCTGTCGTTGCTGCTCGAATGGCCGGCACTTCAAGGCCTGCCTTCTTGCTAGGCAAGGCGCGAGTATGTCAGAGGTGCTTGAGAGCTCAAGCTAGGGGCTCTGCATTGTCACAAGGACAAGGTCGATTGATCCATTTGTCGGTCCTAGCAAAGCGTGAAAAGGCTGCAAAAGCATGGGAGGACTATTCAAAGGAGATCGAGGCAGGCACCCGACCACATCTTTGGGATATGCTTGAGGAGCGAGGATATATCAAGGACATAGCAGGGTACGCCTAGCCCCCCTCTCTTGTTTCTTCACCCCTCTAACATGATGCAGACAACGAGATGTGGTTCGGGAACTTATGCGCCAAAGACGAATAGGCGCCTATGTTGGAATCGACCCAACGGCCTCTTCCCTCCATGTTGGCCATCTACTGCCACTCATGCCTCTTTTCTGGATGTACATGCACGGCTATGGAGCAACGACCCTAATAGGAGGCGCAACTGCCAAGATTGGAGACCCGACCGACCGATTGAAGACCAGGGAGAAGATGGACAGGGCCACCATGACGATGAACATGACCAAGGTGCACTACCAACTGAAGAAGATATGGATGAACGTCGAGACTCAGGCCACAAGGCATGGCTATAAGAAGGAATGGGCGTGGAAGCGTGCCATTGTCAACAACAATGCCTGGTGGAACGCTCTTCCCATGCTGGAGGTCCTGCGGAGGATTGGCACTTCGATGAGGATAGGGCCCATGCTCTCTCGCGATACGTGAGCTGACCCTTCCCGCGATTACGTTGATTATATGCTGACCGATATGGTTTGAAGTGTCAAGAGAAAGATGACCGAAGGCGACGGAGTATCCTTTGCTGAATTTAGCTACCCTCTCATGCAGGGCTGGGATTGGTGGCACATGTTCAGCTCCATGAACGTTCAGATGCAAATTGGAGGATCCGACCAATACGGCAACATCCTAAGCGGTATCGAGACGATAAAGGCTGCCCGGTCAAGCGAGCCCGACCCAGACCTAAAGCTGGCGCGCAACTCCGAATACGATGACCCAGTCGGCTTTACTGTGCCCCTCATGACCGATTCCTCGGGGGCCAAGTTCGGCAAGAGCGCGGGGAATGCGGTGTGGCTCGACCCCTTCCAGACATCTGCGTTCGACCTGTACGGATACTTCATGCGGAGGCCGGATGCTGATGTTGAGAGGCTTCTCAAGCTCTTTACCTTTTTGCCAGCGGAGAAAACACAGCAACTGATGGAGGAGCACAACGCCGATCCGTCCCAGAGGGTCGCCCACCATGCTCTTGCGTTCGAGGTGACGACTCTGGCGCATGGTTTTGAGGTAGCGCGAGAGACCCAAGCGGAGCATCGTGCAATGTACAGCAAAGGTTCAGGGCAAGTCCGCACCGCAAGAGCAGACCAACCTCAAGAGGCCGAGTACACCCCACAAGAGGGCAGGCCAACAACGCTGAACAACGCGCCCCGGATAGACATGATCCTCCCAGAATCCGTGGTCTTGGGCAAGTCCATCGGGCGCATTCTCTTCGCGGCCGGTCTTGCGACCAGCGCCGCCGACGGCCACAGACTCGCCATGCAGCAAGGGGCCTATGTCGGGGCCGCGCCGGGGCAAAAGGCCGGCACCAACAAGGGCATGCTCCTCGGCCAACTCCAGTTCACGCCCGTCAAGGCCTGGTTTCCCGAGGACACCAAGAACTTCCTCATCGATGGGAAGCTACTGATCCTCCGCAAAGGAAAGCACAACATCAGGGCCATCGAGATGGTCAGCGACGAGGAGTTCGAGGCCTCGGGGAGGACCTATCCGGGCCAGCCGTACACCGGGAAGGTCCGAATGCTGAACGAGAAGCTCAAGGAACTGAAAGCGGGGAAGACCGAGGCCGACGGAATCACAGCCAGGGATGACTTTGATAAAGCTTTCGACACCGCAATTGAAGGCGAGGACTCGGAAGCCGAGCCATCGATTGTCTTCCCCGAGGAGAAGACGCGTCAGCAAGTGGCGCTGGAAGAGAAGCTGAAGAAACACTCCTAAACATAACTACTTTCACGGGGTGGCAGTCGGACGTAGGGGGGGATTGTACGAAATGTATTGTATTGTAGATACCACTGAGACGGGGATTTGTGTGTATTACCTGATGATACCTGTGTATCGGAAATAGCTGTTACACTTAGAGATAGACAAACCTCCCAATTCATCGGGCCTCAGAAAAGGGCCCGTCCAACAATTCAACCCAATGGGTAACGTCCTGCCGAGGTTCCTCCCAACCAAGAATCCTTCCCAGCTACCTATACAGAACAGTAAGGTCCGCCGCCGGGCCCGGGAAACTCTTGAGCTTCTTCATGATCTCGGCGTCGGTGAGGTTCTGCTCGGTGATGATCTGGTCAAAGGTGTGGCAGCCGTCGGTGTAGCGCTGCAGCGGGTCGCCGCCGGCGCTGGGCCTGGCCTGGCCCGTGGCCAGCGCGGCGAGGTACTGCTTGGACACGACGTGCTTGTGCACGCGGTACAGGCAGCCCTTGATGACGCCGAACTGCACCAGGCGCCGCACGTCGACGTATCGCAGCACGTCGAAACCGGCGTCCATGTGGCCCTTGAGCCACTCGGCCACGGTCTTGCCGACGCAGAAGCTCGTCATCAGCTTGACGAGCTGGTAGTTGGATACGCGCTGTTGTTGTTGCTGTTGCTGCTGCTGCTGCGGCTGTCCGGCCGCGGAAGAGGAGGCGGCGGCGGCGGCAGCAGCAGCAGCAGCAGCAGCAGCAGCGCGGGGCCCCGACCCGGGGCCGATGCCGGAGCCGGGGCCGATGCACACGTAGTTTGCGCACTCGTCGGTGATGCCGCCGACGTTAGCGACGAAGTCGTGGATGCCCGGGCGGAGCGCGTAGCAGGACCCGAAGAAGAACATGTCGAGCAGGAGGACGGTGTCGTAGTAGAGCAGGTGGCGCAGGGCGAGGCGCGCGAGGTCGAGGGAGACGTCGGCGGCGAAGGCGATGCGGCGGACGTCGCTGACGCCGTCGATGTGGGCGATGACGCGCTGCAGGGTCAGGTCCCAGGTCGGGTCGACGACGTCGGCGAGGCGCATCTTGGCCACGGGCACGTGCCAGCCCTTGACGTCAGGCGGGGTCGGGTGGTGCGGGAACAGCTTCATGTTGATGGTGTTGGCGTCGTCGACGGGGATCATACACTCGCCGTAGTTGTTCAGGTCCTCCTTGACGATCTCGAGGAGCGACTCGATCGGCCGCCGCAGCCGCTCCCCGCCGTGCGAGCCCGACACGGCACCGTTGTCGCCGTCTCCGCCGCCGCCGCCTCCGCCATCGTCGCTGCCGCACGCGTCCTGGCTAAGGTAGTTGTCCTGCTTCTCCATCTCTGCAAACGTGACGGCTAGCCGCCGCACGACTCGCTCATAAGGGATGTGGTCAACGTCGGACTCAACCACGAGCCCGAAGTTGAAGATGAACTCGTTCCTGTCGTACCTGGGGCTCGGGATCGAGACCGGGAAGCCGAGGACGGTATACTTGCCGTCCGGGTCGTTGACCGTCATGTAGCGGTTGTAGAACGACTTCCTGGGAATTATGTATTCCTGGAGGATATTGAAGTCAAAAAGACACGGTTTGTCGACACCTGGAACGGGAACTATGCATCCTGGGGGACTTTGCGCGTAGATCTTGGTTCCTGTAATTCCTGTTAGACAATCGGGCTTGTGATGGGGGCCAGAGGAGCCACCGATCTATCATTGCTGAGAAGCAGTTCGGTGTCCTAGTTATGAAGGGTCGATGCGGTTCCTGGCCGTACCTTCTTTGGGAAAGAACCTGGCATAGAAGATGCCCTGAATCATGATGGGTGAGGCGCCGCCGGTGAGACTGTCAACGGAAAGCAGGACGCGCACAATCTTGCGTTCTTGCGGCCATGCGTGGGATTACTCAAATCACGTAAATTGCCTTGCTCTGGGTTCATTCCATCCCATTTTAATTGATGTGGAACTGACCATAAGGAGATTCAATCTTCTGGTCCGTCTGAAGGGTTGATTTCAGACTTCAAAGTTCCCAAGTCCCATGATTTTAACGTGATTGGCTGATATCCTTTACAGCAGCTCTTCTCAACCCGAAAACTACCTACTGATAACCCTCGATTTCCTAGTGTCAAGTGGCATACTGACTGCCATTTTTAATGATCCTCTTTCCATAAATTACATTTCACAAAAGATAGGTGCCAGGACAGGGACTCAACCTTGGAAACCGGCCCCTAAAGCCTAAAAAGAGCAGATCATGAGAGACGGGACACTGCTTGTCACGCCTTAGAACCATGAGGTATCCAGCCAGTCTATTACTTCATATAAAATCTAAACACCCTACAAAAAGGGGTAAAGCTCACTATCACCGCTGCGCATCATCCGCGGCCCCCGTCGGCGTGATATCCCTCTTCCCAAACCTCGCTCCCAGGCCGCCGATATCCCTCCGGAAGAACTTGCCAATGTTCTTCAGGTTGTCGTTGATAGTCGCCTTCTCCGGCGTCTGCGCGGGCCCCGCCCCCGCCGCGCCCGGGGAGGAGGACGACGCGCCGGCGGTCGCGGCCCCCCCGGCCGTGCCCATCCTCTCCACGCCGTCCCTCGCCGACTTGAGCAGCTTCTCGCCCAGGGACGCGGCGTCGAACCTCGTCTGCAGGCCGGCCGCCGCTCCGCCGGTGGCGGCCGTCAGCGCGGCGGCGGCGGCGGGGCTGATGCCGAGGCCGGCGCTCCCCAGGCCGGAGCCCGCCATGAGCGGGGTCAGAAGCGGGGAGCTGTGCACGAGCGGCTTGTCGGTGCCGGAGCCATCACGGTGGATGGTGAAGAGCTCGACGAGGTGGGGCTGCTCCTGCTTGCGGACGCCCTTGAGCTCGAGGATCTTGCGGAAGTTGGTGTCGGACCGGTCGCCGATGTGGATGAGGTAGGCCTGCACGAGGCCCTCCGGCGGGGTCGGGCGGACCTGCAGGGTCTTGAGCAAGGGGTCGATGCGGGTCATGCTTTGGTTGACCCTCTTGACGAAGCTCGCCGGGGGGTTGTAGGGAGCAGAAGAGGATGGATTATGGTAGGCGAGGAGGTTCTCGAAATCTTTGGTCAAAACGTATTTGTCCAGAAGCATCTGTCGGGGGGAAGTAAGTAAGCGTCCCGAGGGCTGCATCGCGTAAGAGAGACAGTAGTCCTACCTGTTCAGCACCGACTTCAGACACGGGCCGGCATTGCACAATGTTGTTGATATATGCACTGGCCATATGCTCGATGACATTGTCACAGAACGCTCGAGCATACTGTTGCTTGCCGATGAGAGGGAGGATTTCCGCCGTCTTGTCGTTGACCTGCTTTAGCAGCTCACCCACATAGCTGCTGTGGTCACTGACGCTCTCCATCTTGCTCCAGTTGGTGTTCCTCATCTCCCTCCAGGGCCCCTCGCAATTAAGCTCGACCTTGTGAACCATGGCTAGCACGGCTGCACTGGCCACGCCCATGAATGCGTCCGACTGGGACGAGAGATCTACTTTCGGCTTCATCTCCGCATCGACGCGTTTCTTGATGTTCTCCTCGAGTTGGTTGGTATTAGTGTGCCAGAAATCGGCCGTGTTCAAGACTAAGATGATGTCCTGGAGAGGCGGACCAGGCTGGCCCCCTTTCTGGAGAAAAGTAAGCAGGACTTGCTGTGCGTACTCGTCCAAATACTTTGCAAATGTTCTGGACAGGTCGAGCAGCCGTTCCCCGGTGGAGAGTTTGGCACACTGTGACAGCGTGAGCTTGTAGAAGTGGAACAGCTCGATGGCGGACGGAATGACCGCTTGGGGCGAGAACTCCTCATCCTCCGGGAGGAGTGGCTGGGTCTTGTACTTGGGAATCATGGCTGCCAACGCCCGGTCCTGGGATTCAACCCACAGACTCAAGTACGGCTCAAACGCAACGGATATTGACCCATTGAAGCTCTGGGTGCGCTCGTCTGCCGAGCTCAGTGTGTCGATGCTCGCTCTCGGTTCGCTGGCAAACCGCCTCTCCAGGCTCTGTTCAAAGTTCATTGTCTCTTGCAGGCAGCTGAGGAGTAGATTGACGTCGACCTTGTTACCGTCCGCCCTCCTCATGCTCCTCTCCAGAATCCCCTTGAAGTCGTCCCGCGTGCCGTCGCAAAAGGCCATGGCCAGGACCTCGCCGACGCGCCAGTGAGGGGGGAATATGGCAGCGTGCTCATCCTCATGGGTCTTGAGCATCCTCTTGAACCAGGCATATCGCCTGCCAATGTTGTCCAAGCTTCCCGCCTCGTCGTTGCCCCGGAACACGTGCCGGTATTCCCTCAGCTCGGTGTTCACGTACCACGTCACCAGCCTCGACTTTGCATGCTCCCCCAGCGCGTCCATGACCAGGCACGCCTCGACCAGCGTCCCCCTCCGGTCGGCGGTCTCGTGCTTCGCAAAGGCAATCTCGAAGTCCTCGCAGACCTGCTCCAGCAGCTCGCGCTGCAGCTCGCTGACGTTTCTGCTCAGCACGGCGATCTGCTCGATGCTCCGGTAGCTGTGGAAGTGGCGCATGAGCTGCAGCACGGCCTGCAGAAGGCCGGCGCACTCGCGGTACTGCCGGGTGCGGGCGAGGCCGCGCAGCTGCTCGTAGGCCGTGGTCAGCATCTGCAGGCGCTTCAGGGCGGTCATGCTGAGGGTCAGGTTGCGCTTGGTGCCGTCGAGCCGCTTGATGTCGGCCGTCATGGTTGTGATGTCGCGCTCCGTCTGCAGGGCCCGGCTGCGGACGCTCTCGATGCGCCGGAAGAGCGAGGCTAGCTCGGCCTGGGCGGACTGCATCCGCTCCAGGGAGCTGTCGGGCCCGTACGCCTGCGCCGTCTCGAGGGCCGATATGGAGCGCGTGAGGTCATCCTTGTGGTTCTGGAGCGTGGAGGAGACGTTTCCGATCGAAGCTACAGCGGACGGGTGGGAGAAGAGGAGGTTGAGATGGGAGATGGGGTCGTAGTTTACTGTTGGGGAGACTGACGTTAGCTTTCTATTCTTTGCGTGAGACCAGGAAGAGTCAGGCAATCAGGGGGGAAATACCAGAATCCAGAGATGATGCTTCAACTTGAGTGATATTCATGATTAGGTAGTCTTGCCATGAATCAATGGCTGGGTTGTCGTGGCCATGTACTCCGTAGCAAGTTGTCGATGGCTGAGGTGACTTAGGCCGAGAAACACCTGTACTTCTCCAAGGTGAGCTCGGTGTGGGATTCAGCACGTGTGCATGTATCACCCCGACACCCCGACACCCCGACACCCCGACCCTCACACCGCGCCGGGATGCGATCATCTGACGGCAACAGCCGAGCTAGGTACCTAGCTCATCCGATGTGGGGAGGACCAAAGGAATATTTAATTGGTTGTGTTCCAGAAGCAACCATCGTCCCGCACAAGCTTCGGATATCCATACATTTTGATTGATGATCTTGCTGCCTGGAGACCTACACTCGGGACGTCTTGCCTTGGGCATCAAAACGGAGCCCACACCATGCTGCAGGGTACATCCCACACAGTCTACAGATTGCAGGGCGGGTAGTCTTGATTCAACCGTGAGACAAGGAACGAGAAAAGGAGGTAACCATTAGAAATCTTTGTTGGGGAGAAATCTCGTTTTTAAATCTACGCCAAAGCCAAACGCACCCCTTCCCCCCTTTCCTTGAATGATGCTGAAAATGCCAGGTATATCTAGATAACAGAGAAGAGGGTAACAAGAGCAGCAGCAGCACATTAGCTTTTTTTTTCTTGAAATTTTTGGTCTCCAACCTCCCCACCACCTCTCCACCCACCTGCAGGGAAAAGGCGCACAAACATAGGGTTGCAACGGGAAAATATGGGTTCTCCAGCCAGCCGGAAAACGGCATGCATGACATCGTTAGCAGACGGGGGGGGAAAAAGAAACGAGAAGAAACAAGTCACCGGGCCGCCAAGTCAGACCAGACCTCCCAGGGCAGGCCGAGTGTCCTCCCGCCCTCTTGAACCAATGTGAAGAGGATGGAACCTATGGAACCCCCCCGCTAGCCGAGGGCCACTAAACGATACAGGTCGTTTACCGCCTGTTTAGTTCGCCGTCGATGAGACCGAATCGACAAATCCTGTCCAGGCAGGGCGGCTCGGGTGGAGAGAGGTTCCCTACCACTCCGGGGGGAAGGGGATCCTCCCTCCATGCAGGGTATCATGAGCTGTGCAGTGCGCGGAAACCTGCCGCGATCAGACTTCGTTTGCTGTCCTTCGCATCCGCCGGTGCGTTCCAGTAGAATAGCCCCTGTGACGTAACGCATGTCAGTCTTTGCTCTCTGGTGGTCCTGCGTGCGTGCCGTGTAACCAGAGCAGAACAAGCGGGGAAAATAGAAAGGGAGCGGTGGGAGCGGTGGGGGGCAGGGGGGAGGAGCTTGGATGCGCAACGGCGGGACGTTGATCTCTCTGAACTCACCCCTAGTCCCTTCTGCTTGCAGAAGGCCGCCTTCATCTTGACCGTGTCTGGGTTGTCGTATGTCACAAAGCCGCCGTCTCCACCGACGCACTGCGCCGCGACGGACCGCTTGTCGACCTGCTCCTTGGTGCCCCTCCTGGGCAGGTCCTTGTACTCGAATGAGCCGTCCTCGCCGCCGGCTCCCTTGAACTTCTGCCCGGGCCCCGTGGCCTGGAGGAAGCTGCGCCCAAAGAGGGGGATCCCGAGAAGGATCTTCTTCCCCGGCACGCCTGATGCCATGAGATAGCTGACGCCGGACGAGCCCGAGGTTTCGTCCTTGTTCATCGCATACAGCTGGGATTGGTGACCGCTCCGGTTCGTCCACGAGCCGTAGAAGTCGTAGGCTGTCAGGTTGATGAAATCCAGATAGTCCACCGACTGGCGCAGGTCGATGCACTGCAAAACGGCCTTGGCCGCGGGCAGAGCAGCGGTGAGCAAGTAGTAGTCTTCGGGAAGGTGGATGCGAGTGGCAGCCAGAAGAGCTAGGAAATCGGCACCTTGCTGCTGGTCGCAAGGATATTCCCACACAACTAGTCGGAGAGGCGCGGTAAGAATTAGGAAAGAGTTGAAGGGAGCGAACGAGGTACGTGGAAGAAGGGAGGGCGTGAGAGAAAAAGGAAGGGGGAGGGGGGGGGGGGGGGGGGGGTTGGTTAACGGGGGGCGTTGTCTTACTATCTATTCCATCCAGACCCGAGGCCTCAACCAGACCGCGCGCAGACCGCCCGAAATTATCGCGAAATATCGGGTCCGACGCCACAATGGGGAACATCTCGCCCGACTGCGAACCGCCAATGGACAAAATCACCTGAAGGTGAGGGTGCTTCTGCTTGAGGTGCATCAAAGAACCCAATGCGCCCTGGACGCCGTCACAAGGTGCTTGGGCATCTGCCCACTCGTCGCTCAGCTGTGAGGGGGATTAGCAAGGCGACGGCCCCGGATGAGCGGTGCCGAGGAAGAACTAACAAAGACAGTGCCGTCGGGCGAGAGGTTGGCGAAAGCGTAATACACGTGGTTGATACAGCCATAGTTCAACTCTCCCGGGGTGTCGCCCTTGTACACCCTATAGTTGGGGAAGTACACGGCATTCGTGTACATGACGTTGGACACGCTCGTCGCCATGCGCGACTTGCGCGACGATGAGGATGAAGAGCTCATCGTCGTTGTAGTGATGGCAGTAACAAGGGGAGACGAGATTTAGGCGAGGACAGATAGGAAGACGAGAACATGGTTAATGGATCATGTACGAGTGGGCAGGCGCCGAGAACCTCTGAATATCCCGGGGGACGGGCTGGGCCAAACACATATTGGACGGATGGAATCGAGATGTCGGGCAGCAAGGCCAGGGAGGAGGTGGGCGGGATTTTGCGAACGTGTCTCTTATATATACATCGTCCGGCGGAGATGGGACAAGTTCCATAGCTACGGGTAGGGAAGGGGACCTGCAACAAGACGGTGAGCTGCACTTGGTGGAGTCGGAAAACGGGTATCAAAATTACCATGTACACGAAGGACCAGGATTCGACGACGCGGTTGATGCATGACATAATTTGTAGCGATAGTGGAGGGGGGATCCGTCGCAAGGGAGGATAGTGGACGGGCAGACGGCAGGGCCCTACGTACATACCTCAGGTACCTACCTAATGTATGTACCTCTCGCAGCAGTACATATGCGTATAGATCTTCCCTGCTACTACCTACATGCGCCCAGTCCAGTTACGGTCCAGAGAAGACGCACTTACGGAGACGACCAGAGACGGGGGCCCCGGAGAATGAGGGTCCATGAAATTGGCGAGCATAGGGATGACACGTCCGGTACCCAAAAGGTTACGTGGGATGTCTCGGTCGCTATTGGGGGGGAGGGGGGGGCGTTGATGGATTGATTACATCTACACACGTACATAGGTATCTCACGGGGATTCGGGGAGGGGAGCGCCTCTCGATTCCTTGTGGGGTGTCCCTGGCGGCAGTTGGCGATCCCAAGGGTTGGAAGAAGGCATTCAGTGTGACCTTGACACATCGTTTTTTTCCTCAGCCGAGTTCCGTCTTGGTCCCTGGGACTGCCAGTGAATCCTGCCAATCTGCGTTCTCCGTCTTTACAGTTAATTCCACCCAATCGGCCCCTTTGTCTGCTCCGTTGGCGCGGCAGGTATACAACGGTAACGGTTTGACGCGCGAGGGAAGGGGGTCCATTTATACGCCCTTTATAAATGGAGACGGGTTCTTGCCTGTACTGAGGGATTTGGAGCGGCTTCTCAAATCTCGTTTACGGCTCGAATCGCCAAACTTTTATTTTTCTATTTTGTATTTATTCTTCGTACCCTTCTGTCCACAAGGGCTGGCCCGAGGCTCAAGACGGGATCGGACCGGGATGCCGGAGAATTACGGGGCTGGCTGGGACTGAATGCTTACACTTTACACTTCATTACGGAGAGCCGAGGAATTCAGGGAGATATGATCCGCGAGCATGTCTTTTGCGAAGATAGAGAGGACCCGTCGGCACATGTTGTTCGACAGACGCGGTTTCTCCACTGGCCCTTGTACGAGGCCAAAAACAAGGCCAGCATGGCAGCAGGATGGTGATCGGCCTGGAACCCGCAGGCCAATTCAATTCCGCACCTACTATGGTATTTCTTCTTCATCCAGAGTACCGATGGCAAGATGATCTGGCCAGGTTCCGCAGGTGTATGAATCAGGTCACGAGGACCATTACTACCTTCGGGGACCGCGTAGCCATGGAGAGGCCACGGAGAGGCCACGGATAGGTCACGGATAGGGCATGCCGTCATGATCGATGGGTCGGTCGGGTGGTCGGGGAAATGCGCCACTTTGAGGCTCTGCAAGGGCTTGCAAAATCGACATGAAACCTGAACCATGGATGAAGGCCCGCCAAGGACCTGCCTGATCCGGGACGTTGGCCGTGGCTAAATCACCGAGCCCTTGCCTGTAGTTGTACTGCCTTACTAATAGAAAAGCATCTATGGGTCAGAAGCTAGAAGGACCAGTTACGTCGCACAGATAAGCGAAGAGTGCCTATTCTTGTGAGTCTCTGTCTCTGAATTATAAAAGGCGCCTCCTGGCTTGGAACCAAGGTTGAGGATCATGATGATGGTTGCGAATTTTCCCACGTGTCTTGATCCTACTCCCGCTCCAGCTTACAAACGGTCCCGTCCTCCACGTGGCAGGCATGTCTTGTTCGGGCTCGGGTCTTACCGGCCCACCTCCTGCCGTCTTCGAATAGAAAGACCTAGGCATTCGCAAGGTGAGACGGCAACGAGAACGGTGATGACTCTGATGACGATTCTTAAGTCGGCTATCCAAGACATCGTAATAGGTAACTCCCTACCCGCTAAGTATGGGCAAAGAAGTAGGTACGTCGGAGTACGAGTAGTGGGAATGCGACGGCACTGACTAGGATCACGGTACGGGTAGGTGTTATGGAAGATGGATTGCACACTAGAACCCTGATAACTACCTAGTGACCTGAGCCTGTTCTTAATAAGGAATAGACGAATTTTCCTTCTGTGTGGCCCCTTCAGGTTCTTCCCGAGTGCCATCGAAAGCCGGAGAATGCAACCAGAAAAGAGAGAAAAAAGAGTTTGAGATAAATAAATGTAAGGCGAGACGAAGCCCGAAGCACAGGCTGTATTCTTCCGTTGGTATCTAACGATAGAGCTGCGGCAGTCTCGATGGCGATCGCATAGGCTATAACGAGGCAGCTAATTGGGATGCTGTCTGTAAATCGCGAACCTCGCATGCTTCATTTCTTCAGACACAGAAGGAGTCAGATGCTTCAGCCTGGCGATTCACTTCGAATTCAAGACTTTCAAAGTACCTAGGTAGGTACGTAGTTGGTGGATGGATGCCTGAGGACTACTAAGGTTGTAGAAAGAAGAAGAACCAATCAGTGAATACGTCTGATTGGAGGCAACAACTGCCTGCTCCACAGTGTGTTCGGCGGCGGCGTATCTGTCAAGTGGCAACCTCTCAACCTCAGCCCCTCACTCGAGCTCCCAAGGTAATTCCGACAAACGACTTCTGCCGCAGAGCTCGTCTTGTTACGTTGTTGCTTTTTGTCCATGATCTAATTCTCAACCCGCCCTTCTGTTGAGAATTATTTCCTCGTTTCTCTCGGCCCTGCACTACCCCGCCAGTGTCCCTCCGAAGTCGAGGACATTGCAAACACCTGGTTGCGACATCGCGGACCTCGCGGACCTGGTGCACGTCTGCAGACACGTCTGCCTTGCCCCCCGCCTCACCCGAATTTTACCACAGCACCATGGCAGACAATGCGGAGAACAGCAGCGGTGGCGCTACCTTGACCTTCAAGGTCAAAACCTCTGGCGATAGGAGCCATACAATCACGATGGCTGAGACCACGACCGTCTTGGACCTCAAGACGAAGCTTGCTGGAGAGGACTTTGAGAACATCCCTGTTGAGAGGCAGCGTCTGATCTACTCGGGACGAGTCATGAAGAATGACGATGCGCTCAGCACATACAAAATCAAAGCTGGAAACACCATTCACATGGTGAAGAGCGCAGCCAGCAATCCGGCTCCCACTTCTTCCTCCTCCGCTCCTGTACCCCAGGCTGTCCCTCAGAACATGGCTGCGGGGACGGCTGCAAATAATATTCTGGCTGGGCTCACTGGCGCCAGATTCGCCGGACAGGCAAACCTCCCGAGCCGAGACATCTTCGGCGCCGATGGCGGAGTAAGGAATTCCCAACCATGAGATACTCTTCTTCCCTAGCACCTACTAACTGTTCTCGCCAGATGGGTGCCCCGCCCAACGAAGATCAGATGGCAGACATGCTGTCAAACCCTGCGATTGCACAAACCATGAACGAGGCACTGAACAACCCGGCGTTTGTAGACTACATGATCCAGTCCAACCCGATGCTGGCAAACATGCCCAATGCCCGAGAGATGATCCAGTCGCCCTACTTCCGCAACATGATGACCAACCCAGAGGCTCTACGGATGGCGGCGAGAATGAGGCGAATGATGGGCGGGGGAGGAGGACCAGGCTCCTTTCCGGCCCCCGGAGTCACCGACACCACTCCAGAAGGTGCGGCAGGCAGTGATGGCAGCGCCGGCGCCGGTGGCGAAGGGCAAAACCAAAGCCCATTCGGGTTTCCGGGCATGTTTGGAGCAGCAGCTGGCGGTGGTGCCGACGCAAACCCGTTTGCAAACATGTTCAACCCCTTTGGGGTTCACCCTCCGCAGACCCAAGGATCAAATCCAGCATCACCGCCGGCAGCTGGCCAGACTGGCTCAGCGCCGCAAGCCGATAGCAACTCCGCCCAGCGTGGCGCAGGCGATGCCTCGGCGCAACCCGCATCAACCCCAAACGCCCAGGCGAACCCCTTTGCAGCTCTCTTCGGCGCCATGCCTGGGGCGCAAGCCGGTGGAGCCGCTCCGCAGAATACACTTGGTCTCCAATCCCTTTCACCAGAGATGCTCCAGCAGGCAATGCAGATGTGGGGGTCAGGAGCAATGGGCGGAGGACTGGGCGGAGGACTGGGCGGCTTTGGAGCACCATCTCCTGCTTCCCCTCCCGATAACCGACCGCCCGAGGAGCGGTATGCCGATCAGCTACGTCAGCTCAACGACATGGGGTTTTACGACTTTGATAGGAACATCGCGGCCTTGCGACGGAGTGGTGGGAGCGTTCAGGGGGCTGTCGAGCATCTGCTCAACAGTTCATGAACCCTTTGTAGAAGCTTGCTAGGGTTGCGGTGGATGAAGGAAAGGAGGGCAAACGTGGAATAAAGGAAAGGGAACGCCGAATTTGATTGCGAAACGCGATCAGCGGAGACTTTAAAATGTAATGAGCAGCGATGATAGATAACTATGGCTAGCTTAATTCATTATTCCCCTTACGGGATTCATCCTCCAGAGGGCGTATCTATCTTGGCCCTGTGGAACACGCGCAACGTAGGCCCGCACAGCCTAGGTTGCTTCCTGGGTTGCTTCGTCACAGCCAAGAGGAGCATACGGGGTTATATTTATATGCGGGCCGCAATCGGCACACTCTGGCCCAGTTGCTTACATAATTATGGATTAATGAACGATCAAAAAGCGGCGCATGTATTAGAAATCTCAGCACCAGAGAAACACTAGAATACGCGCGGTTTTTCTTTCGAGGTTACGGATACAGAGGCCCATATTTATTTAAAGGACCCCCGGAATACCTACTCCTTTCTGGACGGCTTTTACAATTGAGCGTCTCTAGCACAAGCGCGATATAAAGCCGCCAAGCTGTTCTCGTCAGTATTTAGACGGACCCTACGTTCGAGCGCTGCTGGTCTCTCAGTCGCTGCTGCCACCACTGCGATCAAGAAGACCAGCTCGTACCCGAGCGAAGTCCAGGCGCTGGGGAAGAAGAGCATGCATACCAAGGTTGTCATCATCGGCTCCGGGCCGGCCGCCCACACGGCGGCGGTCTATCTGGCTCGCGCCGAGCTGAAGCGTGGGTTTCTTCCCGGGGCAAACCCCGCCCCGCCCCCGCCCCCTCCCCTCATCTCCCCTCCCCTCCCCTCCTTCCTTCCTTCCTTCTTGACGGGGCAGGCACTGACACCGATGTGAAACCAGCCGTCCTGTACGAGGGCTTCATGGCCAATGGCACTGCCGCGGGCGGCCAGCTGACAACGACGACCGAGGTCGAGAACTACCCGGGCTTCCCCGACGGCATCATGGGCCAGGATCTCATGGACAAGATGCGCGCGCAATCCGTGCGGTTCGGCACCGAAATCGTCTCCGAGACGGTGGCGAGGCTGGACCTGTCGCGGCGGCCGTTCCGGTTCTCGACCGAGTGGTCGCCCGACGAAGAGCACACGGCCGACGCCGTCATCGTTGCGACGGGCGCCTCGGCGCGGCGGCTGGGCCTGCCCGGCGAGGACAAGTACTGGCAGAACGGCATCTCGGCGTGCGCCGTGTGCGACGGCGCGGTGCCCATCTTCCGCAACAAGCCCCTCGTCGTCATCGGCGGCGGCGACTCGGCCGCGGAGGAGGCGCTGTTCCTAACAAAGTACGGCAGCCACGTGACGGTGCTCGTGAGGAGGGACAAGCTGAGGGCGAGCACCATCATGGCGAGGAGGCTGCTGGCCAACAAGAAGGTCACGGTGCGGTTCCACACGGTCGGCGCCGAGGTCAAGGGCGACGACAAGGGCCTGATGAGCCACATGGTGGTTAAGAATGTCCAAACGGGCGAGCTCGAGACGCTCGAGGCCAACGGCCTCTTCTATGCCATCGGCCACGACCCGGCGACGGCCCTTGTCAAGGGCCAGCTCGAGACGGACGAGGACGGGTACGTCGTTACGAAGCCCGGCACGACGCTCACAAGTGTGGACGGCGTGTTTGCCGCAGGTGACGTGCAGGACAAGAGGTACAGGCAAGCCATTACTAGCGCAGGTAAGTCCATTCATTCGCTGCCATTCGAGCGAGGGCGTGAGGCTAATTGCTGTCTTCTTTGCAGGGTCCGGCTGTATGGCTGCCTTAGAAGCTGAGAAGTTCCTGTCGGACCTCGAGGAGGTGACGGAAGCGCATATAGATGCCAAGAAAGGCAACCTTTGAGCGCTTCATTTCGTGGAGATAGACGGCATATATTAGCGTGATGCGTTGCGGAATATACCGGTAGACTCTTGCGATATCTAATCTCGCTGCTGTCATATGACCCGTGTACGATGCAAAGATCGCTACCTAGGTACCTACTTGGAAAGGGGCACGCCACCTAGGTACCTCAGGAAAGGCTGGAGTGAATGAAATTGCAGCCCCAGCTCCCTGTCCTCCAGCCAACCTTGTTCGAGGTGAATATTTACGAGTCCTGCACCTATATAACCCCGCTCCTCTCCCTCTCAGTCTGACCTCTTGCTTGCTCTCCCAACTCCATCACCCAAAGTGATTTCCAGTTGTGAAATTCTGTGATCTCATCTCCCCATCTCCCAAATCATATCTCTCCATTGACAGCCCTATCCTGGACAAGATGCCTCAGAACAACGGCTACTCGTACAAGAGCTCCGGCACGAACAGTCAGGTAAGTTGCTGTTCGACCTACACGACGCTCTAAGACCGCGTGTCGCTGAGTTCACCACCAAAGGGCAACCACTACTGCGCTCGCGACTACGGCAACGGCTCCAACGCGTACCACTACTCCAACACGTGAGTATTCCCAGCTGCAGCTCGCTCTCACGGCAGCCGTTCCGCCCTTGGCAGCAGCTACTAACGTGACGTCGTCACCAGGAACGGATCCTATTACTACTCCAACCCCAATGGGAGCACCTACTACAACAATGGCAATGGTGGATCGACCTACACTTCGTCGTCCAGCAACTCTCAGTCTTCGGGCTCTGGCAGCGGTAGTGGCAGCTCAGGCTCCCAGGGCTCCAAGAAATAGGAGCGAACAGGACCTGGCTGACTTCCCTGTGCTGGTTCACCGGGGCGGTGACGACGATGTGCTCTGAAGAGTGAGATGTGTTGCGCCCCGAGGCTTTAGAAAAAGGGGAGGAGTTCCATCACGATGAGGCATTGCGATCACCTCGACTTGAGAGAGCTTAATTAGCCATCCTCACCCCAGTATTCTTGCCTCTCGCCTCTCTCACCGTGAAACTTCTAGGGATTCCAGGCTTTGCATGTGAATGACAGGACAACTAGTGCGCAGTTTGGCTTCCGGGCATCCGCTTGCTCGCCGGGCATACTTCATGTCCGCTGTAGGATGTTTACGCAGAGTATAAGCTACCGACCGAATAAGTCGAAAGCATATGGATCATTTCGAGAGCAAGTCGAGCTTTCATTGAGCTTAGACACAGACTATTCCGTAGTTGCATCTACTGTGTATATGGATTGAACGGTGACCTGATAACGACATACGTCATCGGTTATCGATAATGACAGTCCATGGTCGGCTGATAGCAATCAGTAGCTCGGCGGGGTCACGATGTGTACCGCAACCTCCCATCCAACCTCGAATCCAAGCAGCCTAGGCGAAACAACCGACGCCATAAACAGCCAGCCATTCGAAGCAGGGCTCACAAAAGGAGGAAGACCAATTAATTTCCCAGAAAAGAGCCACACTCATACCCTTCCGGGTCCCCCCCCAAAAAACCATGGCAGACAAGCCGACGTCGATACGCGCCGCCCAGGCGCTCGCCATCTTCGCGTCGGCCGGGTCGGCGGGGCTCTCGCTGGGCGTGTCGGCGCTGGTCCTGCCGCGGCTCCTGGAGTCGCCGACGCCGCTGATGCTGCGGCAGTGGGCGCGCCTGCTCGAGGCCGGCAAGCGGACGTTCCCCGCGCTCGCGGCCGCCGCCGCGGCGCCGTACTGGTTCCTCGCGTACCGGTTCTGGGGCGGCGCCGGGGCCGGGTGGTGGAACGGCGGCACCCGCGCGGGGTGGCTGTACCTGGTCGCGGGCGGGCTGTGCGTCGGCACGGTGCCGTACACGCTGGCCGTCGTGATGCCAACGAATAGGAGGTTGCTGCGCAAGGTGGAGCAGACGAGGATGCTCGGCGAGGCGGACGAGGTCGTCGAGACGGGCGCCAGGGAGGAGTCGGCGAAGTACCTGGTCGATCACTGGGGGTTGCTGCATATGGGTCGCGTCGTCATGATTGCCGCTGCGGGGATTATTGGGCTTGGTGCGTCTCTGTGAGGCGGGTCTTCCACTGCTGCTCAGGGGTGGTTGCTTTATGAATGAAATGGTGGCCGAGATATACGCTGCGGCCTACTCATTGTTCATTATCTAGGCTGAGTATACTGATTCAAAATCCTATACTTCAGCCAGTGACTAAATCTCTCGAGGTGATTCTTTAGATGTAATCGGACGTGATGAAGTCTGCGTAATGAACTAAACCATGCTGTCCCATTCCCTACCGAGTTCAAACGTTTGCAATCTGTCTCCTGTTCCCTATTCCTTCCCATTCAGGCCTTCTCCACGTTCCCGCCCTGCGCTGACTCTCTCCGAACGGCCGTCATCTTGACCATCAGCGGCTTCTTCTCGTACAGCATGAACGTCTTCTGACGAGCCCAATCCCGGCTCTCGGGCATCAGCTCCATGTCAAAGTTCCACAATAGCCTTGTCAGGATCAGCCTCGTCTCGGTGATGGCCAGGGTCCTGCCGAGGCAGTTCCTGTTCCCGACGCTGAAGGGCTGGAACACGGGCCTGTTATCGTCGGCGTACCTACTCGCGGCGTCCTCGTCGCCGGGGGCGGCGGCGGAGCCGGAGTCGGCCAGCCAGCGCTCGGGCACGAAGTCGTCGGCGTCGCGGAAGTTGCGCGAGTTGTGGTAGCATGCCCAGTGCGGGACCTGCACGTTGGTCCCGCCCGCGACGAAGCGGCCGTCGATGACGGCGCCCTCGGGCCGCGTCACGCGGTTGATCCCCGCGGGGAGTGGCGGCTGGATGCGCAGGCCCTCGTTGATGACGGCGAGCAGGTACGGCGACGACCGCGACACCGAGGCGAAGTCGATGTCGGCCTCGGACGAGAAGGCGGCCCGGATCTCGCGCGTCAGGCGCGCCAGCGCGTGCGGGGTCGCCAGGAGGTGGTACATGGTCGCCGACATGAGCGTGGCCGACGTCTCGGACCCGGCCATGATGAGGATGTTGGAGTCGGCGTAGAGCTCCGCCTCCGAGATGCCCTTGCCGCTCGCCCGCGCGTCTGCGCTGACCGTGTGGCTCAGGATGTGCGACATGAAGTCCGGCCTCTCCGTCTTGCGCGCCCGCCTGTTGTCGACCTTGGCCTTGGTGAAGGCGATGTGGACCAGCGCCTCGCTCTTGACCCACTTCGGGACCAGGAAGTAGATGATGCTGCCGAGCAGGCCGAGCGTGATCATGATCTGGCCGTACATCATCATCTTCAGCCGGCTGAAGATGAAGGATATCCAGGGATGGAACCTAGAGTTTTCGAGGCACCCAAAGGGCTCGCCAAAGGTCAGGTCGCCGATCAGGTCGAAGGTGGTGTAGTTGAGCCACGCCCACAGGTCGACGGGCTGCCCGACCCGCTCGTGCATGCGTTTCACCAGGAGGTCGACGTAGCGGCGGATGATGTGCTCCTGGTCGCGCAGCGACTTGTCCGAGAAGGCCCCCGACAGCACCTTGCGGTGGCGGGCGTGCTCCGCCGCGTCACCGACCCAGAGGAGCCCGAGAGCGCCGAAGAACTCCTTCTCGCGCACCCCGTACGCCTCGTTGGTCGGCAGCGGCTTGCCCTGCCGGTTGCCGTAGATGTCCTGCCATGCCTTGGCCGAGATGAACGTGAGCTCACCCGGCGCGAGGCGCACCACGGGGCCGTACTTCTCGTGCAGGTCCGTCAGGGTCCAGTTGATGGTTCCCTTGATCTGCTGGATCACTTTCATGAGCTCCGTCCCGCCGTAGAGGACCGGGCCCGGGAAGCCGGCCAGGGGATGGAAGTAGACATTGTAGATGAAATATCCGGCAGAGTAGACGATGCACTGTATGGAACGAGGCGGAAATATTTCCGGATTAGAATGGGAGCATAGTGGTGGCCCCTAAATTTCCCGGAGCAATCTTTAATGGGGGATGCCACTCACAAGGACTAGAGCCACAAGCGCAATTTCAGCCTTGGTCAGATTCAGGAGCAGATCCAGGGGGTTTGGGTACGGCATCACGATTCGTAGATGGCTGGCTGGTCCTCCTTCAGAGTCAGTCCGGTGTCTTGGTGTCCCAGTTTCGTGGCTTGCAAATGTCAGCTGCCTGCTACCAGTCCAGACTCTCGGATTTCCATCTGAGGGGAAAGGTGTGGGAGGACAGCAGGACGCCCTGTTAAATCAGACGAGAGCCATCGTTCTGCAGACCGGCTCCGCCGGAGCTAGGATGGAAACGGCGACGAGGTGAGCTGGCATTGATCGGCACCATGGACTCAAGGCTCCAAAGGACTCAATGGACTCAAAGGGTTCAAAAAGGGGGAAACACTTGACCGGGGAGGAACTCCGTTTCGGGTAACCTACTTGATCAATGCCGCTGCCCTGCACCGTTGGGAGGATGAATGCAATGCGGTCGTGATCGGATCCGGCAGAGGCCCCCCGCCTTCCTTTCATCCCATAGGATCTTGCGCCGGTGGGATGGGCATGGCTCGCAGCAAACTACTTCCGGTGGAAACCTATAAAGTCGACGTGGCCCAATCATTACGCTAGCTTTTGATGCACGGCGAGCTCTTGCATGGGATTTGGGACGAGAGATAACAACAGCCAATGGCATCCAATCCATTACTGCCGTCGTATATGCCGTTACATGGACCTCTAGAACTTATATGTGATTGTCTTTGTCTTCACCCATTCGTCAAGTCCAACCGAGTTGAACCTACCGAACCCACTCGACTTGGCACCTCCGTGGGGCAGCGCGCTCTCGTCATGGACCGTCATGTTGTTGATATGCACGGCGCCCGTGTCGATATTCTTGGCGAACCGCAGGCCCCTCCGCAGATCCTCGGTAAACACGGCCGATGTCAGGCCGTACTCGGTGTCGTTCGCGATGCGCAGCGCCTCCTCCTCGGTCTCGATCTCATACAATGACACGGTGGGCCCGAAGCTCTCCGTCTGGTAGATGTCCATCTCGGGCTTCACGCCCGAGATGACGACCGGCCGCATCCGTGTCTGGCTGGCCTCCTCGGCGTTGATATCGCCGTACACCACTGATGCTCCCTTGGATACGGCATCCCTGAGTAGTGCCTTGTTCTTCTGCACCGACGGGCCGTGGATCAGCACCGGGGCGTCGGACTGAGGACCGAACATCTTCTCGACCACCCCCTTTAGCTTCTGCTCAAACTCTGTGCGGACGTTCTTGTGCACGAGGATCCTCTCGGTCGACATGCAGATCTGACCCGAGTTGAGGAAGGCGCCCAGGGCGCACTGCACGGCGGCGTTGTCGAGGTCCGCGTCCTCCCACACGATGGCGGGTGCCTTGCCGCCCAGTTCGAGCAGCACCGGCTTCAGGTTCTCGCCGGCCAGCCTGGCGATGATGCGCCCGACGGCCGTGCTCCCGGTGAAGTTGATCTTCTTGATTTCCGGGTGGGCGATCAGGGCCTGCGTGATGGACGCCGCGTTGACCGGTTCGTGGATGATCAGGTTCAGCACGCCGGCCGGCAGTCCCGCCTCGTGGAAGACGGAACAGATCCCCCACATGGTGCGGGGGCTCAGTTCGGACCCCTTGAACACTACCGTGTTGCCTGTAGCCATAGGGAAGGCTACTGCGCGAACGCCGAGGATGTATGGCGCATTCCTAGAGAACTGTCAGATATCCAGTCTACCGCTCTCGAGCCGTTGGGGCCAACCCACCAAGGCGCGATCCCGAGAACGACTCCGTACGGCTCCTTGAGAACAAAGGCGCCGACTTCCTCGTCCTGGGTCGTCGGGACCATACCCTCCAGGGTGGAAATCCTACCGGCGATATCGATGAGGAAGTCCCGCGCGACCATCAGGTTGAACTCGGCCCACTGGAGCGGACAGCCAGTCTCGTCCATCATGTACGCGGAGAGTTCGCCCTTCCGCTTCTCCATGACGTCGGCCGCCTTGAGGAAGATGTCCCGCCGCTTCTTCGGCGTCGTGCCTCGCCACGTCTTGAAGGCCGTAGCGGCCGCCTCGGTGGCTGCCAGCGCATCGGCCTCGCTCGCGCTGCTACACTTGTGGACAACCTTGCCAGTTGCGGGCGAGACGACATCAAAGCTCTTCTGCGGATGGACCTCCTTTCCATTGATGAACAGCGGCACTGTGTGAAGGCTGCCACCGACCTTGGCAGCAATGTTCTGGATGGTTTCAGCCATTTTCCCAGTTGTCCGCAGGGCAGAGTAGAATTCAAAGGGGTCAAGAGACAAGCACCGAGGAGAAGCGTGAGAAGTCGCTACAGGGTGTTGTGGAGAGGGGTTTGAAGGAAGGGAGGACGAGACTGTCAGTTATAGCAGCTCCTTGGGAGCTGTCACCTATAGAAAGTAGTTCCTTGGGCTGCCGGCAATTGCACACCTACCACAACCTGGCGGACACTTTCGGCGATTGCGCACTGGATGCATACAGTCTAAGAGGCCTCGGCTTTGAGAGTCGGCATTAAGGCGGGGAAGGGAAGTGGGAGGAAGTGGGATGAAGTGGGTCCCGCGAACCACTCAGTTCCAATGACCGGCCAGCCGGTCTGGCCAGACCGGGGCTCCGGGGAAACAACCGTGGAGGGAAATTCCGAGCTAGAAGCCTGTGTGAAGGCTCCCCCGGAAGGAGTGGCCATTTTCTACCCCAGATCATGTCTCAATTTCCTCCAGCCATGACCCCCAGTTTCCAGAAAATATGTTCCCATCGCGTTCCTAAGAGTCGTTGGCAAACACAGGTAGCATCTGATGCGGCTTATGGGCTTATGAAGAGGAGCCGAGATTGAGGCGCCCAAAAGCGTTAGCCGGGTCAACAAATGGCTGGGCGACTGCAGTTGAAGAGAATATGACATGGGGAATCGTCCCTGGTTTGTATGAGAATTTGTGTCATCTCGTGATGCTTTCTGAGGTCTCTACATACTCTCTTTGTTGCTACGGTTATCAACCGAGACCTCGCCCTTCAAGATAGGAGCCACAGTGTAAGATCCCGATGGAGGCTTGGGCTCTGGTGGCCTAAGACGGCCTTTGACCAAGGTCTTCGGAGGAGTTGAAGCCATCCGGGAGGCTGGAGCCTTATTTGTACCAATGGTGGCCGGAGGGTAAAGTTCACGCTTGCAAGCGTTGCGAAAGCCCGGTGGGAAGTGGCTGTTGCATAAGATAGTTATCTGCCAGTTGCCAACCAATGGACTTCCGTGAGAAACTTGCAGATGTTGCTGCCCGTTGATGCTGCCCGTTGATGTCCGTCGTCGAGATGGCTTCGTGAAATAGTAAAGGCGCAAGTGCCATACAGTGTTTATCACACGGTCTCCGGGAGGAGGCATCTGATAGCCAATCACCAATCATGAAGCGCTCCACTTCCGGCGGGGTGGCTTTGCGAAATTCGTCAACGGAGTAAACCGCACCCTCTAGTAGAATTTCGCTTCATTGGAAATGTTCTTTCCCAACGAACGATTCCAATGCGAGGTTCCTCCCTTTTCACGCTCGCCTACTTCAAGTGCCTTGCAAACCGTCTGCTAATACTTACTTTTTACTGGTAAATCCGCGACGATGCCCGCAGGGACATCTGGAGGGCCCGTCGCTTCCGAGGCTTGGGTACATCGCATTGATACACTCGCACCTCGATAGGCCGATTACCCCTGTTGATGGCTAAAAATGTTTGATACTGTGGGCGTTGATTAAGATTTGGTACCATTATTAAAAACAACGGGCAATTTCTGCGCGCCCATGTGCGTTCGATTTCCCCGCACACTCCGCAGTCGGATTTCCCTCTCTTTGTCACCTCTGAACTCAATCGCGAGACCGGAACGCCAGCGTATTATTCGGCCAACCTTGGACCCTCCGTGCCGTCACGGGAACAAGAGGAGTCGTTGACTCGGCCGATATTTCTTTCCGGCCTCCCCCCACCCTACTTACCCTACATGGATAGTCCCGCATTGATGGGCGGCGGAGGGGCAGCTTCACTAAGCCCGACCAGCCCCGTCAGCTCCCGCAGTCTCGGAGGTCCAAATGGCGCCCTGAAGAGGAAGAGAAGTGGCGGGGCACTTATCGGTGCCTTTGACAGTAGTCCGGGCAGTATTGGCGATGATCATGATGGTGGTGATTCAGAAAAGAAGCGCCAGCCCGGCGTGAAGCGTGCTTGTAATGAGTGTCGCCAGCAAAAAGTGAGTCATGTCGTGCCGCTACCGCCACCAGCACCATCATTACCCCCCCGTGTCCGACATTGAAACTGTGACCCCGAATCGGTGAATCGAGTTGGCAATTGCTGACCGGACTTGCCTTGTCCCCCTATAGCTACGCTGCGATGTTGTGCAGGATCCATTCCAGAGCTGTTCGCGGTGCAACCGCCTCAAGCTCGAGTGCAAGATCGAGTCAAACTTCAAGCGCGTTGGCAAGCGCTCCAAACACGCCGAGATGGAAAAGGAGATTGACAAGCTGCGCCGCGCTGTGCAGAGGGCAAAGTCGCAGGGCTTCGCCCTGGACGACGACGAAGAGCTCGACCACTCGCAGTTGCACTCGCCCGTCGTCAACAGCGTTTACTCGCACACCCGGAACCCCTCATTGATGGGCTCCGACGAGGTTGTCTCTTCGCTGTTGCATCTCAAACGCGGCGGCTCGTACGCCATGCCCCGAATATGTCGGGAGCTAGAAGACGTCAGGTTGACAGAAGACGCGGAGCATCAGCTCTTCCAGGAGTTCTTCACTTACTATCACCCTTATCTACCTTTCCTCGACCCCACGCAAACTCCCGATCAGTATTACCAGCAGCTCAGCCTGCTCTACTGGGCAATCATATCCGTCGCTGCCCGGCGTTACACAGCCGATCCAATGCTTCTCACTCAACTCTCAAGGCCATTGACGAGGCTGCTCTGGTCGACAATAGGGGATGTTCCTCAAGGTTATCATGTCGTCAAGGCGTTGTGTCTGCTATGCACATGGCCTCTGCCGACGAGCACGACGTCAACGGACCCTACGCACATCCTATGCGGCGTGATGATGAAGGCAGCGACAGCTATAGGCCTGCACAGGCCCAATCATATCAATGACTTCTCCAGGGTGGCCATTGACCTAAACACGCAGCAGCTCCATGACAGGGTCAAGACATGGGCGGTTTGCAACATCGTCGCGCAGACTATTGGCACGGGCTACGGACAACCCGCCTCCACACTATATGACTGGACCTTGGCTGCGAGGCCGGGCGACTCGGGGCCCTTCACACTCTCTCCCGAGCTAGAAACAAGGCTCCAAATAGAGCGCTTCTGCGACAAGGTGTCAAAGGAGATGTATAGTAACGCGAGCGACCCTAGGGGCGTTGCTGGGGACGAACATCGCGCAATGCTGATGAGAGTCTATCGGCGGGAGTTTGGCGAGCTTCAGGCCGCCATCCTGTCCCGTAACCTATCGCCAGTTGTCAACCTGCATCTGAAGGCGGCTGGCCTTCACTTGCGACTGGCGGGCTTCTTCGACTCCAGCGCCACGCCGGGATATATGGATGACTTGATGGGACTTTGGCGCGCAACTGTCAGCTTCCTCGACTACATTTGTGAAGGGGATAGCTCGTTTGGCGATGGGAGCATGGGGGGCGACTACCTCCTCAGATATGCGTCGAATTACATCCAACAGATGCTGGTCGCTGCCGGGTTCGCATTACTGAAGCTCCTAAGATCATTCTTCGCCAAATCCATCGACTTCGACCGAGGACGTAACCTCTTCCACCGGACTATCCAGGCTACAAGAGCGACAAGCGTCGTCCAGAATGACCTCAACTGGAGGCTCGCAGAACTGATGGTGCAAATCTGGAACGGCGCGAGACTCGAAGGCAGTCATCAGTCGTACGGCGATGACAGTGGGACCGAGATGGACGACAGCCTGCAACTCAAAGTACGCTGTCGACACAGCATGAGTCTTGTCTTCGACTCCATCTGGCATTGGAGGGAGGAGTACCAAGCCAGAGGCCGCGGCACCCTTGATGGTATGTTGTCCGATTCTCTGCTGCATCTGCTCCAGGCTAAGACAACCTTGGTAGCCCTCAAACAACCTACAAACCCTGATTCGGCTAATGAATCGTCAGCATCGTCGACCCACCTGGACACCACACTTGCGCCCTCGGGTCACGGCTTACCGACGAGCCTCAACCTCGCCACATCCAATGCGGCCCTCACACCGAGTGCTACGTCCGCCATGGGAGGAACGGGCCAGAATTCGTTGCTTAGTATGAGCTACGATACCTTCGATGCCTGGGACCCCCAGCACTGGATGCTGGACGGGTTGGTTGACTTCAACTATACCTTCGTGCCGCCGCTTGAAGGAGCTTAGTTAGGAGCACTCTGGCACCTTTCCTGGGGAGTTTTTGTTTTAAAAGAAGAGCAAGAAGGCCGAGTCGGGAGCAGTACCAGCACCACCTGTTGACCGATATACATGGTCTGACTCTTGTTCCGAACCCGCGAGTTTCGTCAAAGTGTATGTGTCGGGTTTGTCGTATACCCTTTCTTTCAGGCGTTTATTGGAGCATTCCCCAGCGAGCTGGTAGACTGGCAACAGACCGAAGTGGAAAAGCGTTGTTCCAAATGTATGCGTATGCATTACTCTATTCTAATCGTTGTCGATATACAGAAACAGTGATAATAAGAAAGCATTCCGAGGCTTGTCCGTCGCAACGGCACCGTGTTCCGGCCAACAAGCAGGCGTGCGCCTTTGCTCCTCCCCCTTGCTATTCCTTGCTTCCCCCGCATTGATGGCGAGTTTGCGGGCTACGCTGCACTCCGGGTTCCCCAAAGGGAGACCGGCCGTTTCGAGGCTCTAGCGCTCCAAAAATAAAAGGGAACGAGGACCAAGATGGTGTCGTCGCTCGGCCATACCTACCTGGGTAGTCCGGGGGTCACGTCTCCTCTCATTTTCGGTGTGGAGTGGAGGCCAGGGGTATCGGGCACGCCGAAAGCTTAATTAGGTATCCAACTCAGGGTCCCTCTCCCTTGCATCGAAGGGGTCGAATGTGGCTTCTAGAAGGACCCGGGGGGAATCACAGGCTGAGCCAAGGAGATCCTAAGACGGCCCGACGTGATATGGTTCGGCAAAGGGATAGATGGATGGGATTGGGATAGGATAGACTATTTTTAAAACTATCACAAAGGACTACCCAATACACCGGGGCTAGCCTCCTGCCTTCCCACCCCGCTATCCCTCCCTTGGGGATCTTTCTCAAGCCACATGCACACATAACAACTGTTGGGTCTTCTTCTTCTGATGGTGACCACAGTTTGTTTGCTAGCCTGGTTTGCGATGACTCGCATGCAGATGCGTATCGCTATGTAGGACCTATCATCCTCTATCTCTTTCTGTCTCGATGCCGTCTGTTGGTTCCCAAAATATATCGGTCCCGGCAGATGACGCCAATTGCGCCTCCCTCCCCTCCGCCTGTCTCTCATGTGTGTGTGTGCTCGCTCCCCGCGGGACCTTGCAGCTGACCCTCCGCGCCGCAGCCGTCCTCGCAGTCCGGGGGGGGGGGGGGGGGGGGCCCAGGGACAACCCACAGTGGACAATGGCATTTTTGGCCCGGGGGGGGGGGTGGAATGTAGTGCAAACCGTTGATTTATTCCATAACAAATTTTGCCTACAAA